AAATATTAAAATTAAAAATTTATCATAAAATTGATATTTAAACTATTATTAAATTTAATAATGCTGGAGAAAAAAATATGTGGTTGTTGAAGTATTAAATTTTTTGTATTAAAGGTTAATGCAATTTAAGTAATTTTACATCATTGAAAATTGGAATGAAAAGCTTCAACTAAATGTGATGCAATCCTTTTAAATTAGATGATAATTTATGAGTGTTTTTATTTAAATTTTTTCAGTTAAATCATGAGTTTTAAGATTATTATTTAATAAGTTTATTATTGTTATTTTGAAGCTAACTTAAAATAATTGAATAAGAATTCAATTTAATTTTTCATGCTACTAACCTATAGCATTTTTATAAAATAACTTAAGTAAAACTACAATATTTTCAAATTTTTTTCTTTTAAGTATTAATATATCTTAATAACTAGTTGATATTCAACTATAAAAAGAGGAATTAGTTAAATTGGTATTAATATTATTTATATTTTAATAATTCTCATGAATTATTTGTTAGCTAGAAAGGCAAATTCTATATTAGATGATAAAGAGTTTCAAGGATAGAATAATAGAAACTTGAGTATAACAGAATAGATCTAATAGGTAAAAAATATAACCTTATTCGAAATTTCAAATTATTAGATCGATTATCATAATTTTGTTTCCTCTATTCAATTAAGAGGTGGTGGATGCTTTGGATCAACGCCAAATCGTTCTGATTTCAAATCTAATTTGCAATAAATTGATTATAGATTTTTGGCCTAATTATCAACATTTGCAAACGTAATTTCTGAAAAATCTTTAAGTTTTTAAGATAAATTGTATCAGGATGAAGTACTTGCTGCATTTTAATGGTTTTAAAACAATAGAGAATAATTTCATATACTTTGTAATGATTAAACTGAAAATACAAAAAATTATTAATTGATAGAAAAAATTACAGAATAATTAATGAGATAATTAATCATTTATATCAAGGTGTCAGGCTTTCTTTTTAAATAGTTACTCTAAATTTGTAATGACTTTTGGAAAATAATATTTTCTCATTAACTACAGAATGAAGATAGATACATGTAGGATGAAATGTAGAAGAGTTTTTTAGAAATTATTGAAGAGGTTGACTCTTAAATATCAGTGGAAGCAGTCAATATTTGGATTAACGGAGCGAAGTTCGAGCTTTAATTGATAAAAATTTGCGTATCTCATTGTAGGACAAATTCTGAAAAAGGAAAGGAGTTAGTTATATCTATTGTTAGTGGGCTATTTTAATCGATATCTTAACTAAAACCTAGTGAGGAATTAATCGATTCATTAATTGAAGGAGGAAAATTTTTGCTCTTGAATTTCTACGATAAATAAATATAAAATCCTCTTCAGGTGTACGAAATTTATCTTTATTTCGAAAATCTTAAATGGTCTATTGTATTTTAGTTGAAATTGGGTTATTCTATTTAGAATATTATAAAACAGATTCAAGACGGATATACAAAATACATTAAACTATCTAAGGATTGGAGAGTTCATTATTTTTGGGTAAATTTGATATCAGACATTATGTGTTATAGACCAATTTTTCTTAAGACTGAAATTTAATAATTATAATAATCATAAACTGTTGATGAAGAAACCTGGAATTAACTCATAATTAAGTTGCCTTATAATAAGTTTGCTGGTAAATTAAAATTATTTTCTAACAATAATTTTACATTGAAATAGTATACAACTTTAAAGTTGTTCTAAGAGTACTTGATTCAAAATTAATGTGATATTTAACTATTGCCAAATTATATTAATTTTAATTTCAATGCTCAAGAAAGGAAACAATTTTAAGATGAAGAACTTTTTATTCAATCATTAACTAATCAATCGAACTTAGAAATTTTAAAAGCTTTAATGAAATAACTAAGGTATTAAAATGACCAAGTAACCAGTAATTTTGTCATTGCAAAAGAAAAAGTGAGTCAACATGATACACTTTTGGGAAGTGAAAAACATATTCAATTCAAAATCTTTTGCTAAGAACTACGATTCTTGATGAAACAAATTAAATAATCAAGTCTGCTATTATTATATTTAATTAATGAGATAAATTTATTTGTGAATAAGGAACTTTAAATTAATTTAATAATATAAACGATATTCTAAGAATAGTTTAAAATATTGGAAGACTCAAAAAAAATAAAGGAATAAATTTTAAAAGACATACAAGAAATTGAAAATAAATATGCATCTGAATTTTTGGGTAATTTTTAGAATGTTTCCTAATTTTGGTTATAAATTGCTTAATATACATCCTTCTCACATATAGAATTAATTGAGGGGAACATTGAATTGGAAAAATCACTTTAATAATAATTGGATTCCAATGTGAAATATTTTACAAATATAAATAACTTCTTAGATAAATTTCAATTATAGATCTCTAATGTTAAGACAAAATTTTTAAAGATTTTAGAATAGTAGAAACTCAAGGGTTTAATGAAGGATTCGATAAGCTAAAGAAAATTACTTGATATTATGATAAAGTTGTTTAATCCTAAATTGACATTAAAATTGATAAATGAAAGCATTTAATATTATTAAAAATTATTACAGGAGGAAATATAAATTGAAAATGTGAAGGATGTTCGGAAAATTCTCATAGTCATTCAATCAAACATTAATATTTATAAGGGATTATAAATGATCTTTAAATAGCACCAAAAGAAATTATTATCAATATAAAAATAATTTTAAGGGGCTTTTGAAAAAATAAGTGTTGATCACATTAAAACTTAGGAAAATTACGAAATTGATATTAAATTCCATAGAACAGCATTCATCCTTGAAATGGGGGATTAACTGCAGCTTTTGTTTAAAAAATACTAAAATTAAGAACTAACAGAAGAATAATTAACAGACTTCAACGTTATATCAAATAAAATTAGTAAAGAAATTAATAAAATAAAATTCATGGATTGGCCAGATCAAATCAAATCTCATCATATTTTACTGCTATCTGAAATTAAGCTTTAATTAGAACTCCTTAGTTTTGTACAGCAAGACAGAAATATTATATAAATGGAAATTTCAAAACTATTAGATGGATATCTTAAGGAAATAAATTCAGAGGATAAACCAAAAGAGCACTTGCCCTTAACTAAGAATATAAAGCAATCATCTACCGATGATGAATTTCTGATATTGAAATTAAAAGATTTTTTTGATTGTGAAGAGCCTTTGAATATTTTAGAGAAGTTGATTACCAAAACAAAAAAGATAAAAAGCATCTTTAGGTAAAACCATTTAAATGCAGCTTCTCAAAATTTATAAAACAACTTCGATTTGTTGAACAAATTAAAGGATACCTAAACATTAAGTCTCAAACAAGCCATTACTGATTTACAATAACAAACGTTAGTATTTTGTTAAATGATTGATAAACATGAATAAATTACTTTTGTTTATGAGTTTATTGAAAAGAGCTAAAATTAACCTAATTTAGATTAAATTTCCGCATTATTACATATATTTAACTTTGATACTCTGAATTTTTAGGATTAAAGGATGGAACATGGAGTTGGAAAAGTTGATATAATATAAACTATGATTGCAGAATTGTAAAAAGATATGAAAATAGTTTAAGAAGAAAATATTTTTGATACAATTTCAGATTAATCCTATAAAGTTCGAGAATTAGTTGTGTTCAATTTAATTAAAATATAATCAATCATTTAAGAATAGCCAATATAAGAGTTTTGTGAAAATTTATTAAAATAAATCTGGATAATTGAAAAAAATCCAAATGTTAGAAGCCTTCTAAAAAATGAAGAAATGATAAAAATGCAGAAGAAACTATTTTCTCAAGATTTATAAAATTTCTCACTTAAAATAAAAAAAGAGATGCAAACAAAATTTAAATAGATTGAGCAACTTGAAACTTAAGTTCTTTTAAGTGGCAACTAGGATGAAATTAAGAAATCACTATAAGAGTAGTATGATGAGTTTGAGATATATTTGGATAACATAACAGATATGTCATAAAGATTAGATATTAGTTTAGTATTTTTAAGGGAAATTAGTAAGGATTTGAAAAACATTAAATCATCCATAGATTAAATATTTTTAAGTGTAAAAGGAGTTGAGGATGATATAAGAAGATTAAGAGGTAAAAATTTTATGGAATTGCTAAACATTCGAAAGTAGAAGGTTTTATACTAAAAGCTAGAAAATGAGTAAGATTAAATCCATATTGAAATTAAAACTTAAGAATATGATCCCATTTCTGGAAATAAAAAAAAAAACAAGAGTGGTGAATTTGAGACCTTTTTGATGAAATTGTAATTTGATAATTATGATGGAGAAGTTAATGAATTTTTGTGGAGTGAGTATGAAAGTCTAAAAGATGTAATGCTAATAAAAGGAAAAGCAGGATCAGGAAAAAGTAGAGCTTCACGTAACATTGAAGAATTTATTTGGATTTGCGATTCAATTTCACCAAATTGGATTCCAATTTATATGTCACTTCCTTAATTAAAAGATCCTAATCACAATTTAATTGAATAGGCTCTGGAGTCTGAAAATTACAACTTTGATAATATTTAAATCAGAGAATTTAAAGATGCAGTCATAAATGGAACATTAAAGATTGTTATTATACTTGAAAGCTACGATGAGATGAAATATGAGTATATTGGAACAAATCTTTATAATAGAAATCGAATAGCTAATGATCTAAACCTTTAAGGCTAAGACTAAAAAGTAAAGTTTATAATTACTACAAGAGAAGAAATACTAAACACTATAGGATATTAAACATGGTTTTATGGTTCAAGTTTATAAAATCTCAAAGAAATAGAAATACTACCTTTTCGCTAGGAACAGAGTTCATAGTATCTTAATATATATGCTGAAATTAGCATTAAAAGAACAATTAAAAGGTTTTATGAGTTTCTCAAACAATTAAAGGGTTAGAAATTTTAATTAGAGGAGTTTAAGTTAATTTGGAGTCAAATAGAAAGTACAATTAATTCTATTATATTATAAAGAAGAAAATCTGATATGCTGTTTTTAATGTCAGATATTGAAAGGATAATAAAAGCAATTTAAAATGTTTAGTTTTTTAGTTTTATCTAATCTAATTAAATGTTATCTCTTAAAAAAGAACTTCTTTAATTATGGGGAGAATAAAAATTTTAATCAGTAGTTAAAAATGTAAATATCACACATCTATTGAGTACACCATTTATGATGGAAATAATTGTATATGTGTTGCCTAAAATGTCTTCACTTTTCTCTAAAGCCAACAGAATTAGGGAATTACTGAAGAAAAATTATATGATTTTGAAAAAGGAAGCTAACAATTCACAGGTTTAGATGGAAATTTATTAAAAATACAGTAACAATAGTATCAACTTTGAGGCAGAAAATTACAGAAAAAGTAGAATGATGAAAGAAATTGAAATAACTTAATAGTTTACTTAAATTTTAGAAGATTTGGATAATTCAAACTTTTTTGAATCATTTTCAATAGCTGATTCCTTAGAATGTGTAAACAATACTACAATTTTTTCTAACAGAATATTCAACGTCAAATTTGATGCCAATTATGTTGTTTCGGCTTTCAAGCTCTAATAGTATACTGCATTTGATTTTTATGAAATATTTGTGAATTTCTATCACAATTAACAACTTTAAAAGCTGAAAGATTTGGGTATAAGTGTTAAAGAAGAAAGTATGCTTTAAGATTTAAATGATTTTTCAACATTTTTGGCAATCGATATGTCCTTGAGGTAGCTTACTTAGGTAAATTATAAATAAAAAAGAAAATTATATATTTCTTCAGTTAAAGAAGAGAGGAATGTTGAAGTCTCTTGGGATGATTCATACTTCGATGAAAATTAAGACGATTTTGAGTATAAATCACTCTTACGAAAGTGTATGTTGATTAATTCCAAAGGCAGTTTATATGCATTTAATCATAAATCTATCTAAGAATTTTTCGTAGCCAACTATATCATAAACTTAATAGAGACAATCTTTTCCCAAGGAAATGGAGAAGCGAATCAAAAGTTCTTAAAATAATGCAGTTTTTGCAAAAATGAATTTAATTTATCATTAGAGCATTATTCTGGGACATTAGAATTGTTAAAACCAAAGATAATATAGATTGAAGATATAAAGAATAAATTAATTTAATTAACATTATTATCAAGGAAAAATCCTGAAAATACTCTTATAAGATCAGCTTCAAATTCAATTTATATCCTCTGTTCTTTAAGAGAACATTTTGAAAACATTGATCTAAGTGATTTGTTCATATATTATACTAAATTAGATGGAATGAGTTTTTATAAATGCAATTTGAGCAACTCTTCATTTAATAATGTATCTATAGATTCATGTAATTTTAATTGCTCAACAATAGAAAATGCTAAATGGGAAAATTTGATTTGCAAAGAAAAACCATCAATAATAGCTCACCCTAGTTCTATTAAATATGTGACTTTTAGTGACAATGGAAAGTTTTTAATTTCAGGGAGTGAAACTGGAGTTATTATTAAATAGGAGATGTTAGCTGATTCAGAACCGAAAAGAACAATACTAACAAATACTGATAACGATAAGTTAAGAACAATATCTATTGGAAAAAATTTGCTTGCTTGCCTTTCTAATAAGTTTTTATACATATTTAGTTTAAGTGATTTGAAAGAATTACAATCTTATCTTGCAACAAGTATATATTTTAAGGATGCTGATATCATTAGATTTTCCCCAAATGATAAATATTTAGCTGTAACATTAAGAAAAGGTATAACACTCTTTTTTTTAGTAGAAAATCTACTTCAATAATAAGAATAGTAATTAAAATATTTATCACAAATCAATAACCATATCATATATCATATAGCAATTTCTCCAAACTATCAGCTTTTAGCCACAGGTGATTATAGAGTTAAAATTTGGAATTCTAGTAACTTTTCAGATGTTTAATAAATCTTAGAACTTCCAGGAGAAACAATGAAAATAAATGCAATTGCATTTTCAAAGGATAATTAGGTATTAGCTGCAGCAATAGGTAATAAGTTAGAATTTTGGAATATTTAGAATCTAAATCAAGTTTTTTTAAAATATAAGTTTGACTCACTAGTTGAATTAGAATAAATATCTTATTCAAATAATGGAAAGCTATTTGCTTTTAGATCAAAATAGGTTTTGAAATTATATGAGGTTTAAAAGTTACCTGATCAATAAGACTTTTTTAGAATAAATTCTGAACTTCCAGTAGATTTAATTGAAATTTCTTCAGATTGCTAAATTTTGGCTATGAGCCATATATATAATTCTTAAAATGATAGTCCAAAGATTACAATATGGAACGTTAAAAACTTGCATTAAATGAAGATGATCTCAGTTCTTAAAGAACAATCTAAAAATATTTCAGCCTTAAAAATCAGAAATGATAATTTAGTTTTAGGTTCAGGTAGCTTAGATCATTCAATTTGTCTTTGGGATTTACTAAAACTAGTATTAATTGTGAAGTTAACATCTCATTAAGATAAAATTTTAGATCTTGCATTTTCATCAAATAAATAGCAAATGGCATCCTGTAGTGTAGATGCAACAATTATAGTTTGGGATACTACCAACTTAGATAAACCATAAATTAAAATGACTTAATAATAACAACTTGGAGTTAAAAAGGTTCTTTATTGTCCAAATAGGCCACTCTTAGTGTCAATGCAGGGGTAAACTGATAATGAAATCAAATTGTGGAATTCTGCAGAATTTAAGCTTATTTCAACAAATACAATTTAAGCATAGTTTATAGACATAAATTTTAGTGAGGATGGAGAGAATATGATATCTTTGAATTAGGATAAAATTCTTAGAATTTGGAAAATAAATGAATAAGGTTTTGAAATTTACAAATAAATCAAGATTGATGGAGAAAAAAACGTAAATCAAGCATATTTTTTTGATAGTTAAAGCATTATTGCTCGTTTCGGATCATCCGTATATCATTTATATATAAAAGATTAAGAAATTTAAAAAAAACATAAATATGGATTTTCAAGGAAACTTAATTGTATTTAAGTTTCATAAAATAAAAAAATCATTGTAATGAAAGATGATGGTAATCGTAATCAGAATAATATTGAGATAATAGTTATTGAAAATCATAACAGATAAAATAATGTATAAGTTGAGGATGAAATTAACGATTTCTAATTTTCTAATGATGCTTCACTTTTAGCCGTTGCAACAGAAAAAGGAGCATTCATTAAGGATATTATAACAAATTAAATATTGTAGAATTTTTAATAAAATTGTTGTTGTAAATTGATTTGTTTTATTGGGAAAGAATAATTAGCGATCATGTTAAATTAATAACTAGTTTTATATGATATATAAGATATTAATTCTTCAAAAATAATATCTATAATATAATTATATGATACTCCTGAGAAAATGATTTTCTTAGAGCAAAGATAGGAGATTTGTATTTGTAGTAAGACCAGTGTTGTATTGATAAGCTTATTAGAAGTATAATAAATTAAATTAATATAATTTGATGAGGATATATAACCAATGGCAGTAATTTTCGATTCGGAATAAAAATTTATGGGTATTGGAAAAAGATACAAAATGTAATTTATGTCACTTTCGAATGCTATTAAAATTGAAAAAACAAGCAATTTATATAAGAATAACTAGAATAAACCTCACATTTATACAAACTTTTCTTAAGACTGTAATATTTTCTCAATATTAACCTCTGAGTTATTGTATTTATAATTGGATATTAGTTCTAATTAGATTTTAAAAAAAGTTAGTTTTTAACCTTATAACAATCCCTGTGCATTAAATAATTAAGAAACTTTGATCATTGTCAATAGCCCAGGAATAAACTAAAAGAATTTATTTCTAATTGACCTGGAAACCTAAAAAACAGTGAATTGTTTTGACGATATAGATGAGCGAAAATCTAGATGTCTAACAATTGTTTTTTCACAAGATGGATAAAATTTTCTTACTAGTTATTCAAACTTGACAATTAAATTTTGGGATACTAAATCTTGCAAATTGCTCTCTACTTTTAAAACAGATACTAATTCAATCTAACTCCTTACAATTTCAATTAAAGGAATATTAGCTTAAACAAGTGATAATATCATAAAGTTATGGGATTTAAATGCCTTAAAACAATAATAATAAGAAATGGATGGTCATAATTCTTCAGTAAGTGAGATATGTATTTCTCCAGATGGTTTATAAATGGTAACAGGATCTGAAGAAGAAATAATAAGATGGGATTTTATTGCACTAAAACAACTTGATATATTAATTAAAGGTAAAAGTCCTATATCTAAATTTTGCTTCTCGCCCAATAGTCAATATTTTGTTGCTCTATTCGAAAAATCAATTCATATCTGGAAATTTATTACAAGATATATTATCGAATTTCACAAAACATATTGGTGCTCTTTACAAGAACAAAAATTGGGTGTAAGTCAGAACCATGTCATCTACAAGAATGGTGAATCCAAAATATTCATAATGAACTTCGAATAAATAAGTAAATAGATTTAAATATAACTTTAATCAGATTTAAGGAATCAAACTAGAAAAATTATTCTTTCACCAAATTTGCTGATAAAAACTAATCCATTGGAGATACTTCGTATTAACAATAAATTAGAGTTAAAAAAAGAATAAATAGCTGGAATATCAGCCAGTTAAATAACAAAAATTGCATATTGTGCTAATACATAGAGATTTGCTTTTGAAGATGAAGATCAATCAATTATTATATGGTCAATTGAAAAAAAATAACAACTGGGGATATTAAATTCTAATGAAAATAAAAATACTTAGCTTGTATGTATGATATTTTCTGGTAATAGTAAGATACTGTTCTCATATCATGACGATAAAAAAATAAGATTGTGGAATATAACAGATAAATATGAGTTGATCCAGATATAAAATCTGAAGAACGATATGTACTTGGTATATTCTGTAAATTTGCAGTTGCATTCTAGTAAAGATGAGGAGTATATATTAATATGGTGTGAAACTTAACCTTGGGGTGATTTTTAAATGGGTTAAATTTGTTTTTAGATTGGCACGGTTGTAAGAAAATTAGATGAACTTTCTGGTGAATGGACGAAAAAATTTTCAGCTGCATTTAATTTATCAAATAATGTAATTGCTCTTTAAACTGAATCAATACTTAAATTATATGATATATCTTAGGAAGAGATAAGAATAATTGCAAATTTAGAGAACAATCCACTTGATGATTTATTGTGTTAATCTAATCTAATGTTTTCATCTGATGGGAAAATTCTTTTATCATTAGGCACTGATTTCACAGTAAGATTGTGCGATATTTCTGATTAAAGCTCAATAATAGTCAAAGTTAATATGAAAAAACCAATACAAGCTGTGGCTGTGCAGTTTCTAAATTCAGAAACAATCAGGATTTATAGTGAATCGGGTATTATAATTGATTAAAATATTTCAGAATATTTAGAAATAGGTGTTATCAAAGATGAATAATAATATGATTTTAAAACTGCAAAACAATAGATAGGTATATCCAAATATAGCGGAAAAATTAATAATAGAACTTTGGAGATTTTTGATTCTCAAACAAGCTAATTATAATTTACTTTGAATAAATTTAGTTCCAAAATAAGCGCAATTTAATTTACTCCATCCTAAGAATAATTCATTCTTGGAATGGAGGATGGATCAATATTGTTATATAAGATCGATTAGTAGACAATAAAAATTTATGACATACCTACTTGCTATCATATTTTTGCCAAAAATCCTCTATTATCAGCTTAAAATTGCAATATTAGACAATCTACATTTAAGACAATTGAAAATGAAAATTTTGAAAAAGTATTATGCGAGAAAGGAGCCATAAAATGAATGAGTTCTAAATTCATAACTTATTCATTATAGTATTTGAACAATAATTGTTGTTATCAATAATAACTTCTTCTTTCGATTTTCTAATCTACTTAATAATAATTTATCTTTTTCTGACTAAAAAAGTTCAAATCTTTATAAGGATAAACTACAGATTAATTCATATCAAAATAAAACTGTTAGCTTAGAATCATTATGAAAAATCTTAGAACCTAAAATATATTTTTTCAATTATTATTAAAAACTAATTTATTTATGAAAGTTCATTTAAATTTAATTCAATTGATAAATTTATTAGAAATATGTATAAAATTTTAAATTAGGCAAATTGTCTAAAAATAACTTCATTAACATACTTACAACATTGTATAAGACTTAAAAAATTAAAAGTAGGCATTAATTATTTTACATCAACAAGGATTAAAATCAAGAAACTATCATTAAATTTTAATTAAAATAAGCAATTTGAATAACAAAGTAATAATGATTTATTAACAAATTTTAAAACCTAATTATCTTATCAAATCAATCACTAGAAATTCCCAAATCTATGTTAGAACAATATTAACAGAGACCTTCTTCTGTTTGATCTCTGATATTTATTCTAAAAGGCATATTTGAAATGTATTGTATATTTTAAACTAAAAATTTAAAATAATAATTTATTGTTTTCTTTTGATTACCTATGAAAAAAGTTTAAGATAAATAAATTTGTTAAGAACATGGAAAAAAACTTATATTTGTTGAAACATCCCTGACGACTTCGAAACTAAAGAAACTTTGCGAAAAATGTATTCTTTAATAAAATCGGAGTTTAATTGCATGGGAGAATGTAGAATAAAAGTATAATAATTTAACTTCAAAAATTGCAAAGGAATCTCAAACTAAAATAGCAAATAATGCATTGATTTTTAAATAGCTCAAAGATAGCTTATTAACATTTTTCGCTAAATTCTCTTCATAATTAGAATAATTTAGTTCATAATTATAATAGTATGAGAATTTTATAACAAGGTAGAAAGTAGATATCTCCCATAATTTTACAATAGAAGCGATTCAAAATATCAGCAAATAGTTGTCAACCTAAAATTAAAATCTTAAATCAATAAAATAATCAATATTGAATTAACTAAACCACTTTCCTTTCCAAGATTTTCAGAATAAAACTCTAAACCTATTAGATAAAATTAGCTATTGGAAGGCTGACTCAGAGTAAGTAATTGAGAAATAACTTTTCGAGGAGCTCTAAATTTGCCAAAGTCCAACTAATTATGATTGGAGATGCAAAAAGCATGATAAAGATATACTATTTGCTGATTTGAATTTAAAAAAAACTGTACCAACTAGGTTAGCTTGCTTTGATTGTGTATCTGAATATTAATCTTTATTTACTGAATTAAAATAGTTTTAATTAAGTTGGGAAAACCATACCATATCAATAAAAGAGGATATCATTTATAAATAGAATAAATTTTAGGCAGATTTAAAAATCAAATAAAATCTGCTATGTTAATTTGAAAAAGAATTCTAAGTTCACATTAATTCATTGAAAAGCGAGTTGGAAAAAATTAGTACTAAAAAATAAACTGATTCACAACTTTACCTTATGACTAAAGAATGGAGTTAATTAAGCTTGCAAGAACTAACCTAAATAGCTGATTTATTATCTTAAAATTAGCTAAGTACTTCAGAGGAAGAATAGAAATCTAAAATACTAGATTAATAAATAAATGAAAAACTTAATAATACTTACTAATAGTTAAATGACCTAATCAAAAATTGTTTCAATACTATTTTGTAGGAAAACTCTACTTTTAAAGAAGAAACCTTTTCTAGTATCACATATGAAGAGAGCAACAACTTAGAACCTGAGGAAAATATCATTCAACAACAAACAAGTCATAATTAAAGAAAAATAAATAATTTATAAAATAATAATTCTGCTTAAGATCAAGTTACAGCAGCTGCTTTTGATAGCAATTCTAAAATTGTTATAGTTGGATATTCATCTGGGATCATTTAAGTTTTTACATCAAATGATAAGATATTGATTGTTAATCAAAAATTAAATCAACATAAGGGTGCTATCCATAGTCTTTGTCTTTTTAAAGATTCTAAATCTTTTTTATCTAGTAGTTAGGATTAAACGATTAAAATATGGTGTAAAAATAATTAAGGATTTTAGATCTAAAGCGATTTAATAGAAATAGGTTATGGGAGTGTCTATTGCACAACTATGAATAGAAAATAAAATCTTTTAATAGCTGGATGTGAATTATCCTTAGTATTTTTGTATAAAATAGAAAAAACATGGAAATAAAAGTAGACCTTAGAATTTAAAAATAAATCAGTCAGAAGTTTGAGTTTGAATTCTTCAATACAAACACTTGTTTGCTCATTTTAAAGTTGTTCATAAATAGATATATATTGGTGTTAAAATCAAATATGGGAGATAAAATAAAGAATTGAAATCAAAGAAATGCCTTCTAGTGTTTGCTTAATAAGTGAATTAATTTTTACTTGTTAAGTCATTAAGAAGAATGCTCTATATGTATTTAAAAAAGATTAGAACTCCTTTACTAAAAAGGAAGAAATTAAGATGGTTGGTGGGGAAAATTTCAAACATTATTAACCTTAGTAATTTGTTAGTTCTAAATAGATTTTACTTAATATAACAGGAAATACAATTAATCTAATAAAACTAATAGGGAAGGAAACTTGTATATTAGAATAAACGATTTAATTTTAAAATAACTAAATTTTTGCCACATTATCTAAGTGTGGTGAACATCTTGTTACATGGGAAAAAAATTCATAAAAGTTATAATTATGGAATCTAGAGTACTAAATAAATTTCGTTAGAGCAGATAATGATGCAGTATAAAAAAAATGATATCTTTAATTAATATTCAATAATATATGGCAATATGTATAATCTTAAGACATAAATATAAATTAATAAAAAACATTAAAATAAAATATATATATACTTTTAATTGAAAATAATTGAACTGAATGATTATAATCTTGGTTTTTCTAAAGATTCTTGATAAATTTAGGATTTATCTGTTTTAAATTATCAAAGTCCTTAGTATTAATAAAATAAAGGAGCTATTACCGTTTCATAATATTTTTCGAATCTATTAATTACTTGAATTTTGTAAATAATATGTGATATAAAATTCTTAATAGTAAATTGCTGCGGGACTGATGTATAAGCAATATCTATGATCTTACTTATTTATTCTGAATTTCCTTAATATCTTTGTAAGTTAAATTATATTCTTTCAAAAACATAAAACAGATTGGCGTAATTGATTACACTCCATTTATGGTTCAATTTCTATTGCTTTAAGAGATGGATTAATATTTTATGATCACATTTATTCTAAAATTAAACTAGGCTCATTTATTTATGTTTATCTTAAATACTGAGTTTGATTTATTGATGAGATTAATTTCATACTTAAATAAAAGTATAGAAATCTAGTAGGAATAAGAGAATAATAGGAAATCGAATATAATATAGCTCTGAATTCGATAGAAACGAAATAGAGTATTTTTAAATTGAAATTTGCCCTGATTGTATTGCTGGTAAGGTAAAAATTATTTGGCAATAAAAATCACATATAATAATTATTACGATATATATATAATATGACTTTATACACTAAATTCATTCTCTATGTTTTCCTAATTACATATATGCAACTGGTTTATGAACATTGAAGCATTCTGAAAATCTTTCTAGCATTTATTTGCATAGTTTCATATCAACATTTGTATTGGAAATATCCATACATTCCTAGATATTGAGGTATTAATACTTCAATTTTGGGATATTTTTCTTTGCATTTTGCCTCTGCAGCTTCATAAGCTAACAAGTGATTATTAGGCTTTAATTTAGAAGTATTGCTCATTAATAATGAAAATATTAATTACTCTGATAGTGACATAATCTATATCAACTATCATAGGTTTTACGGAATTTAAGGAACCATAAGAAGTGATAGCATTGGCTTTGGAACTTTTTGGATTGGCAATATTGTTGCTTTTAAGCAGGATGAATTATTCTGAGTTTAGTTAGAGAATACTGCTTTTATGCTTGGCAACGATAATATTTGTATTGATGCCGAATTCTCAGTTTAAATTTTATAGTGGAGTTCATCATATAGTGCTTCGCACATAACAACAAAAGCAATTAAGTAGAGGTTAACTTTTAGAATGGTTGGGTAAAAACTGAATAAATAATGATTTAGTCTTACTTCTGGTCATACTAATATTTGGAACATCTCCGGAGACAGAGCAAATATGTAGAAGTGTTTTTGCAGGAATAGCAATATTGTTAATGGAATGTTTTAAGTACCAAGATTAACTTCAAAAAGAGGCAAATAAACAATAAATAATGATACAATCTAAAATAAACTATACGATGGCCAACAATGATGGGTCGAATCCAAGGAGCATAGGAGAGCGGATAGTGGATCCAAAAGTGACTTCTTTATTTTTGGATGAACAATACAATGTTTTAGACTTGTAGAGATCGAGTGCTGTTTAATAATTGACAGATGGGGAAGTGTAAAATCTACTCTAGGAATTACAAATAAATAAGATTGACTAAAAATCTAAGTAGTTATTGCCTTGGAAGTGCAATAAAATTTAATTAAAGTATTTTTTAGACTCAGTTAAAAATAATGCCATCCCAATGGTTATATAAGTTATTGACTACACTCACCCTAAGATAGAGAATCATATAATTAAAATCATATACTAGAATGACTTCGAAATTCAATTTTATGATGTTGAAGAAATAGATAAATATAAAAAGAGAAGTTATATTTATGCAATTTTAAAATAATTATTTAATACGATGTCACATGAATTTGGAACATCTCTGAATTATTTACTGGCTTTATCCTAAGTAGCAATAGATAAATATAACGATGTAGAGTTATTATCTTACTTTTAACCTATTAAAGCTACAGGAATGATAATGTACCATTTCGTGTTAGACATGATTGATTTTAATGCTCTATTGGGAAAGAAGTTAGAACTATAATTTGAAAAAATAGATGTAAGTTATTTCTGATAATATTAAAGATTGTTGAAATTCTCGATGAAATTAAAGATATTTTTTCTCATTCTTTATAATAAAAAGGATTAACAATAAGTTCTGAAATATTTCTTAATGAAAAAACTATCTTCACTGATCGAAGAAGACTAAAATAAATCTTAATAACCTTAGTTTCAAATGCTCAAAAATTTACTTTCAAAGGTGGTATTCGCGTGGTAGTTAAATAAATTGACGAGTTTGTCCAATTCGAAGTAATTGACACAGGAGTTGGACTTACAACATCTGAATTGGAAACTTTAACAGAAATACTTAAAACTGACTCTAAAAATGAAAAAAAAATATCTAAAAATACAGCTGGATTTGGTTTGGGAAGTTATCTATGTAATAAAATTTCAATGAGTCTTGCTAATCTAAAATACGAAGAAGGAGGGGGAATTAGATATTCAAACAATCAAGATGAGAGTGGTACCAAGGTAACATTCAAGATCCTTAATGAATAATTGAATATCAATTATAATTTGGTTTCTGCTTAAGATAACTCGAGTGGAATATTAAAAATAGGGAAAAATGTGATAGTGGATTTAAAATAATCATAAATTGAATTAAGTTTTAGTGGTCTCAAGAAACCATTGACTAAAAGATTTAGTACTATAATGGTACCAAAAGTAAAAAGCTTTCACGAAGATTAGCATAGAGAGCATTCATATTTCAAATAACCTACAAAAGACTGTTTTTTAGGAATGTAAATGTAGTACACAAAAATAGATTCAGATAGTGTGAACGAAGAAATTAATGAAGAAGATTATCAAAAAAGATTATAAATTCAAAATTTGAAAATTAATTTTAATCCTAGTGACATACTTCGTGAACTCAAATAAAAATCAGTTGGAGTAAGTGAAGCTTATGTTCCTGAATGCTAATGTAAGTCCATCCTAATTGTTGATGATGAAATGATTAATATTTTGGGATTGTCTTTGATGTTGAAGTCTATCAATATGAATTTTGAAGCTGATCATGCCTTTAATGGATTGGAAGCAATCAAAAAGTTAGAATAAGGTATTTTTTAATTTTTATTTTTCAAGCTCATTGTTTGTATAGTTTAATTTTTATGGATATCAATATGCCAATTATGGATGGTTATGTGACAACAAAAGCAGTTTTAAATAAATACAAAGCTGGTTCACCTAAAATCATTGCCTGTACTGCATTTACTGATAGTCAAACTAGATAAGGATGTTATGAAGTGGGTATGTCGCATTTCATAAACAAGCCTGTAGATAAAACTGAACTGCAAAAATTGCTGTCTTATTTAATAAAATGATCTTTAGTATAATATATTTTATAATTTTCATTACTCTCTTATTCTTGACTTTAGTTCGCATGTGGCCAAAGCAACACTGAAAGCTGTCACAAAATTTATAGGTGCCCTAAAATCCACTATGAACACTCCTGTTTAGATCTTACCCATTTTAAGGACCTATTTCTTCTCCTCATTGCAGTGCAAACCTAACAAAAAATTCCTTTTGCTTGCTTTTTCCATTCTTTCTGAATCCTGCATATGCCACTGTCTATTCTTCGAATTATAGATTGGGGGAATAGTTGAAATGTAATCACAACCCTATGGATAGTAATCTGCATCAAACAGTATAGGCACCGTCTTTATTTTTCCATTAGTAATCAACAAACGCATTCGATTATATGATTCAGTATAATTATTACAATGGATTATCTTGACCACGGAAATCAATTAATTAGGTTTCTTCCAAAGACTAAAAACATCATCTTCAATTTTCAAGGTCCATTCGAAATTCTCTTTATCAAATTATGAATCTGATGGATCTCTTGTGTAAATTTGCCAAGTAGTTTTGTACTTTTTTGCATACATGTAAATTGAGTAATCTTCCTTAAAAATCATGCATTCATCATTTTTTTTATTATACTTATGAAATTGGCAATATTGAAGCTCTGAAGGTATTTCAGAGTATAAACTCATATTTTACCCGAATCCTTATTCAATTAAATCCATTAAATCTAACTTTGGCATTTTCCGAGTCTACAGTGGTAAAGGCAGCATTATAATTTATTATAAAAATTTAATAATTGACCAACATAAAAATTATTCCCTTTCATATATTTTTCTGTTTTGTGCCAATCCTTGCCACTAAACTCCCAGTTTTGACGAAGGAGTGAATCCATAAGTTTTCTTACTTTGAATATTGAATTATGGTTTAAATTAAATTATATCAAAATATGGGAGGTCTTTATTATTTAAATTTGTGATTTTCAAAAATGATGAATTCCCCCATTTACAATCTAAAAATTAAACTTTAATTACATATATTTCACAATCAAATACTCCGCAGAGTAGGCTATAATATTTTTTATTTTTCAATAATATTAAAGGTATATCTGAGGTTGTGGATGTTTAGAGTATTGAGCATAAAATCTAATCTGCAGTTCGATTTCACATATTTTAAAGGGTGTCTCAGGAAATTCAGGACAAGTTTATTGTCTAGCATTGTTATTAAATATTCCTTTTCAACCAATCATATTCAAGTATATCAGATTTAAAACCCCCCTCATAATACAAATTCAAAATTAAATAAAAATATAAATAATAATGGCAAGAACAAAGTAAACTGCAAGAAAGAGCACTGCTGGTAACAAGAAACCAACCAAGCATTTGGCCACCAAGGCTGCAAGAAAAACAGCCCCAGCTGTCGGAGCTACCGGAGGTTTAAAGAAACCCCACAAATTCAGACCAGGAACAGTTGCTTTGAGAGAAATCAGAAAATATCAAAAATCAACTGAGCTTTTGATCAGAAAACTCCCATTCTAAAGATTAGTCAGAGAAATTGCACACGAATTCTAAAAGGAACTCAGATTCTAAAGCTCAGCTGTCTTGGCACTCTAAGAAGCTGCTGAAGCATACCTTGTTGGATTATTTGAAGACACCAACTTATGCGCTATTCACGCTAGAAGAGTTACAATCATGTCAAGAGATATCTAATTAGCCAGAAGAATTAGAGGTGAAAGATTCTGATTAATGAATCCTTATAAATTCAATTAAATTAGTAATTATAACAAAAAAAAATTGTGTATTTTTCAACCAAATGCATCTCTCGATTTAATAAAGGAGAGATAAAAAGTAATAATACTTTATTCTATTTCATTTTTTAATATATTCTATGTATATTAAATGTAAAACCTATTTGAAATTTCAATAGAATCTTAATAATGTGAATCATCTTTTTAGCATCAAGCTATGATTAAAACCATTAATTTCTCAGTCTTAATCATCATGCTGAAATTCAATTCTCTTTTGAATTTAATTCCTACGTATTTATAAATAGAATTGAAAAATAATGATCTAATTGTATTAATAATTAAAATCGAAAAGTAGACAGAAGCTAAATTAATTTCTGATAGTATTAATAAATTTATAATTTAAGTGTTAAAATAACTAATGTAAGAATTAATCAAATTTGCTATGTATGATCTATTTATTAGAAATGGGATTAAATGACAATAAAATTACAATAGCGAAAGTAATATTTATAATAATAAATTGAAATTTGGACAAGTTGAAAGAGACGTATAAATGTATTCGATGTCAATATCTTTATTTCTTTTTCAATTTCAAACCAGCTGTAATAGAAACCTTATTATTTTTATGCCAGGAGTTGGTTAGTTTTACTAATTGTGTATATATTTGATCAAATGTAGTCATGGTATTGTCTACCCACTAAAGTATTATTATAAATATGAATACTTCAATTTATTTTTCAAATAAATCTTTCATTTCTTCTCGTTTATATGTTGGATATATTAAAGGCTCAAGAGTAGTTTTCAAAAAGGTCTTTTCCTGTGTAGTCTTTGGGTCAGGTATTATCTTTAAATTATTTCAGTTAATATATACCTTGAGAGGACCTTGAGGTCGAGGATTAATTTTCAAGTCATTACTCAAGTGATTCTGGTTATTCTCCAATATCTTTATTTCTCTAAACTCTCCAACTACTAATTCTTATAAAACTGAGACAATGATTAGAGAATTAGATTCTAAAATTGAACTTTTACTGATATTGGTCACTCCTAAAGTCCATGGTGCATATAATATTGTGAATCCCAACAATCTAATCATAATGAAAAATGCCAGGACCATTTTTTATTATGGACCCTTGATATTCTTAATGGCTCCAAAGGAATTAAATTCTAATCTTTAAACTTCAAAGTTAAAAAAATATTAATCTGGAGGGAATTAGAAATTTTAAGTAAGTTAGGTTAGGAATGAGAAAAACTCTGGTTTAAAACTGGATTCTCTCATATTATCAGATAAAATAATGGAGATCTTTTGAATGAAAATTTTGACTTTATTAATCCTGTTTGCCTTTTCCTTATCAGATAGTTAATCGTTCTCCAACCAGTTTAATGATTCTTTTTTGCTCCAAAATTAATTTAAATCATTTTCAGCAAAGTTAAGTATCCAATCAGCCCCTTCTTACATTGCTTAATTAACTAGTTCTAAACTGTTCTCTTTATTTGCCTAGAGCTTCTTTCTTTTTAAAATTTATCTCTTCATCCCTAAGAAATACATAAGAATAAATGTCAAAGCCTTCAAGATGATTTTTAAGTTCCTCTTTCCTCTTTTCCTTGATTTTGTTTAATGAATCTCAGGTTTTTTAGTTAAATTTGTTTACTGCTATTCTGGTTTCTTGGAAGCAACAGTTTATTGGAATTCAGGCTTCTTATTAAAAATGGTTTTTGGTTAATCTACTTCTTCTTCGATTGAGGGGAGATTTTAGGTATGCTTTTGTTTTTCTCCTTCTAAAGACTTTAAGGAATGAGAACTCTTCTTTTAGGAATGCTTTTTTTCAACAGGTGGTTTTTCTTCTTCATAATACTGGTATTAATGTTATTAATTTGATTAATGTTGTTAATGTTTCCTTTTATGATATTTCTCTTTATCACTATAACTAGGTCTTTTATGTTGAGTTTCTTAAACGTATTCGTATTCACTTGATTGCTGTGATACTTTTTGTCTCTATTCTTCTTCAAAATTCCATTAATTTAATATTTCATTCCTTATCCTGATATTTTCTTCTAATTGTTGTTTTGATTGCAAATTTAAACCATTGTGATCTTCAATAATTTCATCGGGTTAATTATAATTATAAAACCTGTTCTTTTGGACTGGTTAGAATAGACTCTAACTTAAATACTGAGGACCCTAAAAAACAGGGGAATTCTTATATATTGGACCTGCAATAAATATAGGCTGCACATGAGGAGTAAACACTTATGAGGAGAACATTTTGTTGTATTGATAATTATCATAGTATTATTATTGCATCAAAACTGGGTAATCTGGTTTTGGATATCCAATGTTTCCGTAGAAGTCTATGCTTTACATCCCAGCAGTCTTAAATGGATTCTATTGAGCTTGGTTAGGATAATAATTGGGACTGGAGAATTCTCGAAACATAACAATATTATTTTATACAAAAGTATTAATTAATAAAAATTAAAAATGTTCATAAATTACCTTAGTCTGGATTGTTTTTCTTAAGGAACTCCTTGGGGATTCTATCACTCGTAGTCTAAGGATAATTCAGATTATCTAAATACCAAAGTTTAAAATTAGTCCAACACCCTTTCAATAGGACTAAAGACCACATTAGCCACTTTTAATCCAATACCCTCAGTCATTGTGGAACACATTTCAATGGGTTTCTTGGCCAAATACACTATTTCATCTCCAAGTGCCTTAGCCAATGGAATGGATCCTGAACACACTCCTGTCACTATTCCTTGTCTTATTATTGTCATAAACATAGTTTGGATTCTAAAATACTATTATATTGCTACCCCAGCACTATATTGGTTACGTTTTGGAAGGCTTTAAAGGAAAGAATCAATTTAGAAATTAATTGTGAATCATTCCTTATGAGATGTTGGTATTATTCAAACATAAACTTGATGAGATCCCTTTCATTCTCAAATACCAAATTATGAATTTGAGCTCTCTTCAAAAATATAAATAAACTGTCATAAGAAGCCAAACGAACTAGCCCTTTCAATTTTCCGTCCAATTTAACGCCACTCCCGTCGAATGTTATGTAACAATAGATTCGCTCAATATTCAAAAAGTTGACCTTAATTGATTTTTCTACATAAATTTATATTAGTACTTAACTCACTGATTCTAGAGAATGTCACTTAATAGCCTTCCTGCACGCAGAATTCAATAATGGACTCTTTGTCATTTCCTACATTTAATTTACTCAGCAAATCAATCTTCGGACTCAATTGTTCATTGCTGTTCATAGTTTCCTATAAAAACTCTAATGCAGCTCCAGAGACACATACTCTTATGGGAACAAATTTAGCTTCGATATCAATAGTATTATTTCTTTTATCAACCTAGTAGAAGACATATGCAAAATTCTATTCATCATGATTAGGTTCTTTACCAATCAATTTAGAAAATTTGGAATTCTAGATCCTATCTGCAATTTACAAATTCAATAAGGTCAAATAAAATTGATTGATTTCTTTTTAGGAAGGTCCACAACATACTAATTTCAATTCTTTCATACTAAATAGAATGGAACTGCATTATTGATCATTTACTTGTGGAAACTCTTCTAATTGTAATAAATTTGAGTGTTCAAGGTAGTATTGTTCTTAATTATGCAACTAACATTCGGTGTTAATAGGATTATTGTCACTGAACACTTCAGGGGGAAAGTGTTAACCAACAGTCAATTTGATTTCAAAACTCTTGAGTATAATCTCGAATTGTTTTTCATTAGGCACATTTTCTTTAGTTGGTAGTTCAATTTCATCATCCTCAAAAATATTCATATTCTCAGCAGGATTGTACTCATGCCCATCCTGCAGAATCCTAATCTGTCTATCATTTTCTTATTCAGGAATAATCTTCTTTATCCTGTCTATAGTCATCGATGTAATATCCCATAAACTAATGATCGAATCCTTTTTGAGATTCCCGCTTATTTGACCAATATTAATGGTTTTGCCTGAGACTGTGACTCCTTTGATCTTGAATAACTTCTAAAAGCAAAGAAGTCTCAACAACCCTTGTTCATCCTTGTCTATTTGGAACCCATCAGAGAACTTTCTATTTTCATTGAAGAGTCCAATCTGAGGAGGCACCAATAGAATGGGATTTAAGAAGCTCAAATTAGCATGTTTTATTTCTTTGGATGTACTTTTGACGTATATTTATGCAGAACTCAAATGGGCTTGTAGATCACTTGATAGTGTAGCACTCTTGATTCTGAGGAGAACTCTGATCCAAGAGTAATATAACTACTCAGATTATATAGCAATTAAGGATTTGATTGGTTCTTTTTTCTATAAGTACTATTTCAACAAAATAGACTTCCTGTATGTTGGTAAGTAATTCAGCCAGATATTTTGAACACTCAATGTAAAATTGGGGATGGGTTTAGATTGAGTTTTATTGCTCTTATTTAGGATTAAAGTTTATTCCCATTTCTTAGCTAAATCTATGATTGTCGTGACAGTGTCAATCCATTATTCATCTATTTGGATGATGCCATGTTGGTATTGAATATCAATTTTCTTATCTTTATTGATTTTGATTGAAAGCAAATTAGTATTCCCAATCAAAACATCCAAGCAATCTGGATTTATGTACTTATTAGCCTTCAATTTGACAGTCGTATATTAAAAGGCCATATTTGGTTCTGATTTTATAATTTCATTTTGCACAAGACTTTTGAAACCTTCCCTATTGAAACGCTCTTATTTATAAAATAAAACTTAGTTGGCTTAATACTTTTATCTTCTAAAATGCAATATTTAAAGAGGCTAATCTGTTTTTGCATCGTTGGGACTGCCATATATCGGGATATCTTGTTTTGGTTTCTTGGAATTCCAATTGGTATCAATGATCAGACAATTATATAATGTAAGCAAGATCTCATCTTTGCCTATAATTTCTGCAGCCAACTTAGATGCATGTATAATAAATCTTGCTTAATGGGAATTAGCTTGTTATTCCAAATTGATTTTGACAATTATCTCATCGAAGAGCAACTTGATGATTTATTTATTCTCTTTTGATTCCTTACTCAGGGCCAACAATCTCTTCTGAAAATCCTTAATGACTGTAAATAGTGTCTTTACATATTCCATGTAAGACATATTCACGAAAATCTCAACCTTAGGTATTGCCACTCTGACTTCCTTTGTTTCCATAAGTTTAATTATCGGTCTGATTAAAATCTAGGCATGATCTTGCGCTCCTATTTCAGCTATGGTTTCCTCTAGAAAAATTGATTTGATTCGATCGTACTCCTTCTTCAAACAAGTGATTGAATTAAAAGTAATGAACCCAGAACTGGACTATTGTATTTGGAGATCAATGACATTGAAAGTGAAGAAAGAAATCTTCTATTATTAGTGTATCACACTGCTGCTGTTAGGATCGTTCTTTATGATTTATTATAAATAATAGAAATCGACGTAATCCACTTCTTGTATTTGGACATCAAATTGAATTTGATGGATTGTAATGAGATTTAAATTGGGGATACTCTTGATTTGCTTCTTCTCATAATCGATTTTTAATATTTACACAAATTCCAAGATTTCGTCAATATTTACATTAATGTCAATCTGTTTGATAGAGATTGCCTAAGAATTATTAAGATGATGCATCTATATCTATAGACCATTTCCATAGGAGATAATCTTAGAATTTGAATATATGAATTGGTTGTCTACTTTTGTGATTAATTGTTTCTCTTCCTTTGTGCCACTATAGATGCTAATCAAACACTTCTTCTTATAATAATAACTGCCTTAGTCCTTTTACAATTCATTCTTCTTCTATGTTATCTTCTCTAAGACATCATTCTAACTCAAATTGTAACAAGAATGGAACATTTGGCTTTCTTGAGTTTACGAGTTATTGGAATAATCCTCCTTGATACTCTAAAATATTTCTTGACTTTCATCCTCCTTCTCCTGCTCATTTACTGGATTTTCAGGGAATAGTCTACAATACTCATAATGAAAGACTTAAATAGTTGGAATCTCAATTCTCGTTTACTTGACAGATGTAATCTACTATTAATTGATTTCCTTGGTCATCAACCAATTCAGTTAATCTAATTCTAATTCGTAATAATTGGTCTTCTTTAACTTATCTACATTCCACTTATCTATTATGTCATCCTTTGACAATCTCACTCTTACTTTCTAGACTTTCAATTTAAATATTAATTAGCCCTCATCCAATTCTTCTAATCCTTACTTGTCATCTTCATCATTGATCAATTCCTTAAATACTGACATCGAGAAAATGGATTGTTTTAATGTGCTTTGATTTAAATCACCAAAATTCGATTAATTTAGAACCGATTAATTCAATCCTTCTATCTGAGACTCCTCAAATTGTTCTTCCCCTTCTTCTTCATTGAATTAACTCTTCTCTAAAGCTTATTCTAAATCCTCATTGAATTCAACCATGTCCTCCTCACTCAATGACTTGCTCTCTACATCGTCCTGTTTAGGTTCTCCCATCTGATCACAATAATTCAAGTGTATTTAAGATTCACACCACGTAAATTAAAACTGTGGAATCTCCTGTCTTATAGATTCTATGATTATTTTGTCTTGAGATTGGATGAATTTGTTATGATCCAAAATACTCAGAATCATTCGTATTGCTATCTGGAATTACTTATAATTGAAGTTCATTTGCATCAATCTTATACATAGGGTACTATTGAATTTTAGCCTTTCCTTCAATTCCGTCTTTAAATGGATAACCACATGTTAATCGTACTTGTTGGTGTATTGCTACTATAAACTAAAAATGCAAGATTCCTTCTAAAAGTTGTGTACATCAAACAACTAGTTCTTTTCGTTGATATGAAGTGAACACCCACCAATTATCATCGTACTGACCATTTAATCCTTTTCCTCCTGCAGTTTCCTCACTCTCATACTGATCTAATTTATTGCCAAAGAGAGCTTGTCCTTGTGGATTGGCTCAACTATATGCAAAACCAGTTTATTAACTGTGAATGTTATTTTCTATAAAAACTATCTAATTATGTTCCAGGCATTCTAATTCACATTGTTCGAGGTCTCGCTCTTGACCTTATAGGCTTTAATGATTTCATCCTTGATCTTCTACAGTTTATCAGCTGTCATCTTTTGCCTCGTGTAGGTTTGCACAAACAACCGATATTATTCTAATGTCTTGAAATTCAAGGTCAATTCCACCTCCTCTATCACACATGTTAATTTGTGTAGATCCAATTTTAAAAGAGATATCGATCCAGATTCCAACACAAAGGGAATGCTCGGTGCCATTTGTTAGTTTAGAGAACCAACCTTCAGAGTCAACTTTTTCAACCCCATAGACGTGAATTATTCCTTCTTTATCTCCTCATTAAAGAAATTTCCCATGTATTTTTTAAAAATAGCATTCAACCAGGGAATTAGTAAATTAAACGGATTAGTATAGTCTCTAACTTTGTTATACTAAAATTTTATTGTTTCATTATTACCACACTTTACTATATATTTTTTAGCATCTTGATATCCTATAGAAATTGTCTATTTATAATATTTAATAATATAATTTGCTTAACCTTATAAAAGTGCTTTAAATAAATCAGAAGCAAAAACACTTATTAAAATCTAAAATAGTAGAAGAAACTGATTCCATAGAAGATGCTTTAGCATACTAGACTGGATGTTGTGAATTCATTCACCTGAATTTAAGCTTCTAATGAATAAGATTTATGAATTTATAATACAGATATAAAATATGAATAATTAGATAATATAGCTGTTTGGTTTGTTGGGGTATGGTTTAAGAATTCTATTATAAAGATATTTAGACTAATTAAATAATTGCAATCTATTTTATATTTGAAAAGTATTTGCAAAATTTGAGAACAAGAATTTTTCTAGGAATGCTCAAAAATGAGTATAAGAAGTACTTGCATCATCTTTACAATAAAAAGATAATGAGTAGAATTATAGATGTTTAACTGGGATTATTTAACCAAATGAATGGGCTCTTTAGAGATTAACAAAGAGTTGAAAAAAAGTTAATATCACCTTAGTGAACACGACTTGGATATCAATTAACAAGAATAATATTAAATAATCAAACTCATATCATAGTGCATTAGTTATTTCCAGAGATACAATATTAAATTTCTAATCAATTAATAAATCTGGAAAGTTTTCAGTACAACTGAGATTGATTTAAAGCAACAAAGTACCTTAAACTTAAACTTGAAAAGATAATAGTTATACACATAACAAATAAGTTTTTATTTCTAATGTTGATATTTAATCAAAGAATCTCACTCCTGGATGTTTATTAAATCAGCCATCCAAAATTGATTAATTAAGATGGTTCAATAATCCTAAATGATTTTTTTGTCACTATTTGACATGATTTTAATATAAATCACACTTAAAATTTCAACAGCTAGAAATAGTCAGAAATTATCAAACATTCTAAAGAACTTAGAAGTTTAATATCAAGTATAGAGGCTGAAAAAAATGTTAGAATAAGAAAAACAAAGGCAATACGCTTTTCTCCTTGCCTTAAATCTTAATAATAAGGATAATTTAAACAGGTATTAAGGACAATTATTGCGATTATAAAGATGGAAACTTTAATAAAATAATAAGGCGGCAGAATGAATCAAGATTTAAGGATCATTAGATTTAATTAATTAATACTTATGATAGAAGTTTAAAGTTAAACTGATACTGAATACAATGTCCACTAAGAATCTGAAATAAAAATGGATTAATAAATTTTCAAAAAAATATGTTTTTTCTTTCATTTACACTTTAGTGCCATCATAGATTATTGTAGAATTCGTTCTTGTTCCTCTTTATCCTAATTGAGCCTGCATTCTGTAATGAAAAAGTAGGACTCTTCAGGTGAGAATTTGAATAATCTTCCTTGCATTAAAACCGTTCTTGTGCTAAAGAAAACAGCTTTACGAATAATGCATCTATATTGTCCTCAGCTTCTATTATTTATTCTAACTTTTTAGGCTTTCTTTTACTTTTTCATCTGATTCTCTCCAATGTTACTAAAACTGCAAGCCGTCCCAGTTTTATTAATTTAGTTAAATTGATTCGAAGTTGTGAATAAAACAGAATATTCTTGATTAATTAAGTTTCCTACAAATAAGTTAAATCCCATGTAATGATCATTGTTTAATAATGCTTAAATTAAACTACAGTTAGTAAAATAAGTATCTATTTGGGTTTACTTATCATATCTGCCATTCAAATGCTAATCTTAGAGTTGATATTCAAATTTTTGAGTTTGTTCAATCGTTTATTTTTTAATAAATCAATGATTAACTAACCTCTTGATCTAAGAGTGTAATACAAGTATTTCATGAGTCTATGATGATAAGACCTCATCAGTACATTATTAAATGATTTCTGATGTGATGGATTTTAATATTAGTTTTGATATCGAAATGGATTAAAATTAAATTGTTTAATAGTTTTTTCCCTCATACTTTTTTTTTTAAATTATCTTCATACATTTCAGCCGAAGGATTCAGATAATCAAATACAGGTCGTTTACTAGTATCTATCGTATCATTACCAATACAAATTTAGATTATTTGATTACTTTAATTATTATATATTTATAAGAGAACCAGATGTCAAAGCTTTTCTCTTTTAAACATAAACCATAAGAATAATTTTACAAAATAATGATAAAATAGGAATGAAATATCTAAAAATATTATCAATAATAATTTAATAATTATCTTTCAATATAATCTACCTAGTTTTAAAACTCTCCAATGTCAGAATCATAGTTTTGAATATTTTTATTATAAGTCTCCTTCCAATCACCTCCAATTACTGCCNTAGAAGTTTAATATCAAGTATAGAGGCTGAAAAAAATGTTAGAATAAGAAAAACAAAGGCAATACGCTTTTCTCCTTGCCTTAAATCTTAATAATAAGGATAATTTAAACAGGTATTAAGGACAATTATTGCGATTATAAAGATGGAAACTTTAATAAAATAATAAGGCGGCAGAATGAATCAAGATTTAAGGATCATTAGATTTAATTAATTAATACTTATGATAGAAGTTTAAAGTTAAACTGATACTGAATACAATGTCCACTAAGAATCTGAAATAAAAATGGATTAATAAATTTTCAAAAAAATATGTTTTTTCTTTCATTTACACTTTAGTGCCATCATAGATTATTGTAGAATTCGTTCTTGTTCCTCTTTATCCTAATTGAGCCTGCATTCTGTAATGAAAAAGTAGGACTCTTCAGGTGAGAATTTGAATAATCTTCCTTGCATTAAAACCGTTCTTGTGCTAAAGAAAACAGCTTTACGAATAATGCATCTATATTGTCCTCAGCTTCTATTATTTATTCTAACTTTTTAGGCTTTCTTTTACTTTTTCATCTGATTCTCTCCAATGTTACTAAAACTGCAAGCCGTCCCAGTTTTATTAATTTAGTTAAATTGATTCGAAGTTGTGAATAAAACAGAATATTCTTGATTAATTAAGTTTCCTACAAATAAGTTAAATCCCATGTAATGATCATTGTTTAATAATGCTTAAATTAAACTACAGTTAGTAAAATAAGTATCTATTTGGGTTTACTTATCATATCTGCCATTCAAATGCTAATCTTAGAGTTGATATTCAAATTTTTGAGTTTGTTCAATCGTTTATTTTTTAATAAATCAATGATTAACTAACCTCTTGATCTAAGAGTGTAATACAAGTATTTCATGAGTCTATGATGATAAGACCTCATCAGTACATTATTAAATGATTTCTGATGTGATGGATTTTAATATTAGTTTTGATATCGAAATGGATTAAAATTAAATTGTTTAATAGTTTTTTCCCTCATACTTTTTTTTTTAAATTATCTTCATACATTTCAGCCGAAGGATTCAGATAATCAAATACAGGTCGTTTACTAGTATCTATCGTATCATTACCAATACAAATTTAGATTATTTGATTACTTTAATTATTATATATTTATAAGAGAACCAGATGTCAAAGCTTTTCTCTTTTAAACATAAACCATAAGAATAATTTTACAAAATAATGATAAAATAGGAATGAAATATCTAAAAATATTATCAATAATAATTTAATAATTATCTTTCAATATAATCTACCTAGTTTTAAAACTCTCCAATGTCAGAATCATAGTTTTGAATATTTTTATTATAAGTCTCCTTCCAATCACCTCCAATTACTGCCATAAATACCCCTGATTACGATTCAATGTATTTTGCCTTCTATTATTTTTTTTAAAGTAGTTATTTCTTGTAATTCTCAAGTTTACATATATATGAATTTTTTTCTTGTTATCTTTACCTTTGCTATTCTTACTGCTATTTTATTCTTTATTCCTCCTATTGCTATTTTATTCTTTGTTCTTGCATTTATCGTTCAGTCTCTTCTTTTTTTCGCTGCTATTCAAGCTCTCTTGCTTTTTTTTCCTTTAATTCTTGTTCCATTTTCTACTACTATTTCTTTCTCTCCTCCTCTTTTCTTTGCTCTTCTTCCCTTCTTTGCTGTATTTCCTCTCTCCTTCTTCTCTGTTCCTCTGCTTAATCTCTCCTTAATTATTCCATGTATTATCTATGTTTACGATTCTCTTCCTCTTTTTGTCTTCTATATCTCTCCTCCTCATCATTTATTCTTTGAATCTCTGCCTAAATTTCCTAAATAATGCTCTCAACTGTCTGCTTTACTTCTAAAATGTTTTCTTAGAATGCTTAAAATCCTTCTATGTTTGCCTAATATTTGAAGAAGAATCTAAAAATTTATAAAAATTTGGCTGTTGAGTCCTCATTTTAGATATTCAGTAAAATATGTTTACTCATCCATTCTAATACACATTGCTAATCTTTATATTTAATTTATCCAATTTGTTTAAGTATTTCTTATAAAGTATTGTTAAACTGGTTGGTTGTGTTATTCTTCTTGGCATCATCTTTCTATTTACTTAGGCTTTTTCTAAATTAGAAAAACAATTGATTTAATGTATTTGCAATATAGTTGCTGACGATTTAATCCTAATCCACCTTATCAGGTTGATATGTGATTGGTTTTATTTATTTCAATAAATCAAATAGTGATTTTCTTTACTCATCATTGAATATAAGATTGGATAAAGTAGGTTTCCTTACTATTATAATATTTTGCTATAAAGCTCTATAGACATCCTTGTTTTCTTCTTGTGTTTAATGTATTTCCTCTAATTGCTTTTTGATAAAACCTTTTGCGATTTCATCATCTTTAAATTTCTTATCCCCAAATTTATTTATAATGTAACCAATGGACTCAAACTTTGTGTCTTTTGAGGTAAATGTATTTTAAACAAGTTCTAATATTCTTGCACCTCTCTGAGGAATTTTACCTTATGGTTGCTCAGTTACAACAACTAATTTAACCTCAGTACTTGTGACTACTTCATTAAACATTAATTGAATTGCTAGCTAATTTTTAGCACCTTAAGTATCTTTGAATCCTGGAAAATCAATCAACATATACTCTTCATCAATCATATTGAAATTAGGTTCAAATGTTATTGATTCCATGGAGTCCCCTTATTTTGAGTAATTTTTTCCTTGTTCCTCAATTAATGTTAATTTCTCGTCTTCATACTTAAACTTGGCTCCACTTAGCCAATTAAAGATAGTACTCTTTCCAGATCCTGTGTTTCCAAGCAGTAATATTGTTTTACGCTTGTCACCTTTTTTTTCATAAATTTGTTTAAACATTTTATCTAAACTGGCTATTACTTCAAGGATGAGAGAAATACTATGATTTTGGTTCATTTTTTGCAAATTATTTAAATCAATTACTATGAAAAATTTATATATTATTTAAATACATTAAATAATTCTATTAAAAATTCATATTAGAAATTAATTTTTAATAGAAAAAGGAGCTGTTTATAAAGTAAATTTTTGCTTCTCATCTAAAGGAATATTTAATTTATGTAGTAATTTAGTCTCAATCAATTATATTAAGTTGTTTTAGATTAAGAAACTGCGTTAAAGAAAATTAATGAAAATGTTAATAAAAAGTTAAATACTATACTTTTAATTGGTGACACAGGCTCAGGGAAAAGTTTTATTTTTAATTGGATTAGTGGAGCACAATTTGAATATGAAGATTTTGAATTAAAATTGAAATCGGGCGGAGAGTAGAAATTTTCAGCTTAAAGTAACTCTATGTAATCTGTTACTTATATACCAAATTTTAATAAGATGGATGATGATTATGTAATGATAGATTTTCCCGGTTTTAAAGATACAAAAGGAAAATATTCTTAATTATCAATTAAATTAATGTTTGATGAAATTGTAACAAAAACAAATGTTAAAATCGTCGTTGTTTTACCATAAAATAGTACAAAGTTAGAAGAAAGAGGTGCTCATATTTCAGAACTTATAAAATCAGCTTTCACATCATAGAACACAAAATTTGATTCAATTGGCTTGATAATAAATTAATTTTAAGATTATCCAGAGAATTAACCAAAAGATGAATAAGTAATTATTAAAAAGATCCAAGAACAACTTTAAAAGAAAGCAGAAAAAGACAAAGATTAGGCTAATATCTATATGGCACTTTCAAAATAAATAATCGTAATTGATGATATTGATGAGGAAAATATAAATTCTGTTCTTTCAGATAGTTCCAGAGACTCTGTGATTGCTAGACTTAAAACTATTTAAGCTATTTCATATAAACCAGATTATTAAGATGAGAATTAAGTTGTTGGCTCATATATTACTTAAGAAATAAAAAAATCAATTCAATCTTATTCTAAGATGCTATAAAAAAAGAAAGAGGATGCAAAATCAAATGGATTATAATAGTGTTTAGATAGTTTGAAAAGTGAGATCAAATAAATTGATGAAATGTCAAAGGATGATTGTAATGCCTAAACAGAATGGCTTAAAAAACTAATATCATAATTGGAATAAAGCAAAGATAAAAAGGAATCTTAAGAAAAGTTTTTTTCAATTTTTCAATACTTTTTCAAATACAAAGAATTTATTTCTGGTTATTAATGCTTTGAAGAATAAAAAAAGCACCTAAAAAAGAATATAAAGTAATTTATTATTGAATTAGAAGAAGAATAAAAAAGAAAAAAGGAAAAACAATAAGAGGAAGAAAAAAGATTAGCGGAGATTCAGTCTAAGAATGAGAGAGAAGAAGAAAAGTTGTAACGTCGAATTGAGTAATAAAACTCATAATTTGAAAAGAACCTCATGTCATAATAACTGAAAGAAAAAGACAGCATATTAAAATTAAAAGACGAAGAAATCAAAAAAGCGAATAAAGAAATTGATCTGAAAGTAAAGGAAAATGAGAGAATCTAATAACTTTAAAGTCTAGAATTTCAAAGTATTTAAGCAGAGAAATAGAAAATAACAGATGCAAAGTAATAATTAGAGAAAGAGGAGAAGCAAAAGGAGGAGAAGAAGAACAATTTAAGGGCACAATTATTTAATGCAGAAACAAAAAAAAACAAAAAAACTAAAGAGATGGAAGATTATTTAAATAAATGTAAGAATGATTGGTTTAAACCCAAAGATTATGAGATAGTAATAAAAGAATATTAAGATGAGATTTAAAAGTAAGAAGACCTTATAGAAAGCACAAAAAGTAAATTAATATATGAAAGCTGACTTTGAGAGTATTTTATATTATTAGAATATTGAACAGTTATAAATCATATAGGATCTCATTTTTTTATGGTTAATATTAATTATTATTTTTATATAATAATTTAAAAGGTTGGGAAAAGTTTTTGGGTAGCTCAACCATAGGTTCGCGGTATTTGAATAGTAAAGAGATAATTTTATTGAGAATGAAATAAAATTAAATAACATAGGCATGTTATTATTATTATTAAGTCCACAGAGCATTTCACATAGGATATTTTAATTATAAACATGATTTCTAGTAATTTGATATCATCTGAGGTTAATAATGTCACTTAAACTAATCAATTTCATCATTGAAAATCTAAAACTCGACTAATATAGTGAAATTATTGATCTCTATCAACATTTTTTTTATCAAAAAGTATATTTTAAGATGAGTATAAATAATATTTTCTAATATGGATATAGTATCAGAGAATTTTAATAACTTGGCTTATGCCGATGTTCCATTATACCTTTCAGCAAAATAAGGGACATCAAATAGAAGATAAATTCATATGAAAAAAAAAGTAAATAAATATTACTAAATTACTCATTAATCAAAGTACGATTCATAATTTTCTTAAATACTTATTTAAAATTAGATTATTTTAAATTACTACCAACTCAAAAGCTGTTATCTAAAAACGAAAATTTTTCATTATTTTTATAACGTAGGATATTTTTGCTGTCCAATTAGTTAAATTCCTTGCCTAATAGTTAAGAAACAAATTAAATCGTGTAAAAAATTAATTTATTGTTTTCCTGATGAATAGAATTTGAAAACAAACTTCAGTAAAACTATCTTTAATATCAAAAATAATAAAGAAATTAATTATATGTAAATCAATTTGATATAGAAATTCATTTGCATCATTGTTTAATTAATGGCAATTGAAGTTTTTGTGTTTCCAAGGATGTATTGATTATGGATTATTCTAGTCCTGCTAATTGGGTTTCCTCTTGAGACTGATTGAATGGATATTTTAGAATTTAAGGTAGAATTGATGAAGATTCATCATTTCTTAAAAATTGCTATACTTAATCCTAATTATAAAGATATTATTACTCTAAGTTCTTAATCAGTTAAATTATAAGTCTTAATCTCTTTGATCAATTGTTATAAATCCAATTGTCCTTTATCTCTTTTTAGAACAGTGTCAGATTTTCTGATTTTTTGTATTTCCTTCTCCTAGTGATATTACTAAAATGGAGTCAATTTTGGAGCTGAGATTTGTTTTTATATTTTGTTTTTCTCTATATAAAGTGGTACATCCTCATCTGATGGTTACAACTCAATAGATTCTCCATTGTTCAAAGAAGCAATTTCCTTTTGCAATATATCTAAGGCCTTTTGCATATTGGACAAATGGGAGATGAGATTTGCTCTTTATTCTCTCAATTCATTACAAGATTTCACTAGATTAGTGTTCTCCTTTTAAACTCTAATAATGAGACTGGTTTTATCCTCATCAGCTGCTTTGCTAGTTCTAGTGATTGTGTTGATCTTTTTACTTAAGAAATCCCTCTGTCTCAGCATTTCCTCACGTATGGCAACTTCTGTATTCTTTTCAATTTCAGCATAGATGGAATCTTCATTCATATCACCTTTGTTAATCTTGCCATTAATGAAATGCTACTTATGAACATTTTGCAGCATCTCTTTAAAATTGGTGATTTCAGGATCAGCCAATACTTTGAATATGTTATTCTCTATCTCTTGAACCTCTCCTCTCTTAGAGAACAAGGAATCCCTCTTAATAAGATACTGATTTTTCAACTCTTTGATTTTATTGGAAGTATCTTCTATTAAGTTTTCTAAATTCTTTTCTGCTTCTGCCTCGTCTGTTAACTCTTAGTACATAATTTTGACATTCTAATCTAAATCTTATAGATGTTCTTGAAGGGGTGCTTTTTATTCCTATAAAGATTGCAAACGATATGAATTGACATTCTTAAAATTTTAGAGATGACCATTTTTGTTTCTGTAATTCTTGATTTCCTTTTCTTTCTAAAAGATCTATCTCTCTCTTTCTTTTAATTGATTCTTCTTTTCTTGATTTATCAATTTGAAATTATCTTTTTCTTTGTTAATTAAATCCTTTTAAGTTCTTGTTTCTCTTATCATATTCTCTAATTCCTATTTTCTCAATTGATATCTATCACACTCTTTTTTAAATTTAGTATTACTGGACCTAATCTTTTCACTTTTGTCCAACAATTCCTTCAACTTAATGAGTTTCTTCTCTTTCTACTCATTTATCAATTATTCAAACTCTTTTTCAGTTTCCTTGAACACCTCCAAATACTTCTTTTCATCCAATTCAAATGACTCTTTCGATGATTGAAATCTTGAAAATAAATCATTAAATTTGGTATCCTGATCATTCTTGATATTGGTTCTTATAGATTCTAAATGAGCTTTCTTTTGCTCATATTCCCTTTGATTCTCCTCATTGGTGTATTGTAGCCTCTATTTGACTTCATCATTCTTCTAATACAATTGCAGGAGATCCTTTTCAGTTTTTTCTTAAATTTGATGTGATTCTACCTAATACTTTTTCCTCAAATCAATTAAATCGACATCTAAGTTTTTATTTCTCGTATCCTTGGCTTCCATTATTTATGATAACTCTTCTTTGTACCTGGCAATCTAATGTTAATATTGTTATTCCAATTCCTTTTCTTGCTTTTGGTACTTCTAAGTGATATCCTACTTTTAATCCTCTTGATCACTCTTTTGATTAGAAATCCTGAAATCCAACTCTTTGATGAGGTCCTTCTTCATCTCAATGCTATTCTTACTCACAAAGGCTAGTATACTAAAACTATATAAGTTGGACACGATTAGCCCTTTTGAGTTAACTCTCTGTCCTTTTTACATCTCTTAGGGTGTCATGTCTTTGCCATCGTACCATTCCTTGACCTTGCAAATCTGTATTGAGCCATCCTCAGCTCCAGTGATGAGGAATTGCTGATCGGAAGACATTCTAATTTAGGTAATTGGTCCCTGATGCAACTGGAATTCAAACATTTCCTAATCATTCTTGAATTAAGTGAAAGGCCATAGATACAATCTCACCTTGCCACAATTGGTTCCAAATGCAATCATATCCAGAAATCTGAGGATTTACACACACACATATTGACTTGGATAGATATCCATTTCGTAGTATAGGTTCTACCCCTTCTCATTGAAGATCCTGACCTTGCTATCTGAATAGCTTCCAATAAGGAAATCGTACTCTGTGTCATAAGTCTAACAAAACCCTTTGTGCAGTTTGAATGAATGATCGACCAACCTCGTCTGATTGAACACCATGACTAATCCCTAACTGCAAGTGGAGATGAGAGTGTTGTCACACCATTCCAAGGAAGCAATCACACCCATGTGGCCTGAGATTGTTTGCAGCAATCGATATGTGTAAGGATCATAGATGAGAATTTGGTTCTGAGATCCAACAGCCAGTTGATTGCCTCCAGGAGTGTACTTAACGACGCTGCATTGCTTCAAGGATTCATAATAAACTTATTTGAGTTCGTCATGGAGGACAAAGTAAAACTTGAGACCTTCTCTGTATCCGATTGCACATTAGAATGCCATAGGATGTAAGGCCATGCATTAAGGGACTTCATGTAGAGTGGATGAGTAGAGACACTTGAATTTACCTTCTTCGTAAGTGAATTCCCACACTTTGAACACTCTCTCTTCCGACAACACGCAGATGATGGGTTTGGATGGAGAGGATTCGATATTTAAAATTTTACTTTTGTGGACTCCTTGAGGGAAGAGTTATTCAAAGGGATCTCTGAAGGCGGAGTTGATATAATCAACGAATCCGAGATTGAAGAGATAGATTTCACAATTGATTTCTTCATTTTCAGTTTGTCTGGTCTTGTGTTATGCAGTAATGGAAATGTAGGAGTCATCTTTTCCAACATGGATATAAACGAGTTTTTAGAGATTAGTAATATTTAAAGTGTATTGTTTTCTATATTCGATTATGCCTTTATGTGCTTCATACATTGCTATGATAGGTTTGTTTTCGAATCCAACAACGACTCCTTCTGAGTAGGCAGCAATGACAGTGGGGATCTCATTCAAGTCAGCAGGGATGTTGGCTGAGTTGATTATTTTGTTTTTGCGATAGAAGTACAAGACTCCTTTTTTATTCATGAGGAATATTTTTCTTAAGTTATAAGGTGTATTGATTACTTGTTGGATTGGACTACATGAGTGATCACACCCTCATAATCTAGGAAGACATCATCTAATTGTTTTTCAGTTGGATTGAATTTCCACAATTTCAATACATTGGGTCCGAATGTACCAAATTATTCGAAATCCTTGTAGGTCCCAAATAAGCCAGCATAGTTTTCACCCACGTCGCTGTAGGTAATGAGTTACTCAGTGTTGGTTTTGAATACGCTGATGTAGGAGGTGTCATGAGAGTTGATATTGCAGCAAAGAGTGATGGTATATTTGGCAGTGTGAAGAAAGGCGATGTCCTTGACTTAGGTTCCGAAGGGGAGATGCTGATGGAGGAGAGTGAAGGATTTGTGATTGGTTTTGTAGATTCTTACAGTTGCATAATTTTTGATGCTATTCTTGAGGCCCAGAGCGACGGAGAGTATCATCTTGTCATTGACGCAATGATTCATCACTACAGCCTAAGGATTAGGTGAGTGATTTTTACATCTTCTTCATCCTTGGGTCTCAGGATGAATTGCTGTTTCTTCTTGTTGATATCGTAGAGCACCAGATGATGGCCGTTCAGATAAACGAGTGAGTCTTCTTGGTAAATGAAGGATTGGATTCGTTGCTTCAAACTAGAGGGTGTCCATCATATACACACAAATACCCTATGGAATAATGCAAATTGAGTGTGATGCCATTGTAGATCTTGTTGATTTGATACATCTTCCGGGGAATCTATTGTTAGGGATTGAGCAATTTACAGTTTTTCTGCCATTCACCATAACATATTCATCTTCCATCATTATAATATTTATATAAATAGCAAATCCCCCCAGAAATTTCGATATTTATGATACTTCAACAATCAATACTACACAATGAGGACGAGAAGGAGCAAATAAGAAGGGACTTTGATGTTTTCAGTATTGAAGAAGTACGTTCTTGTGTGCATATACTAGTTAAATAATGAATTGAGAGTTCAAAACAATCAAGAATTGTTGAGAAAAGTTCATGATTTGTTTTTTGATGTCAAGGCAGAGGACCAAGACCTCTACTATGAAGAATTGCACTCGTAAATGCAAGACGAATACGAAGAGGTCGCCTCAAATTACAAGGCCATTTCCAATTCCTATTTGAAACTCATTCCTCAAAGCGACCTCCAATTGGCTCAGAATTACACAGACCAGTAACAATGCAGCATTAATTAGATATCCATTCTTAGGAATCAGAAAACAACTGTTACTATTTTAAAAGAAAATATCCCTAATCGCAAATAAGATTGTTACCAATACGACATTTGAAATCATAACGATCTTCATCATCATATTCAATTCGGTTATGCTGGCCATGGATGATCCCACAACTGAAGAACAAACTGACTTTGCCAATTTGATGGATCAAATATTTTTAATCTATTATACTATTGAAGCAATCTTAAAAATCATCGCATAAGTAACTTTTACCCCAATTAAACTAGGGCTTAATATGGCCGAAGAAAGCTTACCTGAGAGAAACCTGGAACATCCTGGATTTCTCAGTCATCATCACTGCCTACTTGCCCTACTTCGTCTCATCTAACTCATTAAATCTCAATTCTTTACGATCCTTTCGAGTGTTAAGGCCACTCAGAACCATATCCTCCATAAAATCTCTGAGAATGATTCTCCTGGCTTTGTTCGCATCCCTGGCATAACTGAGAGACGCCGCGATAGTATTAATTTTCTTCTATACTATCTTTGCCATTGCTGGAGTGCAACTGTTTTCAGGATATCTGAAGCGTCGTTGTTTCAGTGACATCGGAATCACCCTGACGACTTCAATTGAAAAAGATGCCTTTTGTACAGCTGACTCAGACTGTCCAACTGATTATCTTTGTGGAAAATAAACCAGCAACCCTCAGAACGACCTCATCAATTTCGATACCTTCGGTTGGGCATTTCTGCAAGTCTTTGTTATCACCACACTTGAAGGATGGGCTCAAATCCAAGAAGCAGTAATTCTCACCTTCTCTCAGTTTGTTATCTTCTACTTCTTACTAGTGGTAATAGTGGGAGCCTTCTTCCTCGTGAATCTGACCTTGGCCGTTATCAAGTTAAACTTCAAACCTGAAAAGATTGAAGAAGAACTCAAACTAATCCAAGAAGACATCGAATTCTATGACTACTGGGAGTTGAGGAGACTTGGCCTCTATAAAGTTAAAAGGTATAAGGTTGACACAACCAATTACGGAGTCACTCCATCGAAATTCGCCAGTGCCTATTAGATTCGTAGACGATCCAAGAAGCTTAACACTGTCAACTTCAATAACATCGAAAACAACCACAGAGTTGCAAGTCGCAAGAATATTGCATTTAAAGCCATTCAATAGGCCAAATACTACAGCAAAACAATCAACCTGAAAGACAAAGTCAAACTCCAAGGAATCTATGGGATGGGCAATATTGATAAAGATCAATTGGCTGCCAACTCCAAATTTGATCCACTCTAGAAGTAAACCGACAATTACTCCATCTCCTCCAAAACCAATGAATAAAAAAATAAATCATCTGAAAATCTCACTCCCAGTGAGAACAACCAAGAAAAATAAGACAAACCATTAAATAAATCCAAAAATCAAACCATCAGCATTTAAAGCAAGAACGGAGATTAGGATGAGAATCAAAAACTTGATGTTCCCAATTAAAGAAAACGAAAGTCTACATCTCAATAATTTTAAAATTTTGTCAGATCTCCCTCCAAATACTCTAAGACTGTCAGAATCGTCAACAAACAAGAAAGTGTGGATCTACTCAGCAATACAGAATTCAGCAGCATTAATCTCAGCGAACTCTCTGAAGATCAATTAGATACTCGACTTTAAGAGATTGCCGTTGATTTAGATTAGATTAGACTGGAAGGAACATCGCAGACTTTGAAGGAAAATGAATTCAAGGAAATGAAAACATTGAGAAAAACAGACGCTAAGAAAATGAAGGACTTCCTTTCAAGTGAACAATATGACAATCAATTTGATGAGAAGAATCTCAAACTCAAATCAAAATTGCATAACATATAATTCTACCCAATCATTAAGTTGGAGCACGAATAATATACTAGCACTGAAGAAGTCCTTGAGACTAAATACATCAGAGAATTGTAATTATAAAAACAAGATTAGGAACATAAATTCAAAACCATGAGTGTCAAAGTTTAATATTGTTTCAAAAATTCCAAATAAATCCTATATAGTTAATAGTCTCAAAAATCTGTTGCTAAAAAGTTACAAACCACTCAAAATTTGAAGCAATCGAAGACCAAGAAATTCAAAATATTTCATGGTCTCAGAAGAGTCAAACCCATATTAGATGATGTGCATCCGATTGAAGATTTTCTGATGATGTCCGAGTTAGTGGATTCTGAAACTCGTAGAGAGGATGACCAAGAAATTATTGATGTATAAAGCTCGCAAAATCCGTTGATGGACACTTTTGATCATTCGAAAAGGAAAAAGAAGAATTTACTCAATCTAAAGCAAGAACTGACTTATCAGGAATTGCAATCCTATTTTAATGATAGCAATGATTGCATTGTGGATCTTAATAAAAACAATACAGTAATTAAAGAAATAGAACAAAACAACAAAAATATCTTTTTATCATATCATGAAAGAGAGGCATAAAGAGCAGTGTTTTATCATGATTATTACGAAATAAGGAAGAAGGACACTTTATCAAATGGAATCATCTAAGCAATATCCTCAATTGAAGATGTCTTGTTGGTGTCAGATTATACATTTTTTGATTAAAAGTTTGCAACCTAAATGAATTCAGTAATGAAGGCCATGAATTATGATGATAATGCATATTTCAAGTGGATTAAAGGGTTTACTGGTTTATTATTGGTAAGTTAAAGGAATTTATACCATTTAGTGTAATCAAGCTATTTTGAGGGGATGATGAATTTAGCAGTGGCATTAAACACTTTGATTTTGGGTTTGGATGGATTGATCTCAGAGGAAAGCAATGCACTTCTGATCCAATTCAATTTTACATTCACAATTCTATTCACGATCGAATTGGGTTTGAAGTTGATGGCATTGGGAGCAATAAATTACATGAAAGACACCATGAATATCTTTGATGCATTGATAGTGTGTTTGAGTTTGGTGGAGCTTTTCATTTTGGGTGGATCCAATGGGAAGTCTTCGCTATCGGCATTCAGGGCAGTTAGAATATTTCGAGCATTTAGGGTTTTAAGAGTGACAAAATTGATGAAAAGCTTGTAATTCATGGGATTCTTAATCAAAGTACTCACTAACTCTTTTCAATCTTTAATGTACATACTGTTATTAATGATTATATTCATCTTTATCTTTACTCTATTGGGAATGTCCTTTTTTGGAGGATAATTAACTTACACTCCCAGTAGAGAGAACTTCGATAACTTGCAGAGTTCATTTCTTGTGGTGTTCTAAGTATTGACACTAGAAAATTGGAACTCTCTGTTGTATGAACTACTGTTATAGCCGTTAAGTCCTGTGATTACAATGATATATCTGGTCTTGTGGATTATGATTGGCAATTATGTCTTCTTGAATCTGTTTCTAGCTATTCTGCTGGAAAATTTCGAGGAAGAATATAAGGTGGACAAGACAGGATTGGAATCCGATCTTCAAATGAGCAAGAATCATTCGACCACTTAAGCATTGCCCAATTCCACCCTATAACATTCTGGAGTCAATATTAACAACACCTAAAACTAGTTAATCAATCAACCTATTTTGAGAAGAAGGTCGTAAGTGAAGATAACTTTTCATCATGATGAGGCAATATAGAAGAAGAAAGAGCCTGCCTTTATATATTTTAGTGAATAAGGGATCTGCCAAAGTTCGTTATTTATTTTTAGTTAATAAAATTAATTCAGAAAGATTGCATATCGAATAGTCAAGGACACCAAGTTCGAAGGGTTCATTCTCATGTTGATTTTTCTGACCAGCATGAAATTAGTATTGGACACTTATATTCCCACCTCAGGAGATTTGAAGTTCTATTCATTGTAATTTGATATAGGATTCGCTATTTTATTTGGTTTAGAATGTATTCTGAAGATAGTGGCATTTGGATTTGCCTAAGAAGAAGCCTCCTATTTGAGAGAGTCTTGGAATGTCTTGGACTTCTTTATTGTCATAGCCTCCTTTGTAGATGTCAGTGTATCTAGTATCAATTTAAGTTTTGTAAAGATCCTGAGATTGCTAAGAACTTTGAGACCACTGCGATTCATCACTCATAATAAATCAATGAAGATTTTAGTAAGTGCTTTGCTCTAGTCAATCAATGGGATCTTCAATGTGGGTATAGTCATAATCTTATCTTGGTTGATGTTCGCCATTTTGGGAGTGAGTTTGATGAAGAACAAACTTCATTATTGCAATTTAAATGACAATCAGACATACTACTATGGCAAGGATGACTGCATCAATAAATATTAAGGAGTGTGGGATAACAGAGATATAAACTTTGATAATGTGCTATAAGGCATGTTAACATTGTTCGTATTATCGACCTTGGAAGGTTGGCCAGATTACATGTACTATTTTATTGATGCCGATGAATCTGGGCCAATTTTTGATGCTCAATTACAATTCTCTTGGTACTTTGTGATTTTTATTCTATTTGGAGCCATGCTGTTGATTAATTTATTTATTGGTGTCATCTTGGTCAATTACCATTTGGCAGAGGAGGCATCCAGAGATTAGAATCTAACTTAGACTCAAAGTGATTGGCTTGATCTGCAGAAGTTGATTATCCATTCGAATCCCAATATGGCTATGTTTTTCCCTCCTGACAATAGTTTTAGAGCTCTCTTTTTCAAGCTGATCAAAAATAAGTATTTTGACCCCTTCATTATGACTATCATTGTTTTCAATATCATCACTATGGGTTTGGCTAAGGAAGAGGCTTCAAAGCAATACGACGAAATATTGAGTTATTTGAATATGTCATTCACATTCGTATTTATACTGGAGGCAATATTGAAATTAATAGCTTTGGGTATAATTGGGTACATGAGGAATAGTTGGAACTAATTTGATTTCTTTGTGGTTTGTGCATCTATTTTGGATTTGGTCCTAGATTTTTCCGGGAATTCATTTGTGACATTCTTGAAAGTGGGCCCTCAAATTGCAAGAGTGTTTAGAGTGCTAAGAGTCACGAGATTGTTCAGATTGGTTAAATAATTTTAGGGATTACAAAAGTTAATTGAAACTGCTCTGTACTCACTTCCTGCAATGCTTAATGTTACAGCGTTGTTGTTTTTGGTGTTTTTTATATTCTCAATTTTGGGTGTCTTTTTATTTCAAGATATTAGAGATGGTCAAGTGATTAGTGAAAGTAATAATTTTTAGGATTTTCATCATTCATTTGAGATATTATTTTAATGCTCAACTGGAGAAGATTGGCATAAAATAATGTTCGATACTATGAGAGGAGGTTAAGAATATAATTGTGTATTCTTCATCCTATTCATTATCATCTAATAATATATTATGTTGAATTTATTTATCTTGATTATTTTAGATCAATATGAAATAAATTACTTTAATTCAGATAATCCTCTGAATAAGTTCTAAGAATTTGAAAATATCTTTGTTGAGAGTTGGTCTAAATTTGCGTATCAGGACAAAGGAATGAAAATGCATGGGACATCCTTGGTTAATTTAATGTTTGAAATGGAATAACCATTGGGTTATGAACTCAATAAAAGATTGCAGGAAGACGTCTAGGAATGGAAGAATATCAATCCTGATAACAAGGATGCTACCTAATTGGATAAATTCAAATAGTAACTCCTTGTTGTTGCCAAAAAGAATGTGGCCACTTAAATAATGATGATGAATATCTATTCTGACTCTGACGGTTATGTCAGATATCATCAAGTCCTATTCGCAGTGCTTAAGAATTATCTATAAAAGAAATTGAATATCAACCTAACTGAAATTGGAGCTAAGAAAATTCAATAAAAGGAAGATGAGACAAGACAAAAAATTACTAAGTTTGATACCTCCAAATAAGAAAACCTAGTTAATCCTATTGTGCAATATCTATTTGTGCTCATGGCCTTCAAGGCTATGAAGAGATACAAATGTAAAAAGAAATTACAACAATAGAAATTGGCATAGTTATCCATTGTAGGATAGGAGTATTTCAGCGATGAAAATAGCTCCAACACCTCCTATGATGGCAATGTGGAGATTCTGTCACGCAAAACTAGAGGGAGCATCGTAAGAGTTGAACCAGAATATGGACAGATTAAATACATGTCCGTTCCCAATACTATGATCTATCAGAATAATTTGGCTTTAAATCAACAAGTAGTCAGTGAAAGTGACAATGATTAGAGTAGTGACAATTAATCATCAGATTAAGATGCCAGCAAATTAAAAAGATTATAAACAATTTCACAAACCATAGAAGGCTTGAAAAGAAGAAAGAGTTAAAAGAAAACTTATAAAAAGTGAATATATAATTTAACTAAAATATTACTCAATCACTTTAAATGATGTCAAATGAACTCCCATTTAATAATAATGTCTGTGTTTCTATTGACCCTACTTAGACTTACATCCCAAGAACTGTTGGCAACCTCATAAATCAAACATTGCGATTCCAACAACAATACTAATTGTTCAGAAAATATGCTTATCATGTTGACAATTGAAAACTCATACTCAACATCAACAGAATAAATCTAAATCAATTCAACATTACTCAACAACCAAACTGTTTAATTGTCAACTCCATTTACTCTTACAATTACAAAAACGCCTGTCTTTGCTTATTATCCATTAAAATATTTTCAAGATTACAATAGTCAACCTTATGAACTTCAAATCCCAGCAGCAGTTAATCCCTGTGATGATAATTGGACTTCCAATTCGCCAACGTGTGGATTCTAATATTCAAACAATAGTAAAATTTAAGACAGCCAAGGTTTCTGTTGTTCCTGTGGATCGTCAGAATACAATGATTAGAGTGATTAATCAGTCAGAACTAATATTTGCAAAAATGCTTCAGTTTCAGCAATGGCCTTTTGCCTTAGATATTCTCCTCTCTGGTATAGGTAATTCTTTAGTAAATTATTATTCTAAGCTCCTACAATATATCCAAATTTGTAATCCATTATAACATTACTATATCTATTGAGTACTCTAATGATGAAGTTGAATAATACACACTCGGGAGTAAAGTAAAAGAATTTTAAGGTGAGTCCTCTATTGCAAAAATTATTTCAGATTATATTCCGTCAAAGTAGCCACCTTCTTTAGAGTCCTTTATGCTAATGAAACCTAGTTCACCTGCTAGTCATAATAGAGTATAAGCTGGGTCGGCAGCTTATTTGTTTGTACCTCAAAAATTTTTAGGGTAAGGAGAATGTAATAAAATTGGAGTTTCGTATACTTCATTCAAAATTGAAAGAAATAGTTGCTAAAAGTAAATAAGGTCATGCTTATAAAATTAAATAGAGGATCTATATCAGAATGATGTTGCTCTACTTTCAAACAATTCTTAACCAACCTATTTGACATCAAAATATGGGGAATTTAAGTAAATCAATATTGATAATGATTAATACATTTAATTTAGCATTGATGAATAAATGTTCACGACTATAACAGTTGAAATTAATACAACTGGTCGCATTTCATATTTCGGGAATAACAAAGATAGTCAGAAAGGATAAATAGATTTAGTAGAAATTCATAATTTTTCAATCGCATCCGGATCTGGTTTATTATATGCTTAAATAACCAATATTGGGGATATTTTAAGCGAATTTAAAAGCTTTTTTATTTGTTCTACGAATAGTATAACAATTAATTCTACCGAACTTTCTTTAGAACCTTTGAAGAGCAAAATTATAGAGTAAGTCATAAATGTTTCAATTGATATAAAAAAATCAAATATATGTAATTTTAGTTTATTAAGTAATGAAGGATCTCTTTTGGATTGGAGAATTGTGTATCTTGACGAATAAAATAATAATACTATTTAATCGAATAATTAAAACAAAACTATTACTAGTGAAGGAAAAGGGTGTGAAATACAATGTTCTTAATTCTTTGATATTTCTTGCTATTTACGGAATAATTGTGAATAGGAGATTATCACATTTTTTACTGTTTTAGGTGGAATATTATTAACTTTTTCATCTTGTTGTCTTTATGTAGGATACAAAAGAAATGTATGTTGCTGTTGGTCTAAAAATAAAAAAATGTCAATTGTTCCACCTTTAGACAGTGTATTGTATCAATAACATAGCTAAATGAATAGAAGAAGTGGAGGATCGGAGTCCTCTTATGAATAGATTTCTTAATTATAAGTTTCAATATTGAGTGCAAACGTAAATAAGATAATGTACTTAAATTTGGGATTGGGCACAGATCCTATATCTAATCACCTTCAATCAGATGCATCATTTGAGGTGTTGGCAACCTTTTAGAATAAAGATTTAGTGGAGTTGTCAATAAAAAGGAAAAGCCCTTTTGTAAGAATATTTAAAGAGATATACGGTTTGTAAGACGCAGATAGGAATGTTAAGAAGTATTTGGAAGGGAAGAGGGAGTCGATTTCATTATTCAGCAATTTATTAACAGAATTTCCACTCTTTTGTATTTTTTGAGGATGACCATAAAAACTGTTTGTACTATTATTCATTTATAGATAGTCTCATTTATGGCCATTTCAATTTATTTTTGTAAATCTTCATACAAGAGGGATTTAAACTTGTCCTTTTCTGTGGCACTGGTTTATAGCTAATTAATTTTGTTTCTAATGGGTTTGATTTCTTCTTTGAGTGTTTCGGTGTACTCTTTCATTTGCTATTCGCTTTTTTTCTATTCCAAGCCTTCAAACAAATATTAAAGTAATCTTCTCACATTTGAGTAGACTTTTCTGACTTCTGCATAGAAATCTTTTTCTCTCTCCTCCTGTCTCTTGATGGCACTTACTGAAATTTTGAAGCTCAATTTGTAGTCTTCCTTAATTGCTTGATAGATGTCAACCTCTTTGTAAAATAATTACGATTGAAATTACTAGTAAATTTTTTGTCATAATCGAATGAGTTGATGGATTGGAGAATGTAATTTCGATCTCTTTCCCACTCGGAATTGGTTGCGTATGATTTTTTGATAAGTGGGGCTGTCTTTTGAAGTACTTTGACCTTTGATTTGGGTTGTTCATCAAGTTGGACTCCATCATTTTCCAATTCGAGTTGGCCAGGGAACGAGGGATCTAGTATGGTTCCTTGTGCTCTTTGATCTTAATTATGATATAATTATTTACAAATCACTTCTTCATTCATGGGATCTTGCTACATTGTTTTCAACCCGCTAATCGCTATTTTTATATTAATTTAAATAATTTACCTATGGCTTCCTCATCGTAATTGTAATCGTTCACCAAATTGAAGCTCTTCTGCTCTAATTAATTTAACTAACAATTACATGCAAGTTCATCGATAATTTTCAGTCCAAAGGTCTTGATGTACTGTTTTCCCAACTCTGTATTAATTAATTATTATTCATGAATATTCTTGAACGACTAGACGTAGGACTAATGTTGAGCTCCCTTTTCATCTCCGTACTTATTCGCTTAGGTCTACTCTTTCCCCTTGGTCTTCTTGGGAGGACGGTTTCTCATGTAGGGATTGTCATCTTGTTCTGTGTTGAGTCTGATGTCATTAACCATTTGAAGCTAATCAACATATTTGAGCTTATCGTTGGGACTCAATTTGTAAATGCTGCAATAAGACATCAGCTCCTATAGTACAGCATCCAAGTGGTTGGTGTATGCATTCTGACATTCGCAGATTAGATTCCTCTTCATCTCCTGAATCGGCTTTTAGTGATTCCAAAACTGCTCTTGACTCACTATTTATATTTTTTTTCTTATTATGTCTCCCTTATAATAATCACTAATTTCTTGGTGGTTTTGCAAGAGATTCTGCTACAACCTCAATTGGACTGGAATCTAATGTTATTCAGGCAATTTCAAGAGGAAGGCCTAAAATCTCTTGATGTCATCATTGCCCATTTCTATTATGATATGAGACCAAAACTCCCTAAATTTGAGGCACGTTTAATCTTAAACCTAAGATTTTCTATTAGCTTTAAGTTTAGTGAAATGCTATCTCTAATTCAATGGCAATCGCTATTGATCAAAGAATTTTTAAGGGATGTCGCTGAATAAAATGGGAGGATCAACCTCACAAATCTGGAAATTTTTCTTTTCCAAAAACAACAGTCTAAAATTTGAAGGGATTATATAAGGATCTAAAATCCATCAAGTTTTTAATACCGCCTACATATTTCGCTTGAACATACAATCTGCAAAGGAAAAGATATTTAAAATCTATTTTCTCCTCCGGTATCAAATAGTCTAATATGGATTTATATATTTTGAATCTGAGCTGAGGGGGCAATTCCATTTTTAATATAATTATTGATATACTTTTTTATTTATATATATACTTTCAACAACAAATATCACAGATTCCTACTCAACTCTAAAATGCTCTTCTCAAGATTCGTATTCATGTAAGCTAATTAATTAATGAAATCTCTCTAAAAGGGTTTAATTACATATATAAGGTACTTAATTGACTTGAACTTCCTTGACGTGGATGATATCACTCTTGATTTCAATCTCCAACAACTTCGATTTCTGCCAGAACTTACTAAGAACACTTGATTCAAATGCATTGTCATTCAGAGCTGCGTTATTTCTCTCAATGTACAACGAGACATACTTCTCAGGAAGCAACTAAATCGATGTATCCTTAGATTTACTTTGTTAAAATGCTGGAAGGTAATTTGGTTGTAAAGACGTAAGACTTATTCAACATCATTGATTTTCTTGGCTTCCTGGACTTCCTTCAACAACTTGTCCTTCATTTCTATGACTATCTCATTTGGATTAAGTTCCTATTCGCTTTGGAATTCCTTCAAATTCTTGATTGTGTTGATTATCTTGGGACAAGATTATAGGAGGACTTCTCCGATGATTTGTTGATCATATTTCAACATTTTCTCGTATTTCTCAAACAGTTTGTTTCTGCTCTCCTTTAAGAGAGTGATGATATTGTCTTCAATTTCAGGGTAAAATAAAGATGTTATAGCCAACAATGCCAATATTTTCTCATGTTGCTTGATTAAACTATCATATTGATAGGATTTTGTATATAACTATTTATATTTATTGAAGTAATTAACAATCAAGGTTAAGGTAAGATTAGCTTTCTTATATTCCTTATTCAATAAGAAACAGAATCCAGTGTAACTGAATAATGATTAATAGGCTCCACCAGATTTGCTGTAAATAATCAATTCTGAATGTTGAATCTATGACAACATAGTATAAGCCGCATTAAAATTGCCAGACATCACATGTAATTTGGCAGTGGCTAAATATGAGTAGAAGGCTAAATATTGAAAAGTGTTTTAGACTGAACTATTTCGTTGAGCATAGAATCCCTCCAAGGTTTTGAGCATCTCCTCCAGATTCCAATAGTCTTGTATGTTTTTCAATTGAGTAATTTCCTCGTTCTTCAATAATTTTCTCCATCTGGATGACACATAAAATTGATAGACATACTCATCCAAGATGTCCCAAATCCAACTTGGAGGTAGGGGAAGATCAATGTTTTGCCTAATTCAGCATTTTGTATACTTTTATTGTAGTGCTGCAAATAGCAATTAGTAATTTTGCCATGACTCTATTGAAGTTTGCAAATTGAATTGTTGTTGCACACTTTAGAATGCATGTCTATAGCAGCTTTCATTGAAGAGCAATTTGGTTATCGAATCAAATTCATCATTGAAAGCCTCCTCCAAACTCTCAGCCAATGGGAATAGGGTTTCCTGTGGGATTTCATATTGAAAGTGTTACCTTATAAAGAGTATTGCAATAAATTTTATTGAAAACAGTGTCGTACAACTCAAGAGACACAGCCAGTGTTTACACTCTTTGTTGAGGACTACTGATCTTGGTTCTGAGATTCTTTTCCAATGATTGCATGAATTGATAGGCAGCTTTTTTCTTTTGATCATCATCTACAACGACCTTCTCGGATTCAGCTGATTGCTTAAGATTGTAATTGGGAAAGTCATCTAAACTGGATGGAAGTTCTTGTTCGTACATTAAAAATTAATTATAATTTATAATTATTTGTTAAATATATGTGTTTGTTCATTCACTTTTGAACAAATTAAGTAGCGAAAGCAATGCTACTAATACTTTATCTAGCCACTCTAAATTTTTGTTAAACCTATTCATTTTTAGTTTCAGGAAATAACTTCAATTCCCCACTAATTTTCCTAGGTTCTGCAGGCTGTTATTACTTCATCAGATAAACAGCCTATTTATAGAATCCATCATAGCCTTGTTCACTCAATCGAGGCATGTATCTGTTCATTGTTACAGATCGTCCTCGACCATTGTCTTACTCAATCGATTTTATGCTCTCATTGTTCTCTACAGTTTCATCATCTTCATCCTCATTACTTTATATTTCTGAGTTCAAGTCTTAATGCACCAACAACTGAGATCGAAATAAGTACTTATCATTCTCATCTAAGTCGTTATTCTAACAAATATGGAACTACCTTCCAAGCAGTACCTAAAGACCTTAATCTTTTTATTTCTTCTTTTTTGGACTGGATGCTGTACTGCTGCATCGACTACTGGAGTCATCGTATCGATCCCAGTAATCGTTGATCACTCTGCAAGGTTCCTTCTAACAATAGACAAAAAAGGAGAATGATCTTTTCAGAGTCTTATTCAGGTGTATGACCTTGTTGCAAACAGTCCATTAGGGATTACATGTCACTTTGTCTAGACTGGGAGACTCATTCCCAAGACTCTACTCATGTTCTTTCTCCAGGATCTTCCTGAACATGTCTCTGGCTTCAAAGAGAGGCTTTTTCTTTATTTAGATTTGATTGACAACAAATCTGAATTCATGGATGTTGTTGTATTCTTTGAGACTCTTCTTAAAGAATTCCAACAGATCTCCAAAATCTGAAAATTTCAATAAATCTTTTTCAAAAATAAACAATATTGCTATTGCTGATGCTATTAAAGCTCTACTCCCTTGGACCATGACTCTCAACCATATTTCTTTAACTATGTCTATATGCAAATTTGGAGTAAACAAACACACAAACCATTGTATGGCATAAAAGTTGGCTTCCAAGTAAATCTCTTTGAAATGCTGTAGTAATTGAGGTACATAGATTTTACTGAAATACTCCAGAATTTTGGTATCGACCATAACGCTTATCATATTTGTGTAATAATCTAATGGCATTATTTCCTCGATTAATGAACTCAATGCCCAAAAAGTCTATTAATTTTACAAGCAAACTTACATCCTCTTCGGAAAATTTTAGCTTATTTACCAAAAAGTGCGTAATAAAATTTAAACCTTGACAATAGGAGACAAAAGGATTTCTGATAGAATATGCAACCAGGATCCTTTCTATTTTGGCCTCGTATTCGTGATTCCTCTCATAAGTTCTCTCATTGTTTTTGATTCTCAGGGAGGGTGAAACAGTTCTTACGACATCCTCTAATTTTATTTTGACAATCATACCAATTAAATTGTTTGAAAGTAAGATTGGGGATAGTCCGTTCTGAGTTTGGTGACTTCATCATATACATCAGGATTTTAAACTCTTTTTGTTCTTGCCCCTGACAACTCCAACAATACCCTAATGATTGGAACGAAGAGGTTACCAGTTGTAATTCATTTCGTGTAATTCACCCTACAGTATTATCTTCTTGAGTGTCTTTCGTAATTCTGTCGAGTAACAAAGTGTTTTAAAATGTTGTTTAAGATACTTGTTTTTAGATTATCATTTATAATACTTGATTGATTTACTCCTTAATCAAAGTGATGTCCTTCTCAGGAGTTCTCGCATGATGATTATATCTATTCAACTCAAGAGTGGTGAGACATTAACACAACTTCTCGTACACTTGCACTCTTCCATTATTATTCATATTTGATTTTAATCAATATTTATTGAGAAAATTGATTTATTACAAAAATATAAACATCGAAAATCATCAAAAATTATAATAAAAATGAGAAAAATAAATATTTTTAATGCTTAAATTACACAAAAGAGAAGAACTGAAAGAGATCCTCTACAGGAAATCACCACAAAATAATGATCTCTCAAAGCTTCAGAGGAGTGCCTTAATGCAATTGGATAATCACACTACTGAAGAACTATAATCCAACCAAAAAGCTCCTGGAGGAAGTCCTGCCCATATCAGAATCAACCTCCAACAATTCGCCCTCCCGAAAATTCAACATACAACTAACATAAAAACAAACAAATATATTGGAGAATACAATAATATGTTAGGTATCATAACAAGCAAACACTAAATCCCCTATCGTAATTGCACTTACAGAAGTGCGTCCTATTATCACAATACTGATCAATTTATAGAAAAGCAGAATTATGTGATCAATTAATTCATTCGTCCTCGGAAATTGGGAACCTTTAAATGAGATACAATATTTATTTATTCTAGTTGAGATCTTTCGTAAGATAACAATTTCTCAATTTCATTTTATCATTATTTAATTTACAACACAATAGATTAATCATTGTAAGAATTGTTCGAAACCACGAAGTTAATTATTGTCTTATATGTGTCCTTCTAAGAGTCTGTAATTGCAAAAATATTATTATAATTATAATTAAAAAATACTCACAAAAACACACATGATTTCACAAACTCAGACAATGAGTCAAACAAGTTAAACGATATTGCATCTCAATAGCAGTCAATCACATGAGGTAGAGTAGCAAACATAAAAGAAAGAAAAAAAGAAAAGATCTGTTTAATGGACAGAGGATACTGTCGATAATGAAAATCTAGGAAAGCTCAAATCTAATAGTAAACTTATCATTTAACTTCAAATTAGTTTGTTGCATTTATCATAAACCACATGCAGAAGAATCAGAAAGTTCAGATACTTGTACAAGTGATGATGAGATCAATGCCATTGAAAGAGATAAGCAATCAAAATTAAGACATAAAATGAAATGCTCCAAATAAAATAAGAAGTGCTGCTGATAATTGTATTTTTAAATTTATTCGATATATATATATTTTTAATTATGCTTAAGTCCATTACAGAATTGTACGATCAAGAATTGTCAAAATTTTTGCAATCTAATCAAAATTTAGACAGCAAATCAAATATTTCTTATAATGTAGTTCTGTTGATGACCAATAAAAGGGCTTTGTCAGAAGCGATATCAAGTAGCGTTGCCAACATTCATAAAAACATCTGAAAATTACTCGAAGTCATAACATCAGCCCTAGCCTCGGCTAATACGATGTCTCTTACAAAGGACTTGATACTCATCGATATGAGGTCAATTTTGGGAGCCCCAGGAGTGTTCAAAAACCTATAGACGAGATGCCAAGGACTGTCAGGATTAGTCCTTTTAACAATCAATTAAAATAGCATTCGATAAAAGGTGGATCTGACTTTGAAAAATAAGTTAGCAGAGAATAAATGTATTTGATTAGAGGGTGGCTTAAATTCGATAAGAGCATGCGAGCTCCCAAAAGATCTTTGGAGGAAAAGTTGCGTTAGCTTGAAGTTGGTCAAGAAGCCTTACTCAAATTCCCATCCATAGACGTAAAGGAAAATCCATTATTATAAATGAAAGTTTCTCATCTACCTCATGATTATGAGAAAATGAGATAAATTAGCAGATAATACCTGTATATATTCTAATTCTTATTCAAGGCAAAAATACCATATTAAAGAATCAGCTTTGAGATTCTATAGTCCATGAATACTTATTATTTATTGTAATAATTGTGACATTAAAGTACTTCTGTATTTAAATTACCAAAATTACATATATTTATTTCTATTATTATTAAAATAATAGTCATTAGCAAAATAACACATTTACAAATTAATAATTATAAAACTCTATTAATAATTACAGATGGCTTCAGAAACAGATCTAAGTAAACAAAAAGGGATGGGAATAATAAGAATTAAAAACCCATATAAAGAAGAATCAAACTTCTAATATCATAAAATAGCTGATAATGTTTCACAAAAATCACAAGACCTTCATCTAAAAGCTAATTAAAAGTTAGAAAAATTTATGAAAAAATAACTTTTGAATGACAAAGAGCCATTGAATTAAATAAAACTTCTTAAAACAATAGAAAAAGAGTAAAATTAACTAAGTTAAGAGGAATTAAAAATTATGATGAATTAAGATGAGTAAATAAAGACTTTGCCATTTCTTGATATTAAAATTAAAGAGGAATATTATTAAAGAAAAATTGAATATCGCAATAAAAAATAATAATTAAAATAACTATACCAAGTATTAAAATTACAAAACGAATTATTAGAATAAGAAAATGAGGAATTATAATTAAAAAAAAAATTATTAGAATAAGAACATGAGGCATTAAAATTGCAAGAAGAATAGTATAAAAATTAGTTCAAACAAGGATAATAACAATAACAAATTTATATTGGAATCACCTTTAAAAAAACTAAAGTCTTATCTGAAGACAATTTAGAGTGTTCAATTTGCTCACAAGAATTCAAAAATGGTGAGAAACTAGCTTTATTGAACTGTATCCATAGATTCCATTAAAAATGCTTTAAATAATGGAGGGAAAAATCCAATTAATGCCCTTACTGCCAATATCGCATTTGAAAAACATTTATTTAAATATTTTTGTTTCTATATGGATTTTATAACCAATTTTTCTTATTCATTTTATTGTAATAAAGACTTTTGGGTATATTTACATTTATTTTTATTCAAAATCCCAACTATTAACTTTGAAATAGGATTGATGAATGCTTATAATCCTTAGAGTGAGAATCCTAATAATATCCAATAGTTTCATTCATTCGAAACTTAGCAATAATTGCAGTAGCATATTCGTATGTTCGCCTGATTCCATCGCTAGAAAAGTAGTAATGGTTTAAAGAAATACTTCTCTGAAATCTTGCAACCTACACAAAAAAATTGCTTCCTTTGACTCTTCCATAATATAGAGATTACTCTCACTAGGGTAAATATTATGCATTACTATTGATCATGATTGGTATTTTTGTAAGCATAATAGAAAGAGGATCTTACTTATAATAGAAAATCTCCACCAGCTAAAAGCAACATCACTACAGTATTATTTTCATAACAGCTATTACAACTACAATGCTTTCAGTTCCTAAAACATTCACATCTAATAAAAGTTAATTTTAGGTGCTCTCAAATTCCTCATTATTATTTCTCCTTGAACTAATCTTCTATTCAACAACATCATTTTAATCAATAAAGAAATAATTGGAGCTTTGGATTTAGCTTATTTGAAAGTTCATCTTAGTCAGGAACATCTTTGAGCTTGACTTTATATTTATTGTTCAAACTATTTTGATTTCACCTTCCACATCACCCATCACATAAGTAGCCATTCCAGACATAGGTTTCTAACTTATTCTATAAAAGTAGGACTTTATAAGGAAGAGGTACCATAATGAAAGAGTGGGGTAGAAGAAAGAATATTAGCTACAGTTTTTTCTGCTTTTATATTGATAGTAAAAAGAAATAGGAACTGATCATTCTCCCTTAAATCATTAATTTTTAATGAAACAAGTCTAAGCACATAGTTTTAATCTTTTCTTTCCCATTATCGCGTATTTCATTGGAACCATCTCCCCATTTATTCATCCATCTATATAGACTTTACTAATTATTTTTCCAAATAAACCCTTGAACATCTTAGGTAAAAATTATGTCATTTGCTCTCGTTTAGAAACCTTGAATGTTTTTTTAAATCTCTAGTTTCTATTTTACTATTATTCTTATTAGGGTGTTGAAATGAAAGTTTCACCTGTCTTCCCCTTTAATATGCTTCTCTTATATAGGTTTAAGAATTTCTCTCAACTTTTTTTTTCCAAAGGATTATCCACTTTCCATTCTTAAAGTGGTTGCAGTTATTTAGGTCTTCTTTTGTATTTTAAAGCTTATTTATATATATATGATTACATCATGATAGCTTCTAATTGCAAAAAGCAAAATAAAGGTGTGTTAGTTAAATTTCTATTAAATTTTAACTTGGTAGTGTGTCTATTGTTTTATAGATTCTCCCTATTTAAAACTAATTTCATTCACTTTGTGGTGTATTTTAAATTTATTCTTAGAATTGTTACTATGAAGGAATCCATTTTGGAATAGATAATAATTTAAATTAGAAAATAGGTTAATTTAAACGAATATTCTTTAATATATAAACTTATCTTTGTTTTAGTAATATTCATTGTTCTATTAAGATTTACTTCTTCCTAATAACAATTCTCCTTTATGATCTTGATGGTACTAATATTTTATATATTCTATAATACTAATCAATTTGACCCCAAATAATATCATCTTTTCAAAGAATATTCCATAACTGAGAGTATTTGTTATCGCATAGCTGTAAATTTCATTATGTTATTATGTGGATTTAAATTTAATAACTTCTTGCTTTTGTGTTTTTATAACTAGTTTGCTCTAAGCCTGCTTTAGTATTTTTTTTTCAAACTGATGATGTCCCTTGAATTTAGAACTTAAAAATATAACTCTTCAAACCTGTTGAATCTCTATTCGAATAGGAATTCCTAATGGATTTCAACGAATAATTTAATGTATGATCACATAAGTTAAATAATTTAAACTTCCCTTCAATACTATCCAAAATTAGTAGAATAAAGTTCCAACTATTGATTTAATTGGTCAGGTTATGAATTCTTGAATTAGGTTGACAATAACATAAGTAAATAAAATTAGTTTAAAAGATGAGATTTTTTAATGAATTTTCTTCTAATTTTATTAAGGAAGCCAGTTGCATAAAAGATATTTTTGGGAAGCTTTCTTGTTTCTAAACAGTTTTTAATAATCATGAGATAAAATGTTAGTTTTGTGAACTAAATAAATACTTAAGTATTTATTTAGTTTTGAAAATTACAATTTAGCATAAATACAGTAGTCATCTAAAATATGAAGTATGGTTGTATGGATATTAGTTTAGTTCAAGTACAATGTAATTTACGCTTCATAATATTTGTCATCGGAGAGGTTATTCTTTTCGAGTATTTTTATCTATAAACACTTAAAATGTTTAATGCTCCTATTTTTATTATAATAATTTATAAAAATGATAAAAATTTCATAATTTCATTATTGTATAAAATTAACTAATTATTAAAAAAAATTATAGTATTATAAATAATATACTGTTTTTCAACGCTTTCTATTTAAATCCATAATAAACCTTAAACTGGTGGTTTTGATTTCTTAAAATATATTATTAACCTATAAATATTAAGTTCTAACTATTTGAGTAGCAATACCGATTTCAAGGCTTTACTTCAGATTGTAATCAGGTAGGATGTGTATATGCTTTTAGCATGGTCTCAAGCATAAATATCAATATAGAAAAATGCGAATTATAAGATATTATTTTAACAATCCAATACATATTTTCACCAAACGATTAGAGTATTAATAGGCCTTTCAAATATTTCAGAAAAAATAATTAAATATTAAAAGGAACATGAGCATCACACAATCTTTTGAAGAAAGTCTTACTCTTCTCAATAAAAATAACGAGAGCTGTGATACTCCTATATCAAGTTAGAGAAGAATTAATTGGAAAGTGGAGATGAGGAAGATGGTTTTGACAAAACTGCCCATCAAAAAGCCCAGTCCTAGACTGTGTGAATCATCAAAGTCCAAAAATATACCTAAAAACATTTCTAAAGTGATCACTTAACAAATACTGCGAGGATACTATAATCACCTCATCAGATGTAATCCCAAAACTTTCTACTCTTTCATAAAGAAAAACAAAAATATATAAAACCTAACTACCCTTCTTAAACTTATCAAGCCGCATAAAAATTAAGATGTCAACTCTTTGCATGAATGTTTTCGAAATATATGGTATTTATTATTTTTAATTTCAAGTTGGTATTTCTTGAAAAAACAATACGTTGGCTACGTTTTTAACTCAAAAATAAAAGACCCCCAATGGCATTTATAATACAGAAACGCCCTTCTAAAAATATGCAGAGAATTTTGAACTGTTTTCATTTTAAATTGGTTAAATTATATTATAATAATCTCTATGACTATCTTAAGAACCTGATAGAGCGTTCTTGAAATAGAAGAAGTCATATTTAAATTCTTGGAGGAAATAAAATGTTTATTTATGATTAATATACAAATATATAAATAAAATGATGTTCCTCCAGAGACTTTCACTGTTGTTTTATATTTATTTTAAAATATGAGAATGAAATCTTGGAAACATTATCAAATGTATGTTCATTATGAGTTCATAATAATATGATATTTTGATAACTTTTTTTAAAATCAACAAAATCTATGTTTGGAGAGTTATTTCAAAAATAGATTAAGTTCCTCATGTTTCTAAATTGCTAGCAGCAATCTAGAGAGATTTTTGTATTTCTCAAAACTTATTGTTTTACAAAATTTTAATAATACTAACAATGATTGATTGAGGTATGGAAATGCTTCAAATAGATGCTGATGTAATTCATTTGTAAGTTAGTTCTCGTGTTAATAAGAAAAATGTTGGAGTATCTATGCAATCTAGTAGAAGTATTTTTTTAGTTAATATGAATAAAATATTGGGAATCAAAGCATGTAATAAGAAGTGAGATGGCCACACTATTATTATAAATTGTATTTATTTAGGAAATTAAAGTGACGTGATGACTTATTATAAAATTTAATATATTTATATTAATTTACAGATACATAGCTACCATCTAAATTAAGAACAAGTAAAAACTATACGAAGAAACTAAACAAAAGAATATTCTATCAAATCCTAGATATTTTTGTAAAATGAAGATAGTTTAAGTTCTTAAGGTCTCATGGGAGGACTGAAGATCGAATTAGAAAAAAAGCAATAAATTTGTTAATATAAAATAATTCAATTATTTTATATTAACAATTAAATAAAAAGATAATTATAGTGAAAATTAACATAAAAATGCTTTGAATTCTAATGATTAGCCATTTATTAATATTTTACCCAAAATTCAAACAATTTTGTTATTGAAAATTTTAGTTTCTTTTTTTGAAATTTGATTTAATTTATACTGGTATAAGTCCTGGGCATTTTTCAATTTTATAAATATTCAAGTGAATGTTTATAGAAATTACTAATAAAGCATGAGATTTTAATTTGAGTAATTAGTTTTATAAATAATTAATGAGTTCTGATTTTTTTCTTGATTATGAACATAATTACAATGGAGAGGAACATCATGGTAAAAATATAATTTGCAATTTAGATGAATCAAATAATTGGTAATTTAGAGGACCAATTCGATTTACATTCAAAATTGACCCTCTAGAAGAAGGGGATTACACAGTGAAACCACCAACAGTTGGAAGTTAATATATAGATAATGCAATTTCACAATAATCACAATAGATGAACAGTCCAAAAGTAGTCTAGTTTTCGCCACCAGACTCAATAATAGAGGAAAACCCTTTATTTTCGACGCAGAAGCAAGAGCTATAAAAGGATACTAAAGATTTCAAAGATAGAACAAGAACAAGTACTACGCAAAAGGAATTTATGAAGAACTTTTTAAAAGCTGTTATAGCAAAAAGTTATTCTAATCGTTTTATTGAAAACATGCTACAAAAGTCATATGTAAAGTAACCTTCTCATTTTTCTCAATTTTAAAATTCTTTGATGGATGACCTGAGATATATTTATTAGCACAACAGATCTTCACAACATTGGTTGAGTACGATTTGTAAACACTTAAGATTTTTTCCAATATTGAATTAAAGCAGCTATTTGGTGATTGGTTGGCAAATCATTCACATTTTGACTATAATAATAGTATTTTTTTGGACTCCGTTTAACATATCTTTTGGTATCACATATCAATAAATCGTTTTTGGTGGAGTATCAGTTAAGAGTGTGGAAAATTATTTTCTAATTACAATATTATTTGATATATTGATAGTTATAAATACATCCTATATAGAGAAAGGAGTAATAATAAAATCAAGGAGAAAAATATTTACAAATTATTTGGCAGGACAAGCAGTTTATGATTTAGTATTAGACGTGATTTATTTAGCTTTCATTTTGTGCCCTTTTGATTGCAATAGAATTTGAAATTGAAACTTCAAGTGAAAAGTTGGGTTGGTAATTGTGTCCTTATTGTTTATACTATTGTTGTCGATTGTTTAAATTACAAGAACGAGTACGTAAATTGGAAGAGTAAATTGTATATGAGTGATATAGGTTTTTTAATCTCAATGCATCCTATTAAGATTTTATCGAATTAATTAAACTACTTTTTATGGTCTTGTACGTAGGACATCTATTTGCTTGTTTATGGCATGGCGTTGCTTTTTATTAAAAGGGTTATCGATAAACTTGGATAGATGTATATGTAAATGAGCCTGATATGTTTTCAGTGTACAATTACGCATTCTATTGGGCAGTACAAACTATGATCACTGTAGGATATGGCGATATAACGCCACAAAACAATGCAGAAAGAATGTGTGCAAATATTAGTATGTTTTTAGCATGTGGAGTCTTTGCTTTCTCATTCAATTCCATCGGTTTAATGCTAAGCAATCTCAATTCTAGATAGGTCTTATATAAAAAAAGCATCAATCTATTAAATTAGTATTTGGTTAAGAATCAAATTAAAATTGATCTACAATCGCGTATTAGAAACTACTATGATTACATATTTCAAGAGGAACAAGAAATCAACGATGAAGAGGTTTCTCAAATTACGGCTAAGTTGTCAAGTAGCCTTTAAGAAGAACTTAATTTCGAAATTCGATACAATGTGATGAAAACTAATAAGGTCTTAACCAAGTTCTCCCAAAAGGTCTTGAAGCTATTGTCCCTTCAAATTGAAGAGGTTAGGTTTTCACCAGAGGATCAAATATTATAATAAGGAATTTGTGATGATGCTGCCTTGTATATAATTACCAAGGGCAATGTGTGTATTTAATTTCAAGATGACAACAAAGGAAGCAACACAAGAGCCCTATCATACCTAACAAAGGGATAATCCTTTGGTGAGTATTCGTTTTTCACAGGAATGAATAGAACTGCATCTGCTAAAAGCTTAGGATTTTCAAGAGCCTACAAAATATCCAGACAATAATTGCTTATTGTATTAGCTTAATCTCCGCTTGACTTGGTAAACAGTATAATTTTATCAATAGGAAAGATATTGCGAAGTCAGAGATAGCATCCTACTCTCCAATAATTATCAACCCTCTAAATTAAGTTGTTATTCTTGTAAAAAGTTCACACATCTCATCAAAGATTGTCCAGTCTTACACTACGTAGCAGATCAAGAACGAGTCTTAAAAAAAGAGTATTTCCCAATCTATTAGGACAGAACTAGGAACTTTAGAAGGAAACACGAACGAAAAAGATTTGAAACTCTGAAAGAATGCAAAAAAACCATGGTGTTAGTCAGGGATTTCTAAACCAAATAAGTTTTAGATAATGTAACAGTCATGGAAGATGAATTGGATGTATCATATGAAGATAATGAATTAGATATATCTCCTCCAGAATATTGTACTATAATATTTAACATTTTTAGCATCACTTACTAAAAGCTTGTCAAAGATCTCTAGATAACAATCACAAAATAGAAGTTATTCATAGGATAATCATTTATAACCTATTTAAGAAAGTGATAGTTCTATGGAGAGTGCTAGTCCTAATAAGCAGAGAGTCAAGTAAGTTAAATAGACTCTATAAACAGCTGGATTTGGTGTTAGCGAATCACTTCATAATAGACTTGTTTCTATTTAAGAAGAATAGCTAACAGACTCCATTCATGACAAACCATCATAAAATGCTACTTAATCTAATCTATAAAAATTAGAGGACTATAAATTCTCAATGAAAAATGATTCCCTTGGTCTCCCTAATCTGGCTGAAAATGCAAGGTCATCTGGCAGGAAGATCACATTGGTTCGTAAATAAAAAAAGGAGGATTCATACAAACCATTTTCATCTTAAACTTAAGTTGATTCAAGGGAACGAGGTTAATCAGCTCAAAATTCAAATAGGAAGCCTAAATTAAAGGACATTAGGGAAATGTCATAAGAAATTGCAATTAACCCATCAGTATAATCAATTGAAAAACGAGATTAATTAAGGAGAAAGACTACAAAAACATATAGGAGCAAAACTGCAAAATCCCTCAAAACTAAAGTTTTAGATAATCACACTCATACATTGAATTAAGAATTTTCAAGTCCTAATTACGATGAATAGCATATATCCATGGAATTAGAGGGTTTTGAAGCATTAAAGAATTTTTAATGTTATTTTAGTTGGAATAACCCAAAAGTGATTGTTGCAAGAGCTATGAGAACTTTAAAAATGAACATGGATAAAAGGAAAAATTTTGGGAACATCTTTTCATTATACACATTCAATAACTTGGCCATGAATAAGGCTTTAAGAATTAAGCGGAAATTAAAGTTGATGTAAACTATATTGTCTATTTATCTTAGTGATGATCCTCCTATGTAAACAAATGATATTAAAAAGGGACATCCATCAAAATCCCCCAGATAATCTAGAATAAGCATTAAGAGAAATACAGCAACATAAGATGTTTTTGGTTTTCAACCTAAAAAACATATGTTAGAGTCATAAATTTAAGTTTAAGGACATGCATTCAATAAAATTCAGCGAAATGAATTTGAACTTAAATGAAGAGTACTATTATGTAAATTAAAGTAACTTAAATTTAAACAATTCTCAAAATGTTATTTTATTTTAGTAATAAATTAAATCTAATCGTATATTTTTTCATTTAATCAATTAGTTTGATTCTAATTTACTTGAATATAAACAAATAAATTTAATAATTAATATTTTATTGTTATATATATATATATGAATAATTGATCACATCTAAAAGAGTTATTTCTAGATGATTTTATTATTATTATATTCTAAACAGATTCATAATTTATTATTATTTTGCTGTTTACTTATAATTATTAATAATTTAATTTTCTCATAAATGAGATATGAATTTATTTAAGCACAATCACAATAAGTTTACTAAAAAATAACACCTATACTAAAGCCTACTGCTGATGTTTAAAATTATGTCAGAGCATTAATATTTTTAGGAACAAATTAACTGGAAGATGATTGGCTTTCTGCCAAATAGCATTTTGAATTTGCAATCAATCGAATTCTTCAAGGGAGTGTAGATAGAAATAATTATCTATTTTGTGAGAAAATGCTTTTGAAACCCTTCAATAAATAAAGTTAATTAGGAAGAGATTTGTATTCCTTGCTTACAAATTGTTTGAACTTTTGTAAAGAAGAAAATAAATTCAAAAGAAGCAGGAGTGGATAAACAGGTGTGAAAGCATGTGATCATATTCAATTGAATAACTCTACAAAAATAGGGGCACTTGTAAAGTCATTCAAGGAAGAATATTAAAAAATGATAGATACAAGGCCATCACTTAAATCTAGAATGGTAGAAGAAAGAGTTAACAAACATATAGAACAAATAAAAGAAAAAATAAAAAGAACCAATAAAACAAGCTATTTTATTTCTCCAAGAAGAGAACAGTAAGAAAAAGCTAAAAGTTTGAATAAATGAATAATTTTTTGATCTTCATATCAATTTTAATGCACTCAAATTATTAATTTTGTTTTAATGTTACACATAGAGTGTTTTCTCAAAATTCAAATTGATTTAATAACTAATATAGAATATTTCTTAAGTGCTAATAATAAAATGAATAGTAAGATATCTTCTCAACTTTAGGGTTATTTGGAATTGGAATATTCAATTATTACATTTGATAATAATACTTCTATAAATTTATTGCAATTTATTTCAAAAATAAAGGATAGAATTTCAAAAATAACTATTCTCTATCCAACTTAACTCAAGAAATAATCGTTCATATTATTGATAATAGTTAAGAGTCTGATCAAATTTATGGGTAGTCTGAGATAAAGGCAATAATTCATTTAACCATAATTTGAAAGAATAATCTTTTTTAATTAATCATAAATTCTTACTACTTATTTTAATAAAACATTGATTTAAATATGAGAATAAAAGTCAAAACCTATATAGAATTAGAATTTTATCAATATTACTTTATAAAATATTCATATATATACTCCTTGTCACCAGCTTCTATCAGGTTGATACTTTGGTATAGTGCTACCTTCATGCTAAATAGTTTAAGCTGCAGAATAATTTCCGGCTCTTACACATTTAATTAAATCAGCCCCATTTAACAATTCTGCTATAAACCTTTGATATATTAATATAAAATACCCTCCACAAAATGAGTCCCCCGCACTATTGGTATCGACTATCTTTTAAGGATCTACTGATTCTACTTAAATATTTAGAAGCTCGTTTTTCTTAGCAATTAATGTAGGTTTGTGACCTTGTGTACAGACAACCACTCTATCTTTAGGACCTACTTTGCTAAACTCTGCAATTCTTAGCATAGATTCCTATAGGCCAAATCTACAGCCAAAATTTTTTCCAAATTATCCTACTTCTTCCTCATTTCCAAATAAATAATCAACATAAGGCAAGACTGCTAATATTTCATTAAATCTATCATTCACTGCATTTACACTGGACAATGAAAGACAAGTATGTACATTACTTTCTTATGCAACTTTGAAGACATATTTTGTTAATTCAGCTCTCGGATATAGGAAATAAACCTCACAAAATAATACAGCTGCTGTTTTAACCTCCTCTATGTGCTTTTCAACAAATTCTTAACTCAAATGAGCAGATGCTCCTATCAGAGGTACCAGGCATCTAAACATATTGATTTTACTACCTGTCCTTATTACATAAGAGAACAGCACATTTCCCAGTTGGATATGATTGTTCATCAAATAAAGCTGTAACTCCATCTTGGTTTGTTGTTTCAATCAGCATTTATGCAAATTTATCCTATTTTCCCACGCATCCGATAAATTTCACTTAATCCTTTTCAGCCTATGCCATCCATCTAGCCAATCTAATAGTATTCAAAGCAGACCCTACGATTAAGAAAATTAGCATACCACCAGGAACGTGAGAATGAGATGGAATTTTGATCAATTCTTCATATAATTCAATATGCTTTTTCTCTGCAAAATATGTATTATTTAATTTTAATCCATATTTTTCTAGGAATTGCAATGATACTTCAGCTTAAATATCTAACAATGGGCTTCCCAACCCAATTATCTTTTTTGTTGCGAATTAATATTTAATTATACTAATTATATTTTTCATAACATTTCCTTTCTATTTTTGGTTCTTTATATATGGAATATAAAGATATTAATTGAAATAAAGTAGAATGTTAATAATATTGTAAAAATTAGTTAGTATAAAACATTAATCAATTTATTCTTATTTGGGAAAAGGTTCTTATTTACCTATCAATTGTATCTAGCTAAAATTATTATGATATAAATTACAATGACTATGTCAACTAGAGCCTCAATGATTACAAATTTGGATTACTTGATTTGAGTTGTTTTCAAATATAATATCTATTACTCTTAACTCATGACTCTATTTTTTCTAAATGTATTGGACACATAATCTTAGAGTTTCTTTTCGAGGATTAATAAAAATGATTCAAATTCCTTTTGATTGTTCTCTAATTTAGTATACTCCACTAATAGAGCATTTTTAGATTTGTTAATTTTATCATATTCTAATTTCAAGGTTGCAATCTTTTATTCCAATTACCTTTGACTTTATGTTTTTTCATTTTATTCAATTTACTTTTGCACTTCACTTGATCTATGAGTCTTTTGTAAATCTTATAATTCATTTTACAAATCAGATATAGTTTAATCTCTTATTTGTAATTTTTAGATGTACAATTACTATTCTGACTTCAATTATGAGATTTCTTATCTTAATTTCTATTCATTTCTATGGAGTTGGTTGGTTTTATTGTTCAATTCATTAATAATGTTTTCGCAGTTATCTAATTTGAATGACTTTTGAATATGCAGGAATATTTCTTATTTTTAATTTAATTACTCTTGCAATTCTAAAATAGTATTTCTGTATAATTAATTTTCTTGTTTCCAATTATCTTCAAATAATTCGAAGGATTTAATTGACATTTCCAGATTTTCTATCACACTCAAATTGTATTAATTTTCAGTTTGTAATGATTTCAGTTCTTATTCTAAATGCTGATATTAAGTTTTGAGATTAGAATATTGTTATGTCAACTGATCGTATTCTCTTTTGAAGTCATTATTTTATTTGATATTGATATTTTCATCCTCTAATTTTTAGACATATTCTGACAACCTATTAATTTCTAATTGCTACTATTCAATTTAAGCATTTAATTGATTAGTTTCAGCCTAGAATGACTAATTATTTTGATAAATTTCCACATGAATTTATTCTAATTGCAATCTCAATTAAGAATTGTATTCAATTTATTTCTACAAATCTGAATCTAGTTTTTAGATATTCTAATCCTTCTCCTCATAGATACTGGATTGATTCTATTAATTTTGAAATAATTGAATTTGCATCTGTTCAATTTTCTCGATATATTATTGAACTTCTTCTTTCAATCCATCGTATTAGTGTTATAATGATAATTTAGAGACTTCCATCTAATCGAAATCCTCTTTGATCTAATCATACAGATAATCTTTCATTTTCATTTGATCTTCAAATCCTCTCAAAGTAGAAGCTAGTATAGTCTTGTGAGCCTACTATTGATCACTAATGCTTTATTCCAACTCCTTTTTCTTTTTTTACAACTTATAAATAACATCTTCCTATTGTAATAACTGTATTTTCAACTTATTTTAATACTCAATATTCTCATTCAACGTTTAGTAATTAGTAGTTTCCTCTTCTTTAAATGATAAATTCAGAGACTTCAAAATCTAAACGATATAGCTCTTCTTTTCAGCATACTCCTGCAATTGTCCCTCAACAGTTTCCAGTTCCATTTGCATAGCACTTTAATGGATCTATTGAAGCAATTTCTGTATCTCATCAAATTACATATGCAATTAAGATTACAAGGCATCACTTGGCTATACGTTTTCTAATTCCCTTGTTTTTTTGGCTAATTCTTCCTTCAGTTAAGAGATCTGGAGATTCAGCTTGGTAATCTCTTCTCCTGAATACTCCTTATTGACATGAGCCTTGACTTTTATTTGTTTAACCCTCTCTGCAAATTTCAAAGTCGAAATGCTTTCCTCCTCATGCAATGGATTGACAGCAGCCACCATGAATGTCTTTGAATTGCCTCCAAGGGAATCCTTCAATAGAGTGGTAAGTTTGGAATCTCTGAAGGGAATATGAATTTTATTATTTCCTTTTTCTCTCTCTACGATTGCATAAATGACCAATCCGAGCTGAGTCAGGCTTTTATTAATGGCTTGGGTTTCCTTTAATCTTTACCCTTCAGTTTGTGCAGTCTTCTGACGTTCTGAGCCAGCTAGATCAACAAAGTACATTTTTGAATATAAATGAACTTCGCATTTTTCTTATTAAATTGAAGTAGAATATTGAATTAAAAATACTGCGTGACTTCTTGAACTTTCACTATTCATTTTTGTAGCTGCAATGTGTCTGGTCGAATTGCCCTTTCTCAATAAGGCTATTGCTTCATCATAATTTGAGATCACAGCTGCATTCAAATTTTCAACATAGATGCCTTTCTTAGGATCTTCTCGTATTTGTAATGAATTCGAGGAGGAAGAGAGCAAATCAAATATTTACTCATTGTAGATTTCTAAATATGAACCCTTGATGATGACATTGGGATCCTCAATAGAACAAGCAAATATGTACTGCAAACACTAAGGCAGCAACCCATCATTATTCCCGATCAATGTATGAGTTTTGCCACTGCCTGTTTGGCCATAAGCAAAGACACACCCATTGTACCCTTGTAAAGCATTGTTGATCAGTGGTTATCCTATCAAGGTGAAGACATCCTATTATGAAGCACTTGGAGGAATCACATGATCGTAGTGATATTGCTTGTTCGATATCAATAATACGGTCGAATCGCACTCGTCAACCTTAATACAACCCTACTCTGGCTTTACTCTTACTACCACTTAAATGTTATTTTAACGATACTCTAACATGTATAATTATATTTTGAATTAATTTCAAATAATGCTAAATAAATTAGTTTAATTCAAAATCAAATAAGTAGTTTTTTGTGATCATTTGCTTCTCCTTTTTTTTTTTAATTGATTAAATTTTCATCCCATTTAGCTATACCTATTCGCAATAAATCTGTCTTCGAACTCCATCATTTAATAAACCATAAAGTCGCATTTAAATTAAACAGAATCTATCAGAATTTGATCATGTTATTTATATACAAGCTTCGATAATTAGGAAATCAATAATTATTTTAATATAAATACATGTAAATTTTCATAAAAACTTTGGCAGGCAAGAAAGTCTCATACAATATCGAAGCAGATAACACAATTCAATAACTTAAAATGCAATTATAAGAAAAAGAAGGAATTAGCTCTGAATAATTTAAAGTATTTTTAATTGTTATTGTTTTAGCTCATCTTCAAAGGAAGACATCTTTAAGAAGATAATAAAATAGCTGATGCTCAAATGTAAGCTGGAGATACTGTCCATATGGTCATTTAATTGAGAGGAGGATTTTGAGCGGATCGTAAAATATGATTGTTTAACATACCTATAAATATGTTTATATTTATACATACTTTTCATAATCTATTCAAACCATTCCTCTTAAATGTACATCTCATGATTTTAATGAGATAAGTGATTGAAAAATGCAATTTGCTGACCCAAAGTAATCGATTCACTAAATTCTGATCCTATCAATTTCAATGAATATCTTCATATATATCTATGTAGGTTGGTTGTTGATATTTGACTAAAGCTGAACTTTTTGGATTTCTTATGTTTCGATAAAATAATAGAATTTTAATTCTACTATAAAGAATATTTTAATGTTATTTCTTGGAATTGCGTGAGATTACTGAACTCAGATACAGCGTTGTATTTTGATAAAAAGATAAAAATATATGAAACAGCTCATAATTATTATTATTCTCCATCTAATGACCATTCAATGAATAGTTTTCGCCAATTTAATCAATTCTATATACACTAAGGTTTCTTTATCAAGGGGAGTTTGAAGATTGGCTTCCAACTCCTTTTCTATCCCTTTAGTGAAATGGTGAATGATCTGTTCTTCATTTTCAGAGATCTTAAATGATTAATTAAGTAAACTTTACTTTTGGACACATCTATTGGTAGAGCACTTGTTGTCGTTTAGACATTTTGACCAACAAAAACATAATATCAGAGATTTAAAGAAATAGACTCTTATTGGTTTTGATTTGCAATTCTAGTCTCTTGATTTGAGTGATATATTTATGAAAGGATGGAATGTAGAGATGCTGTTTTTGATTGTCTGAATCTTGGAAATTATGTTTGATATGTTCTTCGTAAAATGCATTGATTTTTGGGATTCGATTCAAGTCTCTAAAGAGGACTGGCATCGTTCCAATGTAATCTTTTAACAACAGTTAAATTCCGTATTTGTAAACAATGAACAGTCCTTCAAGATCATAATTTTGTTGTAATTTCTCTGCCAAATCAATCCAATATCCCAAAGCATCCTGACGATCGTGTTTGTTAGGGTTGCGCACGACTGAATAAATGATAAATTAAGAGATTGTATTGATTCTTCGAAAATACTAAATTTAGATTTGATATCTTACGTGATTCAGTCCTCCCTTAACAATAATGTTCCTTATCTGCAGCTCAGCGTAGAATTATGAGTTGATGAAGCTCAAGACAAAAGCAACTTCATCAGTCGACCAAGGCAGGACTTGATTATGTTTCATTAAAGGCATGAATATTTTTTATTGAATAATGTCGATTGACAATGAGCTCCTTTGGGAATCAGTACATTCCTTAAAAATACTCTTGTCTGGGAAGGGTTGAATGATGGATTCGAATATTGTTAGGAGTTAAAAGTCGATTCGGAATTCATTAACTCTTAAAGATATCATTAATGCTAAAAATTCAGTGATTGAATTAGAATTTGAAACAAATTAAGCCATGTCTTATTGGTTTTCATTCCAAACTGCTTTCCACAACAAGAAAAAAGTAAATGTTACTAGATTGGTGAAGTAATCTAATGTAAGAACCAATGTTTATTTCAATTGTTGATCATCACTATTAAAAGTTGTTTCTATAATTGTGTTAAAAGTAGAGTCTTTGAAAAAACATTCAACTTTCAGACATTTCTCAGTAAAGTTGGCCAGCCACTCTTCCGACGATTGTGCAGAGATTAGGAACACCTTCTTTGCCTATTCCGAGAGACTTTCAGAATCTTTTTATATTATGGTATTTTTTTGTTACCTATACGTTTTTGGTAGTTCTACCATTAGGATTCCTCAAGTAGTGTTCTTGAACTATGAAGACTACTTGAAGAGTAAGATGTGTCACATTAATAAAGCTTCCCTTCACTCAATTATTCTTAACCATCGGAAATATTGGAATAGAAACTAGTTGCTTTGTTTTGCGATTGTACATCATGGGTCTTGGCTTTGATTATCTCGAGTTCATTGTCTTCCAATAATAATTTTAGAGGTGGTTTCCTCATTTTAATTTTACTAAGTATATTATATATAAAAAATTAGAACATTAAATCTAAAATTAACTAAATATGATACAAGGAGCTCAGACTGACTTCATCTATGTATTTTATTGATAAAATATTGATTATGATAGATCTTAAAGAAATATAAAAAAAGTAAAAGGTATTCCGAATTACAAGAAATACACATCTAATGTAAGATTGCTATTCTCCTTAATTGTAGGTATCATCGATGAATTGAAAGGGGAAAACAAACAAGAACTTCACAATAAATTTTTCGAAATCCTGCAAAGTTCTTTAACTACGATTGGCTCTTTTAAGTTTTTAATTCTTTGTCACAAACTCATTTATCAACTCTAACAAGAATTCACTAGCAGATTTATTTCAAATAAGCTCATACCCGGAGATCACACTGATAAGTCCAGATTGGCTATTTACTATTATAATTTTTTATTCAAATTATGCGAAAACTTCGATTACTACAAAGAAGTCATAGATTTTATTGAAACTGACAATATTGTAAAGTTTTTGCAATATGAATTACTTGTTCAAATCCAAATACTGTATCCCTTGGCATCCCTACTGCAGGAGTTGTCTCAAGTAACATTTTCAATTTATCAGGTTGTCAAATTACTAGATTACTTACTTTGTAGGGAATCCCCACTACTTCTTCAATTGGGAACTTGCATTCTGAAAGACTTTTGCGTTATTTATAATTTCCTATCCACAGCTATGCAGGAATTGCAAAGTAGAAGTTTTTATAAACCCCTTAGTTTACATTTTGAAAGTCCCTTTAAAAGAAGCCAAAGTGCTTTATCATGTATATCAAATCACTATCCAAATGTCAAAGTGCATGAAGAGACTCCAATAACTTAAATTGTACTCTAATTTTAAATAACCACATTACTTCATTATCACTATTGAATTGAACAAGAAAATCGAACTCCACATGTTAAACTCCATAAAACTCTCTAACATTGAAATTAGTATATGACATATATGCATTTTTATATTCAAAGATTTACCTTCTTCCTAACTCTGTCCATATCTATAATTGAGCTTTCACTAATTATATCACATCGTACTTGGCTCTGGATAATCAGATCTTTGTGTTAGATTATCACTTGCAATTTTTGAATCTCCTTCTAGCATTATTCAACCTCGGCCCTCGTCCTATTGTTTTTGCGTCTTTATTTATTAGGCACTTTTATGTTACTCTTTAATAATTCATTCTCCTCCCTCAACAACTTCAATTGCGTCGCAACTATTTCCAACTTATTTTAGACCCTGGCCAATTACTCCTCCAATAAATGTCTCTCGTTCAACACTGCTCTGCATGAATCACAATACTCCATTTATTTTAAATTAAATAATATCTAAAATTTTGGGCATCTCAAAAATCTGTTACTCTTCCCCTTCCAATCCAATCTCCATATCTCGTTGGTTCTGGGCCCTTCACTTTGAATCCTACCTCAGGTGGCATCCCATTTTTATCCAATTCATATGGCTTGACTTGCTCTCCACTCTATTGACTCTTGGTTATCTTGTATTTCTGAATCAACTCCTTTAATTCCTTTGCCTTCTCTATTTGTTCTTACACCTCGCCCTTCTCATTTTCTTTTAAAAATCCTAATGGATTCATTAATTCATCCATCTATTTTTGAGAAAGTTGGGCACCCATGATACTCGAAGGTTTAGGAGGAGCCTTCTTGGATGTGCTAAACAAGTGCTTGCAAACTAATCTTAATCTCATTTAATTAAATAATAACTTTATAAACATAATTGTGATTAACATTATTCAATATGTATAATGCATATACAAATTATTTTTTAACCAAAAATAAAGAGTGAACTAAATTCATTAACTCAAATATTAAGCTTAATTTTAATTAAAACAGACACGCCTCTAATTTAATCGATAATTCTTAATTTAAAATTATGTAGCTTCGAAGTTGTAAGTTTAACCAACCTCCAAGAAGATAATATATATCTCCATATCAAATATTTTATTAAGAACAATTGAATATATTGTTGAGCCAAGGAGTTTGTATTAATATGGTTGGTGGTCCCATCTAAAAAGCCTGGTAGGAATTGACATCCGAAATGCATGAATATTATGAGGAGTAATTTGAATAATGCGAAGAACAATTTTAGGAGTAGCTCATCTACTTTTATGGTGGCAATCAAAAACATATCAATTAATTGAACGAACTCAAAAATATTCCCTCCAAACCCAAAAAGCCTCTCACTCCTTAATTTGAATATATAATCAAAAATAGGTACAAAATTTAATCTAAAACAATCAATTGGAAATAGTCTTTCTCACTTCTAGTCAAAGAATATTTTAAATAGTCTTAAAATGTTAGAGAACAATTAGAATTCGATTTCGAAAGAAAAATGAGAGATTACAAAGAGGCCATTGAAAAATGGAACTAGTAATAAAATTTTATAATTTTTAGAATGTATGCTGAAAAATATAAAACTTTAGAAAATGATACAATTGAAATTTATAAAAAATAAAAGACTGAAAATGATTTTGAATACTAAGAATTACAGTTTTTCAGACCTGTTAGAAAATTGAGAACAAATAAAAAAGAGGATTATGCTTAAACATAAAATGGTTTTAAAAATGTCAACAAATATCCACTTAGGGATGAAGATTTTGGTTTGAGAGAGATGTAGACTAATACAGAACAATTTGCAGAAGAGCTACAACAATTAGTCTCTAAATAAACAAAAAAAGCAAGACAATTTTGAGAAGTATATATAATTTATCTAAAGTTATTGTTACAATATTTGCTCTTAATTGAAAATCTTAGATACTCATATTCTTAGTATGTGATATAAATGATATCAATTACTATCATGTTCTTGAGTTTTTTGCTTAGCAAAATATTGTCTAGCGTATTGCTTTGATCTCAAAATACCCGTTTATGACTGGCATCTTGGCTTTTATGGATTGAATTTTTGATGATGCGATCTTATAGAGTGTTAATTATACCTACACTAACTAGGAGTTCTTGTGCCTACAACTTAACTCATTTTCTTAAATAATCTTTATCCTTTGGTGTGATTGTTGTTTTCTTCGAGGAAGCTAAGATAAGCCTTATGTTCTATTTCGTTCCAGTGTCCTTGTTTTTTATTTATTTTCTTCGATCCTGTCAGGATATCATTAGTTACTTTCGTGGCTTCAGAATCATTCAATGTCATTAATTTACAATTAAAATACAAAAAATATGTTCAGATTGAAAAATCAAGCACTCACAACTTTGGATTAATAATTATATAATTATTTTTTAACTGTTAAAATAATATGGGTATAACATGTTCTTAACCCAAAAAAGCAACTTTGACTCTCACAACAACACAAGATGAGGAAGATCCAAATTATGAAATCAAGAAATTGTTGAGTGAAGAAAGAATAACAAAACTTAGAAAAACATTTCCACGTCCCACAAAAACCTATGAATCCTATTTCCTTAGTTAAATTAATAATGATAACACAATGAATATTAATAAATGTAGTGATGAAGAAAAATTTCATAAATCAAGTAAATTGGGTGTTTCGCTTATTTGTTGAGGTTATTTTATGTCTTGCATTAAATCTATTAAATTTTCTTATTGATTTATTTATTAAATTTGCTTTGGATTTTCTTAGGTGACAATGGAAGAAGGACTATCTATAAAGTAGTCTGAATAATCCATAATATTTATTTATTGTTATTAATTTTGGTTTGTTGTGGAAGGAATTTAATTGTTATTATTGTTATTTTCAAAAGAAAACTAATCTTAAGGTTGTTTTTAACTTTAGCTACCCATCTAATACTATTAAGGTTATTATTAATTATCTAGAATATAGTTAGCGTATTATTATTATTATTATTATTATTATTATTACTATTCTGACTAAGTTTATTTTTCTTTACCTATTACTTAATCTGCTTTTGATTTTATAAATCCAAATGCATCATTAAATCCACTTTTTAAACTCTTATATGCCTTATCTGCAATCTTAGTAGATTTTTCCTAATAATTAAATAAGAATTTACTCCAAGTTATTTAGTTTTTGCTGTGATTTACTATCCTAATTAAACTGCCTCTTCCTTGATTTACACCTTAGAGATTTTCTCATCAATAATTGCAAAAGCCTCTTTAGTAGATTTAGATGCTTGTTCCCAAAACTATATTATTAGAAAATTTAGGTACATTTTATTATTCTTGAGTCAAAGGAGGATCTGGTTAGATTTGAGATTATTATTATGAAATTTATGGTTTTGGGGCCTCGTGTATTGCAGCCCAATCTTCTGGCTCTTCAGGCATTTATGTTTCATTAACTAACGCTCTCATCTTAATAAAATGAGAATTTGAAGATTACTTATTCTCTATAGTAGTGAGCAGCATTCGTCTTCCATTTGTTAGAATCGGCAATTTAAATTCCATGAGATTAAAAAAAGAGTCTTAACTGTTGATTTCCTCCTAAATGCATCATTGACAATTATTTGTCAGTCCAGGAATCCATTTCAATTGATCTTACAAATGTAAGATGCACACCCATCGCTCTATGTAACCCTGAGCAATTATAGCAAAGATAGATCCCATAAGGTAAACTTGCCCAAGTTGGACTTCCTGTCTAACACTCAAAACAATATCTATTTTCTCCAGTTTGTAATTTTCTGATTTAAGCAATAGCTTTATTATTCATTTTAATTTATAGATAAGTCATGAGTACATTTTCATGTATAATAGTATTATTGAAGTTGTATGAACAGTATATTATATATTTATATTGACTCTCAACCACTAGAAAGTTAGATGATATTTTATACTAATTATCATATTAGTTATCATCAACCTAGTAGTCTAAGTAATATCTAAAATAATAACTCCCATTATTCTCTTGGAAAGATGTTTTAATAGAAGGAAACATGAAAAGAGGAGACATTAACGATTTAGATGATTGATCCAAGAGAGTGTTTTATGGTATATATTTGATATGCTAGAAAAACAAAATAGGACACTAGGGAATGAAAACGAATATGAAGTATAGGCTGACGATTTTTGTTAATGTAAAGGTAAAACTGATAATGGTTTGAGTGGCTACTTAATTAAGGAGTTCTCTTAAAATTTTGATCAAATATTGGTTGGCGTCTCATGGCGTCTCCAAAATAGCATAAAAGCTATTAATTGAGTTAGGTTAAGCAGGTTGTTTGAAGCAAGGAAGATATTGAATAAAATTAATTATCACATTTGGCGGGGATTTTATTAATTAGAGAAGAAAGAGGGAAACATTTTGCTTATGAATTGAAACTTTAATTTCAGCCTAAAGAGACTTAGAAGAGGAAGTGCTTGCCATTAATTTGTAATTCATTATGAAAGATATGAAGAAATGATTCTAATGTATGAATTAATTAATATCTCGTTGGGGGGGGAGGTAAGGGGAGTAGTTACAAAATTAGAATGAGAACTTTATAGTGAAATTTAATTAGTTAAAGAAATGGGATGGCTGACCTTCTATACGGTGGGTCCATAATAATATATATATATATTGGTCACACCGGGGTATTGAAAGACAGTGTTTGATTGCAAGATTTTAAAGAATTATTTAAAACATGATTAGCATCGAAGAGTGTCCAACTTTAAGACCTACTCAGTAAGAGTTTGATAACTTCTATGAATATATTGAGAAAATAGATAAATAGTATTCTGGAAGCTTTGGAATGGTGAAAGTAAATACTAACATTTAAATAAATCACAGATCATTCCTCCTAAGAACTTTAGAGTTCGCTAATAGGATTATAATAAATCATTAGACAACCTCATCATCCAGGGCCCCATAGAGTAGAATGTGTATGGCAAGGGAGGAAATTACGAGTGTCTTCACATTCTTAAGAAATCTATGCCCTTAAAGGATTACAGAAATAAGTAATTGGAGATTGATAAATAACACGAAAAACTAACTCCCGATCAATTCGAGAGACTGTACTGGAAGAGTCTAGCCTTCAGTCCTCCCTTGTATGGGGCTGACATAAAATTGTCTCTAATGGATGTCAATAATGCTTGGAACCTCAATAATGTCACAAGTCTGTTAAATTACGGACTGAAAAACCGTATACCTGGAGTGAATGAGCCCTACATTTACGTTGGTTCTTGGAAAACATTTTTTGCTTGGCACAAAGAGGATCTTGATTTATGCAGTGTCAATTATCTCCATGTGGGAAAAGATAAGTATAAATATAAACAATATAAATAGATTTTGGTACTCGATTCCCGAAGCTGATAGTCATTTGTTAGAAAAGTATACAAGGTAAATATACGGGGATCATTTCAATAAATGTTCAGAATTCTTGAGACATAAAACAACAGTAATCAATCCTTACTTGTTGAAGGAAAAGGTACCAGAAATTCGCATCTCAAAAATGGCTCATCATGAAGGCGAATTCATGTTTATTTTTGCTGGAGCCTATCATCAAGGCTTTAATTGTGGATTCAACATTGCAGAGGCTGTCAATTTAGCCACATTAAATTGGTTGCCATTGTTATTAGAGGCAAAAACATGCAAATGTGTTAAAGACAATGTCAAAATAGATACTTTAGCATTCGCTGAGAATCTAAAAAAGTCAACTTTGTTCAAGGATCATGAAAAGGTTAAAGAATTCGTCGAAAAGGCAAAAAACATGCAAAAAATACTCCACAAACCTATCAAAAAAGTAAAGATGTGATTTAATTAAAATAACTATTATGGAACTTGAAAGAGGCTCTTTGCCTAAAGATCTTATTTCTGAGCCCAGTCCTTCTTTGCCCAAAGATTTCCCTCCCGAACTCATTCCCAAAAATATCTGTGAAGTGGAATTCTTTGATCTATTGAGATGCACTTATCAAGATGGTGCACAGATGACTTGTCCCAAAGAATTTAAATAATTCCTAGAATGCAAACGAGAAAGAGACCTCAAGTTATTTAACGCCTTGTAAAAATGGGAAATCTAAAGAGTTAAAGATCACACTCCACCCATGTAGCAAATGTACAAACAAGGCCTGCAAAATAAAATCAACAGATTAACTGAAGCAGTTTCGGTGATGCCTACCAATTTCTGGTACCTCCATAAAAGACAACGCTATGAAACAGATATTGAATAATTGCAATGGAGATTGTTTAATTTGAATAAATATGTATGATAATCCCCCTGAATATGTGAAAATACCTCCCTTTCGTTTCGTTAAGCCCTACCAACATGTTTACAAGACCAATGTCAAATCTCGTTGGTTGGGCATGACTCTATTAGATGCCATGGAAAAAGAGTTTAGAGCATATAACAAAGAATATTATGAAAATGCCATCAATGAGGGCAAGATTACAGTTAATGGTGTTCGAGTCTCTCCAGAATATAAATTGGAACATGGCATGCAGATAGAACATGCAACAACAAGAGTGGAACCTCCAATCCTGGATCTACCTGTCGATATTGTCTTTGAAGATGATAGTTTCGTTGTTGTGAGCAAACCTCCATCCATGATTGTTCATACAGGAGGAGGATATCATTACAATTGTCTGAGTGCTATTCTCCACTTTGAACATGGACTAAAGGATTTATATGTATTGCATCGATTGGATAGGCTGACTTCAGGCTTATTAATTTTTTCTAAGAATCGATTATTAGCTTAGAAGTTCCATGATGCCAATAGCAAACTCAATGTTTAAAAAACCTATTTGGCTAGAGTACAAGGAAACTTTAGTGAGGATATCAAAGAAAACAATAAGCCTTAATATTGTGTGTCGATGAAAGATGCCATCTTTGCCTGTTGCAAGGAAGAAGATGCTTAGAAATTGGATGCCAAAAGTGCTACAACCAAATTTGAAAAATTATGGTATGATCCAATCAGCGATTCCTCGTTATTGGAATGCAAACCAATCACTGGAAGAACACATTAAATTAGAGTGCATCTAGCTGATTTAGGACACCCTATACTGAATGATATTGGTTATGGTGGAAAGTTTATCGGAAATGAAATTGTCAATAGGAATTTTAAAGGCTTAAAATAAGAATCGATTAGATAAAAGGATGTTTTGGAAGGGGAGGTTCTTGAAATTGTTGGAAAGAAAGTTAAATTGAATACTTAAGGGGATGAATTATAAAAAGAAAAAACTAATGTTGACTAAAATTAAGAAGAGCCAAAACTACTATAAAATGAATAATAAGAGATTGTAAGTTAAGATTAGAAAGAAAAAGTAGAATAATAAATATAATAAGGATAAGAATAAGAATAATAAATAGAAAAATAAGAATAATAAGAACAATAAATAGAAAAATAATAAGAACAATAATAATAATAAGATCAATAATAAAACCAATAATAATAATAAGTATAAAATAATACCAAAAATAAATTACATTAACAATAATATGGAAATACTTCATTATTGAATGACTGTCTATCTGGGAAAGAAGAATGGGATTACCATAAACATCCTTTAGAAATTTACTTGCATTCTTGGAAATATTTATTTAATGGATAAGAATTTAAAAGTAAAGAACCATATTGGTATTATATATGAGGTTTATTATTATGCAATATAATATTTATTAATTTATGAAATAACATAAATACACAGCGTACTATTGCGAAGAAAATATCTATAATCTTATCAAGGACATGATGGAAGAGAAATAAGATCACCTTACATAGCATTATGCTGTTTTGATAACCAACCCATTTTAACAAACATACATTAAATGTTAAAAAAGCTAGCCATTAGTAATTTGGGATTATCATGTCATCATGGTTGTTAAGCACACTTACTAACAAGAAGGAAAAATTACTTAGAATTCATTTGTTTATGATTTTGATAGCACGTTGCCTATGAACTGTGATTTCAATACTTACTTTAAATAGGCCTTGGGCTTTTAAAAACCTTAAGCTACTTTGAAAAGTTGGTTCAGAGTGGTGGATGGATAAAAATACATTGATTATTTTGCAAGTGATCGTCATCATATGATTAAAAATGGTAAGTATTTACAACCACCACCATAATACCCATGTATAAAGGGAAGTAAATAAGAGAAGAATAACAATCTTCAGGAGTATTTAGATACCACAAATAATGATCCCACATTAGGAAAATGGATGACAGAAGAATAATTTTAACAATTTTTTGCAGATAAGAAAGCTTGATGTTATAATATATAGAGTAATTGCAATCAATTTTCATCCTCATATGATTAATCTTCTTTCTTTTGACTTTGAAATGGATCAATTTTATAATTTTTGTCATAGTTAATTTTTGGGAACAAATCCGAATCTTAACTATCTCCAATAATATCCTATTATTTTTATTACTAAATTAAAGAGTGGAATCATACCTAGAATAAATCTTTGACTTATTTTTTTATTAATGGCTTACTAGAAAGTTTAATTTGTTCAGAATTAAATCTGTCAAAGATTGTTTACTTAAGCACATTACCATTGATTGGAATTGTATATATTGAATGCTTAGACAAGATTTGAAATTCTTTAGAAAATTGGCCTAGTTTATCAGTTGATATTTCAATGAAGACCTTTCTAACTAATCCTAAAGAAATCTAAAAATAAGATTTTAAAGATATTACAGAGCACATTTGTTTAATTAGTACTTTGATATTGTTATTCAAAGGTTATTGAGCATAATTCTTTGGGCAAAGATATCTTCATTTTTGACGTTAATTTTGTATTCATATTTTCCGTTTTATCAAAGTTGCTCAAATTAGACTGCAATAGGATATATTAAAAGATCTTTTTTAATCTATCATTGATATCACCAGTAACCATATGATACTGTTTATCTATAAATTCATCCAAGGTGTTTTTTTTGTCAAGAGTCCTGATGATGGTCTGATACAGGCTTTCGTTTCTTATTTTACTTACAGGAGCAGCCCACAGTTATACTCTGGTAGCCATAGAACTAATTTTAACACGATAATTTGTAATGGCATCAGTTAAAATATACTATTGATTTAGCTCTAATTTTGGTTTGGTCTTTAATGAGCAGGAACTAATTTTTTGTCTTTCTTTGTTTTCCATAAACATCAATATCTTTTCTCTTAGCCATTCTATATTTTACTGAGTCTTCACTTAATTTCCTTAATCTAATTTCTTCATCGATTTCTGCTTTTACGAAAAGTGAACATTCTATGGGGAATAACAGTAGTCTTTTAAATAGCTTTAGGTACAATATCCAAAGTTTAAGGGATTTTCACATTTATGAATTCTTATGATGCTGTTTCAATTCAGTAATGAAAGAGATAGACTTGAAATTATTGGTTACTTCCTCATTTAATTTATTGCATAAAGCATTTTCTGATTTCAACCTAAAGTATTCCTGTAATTAGTATTAATTAAATAGTTCGATTCCAGTATTGTCATTCCTAACTAAGAATAATCTTGGAGGGAGCCATTATTTAGGAGGTGGCATGACTATATTTTCTTCATCTACAAATATGCCATCTGGAGTGAAGGGTTCTTAATTTTAATATTTGCATCCTCATCAATTTAAAAGTAATTAGCTTCATTATTTTTCGTAAGAATTCATCTCCTTTTTAAATCTATGGTATATACTCCTGATTTCTTTCATCACCTTGAGAAAACAACTAAATCCACTAAGCTATATCCTAACCTATTAGTTTTTTCTAGTCTTTATTGTTTAACCTGACTCTCTCTTCTGCAGTGATAATAACTACTTCTCTATCAGCTACACATATGCTCACGTTTCCATCTTATGTGTATAAAAGATGCACTCGATTTTTTTGTAAGATTTTGAATCCGGGATCTCTGATTTCTCAAGATTCGAAACAATCTTGCACCCTTAGTAGAATGTCTCAACCATTCTACTTTCTAAAATGTAAGGGTTGTATGAATTTCCACAAATTTTCCATTAATAATAATTAATAGCCAAAGCTAAGTATAACTCATTGATTTCAAGTATATTGAAAAATAGTAGGCTGTATCAAAACCTATATTAATATTGTTTTTCTCATGATAGTCCGTGATCTTTATTTAGCTTTATCAATTTATTAACATGATGGTTCCATCTTATTGATAAGCCAATTAGTTTCTATCTTTATAGTAAATTATTAGAGTTTGGTCGTCTCGTATATAAACGTTGGACACATTCAGGATTTGCTTTGATTGCACAAGGGATCTTATCCATTCCTTTTGGGGATTATCTAAAACCTTTATTATTGGTTGTAATCCACATATTATTTTTATATTCTGAAACATTGCCGTTAGAATACAAACTATTATTGAACTATCCTTCTTATATATAATAACTATCCTTGACCTGTGATGACTCTTCTAACTTCCAAATCAGAACTGATATAGTAAATAATGGACAGAACTGTATCTGTATTATCATAAATATTGAATAATGATTTATGGATCATTCAATAGAGCCTCATAGAATTTCTTTCACTAGGTATTTCTTTTGTGTCTCTCCATATATATTCTATCACCAAAATGGCACTCCTATTCAGGTTCATTTTCCTTAAGTAACTCTTCAAATTGCAATAGTAATTATCTTCTCTCAAATTCATTGACATAAACATTAACAAATGTATGCAACTTGGCCCTTAATAGCTTTTCTCATTTTCTCTGATTTCTCTGGTATTCCTGGATAACAAAGATTATCAAATATCTAATGTTCTCTATCAAAAACTAATTATTGATCATGTAATTAAGGAACAAACCCCATTTTTCCTTCGAAATCATCTTGGAACTCTTCAGGCTGCTCAATTTCAGTTATTTCCACCCCACTCCAATTGATCACTCCCTCCTTAACATGTATAATTAATTCTATCTATTCTTGAGGTACTTGGGGAAAACCTTGAACAATGAAAACCAAATCAAAATTCTTGGGATACTCTTTCTCAGGAGCAAGCTTTTCAGGTTCAACATTCGGCGCAGCTGCTGCAATCTCGTTTGTTCCTTTTTTGGTATCTTTCTTATCATCTTTTTGGGGGACAGTTTTTTCAGCAGCTTAAGCCTAGGCAGCCAAATACTTAGCTTTTGTTATTGCAAGGACTTGATCTTGGATAAACAACGGAAATGCTTTATTCATAACATTGGATGTAAGTTCGGTTGCAACTTCAGCCATAAATTTTGGATTCTAAATATTGAACTGGTTTACTTTTTCTATTTGTTAGTCAAAGTGGCAGGATCAGCATACAATTGTTTTTCTTTTCAAAAACCTAAGATCTCATCTCTTTGAATATTCTTTTAAAATTGTTTGCATGTTTTTAGTAGATTGAGTAGTTTGATTGCTCTTGATTTGGCAGCTTCAATTCGAATACTTACACATAGATGTTTAAGAGGAGGCAAGGCATTCAAATCAATTTCCTCTTTTTAGGTGGCATAATTTAATTATTTTTATATATGTTCACTTCTTTTTCTTGACCTCCTGTTCCTCATTGTCATGATAGAATACAATAACCCATTTGTCTTCAGCAGTATTGCATATGGCCAATCTAACAATTCTTGTGTTTTCTTGCACCTACACTTCAGCCACTTAGCCCACTCCACTGAATTAAGCAGCCAAAATGTTCTGAGGATCCAGAATCTTAGCAGCAGTATTGGATCGAGGTATATTCAAAGAACCTGCAGATAAGAATTTGATTCCTGCTTCCCACTTTTCAGGAGGACGATCTGCAAATTGAGGATAGGGTTCTTTGACATACAATTTGATATCCTCAGTTGTTGCAAAGAATGGAGTCATATTATCCTTCATCGTTTTCTTATCTGAATGTGCATATGCATCTGCAAAACGAGTGAAGAAATGGGTTGCATTTTCCCTGACTTCTGCTTCCTTCTTGTTGAGCATCTTCTCCATCTTAAGTTATTTCTGCATTTTTGATTGATAAATTCCTTCCACAAATTCTCCTTCCCATCTATTGCCTTCCTTATCAATGAACACTCCTTCTCCATGCATTTTATGATTTACCCATTCACCTTCATATGTACAACCTTCAGGAAATTGATAAAATCCAATGCCATTATGCCTATTATCTCGAAACTGCCCTCTATAAATTGCACCTGATTTGTAAATGTACACACCTTCTCCGCACATTTGATCATTCTCGAATTCTCCATTGTATTCTTCCTTCAAATCGTTGTCTGTAGACAATGAACCTTTTTATCATTCCTATATTTCATACTTGCTATCACTATTCGGCCCTTACCATGTTTCACTTTCTTACCTTCTATCAATTTCCATTGTCCTTCATACACCGTGCCATCTTGATATTCGAATCTCCCCACACCTTCTGTTTGAATTGCAGCCTCCACAACAGCCATTTTATATATACTTAAATTACAAATTAAAACCAGACATTTAAGAGAGTCTTAAGTACCTATCGACATACTCCCTCTTTTTAATTTATATTTAACATGTCTGCCTCTCCCGTGTCAGTGTCCTCATAAGAGGAATATATGGTTGAAGCCATCACCAACAAAAGAGTCAAGAATGGTCGCACTGAATATGAAGTGAAATGGCAAGGCTACTCTGAAAACGAGAAAACTTGGGAACCCATCGAAAATCTGCAATCTGTCATGACTTACGTGTTAGATTTCGAATAATCACTCAAAACAAAACCCCAAGAGGTCGGGGAAGGTTCGTATGAGGAAGGAGATTCTGCAGACGAAATCATTTAAATCAGAAAGGACAACGATGGCCAAAATCTGTTGTTTCAGGTGTCTTGGAAATAGAAGAATAGTCGAGCCCCCAAGGTATCGTGGATCAATCAAAATTCACTGAAAATGCACAACCCAGAGATTCTGATTGATTATTTATTGAAGAAAATCAAGTGGCCAAACAATAAATGATTAATATATTAATATGGATATCCACATATATTTAAATATATTAATGTAAACTAAGTTAAAGAAAGTAATGAAAATATTATCATTACTGGATACTAAACTAAAGTTGTAAGAATAACCAGCAAACAAGAACATGCGAAATATTCACCCATCTACTATCTTTATATTCACTGACATTCCTTCGATTCTGATGATAATCCTCTTCATAGTTCTCCTCTCATTAAAATTATTTATTAAAATTTTTTATGGTAAGAAACAAGAACTCAGCTAATATATATTGATCATTAATTGTAATCCTATGAATGCACAATCTAGTTGGCAATTATGCAGATTATTTTCAATCGCGAAACTCTATTTCCAACTATTTCAGTATATCCACACATTCGCTCCCCACATTTCCTTTTCGCCTTCCTCTTCTATCTCTGGTGAAATATTATGGTCTTTGCCGTTGCGTATTTGATACCTAACCTTTGAGCAGCCTAATCATCTCATTAATCTTTATTATGTACATCCTTAATTTTCATCCCCTATCTTTGCACCATAGTATATAGTTGTTGCTTTGTGTTCAATCTGATCTTCATGTACTTTTTCCCCTTCTGTTTTTCTATTTTGTGGCCTTAAGTATTTTTTAAATCACTCGAGGATTCCTTTGAAACATTTTAAACCTATGAACCGGATCTACTGTCCATCTGCTATGATGATGCCATCGACTCTTAATTTGTTTAAATTAAATTATTGACTTCCTTTCTATCCATAAATCGAATAAAAATTAGCAGATAAATTTAGAAAAAATGATCATATTTTTCTCAGATTAATCTTGTTTTCTATTATATTCGTAGTGTAAAATTTGAATGAGTAATCCAACCAACTCTTTCCCTCTAAATATCATTTGAGTCAAAGCTAGTAAAGTAGGCAAGAAATTGGCAAAATTACCAAATTCCTTACTGGACTCATTTAAACTTTGAACCCCTCTGCACTCCCCTTCAACTGGAATCCTGTTCCCTTTTGAAGAGACCCTCACAAAAATTAGTTCCATCCATAACCATTCAATGGCTGTCAGTTTGCAATACAAAATAAGCACTAATCAGAGAGAAAGACTTTTAAAAATTTTTGGTTTTTTACATGACTCATTTGAATGGCTGGGCGATTCGGAATAATACAGTACAGATTACAAGAAGGCCAAAAACTCTGTTTAATAACATATTTAACTATTTCAGAGTGTTATTAATTAATATATAATTATAATTCAAATTTAATTATTTAATCAATAAAGTAAAACAAATTAATTACATAGGCGTCTAAAATTTTTAATTTAATTTTAATCAACATCCTCTAACAATTATATTTCAAATGCCCAATTCTTCCACCTCCAGAAATCCTGATTGCCACCCCTTCACTGACCCTTACCCTTACTTGCTTACATTTGCCATACTGCATATTTGGAGCAAAAGTGAACCTTACTATATATTGAAATTAACATGCTCTATTGGGATTTTTTAATAATTAAAGTTATAATAATTTCATTGAAAATAGAAAATTTAAATATCACAATGAAAAATTTCACTACTTTTACAATAGGCTTGTTTAAATTCATTAAAACCAATTTATAAATATTTTATTATATAAAATGAAGATGAAATAATTTCTCGAGTGCGAATATGCACTTTCAAATCGCATTAAGTGTGCAACATGTCACACTGTGATATACAAACATGATCTCAAGATTGGACACATATTTTTGAGGAAGGATGAAGGTAATTACCTTAAATTCACTATAAAATAGGCTAGCAATTTGATAAAAAGGTATGGTATCATGTCCATTGCGTTAAAAAATGGCCTACTGGGGAAAAAGGCTAAGAATTACCCCTCTTTAGGTTACAATCACTCAAGGCAGAAGACCAATTAAGAATCAAGGAATTATATAGGTCCTTACAAGAGAAACCTAAAAGTAAGTTGTTATTGGTTTATTCAAAGGTAAAAAGGAAATCAAAGTCCTATCTAAGCAAGAACAATATGAGAAGTATGTGACTGTGAAGAATTTAAGCGATCCCGCCCAAATAGATGAGGACGATGACTGCATAATGTTGTGACACAAATATTTTGAGGATTTTATTATTGTTATAAATTTTATAATGACAATTACAATACAATTACTTTGGAGAAATTATTTATGGTATTCTCTTTTAAATAGTTACTATTTTGATTAATTCTATACAGGTTTTCAATTCAAATTGTATCCTTTTTTTCGATTAATTAATAACTTAGTATGCAAGATTAAATAGAGTTTGGATATTGGAACATCAGAGGAATCGCCTAACCACGTATTCAATAATTCTTATTTAAGTGAGATATCTCTTGGAATATGTCGAAATTCCATACACCGATAAGGTCTACAACATTGCTGATACAGAATGGTCACAAGCCGTTGCCAAGCCTCCTTTGAATCAAGAGGTTCTTGCCAACCTTCCCTACATCAAAGATGGCGATAAGTGGATCTTTGAAAGCCAAGCGCTTTATATCTATATCGCTTATAAGGCAAAAAGGCCCGATTTATTGGGAACTACAAATGAAGAGCAGGTCCTTTTAGAATAGGTCAAAGGAGTCTTGATAGATTTATATAAAGGATTTCGTTCCTTAATTGCTCTACCGGAAGCAGATTATCCAGCCAAGAAGGATGAATACTTCAACACCTAAGTGTTGTGGATAATTGAAAAACTCAACAAATTTGTTTAAGGCAGGACTTGGTCAGCAGGAGAGCACTTGACCTATGTGGATTTCTTTTTGTTTGAAGTTGTAGAAACATTGGAAGCTTATAAGCCTGGACTTTTGGATCAATTCCAAAATCTGAGAAAAATTCACGATGCCCTAGCTGAAACTCCATAAATCAAGAAATATCTTGCCTCAGACAGGTTTATTGCTAAGCCGTTTTACCCAGTTGGAAGATGGAGATGGTGGTGAAATTTATATAATTACAATAAAATTATGAATTTCCGAATTCCTAAAAAAAATACAATTTTCATTCTTTTCTCCTTAACCAACTTGCACCTCTTGTTTCTCATAATGTTCGCTAAGTTAATATGAAATTACAGTCAATTTAACTATTATAGACTAAGTTTTATAAAGTTAAATAAGATAGATTAAGTTGTTTGAAGGGAGATATGCAAATTTATGATCTCGTTTATGCATTTTAAGCCAAGTTCTAACCCCAATGTTAACTATATTCTTGGGATATTATTTCATAATTCTATAATATGAAGATTTAGGAATATAATTTTTAGGAATAATTTATTTAATATTTTTTTATGAAGATCCAAACCTCTACTTCTTGAGGTTGGTAAAAAAGGTGAGAAATTATGTATCCTCTTGAAGTTTATCTCAAGTTCAAAGTACTATCTTGAATAGTCTTTTCTTTTTGATATATTCTTAATGCTTACGGCATTATCGAATCATGAGTAAGATGAAAACTATTGCCTGTTATTTGAAAAATGAAGGACTTTCTATGTTTTATCATAATGAATTGGGAATAAGTTCAGATTTAGAGAGATTGGATAGAAAAATTCTGAATTCTTAAGGAATTCGGAAAAAGAATATTCGAATTTTGATGAATACTATTATTCTGCAATTTATAATCTGCAGACATTTATTTAGGGATATTAAATAATAACATAATGGCAGATAAATTGTTGTTTGGATATTGGGGAATCAGAGGACTTGGTTAATCATGTACGAATTCATATTTATTTTAGTGAGATACTATTTGGAATACCTTGGTTTACCATATGAAGAAAAAAGATACGTGAAACCAGAAGAATGGTTTGGAGAAGTCGCTTAAGCTCCACTCAATAACGAAGTTCTTGTCAACTTGCCTTACATTAAGGATGGAGACAAGTGGGTTTTCGAAAGTGGTGCCCTCTATGTTTATTTGGCACACAAAGCCAATAGAGCTGATTTACTAGGATCCACTCCAGATGAACAAGTGACTCTTGCTTAGACTAAGGGAGTACTCTAAGATTTATTGAAATCCTTTTTCACATTAATCACCTTCTCAGAAGAACAATATGCTGCAAAGAAAGAGGAATTCTTCAAGACCGACATTCTTTGGCTTATTGAAAAATTGAATGCTTTCTTGGGAGGCAAATAATGGGCAGCCGGAAACAATCTGACCTATGTCGATTTCCAACTTTTTGAAATTGAAGAAACCTTAAAAGCATTCAACATTGATGTGTTCAACTCATAGGCAAACCTTAAGAAACATCATGATGAATTCTCCAATATCGCTTAGCTTAAGGCTTACTTGGGCTCAGAAAAGTTCATTGCAGGACCATTTTATCCACCAGGAGCCTTCAGATGGGGTTGATTATTATAAATAACAATTATAAAGACATTGATATCAATATTGCTCCCTCTCTTGATAATAGTCTAACTTTTGTTGACTAATCATCAACAATTTTTTTATAATATTCTCATCAACGTCAACGATGACATATCAATTAAAAATGAATATGAGATAAAAAATTATTCTGACATTATAAAAATTTCTGATTTTTAGATTATTATATCATTAATTTATGTTGTTTCACGAAGTCTTCTTATTAGAAAGATAATCAATTGCTAGAAAAAAAACTTAATATTTACTAAAAAAATTATTTTCATTCTCAAATATTCATTCCAACATTCAGATTTGAATACTTATAGATTTATTTAAATTAGTGACTCACTTTAGGTAGTCTACAATTGTCACATACATTTACAATTAAGATAAGAATTCCATATTTTTTGGTAATTTTATCAACATAATTATGAATGTTGCAACTCATTATAATACTCCTTACTTTCATGTACTTTTTGAATAGGAGACCTAAAGCATAATTAAAGCAATTAAATGAGTAACTAATTTCTGATATATATGATGTGCTATATCTGAAAAGAATAGATCTAACTTAGTAATAGGCAACTCTTTATTTTTTATTTGTTAATTAAATGTGAAACAAGTGGAAAAAATAAATTAAAAATATTATATTTTTTGCGTTTTTCTTTTATATTTTATCTTAAATCAGCAAAATATCTACGTTGATCTGCAATAAATAATCTATATTTAGAGTATTAGACATAAAATTATGTAAAATCACTTGAATCTGAAGAATAAACTAAATTTATATACTTCTATTATTTTGATCATAAATCTATCCAAAAAACTAAATCTGTAATTTGAGTTTGCGATAATTATATCCATCAATATTAGCTGATTATATCAATTAAGTAATGAAGTAATTATTCCAAAATCTAAAAATCCTAATTATATTGATTCAATCAGGAATCAAGTATGATGTATCTATATGGAATCCTGAATCACTCTGTTTGTTTGTAAGATGCTGTAATTACACACTCGAATAGATTGAATGTTTATTACTGGCATATTAAATCAAAAGCAAATAAGCTTTAATCATAAGGGTAATATATATAGAAAATAAAATTGGAATTGGAATTACAAAATCAACAACATTGCTTTTTTGCATGATTATTTTCTTAAGTGTGATCAGATTACAATTGAATTGGTTTTGAAGTGAATGATGCCACTTCTGTAATTGGTTAATCACTTCTGCTCGTATTCTATTTCGAACTTGCTGGTGTTTTTTTGGTAGTTTTAATTGAGTTCTTAAATGAATCACTAGTAAACATCCTCATGATCACTAATTTTACTGCCTCTACAAAGGCCTTGGATATATATTAAATATTTACTTTTTCTACATTTTCGCCAGTCTTTGCAGAAGTTTCAAAAAACAAACTAAAATTGTTTGCATTCATAAATTTTTCAGCTTCTTGTTTTTGAACACTACGTTCCATATCTGATTTATTTCCTACAAGAATTTTGACAATTTCTTCATGAGCACTTTCATGCAATTCAGTTAACCAGTCTTACAGCTTCTCAAATGAATCTCTTTAATTGATACTATATAACACAAAGACAGCTGCAGCTCCGCGATAAAAACTCTTAATCATGCTTCTAAATTATTCTTATCCTGCCTAATCGATCACTCAAAACATTTACAGTATCCCATATTTAGAGCTCCACTCTGCGTTTATCAACAACCACCAATTTCTTAACAAATTCCACTCCAATTGTTGCTTTACTCGCGCCTTCTATAAATTAGCTTTCGGAATATTATTTAACAAAGCTACTCTTGCCAACAGCTAAGTCTGACATATCCATTTACATTGATCTCCAACTACAATAAACTTGAACATAGGCAGACTATCCTTACTCATTTAATAAAATTCTATAAATTATTGTATTAATTATCAAATGCCCTTTTAATTTAATGAGTAGCAATTCTATTGTAATATATATTGCCATTCCATATCATATGGGATTGTGGCAATTACGAAATAGACAAAAATATCATTTCAATACAAAATTACATATATATTCATCATCATTAAATTCTAATTAAAAATTATAAATTAAATCATTCTAATCAATTCGTTATTTTATAAATAGAAAAATAGTAAAAGTACATATTAGAAGCTAAAACTTAAAAGGCATTGTTTTCACTAATTATTATCCAATAATTCAGATAAAAATTATAAAAATTCAAATTTATTAATGTCTGTACTTTTTTAAGTTCTCACACTTTGGATACTTCTTTTCAAAGATTGAGATCAACTCATCCACTTTCTTGAAACAGTTCAAATACTCATCTAATTTCAATTAGGCAATTCTAATGAGATTATTCTACAAAGAATATAACTTATAAATTACTATCTATTGTTTTTAATTCCTATTTTTCTTTTCTTTTTCATCCTTGCCAGACTAATGAAACTCGATGTAGTTATAAATTGTGTATCCCAAAATACTGGCAGCCAAAAGCATCTATTCATACTACATCATTTAGAAATCGTGGCAACACATCTTTAGGATATGGCTGGCTGTATCATAAATGGTTTACACAAATTAACTAAAATAAAATTATTTTAATACTTTTAAGACTATCCAAATAATTAAAAATTTAGATATTATAAGTATTCGTTAAGAGTTGGAAAATTAGTATTGTAATTCAAAGTTTCTAGTATGTCTTTTTCCATTTTCTTTATTTGATGGGCGGAGAATTTATTATGTGAAAGCACTATTATTATTGTTTCAATGTCAAAGCATTTGATGTCTTCAATCTTGGAAGCAATGAATATACAGGTGACACCTAACAGGTAGATATCCGAGTCAGTGTATTATTATTCAGTGTTCTTGAGGTAGGCATCCATCAGGTTAACAGCTCTGAAAAAAGTATTTTACGTGGTCAATTAGTGACAGCCAAAAACCTGAATCATCCAATCAACCATCAAGGCTCTGGATGTATCATTGATTTTGTGATTGGCTAGACTGCATCCCAAATCTATTCGATCCTGTATTAAAGAGTCAAACAACTCCTTATTATAACAATTATTATAATCAACTATTCTTTTAACTGAAGGGTCTAGAAGACCTTCTACATAATCAGATTCTATCTAGACCTTTTTTTCTTGATTTAATATTTCTAACATTTCAATAAAACCATTCTCCTATATTTCAGTTGAGTGACTAGAATTGATATAGGAATTTTTTCGTTTCTTTATCTTCTCAGTTGGGATTTGTTCACTATACTATTAACTTTTGAACATGAAATGATATTTTTATTCAAGAGAATTCAATAATAACGAATAAGAGGGAATCTTATTCACCTGCTGAAATTGAGTGAGAAAATCACTAAAAAATTGATGGAATTTAATTTACTATAATTTTTATAAATTATTATATTCCATAAAGTATTTGTCCTCCTTTAAACTCTCAATCTAAGTCAAATGCTATCCCTTTAATAATTATCTATGGTCATATTTATAAAAAGAGGTATATAATATAATATATGACAGATAGATATCTATATGATATTTATATGTAATTGATTTATTGCTTCATTTTTAGTTGAAATTATTTATTTAGACAACCAAAAAACAAGCAATGTCCAAACTGAAAACCAGAAGCAAAATATCTATTACGACATTGTTAGCAAGCAGTTTAGCAATCTCTGCCTCCAACATAAATGGCTAATGCATATTTCGATAGAGATATTTACTTTCATTATCATTCAAGAAAAAAGTCTTAATTGTCTCTTTTTTGATACTCATATTTGTCACCTTTCAAGTCTTGTCTAATTGGTGTGATTTCTAAATTATATCATCTCTAATTGCAATTGGATTAGCCATTGTCAATAAATGTTCTTAACTGTGATTATTAAAAATAAAATAATATTATATTATATAGTATAATATATTACTAATCATAATATATCCATCTGATAACAAAATAGAGCTTAAGAATTTTATTGGAGAACACCTTTGTTTATTTGTATATGTATATTATTTGTACATGTATAAATAGAAACCAGGTAATTTTGAAGTTCTTTCAACATTTAATTTCCTAGATCAGAATAGGTAAAATTTTTTGAATGATATTTGATCAATTAATGGCTTTAAACATACTCTACAAAATGGTATATGCAGTGTTGGATTGCAATTGACAGATGTTTAATTTTTTAAATTTATACAATAGACAAAAATTATTGAAATTAGTAAAGAAATTACTTTTAAATTACAATTGTTTAAATTGGAATTCATGCATGGTTTGATGTTTAAAAATTAGAGAGAGAGAAGAGATCAAATGAAAATATGTGATGATAGTTTAAATTTATATCAAATAAAATAAATATATATTGTAATGCAATTACGGAAAGTTCGTTCACAGGAAAATTCATACACGAATTTAGATTAGCAAAGGAAAATAGACTCTGCTCAATTCAAAACATAGCCATGTACTCAATAACATCCCAGCACTCATAAAAAGTTTTGCCCATATTACCATGATGAATCTGATCGAAGACGCGATCCTCATCAATTCAAATATAAGTGAGAATACTGTTAATGATCCTAAGGTGTCAAATTTGTCCTTAGTTTGAGCAATGTCCTCATGGAGATTTGTGTGCATTCTCACACAACAAAGTAGAATAAGTGTACCACCCAAATAGATATAAGAGCAAATATTGTGTATAGAATAAGGATTGCGAATATGGAATCTATTGCTCATTTGCCCACAATGAACACGAATTGCGAGTCCCCCTTAAATTAGAGTAATTGGTACCAGACAAGAAATTTTGGATGTTTCACTATAAAACAATATGGTGTCCATACATCGTTGGGTATCCCATTATTATAAACTCAAAGTCACGATCGAGCCACTTGTGTTTATGCTCATAATGCACAAGATTTCAGGAGAGATCCCCATCAGCTTCAACCTAAGGAATGCGTTTATTGGAATAAAACAGAGTAGATCCAAAGATATGATCAAGGAGGCTGTCCTGATCAAGAGAACTGTCCAAATTGTCATGGATGGAAAGAATATGAATATCATCCCTTGATTTACAAAACAAAACCATGTGCTCAACCAAATTGCATTAAAAAGGAGTGTCCCTTCTTTCATAATGATCAAGAACGTAGGTACGATCTCATTCTTATACCTAAGAATACCCAAGTAATAGAATGAAAAGCAGTGGATTATTTAGGAACCAAATACTCAGAATTTATTGAGGGTTCCTTATAAGTCCAATTCAAATTATTAAGGACCTATAATTCCCAGTTATATTCCACAAGATTTGAATAGAGAGAAAATGGAAGTTGGGTAGCCACTTGAATTGTTTAGCTCTATGACCACTTCATCAAATCCACTATCGAGAAGAGGGTCCGATTTCTCAGACAGATAAAAAAAAAAATGGAATACATAACGTAAACATCATCGCACTGCTCCTACGACACCAGATCAAAAGCAATAGTAATAAACAAAGATTCCATTAATCAAATATTCTCGTCGATTGTAGGATGAATTATGGAAATTATCTGGGGTAAAGCGATTTCAGTAATATCCTAGTCGGATTTCATTTTACACACTCTAGAAGGGATGAAAATAACTGAAACCAGTTTGATGCATATGAACGAGCTTAATTTACTATCTTTGAATATTAGTGATTAATAAAAGCAATATTTGATATCAGCCTTATTCAATATTAAGTAAGAAAAGAACTACGATGAAAAACATGACGATGAATTATTAAAAGAAAGTGCTGGGCAATTTTGAAATTTTAGCTCTTGTATTTCAATAACATTTATTTTTCCAATCATACTTAAATCAATTCTCTCTCCATCTATTTTAAATCTGTAATAAACTAAACTGTTATATGTATCCAAACTAGTCAATAATAATATTAATACATGAGAATTTCAATTTCATTCAAATATTAATCAAAGGGAAGCCCTTAATCCAATTATAAATTATGGAATCATAAGTTTTAAATGATTGAGTTATATTGAGCAGAATTGTAATCTATAAAAGGATTAAGGTTTGAAATATTTATTTTGATTATGTAAAGGGGATAAGACTAAATTTATAGAGCTCTATATTAAAATGGTGGAATTGAGCCTTTAATTATTCAATCCTTCTTCATTTAATGCAAAATTAGCTGATTTATTTTTCAATCAATTAGTTTATTATTATGCAAATTAAATATAAGGAAATGATGTAATCGTGTAATCCATGAGAGAATCAATGGGCTTTTCAGATTTCGAGAACCACTTAATAATAATGCATGGATAATGAAAATGACGACAAGGCCACATTCCATCAGTAGAATTGAGGAGTTTAGATAAAATACTTAAATGTATATCAGTTTGACATATTTAATCTGAACTAAAATAAATCATTTAGTATTGATATAACAGCTTTTTCTATTTCGTATAAGCGTAGAATCACTTAAATCACAATTGTTATTGTCTACTATTGCGAGTAGAGAGATGAAGAGTATCTGTAAAATTTGATTGATTAAAATTGAATTTTGATTATATTTTTTTATTTAATATGAAGGATGAATATGCTGAACTTACTACCATAGGTACATCAAGTTCATCAGCTAATAGGAAATTACTCTTTCTGCACAAGAGCGAAATAACTAAATCTTATATTGATTAGACTAAATAGATCTGCAACTAGTAGAAAAAAAAGAAATAGCCATTTCAGAGGAGATATGATTAAGAGCAAGAGAAGAATGAGAGTATTGAAATATAGAAGGATTTAATGAAAGTGGAAATTTTGGATTGGTAGGGTTTCATGGATCAAGAGTAGGATATGATAAATAAAGTGAATAATGAGGAAGAGCAATAAACCAATTTAAAGACGCCTTTAACTTTTAAGTGTAAAACCAATCCTTGTATAAAGCAGATTGGGAGTGATCGAGTTAATTATTTCTACAAAATGAAATTAGCTAAGTAAAAATATCAATCATACATAAGCAAGTAGTTGTCTGTCATAAGCACCTAAGACTTTTTGAAAAGCGTTCGGCACTCTTAAAAACTCGATGATTACACAAAACTATACAAACAATAACCACACAACCTTTACATGAGTCTGAATTTTTCACAACCTTAAAGGATGCCAAAAACCTTTGGATTAATATAAAATACACTACAATTAACAAATGCCAATGTAAGTCATTCTTTAAGGAACGGTGAGGATTGTAATGCTTTTTCCAATGCCATGCTTACATAGCAAAGCAGGTAATTATAGGCAATGCAATTAAATCATAATTCATTTACTCCAATTCAGTTGCGCAACATACTGTTGACTTTCCCTACTACTCTTAAGGATTTGGAATTGCAGAATTGCAAACTTAACTATATGCATATGGAAGTGTTGATGACGTTCGCAAGCAAGAATTAAATTTATAAGTTGAATCTTGAAAACAACAACATTCGAGATTTGGGGTGCCAAATAATTATGAAACATCTCCTAACAAATAACACTCTTCAATGCATCAATTTGAACAATAATCAAATTACAGAGTGTGCTTGTAATGCCATCTCAAATTTACTTAAGTAAACATAACGTCTCTTGGAATTGTATTTAGGCTATAATTTCTTAAACGGTAGCGCAGGCACGATCATTTGGAAAGCCATGTATAAAAACACTAGTATCAAAATCCTGGATCTGTCTCACAATACCATAGCCTCTTTGGAATGTGCTTAATCAATTAACAAAGCGATCTCTCGGCCATATAACGAATTACTGCACGTTGATCTCTCGTATAATAAATTCAGCAGTCCTTAAGCCCAGTTAATTTCAGAAGCACTACAAAAGAATGAAACTATTTATGGATTCCATTTTGAAGGCAATCAGCAAGAACTATTTGTCAATCCCAATGGATTTTTAATTAATAGCGTTTAATCATTCAAATAAAGGCAGGATAAGTTGTAATTATTATATAAATAGCCTCAATATTTCAAATTATTAGATGAACCTAAAAAGGAGAATCTACTTATGAAAAGAGAAGAGATATTAATCTTGCCATTCAGTAGATCTAGGAAAATAAGATCTACAAAATTGAATAAATAAAAATTGAATGAAATCAATCGTCTTGATTCTTGTTGGATTTGTGAAGGATGGTAGGAGATTAAATTTGAATGGACTGCTCATAAATCTGGTAGTCTATACAATGAACCTATTTTCATTCATTTTGATTTTGAAGAATATCGACCTCTTTTGATGACATTCTTAAATAACGAGTTTTTTTATGTTAAAATGTGTCCACCAAATAAGGAAATCCATTATTTCTTTACTAATCCAATCTTAAGCATTCAACAACCAGCATTAGATCAAAATATAAAATAAATGAATATTTAATCTATTCCCTTTTTGTACAACGATGAAATCTTAGTAGATGGGAATGTCATGGATTAAGTGAATGTATATCATACTAATGACAAACTAAGGCTATTTGACAAGTATATGCCAATGGTACAATGCAAACCCAGAGAACCATTAGCTAAATTTGACTTCTCTCCTTATCTTAACATAAAGAAGCATTGTTGGTAAGTTGAAAATTCTATATTCAAACATTTCTAACCTGATACACCTAATTTGGTTGATGAATGCTTTGAATTTGATTTTCAAAATTCCAAAGTCACACGTTTGGTTAAAGATACTGAATTGAATGAAATAAAGGATAATCTCAAGTAACTCTATCGTCAATTATTCCACTGTTACAAATACCATGCTTCTGGCTCACTGAATACACCTATTCCATGTATCACCATTTAGGATTACATCGATTTCTTGCTTCAAACTTCATTGTTGGATGGTTATAAAACTAATGATATAGATATCAGCTTTACGTCAACAGCAGGGGCAAAGGATGTCTAATTCCCTTAGGCCTTTGATAAAGGATTGGTTCGTTGTCAGCTTTTGGAAATCATGATCAGAATGTGCAATGATAAATTCATTAGATAGGGTACTTGTGCAACAATGAGTGAAGCCATTTGTCTAATCAACAAACAAGCCCAAGAATACTTCTCCAAATTTGATCAGGCTTAAATGTGGAGAAAGAGTAGACTGTGGAATTAGAAATGCGATACCATCCTCAATGATCGTTTAGCCATGTTAAAATCCCTATTTAAGTTTATAAGTCGGTTGAGTAAGAAGGACAAGTAATTATACAAATATGATTACATCTCTGTACAAGATTTCAAAGATTGGATTGTACAATCCAAATTAATATGCGATGATCTTAGTGAAAGGGAATGCTACTTGATCTATTTACAATCTATGATCACTTAGAAGGATGAACTTTATTCAGCCAAACATTATCAAATGAACTTCCATGAATTCATTGAAGCCATTGGTAGATTGGCTGAAAAGTTATCGATCATTAGAGGGGACAAACCACTTGATGTTGAAGACAGAAGACCTTTTGATTTGACCTCTAAAATTGATGGTTTGCTCCTGCTCCTTTACCTTATAATTGGTAATGATATGAAGTAGGCTCTGACAACAAATGACCCAGACATTAGAGGTCTTGATAAATGTATGATTAACGATTTCAAATCCTTGAAATAGAAACTAGAAGATTCATTCACTGACGGTGATGAACCTCCGTATGATCCAAGGGTCGAATTGCCTCATCTATAGAGTCAAATTACTAATTTATTGGGCAATACTATAGGTGGCAAAAAACAAACCTTAAGATAATAACTTAAATAAGTTAAAAGAGAAGAACAAAAATTCTCTCTCATTAATTTTGTTTAATATTTTAAGAGTATTTAATAAGTTCATGTGGATCATGATGATTGAAACTCATTTAAGAAATCATAATTTCTTTACATATTTTTTTTTCATTTTTCTTATCCAATCGATAATATATAAACTCATTCAACCACAAATATATCTATGATGAACCTAAAATCAATATAACAAAATGCCATTGATTTCTAGATGATGAAAAAATCTTTATAATTTCTTCCTTTTTATATATAAATTTTATATATGGTCTCCCTTATTAATATACATCAATGAAGGGAAAGTACCTTATTTTTTTAAAGTATCATACATTTGGTACTATTTTATTACTTTTGAGCTACCTTATAGTAGGTTTTGTTGCTTAGTTCTTTTTTATTTTGAATCTATATTTAGAAACTACGCAAATTGAGAGAGAAAAGTCAATTATATTAATTTGGAAATTGGAATATTTTTAAAAAGAAGTAATTATAAATTTTGAGTTGATTATAGATAAAAATTAATGTCAATCATAGTTTTTTTTTCTTTGAGAGTGTTTTATTGTTGTGATTAGTTTAAAATTTTATGAAATAGGAACACATATTTCAGACACAGCATCTAATGCTAAAACTAATTCATCTCTGTAAGTAACATCTTAATCTTATATGTAATGCTCCATATGTTTGATAAATCGATTGTTTCCAATTCCAAGAAAATCCATTTTTTAATATTGAAATATAATTTGTTATAACGTAAAATACAAACTAAACATATTTAAATCAGAAATATTGATAGAAAATTTTATAAAATACAATTACTGTAAATTTTGTTTCTTTAAATTATTAATTTCTACCTAGATTATACAAAACCCTATATGAGTCTTGAAATAGCATCAAGGATCTCTAAACATATCTTATTCAGTTGAAGCATCTGTTATAAAAAGGAGAAACTTATTTTTATTTTTAATAACCATGAGATATTGTTTATGAATTTTAAATTGATGTTCATGAAATCAATTAAATTATAGTATTATATAAGATAATAAATAAAATAACAATAAGGATGGTTGTTCCAAATGAAGTTAAAGATATAGGAATAGCTTGTAAAAGGTTTCTCTTCACAACAGAGTTTGCCGGCTTTCTTATACTAACATTATTTTAGAATGAGCTGGTTCTGTCAATTGGAATTAGATTATTGATTGAAGCAATATTAGCTGCTTATTTTTACATAAATTGTAGAGATTCCCCAGGTAATCCATTATCAGGTGATGAAGATCAGGAATTGTCATAATTATCCATTTCTACTTAACAAAGAGATAATACTCAATAAGAATCATAAATCCCTGATAGAAATTTCTGTCAGGAATGCAAGATAATTCAACCATTTAGAACGAAACATTGTACAAAATGCAAGAAGTGCATTCCCAAATATGATCATCATTGCTTTTGGGTAGGAGGTTGTATTGGGGAGTTAAATCATAGAACATTCTGGCTATTTCTGTTTTTTTAATGCTTACTCTGCTTCGATGGATTATTTCAATTCAATTAATAGCTGGGTCTTTATTCCATTTACGAAGAAGAACAAAGTGATAATAAATATTAGTATTAATATTTTGTGATATTGCTGTTTGGAACAATATCGTTTGGATTTGGTATATTTACAGGAGCCTTATTCTTATATCATACTATGCTAATTATTACAGGACAGACAACGTGGGAACACACAAAAAGGGATAAAATTACATATTTGAAGTTTTACCCAAAATTTTATCATCCTTATAATTATGGATTGATTAGAAATATCAGGCTTACATTTTTTCATAGAAATGTGCAATCCCATTGGATTCCACCATAAAAAGATTAAATATAAGAGTAGTGTAATATATTTGATAACAAGTATTACTCATGTTGTTGAATTTATTTACTTATGTATAATATATATAATTCAAGATTAAGTTGATAAGGTTTTTTTATGTGTTTAAAATGATTTGAGAGTGTCACTGAATTTTAATGGTTTTAATTGTACTAATTCAATTCTTCTATAACTAAGATAAGGAATAGATTCCTTATTCCGAGGAGATTGATAATGCTTAGGAGAACTTAATGGTGTTTTATTACCGAAATAGCGGAAATTTCGAGCTTTATTTTGAATCTCTTTTTTTTGAGTTTCTTATTTTTCAAAATATTCTTTTAATTTATGCATTGATTCTTTGAGGCATGCAGATTCTTTAGGAGTTGCTTCTACTGATTCTAATTGTTGTTATTCCATTTTATTTCTTTTGACTTAATCGAATATAATTGTACGATATTTGTAAAATGTGCTGTTCTTAGCTAATTGATTGTAATAAAAATATATTACTCTATCTTCTCTTTTCAACTCTCAATTAGATTTCAATTTTCTTTTTCATATTTGGTACTTGTTTAAGATTTAAATATTTGTATTAGAATTTACTTAGGCTTCCACACTCATTGCAATAACAACTTTTCCTTCTTAATGAATCCCTTTAAAATATCAACCCTTTCATGTTGAATATATTTAATTGATTATGAGGTTCAAAACTATTGGATCGGCCTTTAAGTTTTATTTTCTTTTTTGCAAAGAGCGACAATGATCTGTATTACGGTGAAATATATTTTTTATAATCTAATATATTCATTTTAATATTAAAACTTTAAAGTAATGTCTAAAGAACAACTATTTTTATATTAAGAATTAAAGAATTTAATTGAAATAATAACATCAAAGTAAATTAGAGAATTAAAGAAACAGTGACTGATATTCTTGTAAAACAGAGGAATGTAATTTAAATCACAATGAAATGCGATATTTGAGATTAATTAAGATATAAATTTAATCTATAAACATATAGTACAACTACTAATAGAATATCAAAATCATTAGTCAATTATGTTAGTAGTTCGGAGAGATTTGATTGTTTTGGCATCTAAACTTTTATTGCTTTTTTTTGGTTAACATTGTTGTTATTAATTATTTTGCATTTATTATTGTAATATTTGGTGCTCAGATGAACAATGATTATCTTGCTTTTCATTTATCGATTAAAATCCTTTAAAGTAAGGATGCTCGAGTGCTTGTTGAGCTGTAAATCTCTTGACTGGATCTACTTCCAACATTTGTTTCAATAGATCAGCAGCTTCTTCATCCGCGACATATTGTTAAGCCTTATACATCTTTGATTTAAGCATAGGCTGATTTGTGATTCTAATATCAATAAGTATAAGTACAAATTAAATAACACCACTCCAACACTGAACATATCAGAATTAAAGCTTGATTCTTTTTATCTAAGTACTTCAGGTGCATAATAACCAGGGGTTCCACAGACGCTGCTTACAGAGCCAAATTTCAGATTAGCAGCAAATCCAAAATCAATGACTTTAATTGAGCCATCTTTTTATACAATGATATTCTCTGGTTTGATATCTCGATGCACAATTCTTAGTGATTGCAAATAACTTACAGTATTCAGTAAACCCTAATGATATATGATGTTTAAATACGATCATTATCATCTTTATTTACTCTGTCGGCAGTTTTTATTTTAATATTTCACTCAAAGGTGTTCCTTGAACAAACTCTTATACAATCCAAAAAGTCTAATCATTTTCATAAACTTCAAGCACTTTTATAATATTTGGATGATCGAGCGACTACAAAATTTTTACTTCCGTTCTGACTATGTCCTAATTGAGTTTAAATTAATAATTTACCAAGGCCTGTTCTTCTCTTCCAAACTCTTGTTTAATCATTTTGACTGCAACTGCTTTATTGGTTTATTTCTCGATGCTTCGAAATACCTAAAATTGTTAATTGATCAATCAATATACTTTTGCGGACATTCCTTCTCCAATGAATTATACTGGTTCATAAAAAGAGGCCATGTTTCTATAGATTACTCGTCCCCCAATCAATTTTTTGAATTATTCCAAATGATTATGTTAAGCTTCAAAATACTTGATTTTATTCTGGTAAAATATTCCAAATGCTTTCAAGTTTTACTTCCCCATTTTCCAAAGAATTTAAGTTGTTAATTTGAGTTCTATTATATATTTTGGATTCTTGAAATTGTTGAACTTAAAAATAACATAATTAGGTTACTGCAGAGATTATCACCTCGTCTTCCGTTACTTTTAAGTAATACGTTTTAGAAAAGATAGTATGTGGTCGTACACAAGAAAAAGATAGCAAATCCATTCTAATAAAGTATTGTTTCCCTAACTAAATTGATTTATATTATTTATTAATTTTATATTTCGATACTTATATAAGTAACTAATACTTTTGCATCTTTATTCCAATTTCCGAGAATATCTCTCTTCCTTTAGTTTATTATTATCCATAATTTTGATTAATCAATCAAACCATGATCATACACATAATAAATAAATTCATTAAGGAAATAATTCAAATTATTACAACCTATATTTAAATTCATTTCCAAAACTCTATATTTCATTTAAGAAATCATGAAAATATTATTTAATAGATGCATTCTCCTTTCTCCTATTAAATTATATAATTCCTTATTTATAATTTTACTTTATTTCCTATAAAATATTCTACGCATAAAATGATTATTTTCTCAGTATTCGTACATCTTTATGGTCAATTTAACATTAAGAAATTGAGGATTAACATCTTCAAAAATTAACAATGATTTCTGCTTTTCAAAATTTCCATTTGCCAATTATTTCCGTTCTAAAAATAGATTAGATGTCATTCGTCCAATTAAGCACTTCAAAATTATGTCTTGATTGTAGAAACACATAATTATCAGTTAATAAACTATTTTTTTTTAAGAAAACAAATTCTAAAGTAAAAAAATTTTAAGTGGTGAAAAAGCATCCATCTACCCAAATACTTTACAGCTAATAAAATTTACATTAAGTGTGAATAAAGCTACTCAAAGTAATAGAAAAATACAATAGAAATAGCAAATAGGAGGTTAAGAAGACAAATTGATATTCTGAAATGGAAATTTGAGAAATGCTTTCATTTGTTAAAAAAGTTTGACGAATTTATTGATCATCCATGAATGAAAGATCAGCAGACAGATGCACACCATTTTTTAAGCTATTTGTGGCTTTTTATTATTTAGGGATAATTCAAATTCACAAAAATTATGTCACTCATACAGTATGTTTCTAAGTAAAAAAGTAATAAACACATCGATTTTTGAAAATCAACTTCATCAATTGTGGTAGAGAGAGCGTAATTCTTTTAAATTGATAAAGTAATGTAATCATTTATGGAAAAATTTATTGGAATTAGAATCAAAAGATGTATCAAAAATATTCATAAACCCTTTTTGTGATTATTGATTTTAATTTTATAAAATATTCTTGTTATTTAATATCTCAGGAAATTGCCTATTTTGCGTGAAATTACTATTTCATCCAATTCAACAAGTCAATCTAGAGGATCTTAATGAATATTAAAATGTTTTTCTAACATTTTTGACTATTTTATTACTCATTTATTATATCTGACAAGATCGCTTCTGTGGTCTTATGAATATTCAATATTCTTAGGAGCATAATCTCTAAAATATTTAAACTAACAAAATGTAGAATAATTTCCTTTTGAAAATTAATTATAAGCAAATGAAATATATATCTTTGATTAAAATTGATTGAGTCAGAAATCGAATATTTAGGCATAAGCGTGGAGTCCTTATGTAAATTAGGACATTTTTTTTAACATACAAATTTTTATTAATTTAGCATTTTATTAAATTAAATTATATCTATAAAACTTAATTACATAAAGAAATATCACAAATACAAAAATAATGTTTAGAAATTGTCATTATGCTTGGCTAATATATTGATATTTGGTTAGATTTATTGAATGAAGAGTTTTCCAAGACATCAGTATGGATTTTTTAAGGACGTTCTAATTATGACGCATCAATCAGGTGTTTATATATAAGTGATGATAGAAAAGGCCATATATTTATTAATAATGAATAATTCTGAGGGTGTTCATTAAGAAGATCTTTCTCTCAAGGCCAATTCTGAAATCTTGCAGTCTCCTGAAAAAAAGGAGCTTAGAACACGGAATAATGTAATTCCTGGAATGTTTCAAGAATATAAAAGAACCTACATCAAAGTCCCCAAAGAATCTAAGGAACAATTACACCAACTTGTGTTCGAGGAAGGATTTAAAATTAAAGAAGTATAATACTGGATTAAGTTTAATATAGGCAGCTAAGAAACTTTTGATAAAATATGCCACAGCAAAAACAATAGTATTTCATCTGAGAAAAAAGTTTGAAAAAGAAAAGGAGGCACAACCTAAATTTTGCAGGTGTGTAAAATTAGAAGGGAAGATCTCCGTAAAATTAAGAATCATTTCAATCATACAAAAAAATCTTATTTCTTCTGTTGAATATAAAGTTCAACATCAATCAAATGGTTAATGCTATGAACAAATACGGGACTGAATATATTTGACTATTTTATAAAGTTAATACCAACCATACTTGACTAAATAATTTAAAATTTTTTACCATCTTTAAAATTGAAAAGTGTCACTATTGCATTTGAGGTAGTGTTCCTGTTTGGGGCTTACTGTAAAAAAATCAGTATTTTGGCTGAGTATAAAAAACAGGAACAGATTTGGAAGATATTTATTTTATAATATCCTTAACTCCAAAGTCTCTCAAACATGTTGCTAAATTATCTAGCCTCCAAACTGGAACAACAGACAACACAATGAGAATTAAGTATAGTAAACATAAAATTTTTGAATTTTGAAAATTTATGAAAGTATTGAGTACTATTTAAGAAAAAATAGATTTTCTAGAAAAAGATTATATTGGCATTCTTATAACAATATGATCACTGTGATTATAATAGTAAAAAGTAGAAATCAATTGGATAACTTTCTATGACGTGCTTCAAGAAGAATAGTCTTTTAATTAAAATAATTTTTATTAAAAATGCTTTTTTTGAATAATTAATTTTATTCATTAAATTCCTTTAAATTATTTGATTGTTATAATATAATCATTCTTTTATTATGAATTTATACTTAGAATAAGCGGCGGAAGAGATTGAATAAGCTATTTCTGATGCTGATCAACTGCTAGCCTTGAGTAAAGCTACTATTCAGAAATTTACGAATTACCTAAAAAGAAAATAATAAGAAAAGATGGATCGAAGATTTCATCTTAATACTACTATGGATGAATCTAATAGTATGAAATAATTAGACAAACATTAATTGAACCAACTCAAAATACTAGAATTCTTCAATAAAGCTCATAAGGATATTGATAAATAATTAAGAGAATTAAAGGAAATGATTCCCTCCAATCCACAAACCTTCATCATAGAGGACATTAATGACCAGGAATACATAAACAAATAAACAGAATAAAAATAACTATAAAAGGGCATCCCTTAAGAGACAAAGTATTTTCCTATTTTTAAACAAGCTTAAAATGGAGGGCAAAAAAATTAAAACTCTCTAAACCTTAATTAACATAACTAAATAACCAATTAAATAAATAGTCAGCCGTAATAATCATAGTAAAATTTATTAGTGTTTCAATAATAATAGGTCACCCCATAATAAAAAGAAAACAATTAATTAAAAATTCAAAGTGCTCCTCAATTAGATTTATAATGTGATAATTAAAAATCTAAATTGAAACAGACTAAAGAGAATAAAGATAATAAGGATTAAATCATAACCTTTGGGCGTTTACAGAAGTTTTCTTATTAAAAATTATTGTATCCTAAAAAAGACGATGGAAATTGTATTTTCTGTGGTTTAGAAGCCAATGACTCTAATCTAGGTCCTCTTTTGTAGATACCCTCAAACCGAAATCCAAATGAAAAATTTGATTTACATGAAATGTGTGGATTGTGGAGTTAAAATTTAGTGTTTTTCAACAAATAAGGATAATGCGATCCTAGTAATATAGATGATGAAGTTGATAAATCAAAATAGACTGTAATTAATTCTATCTATATTAGAAATGTTTCTTGTGCAGTAGAACTGGAGCTACCGTGTGCTGTGCAGTATGTCCAGAGGCATTTCATTTCACCTGTCTCATGAAAAGCTCTTCAACTGGTATATATCATTATCAAAATTAAGGAAAATTGGTGGAAAGCCAATTTAAGTTCTTTTGCGACATACATAAAAAGAAGGCTTAAAATGAGAAAACTTCAAGTGAAGAGAATAGTCAAATTAAGAGACCCAAGAAAACTTGCTACAAACTTAATCAATCCAAAGCTCTCATTAAGACAAGTCCAAAGAGAAGTCCAAGAAGAAGTCCTAAAAGATTTAAATCACCGTCGTCTAAATAAATTAAGATATCTAAATGTATCATACCAAAGGATGATAAAGATGTACACTAAAACAATTTGTAAGATTTGATGTCTCAATTATTAAAATAATATGAGACTACATAACAATAAAATTCCTCATTAATTTAAGAATCTGATTTGAAATTGGAAGCATGATTGAGTTGAAATGAGTAAATCTAAAATAATTTATTTTTAAAGTATTTTATTTTAAATAGAATTATAAAAAGCCATTATTATAACTTAATTTTAAAACAGAGCTTAATTGTAATTTAAATTTTAAATTATTGTATTTAAAATACTGGAGCAAATAATGATTTCATTTAGATACAAATAAGCTGTGTTCTTTAATCAATTCATTAATAATTTTATAATTGTCATGTTGGTGGATTACTATTTTATATTTCAATATAAAAATATAATGACTTAAAGGGAAAAGTAGTATTAAAGAAGAATATAGAAATATTTATTAAAATCATATGATATTTGAATAGCCCACATAAATGGCTTTAAATATTTCATTTGCAAGTGATAAATACCTACTTAATACTTTATTTTGAGAATAAAAATATAAATAGCAGTAATAGGTCTACTTAAATATAAAAGTCTATCTACCTAAGCCAAAATTTTGGAGTTGTTTTCTATTAATAACCTATTATTTTATTTGATTCTAATTAAGATTTAAGATATAATTTGATACCAACTAAAATTATTCAATCAAGAAAAAATAGATTAGTTTTGAATGTCGATCTGTGAAAAGGGAACTACTTATTTAATTAGATGGATAAATTTAATATATATATATAAATAGGTTTAATACAACTAAAATTCAAAATTATAAGAGAGAGTTTAAATAATGAAATTACTAATTTTGTATTTTAAAATTTTAGCTGTTAAAAATTGAATTACAAAATTTTGATTTTTCGTAAGAAAGCTTATCAGAACATTAATAGTTATAGAATAGTGCTAAAATTTAATATATAATCAATTAATAACCTTTTTTTTTGGGTTGAAATATTAAAAAACAAACCAAGAGCCTAAACTTGAAAACCTAGTTTTCACCTAAACTTCCAAATTATTTGAAATTATGATTAAATATTTAATATATTATAAAAATTGTGCCCTAAGCATGAAATTGATAGAACCAATATTTCAAACAATAACAAAAAATAATAAAATTCTTTTTCTAATATTAAAAGAAAATTTGAATATATATTTCTTGTTGTGTAATTTATTGTTTAATTACAAAACAATATATCATCTCGTCATTCTACAATGTGGACAAAACCATTTAGTCTTTTCATCTGGAACATCATTTAACCCTACGCATGATAAATGAAACCATTCTATTTAACAATTTTTTGAATCACAAGCAACCATAGTGCCATAACTAGGTTATTGACACACACAATATGTATGTTATTGAGCCTCATCAACTTGCTCATCTTACAATGGTCTTTTGGTTTTTTTAATTTTATCACTCTTTTATACCATAACAGGAGGTTCGACCTTTACATCCCGTTGAGATTTACGAGATATATCTTCTTATTCTCTTGGCAACTGTTTTAGTTCTTCCAAAAACTTTTCGCCCTCAATATCAAGAGTTGCTATATATTTTTAATAATTTTATTAAATAATTTCTAAAGCCGCAATTCTTTCCCTATGTAAAGCCAGCAATGATAAATGATGTCTTTGAATTTGCTCTTTCAATTATAAGATAAACTTTTCCTTTTCTGCCGTTGACTCGACGGATTTCAATTAAAACACTAGTTTTTAGGTTGATTCCAAGGTTTCTTCGTATTTCTTTTCTAAATTAGCCAACTCTCGAACTTTGCTAAAGGCTCTTCTCACATCTATAGGGGCATAACTAATTAAATCTATGAATTCTTCAATATTTGACATTTTCTAAACTTTTATATGTATATTATTATTATATATATATTATAATGATTAATCAATTTTTACGAAATATCAAATTGCTTAAGAATGTAAAGTAATTGGTGTTAGGCAATCCTACAGCTGATATGGATTCATGTGTTGGATCAATTCTTTTGTCCTATCACATGGCTGAAGTTCATATCCCAACAGCACCCATCATTAATTATAATAGATAATCATTTGGATCTCATTTTGAGACAGTCGAGTTATTCCATGTTGATGATTTGTTATTTATTAATGATGTGGATTTAAAGTAATATGATTTGATTCTTTACGATCACAACGACATCAACTATACAAATAATCAAATCGGCTCTATCTATCATCATGAGGATAAGGGATAGCATTTTACTCAATTTAAAAAGATAGAAAAAGTAGGCTCTGCAGTAACCTTGGTGGCAGAATCTATGGAATTAGAAAAAAATTACAAATGCAAATAGGAAATTGGAGAAATTGCATAATTGATAATGAAAACAATATTAATAGATACATTCAATTTTTAATAAAACCAATATCAAATTAGATGGGTAGACTAAGATAAAACAAATTTTTGATTTATGGCATTCTTTCTATCCTTCATTTAATGCTTAAATAGTGTATTAACATCTTACAGATTTGAAATATGATTTAAAAATGAATTTGCAACTCTCACTTACTCAATAATTGCTCAATGATTATAAAAAGTTTTTGTACTGTTGGATACAGTGTTATAATTATCAAATTATAAGACTTGATGTAGAATTATAACAAAATCAATTAATCAAGGATATCAATGAGTTTTTGATCAAGGGAGGATTCAAGACTTAGATAGTATTTTTTCTTTCCTTAAAGAAGGGGTAAATTCAGAGAAGTATGTTGATATATGGAGAAAATTAAAAGTAGATTAAAAAGCAATTGAGTGAATTAAAATTTGAGTAGCAACAGAGTCCTATTGGGAATTCAATATTGCTGAAAGATATAGAATATTTTTATAGCAGAAAAATAATTGAACCAATAATATCACAATTATTTCATGATTGAGGATATTATATCCTAAACATCGCCTTTTATTAACAGCTTATTATTAATAGGCTCCAACCTTCTCAAATTGGTATCTTTATTTATTAAAACTATTGGGACGTTCTCATTTATCCTATAAATCATATTTGAGAAGGGTTGAACTTGAAGACTGGTTCCCATTATAATAACCAAATCGCTCAATGAAATTTCAGGTAATTTTTGAAAATACAATGATGGAAGTGGTTATCCAAAAAATACCACATCAGGTTTAATTAAACCATTACAATCAGTACATTTCATTATTTCATTTTTATCAACGTTTTAATAAAATGTTTTTACACAATACGTTTTCTTACAGTCTATACAACTAGCAGTTCTTCTATGACCATGCACTTATATCACTTTGGATTCTCTCACTCCTGCAACCAATTCCAGACCATCAATATTTTAAGTGAAACAATTTAATAATTAATCATTTCTATCTAAGTGATAAATAAATTAATGAGCAAATGTTGGTTGTAAATCTAAATTATGTGTTCCAAATTCTTTGCAAACAGAGTAATACAATGAAGGATTCTTTCTAAACACATTGATATCGTAAACCTATTCAGGATTGCTCAGATTGAACTTTTTTAATTAATCATATAATCCTGTATCCTTGCTTCTATAATCGCTAAGTCCAGCAGCAACACTGATACCTGCACCTGCTGCTATTGTTATCTTTTTGAATTCTTTAGCTTTTAATTTTCTGATTAATTCACTCAAAGTCAATGACATTTTATAATAATTTTATTTAATGATATGTCAAGACAAAGAACTTGATTATGAAATAAATAATTTTTAATTTTCAAAATGCAAGGATCTCCAGATTGATAATGTGGATACTAAACATAGTTCAGTGACTTCAAAAAAAGATGACATATGAATAAATTATATAAAAGTAATTTTAATAAAAAATATATTCTGCTTAATTAAAGGATATTATATAAGAATCAATCTTCTTACTTTTTCTATATAAGTTTAGGCAAAGTACAAACTTTTTATTTGTTAAATTATGAAAATTGAGTGGTCTTGAGTGAACGTGCCGATTAAGAAAAATAGGTGTTCATCATTAAATTCTTTTTTGAGCTTATTAAGATATTTCTGTTAGTGAGAGCTTTATTATTTGAGGATTAAATTTTTAATGGACTTTAATCCTGCATAATATTGATATTGAGAGAATTTACTGATTGATTATCAGATGTAGAAGTATTAACTTAGTAACTCCCATTTATACTTACTCTCCTTGATCTTTCATTACTTTAAGCTATTAACCTTTTCATTGTGCTTTGTCTACTGAAGTTCTTATCAATTCCATGAATCTGAAGGGAAAGTCTTAACTTATGATTCTCTGTTGATTTTAATGATTGTTATTGGTAAAAAATACTTCTTCTCTCTAATATAATACAACGAAATTACCTTTTGATTAACTGAGACACTCTTTGATTTGTGGTTTTTGTTTTTCCACAAATTATTCCTTTTTTAAGAAGGGAACATTCATCATGTTGAACTACATTGCAGTCATTTCTCCACATAATTAGCAATGACAGCTTTTTCTTCTTATTCTTATACTTTTTTCTTTGAATTTATTATTTTTGACCAAGAAGTTTGTAGTTTAACGAATTCTCTTTCGGTCGTTTAAAACCACGCAGTATGAATCAATTAAGGTTAAGGCTTGAAGGTCTTTCGAGGATGAATTATTCTTCATTATTATTAATAACCAAAATGAAGAATTAGTTTGAATAAATATATCAATTCCGTTTACGTATTAAAGATTTTTTCAAGTTCAATATATCGTTGCTGACTTTATGAGCTATTGGAGGTAGTTTTGGAACTTAATTTTTTGGAGGGGAAAGAAACTTTTTACGGAATCCTAAATAGGGATTAAGATTGGCTCCGTTGAGGGTATGATCAAATGATTTCATCCTTGATTATTATTTTGGTGTGGATTAATCACTCATTGGAGAATTTATTAATTGTGGAGTCAAAGAGAGTCTCATTTCCAAATTAGATAATTTTAATTTTGATTACTTGAGTAATCTGGTAGTTGTTTTGGAAGTTTAATGACTAAATTAATACATTAATGAGGGATTTTATTATTTAAAATTTCTAAAAAATTGACTCTTAGTTTCTAAAATTAAATAAATATTTATTACTCATATTAGTGTTTGATACAAATTAATGGACTTTTATCTATATTTTGAAATCATTTAAAGAGTTTATCTTTAATAATGGTATACTTTCATTTTTCAATTCATATTGTGTCAAACTACCACATTCCGAACAATGACAACTCTTCCTTCTTTTTTTAGTTTATAAATCAAATTTCTCAAGATCTTCTTAACAGGTTTTCAATCTGTTTAATAGACTTTCTAACTTCTTAATTTCTTATTCTGACTAAATAATGAGCTCATTGTTATTAGATGTCTCAGGTAACTACGAAATCTGAACATCATGAAATCTTATTTAAAATTCACTATCTTTTCCACATTAAGTACAAGTACAGCTTTTTCTTCTACTTTTTCCATTATCATTAATTAGGATATCTGGTTCAATACATTATATACTTCCTGATCTTTTTTTATTTGCATTGAATTCTCTCATTTTTATTATTATTTGAAATTAGGATAAATGTGCAATAAATTCCTCAAAATCAAAACATAGATAAAACAATAAAATCATAAAGTTAAGAAAATATACTCTATATCATACTTTAGAGTGATATAAAATTTTATATTTATTTTTGATGATGAATTGCTTTTAAATAGTTAAAAGTCTTAATATATTTATATTAATCTATCGAAAACAAAGAAAGGTCTTCCTTTTGATTTGGTAGTTTTTATATTTTTTAAATCAAACCCTCCAAATATCATTATAGTTGAAAATTTTTTTAATTGAAATTCTCCACATCTTTTTAAATATTTAATATTTTTGTTGATTTATGATTAAAATTCTGTTATTATTCTTAGGATCTCCTAAATCATAAAGAAGTATTAACAACCTTATATGAATTTTAAGGCTTTCTCGAACTAAAACAAACAGTTATGTTTAAATGCTTAATTCAAATTATTTATGCCTTATAAATTGAGCTTGCAAACCACTTTGGATATTTAAATTGCTAAATATTAATTATTTCTATATTCTGCATCCACGATACTGCTATAACAACCTTTTCTTTGAGGAAATCTTTCGTAACATTTAGGGCTTGCTTTATATTTTAACAAGTGAAATAATTAATGGGGTCACAAATTTGTTTCTTCAAAAATATGAGTTAATCCATCCCAACTCATGTATACTATGGAGATATTTGATCCATATTATGTATTATTGTAATTATTCAGTAATCTCATTTTTTATTAATAATGCAAAATGAATTCGTTTTATAATGTAATTATGGGCATTTCATTATTTAATCAAATATTTATTTAGTAAATGGAAAATTTTATATATACAAATTAACTCATACTGTTGCTGAACTGTTTAATACACAATCTCAAAATCTAACTCAATTTTGAGGATCTATTTGAATTGACATCATTAATCATCAGTTTTGAAAATATGGTTACCTTAAATTTTTAATTATTTAAAATAAAGTGTCCACAGGGTATTCAAACTATCCTTCCAATATATTCTTTTTAAGGATTTGGTTCTACCAATTATTAAAGTCAATAAAGATAATCAATAGTTTATAGATTAAATATGGAACATAATTCTATCTTAACTTTGAATTATTGTAATTAAATTTTCAAAATACCACCTGATTCAATTCTATGAAATTAACAAGGAAGGATTTGAAACCTAAAGTCTCTTGTGGGAGTTGACCATAAATTGAGTTAAAGATAAAGCTATAAATTCCCTATCAAAGATATATTCTGGAAATACCAAAATTAAATTCTCAAAAGATTTATTGCATAGATTCATATTTCTTAGATGTAGAGATATACTTCTCACTTAAAATAGTCGACGGTCATTCGAAAACTAAGACTAGATATTTTAATTAGTCTAAGATCCTCTTGTTTATCTTTTTCAAGCGTTTTAAGTGGTGAGAAAAATTCCTATGTTTTATATACTTTCTTTTAATGGTTATAATTTAGAACTTTTTTTTTGTTTTAAATTTATTAAATTTAACATCCTCTAGTCAGTTATGATTAAATTTCAATGCATATTTACAAAGATAAATGATTGCTAGAACTTTTAATTAGATTGAAATTACATAACTTACATAAATCCACTTCTCTCCTTAAAGAGGCTTGATGAATTGTTATTTTTAAGTTAGAAAGATGTGCTTTCAAAGAAGTAATAAATTCTGAACATAATGCTATAAATTTTTCTTGATTACATAATTTATTAAACAATTTTCTAATTTTAAAAATATAAAATGGATTAAACTAATCATCAAGTACTTGAGTTAAAAATGGAATTCTTATCTTGCATGAAGAATAGCAAATATTAAGAAGCTCATGTAATCATTCAAAAGAGTAAGATAATTATAATAATGAAAGTTTTGAAGATCGATCCTAACAATCCTTTAATTGGGAAATGCAATAAATTTTTAACTGAATTCAAGACCAAATTGGAGGAGAAGGAAAAAGAATTGAAGGAAGAAGAGGAAGAAGAAGAGGAGGAGGAATAATAGCAAGGAGAAGATGATGAATCTGATGGAGTGGATCCAAATGATGTACCTGATTTGGAAGAGGAATTAGGAATCCAACATAACGAAGCTGAAATTTAAGAGAGGAAAAAAAGATTGTTTTAGCTTCTATAAAATGTTGATGCTGGTGACAAGGAGGCAGTTTTGGATGCAATAAGAAAATCAAAATAATAAAAATGATTATATAATAATTTATATGGGTAAATCAATGTCTTGGATTTCAGCAGTCATTGCCTCTGCATTCTGTTGGGCTAGTGCTGACACTGCTTTCGATGTGATTTTGGATAGTTAAGAATCCGAGCTACCTTAGAAGAAATAGTAATTGCCATCGAGCATTCATCTAACTCATTCCCAAACGATGTTACTATGTGCTTTAACCACATATATTATTGTAATAATATTAGAAAGATTTTTAGATTTTTGGATACTTTATTTATATAGAGTTGGTTGGACCACAGTACTCAGAGTTAGTAGGCAATTATACTGTTTTTGGATCAGTTTAATCATTACCTCTATTGGTTATTAGTGGAATATTCTCCTATTATCATTATCATTTCATCATCAGAGCCTTTGAGAATTCATCTAGCACCGTTATATTGCCGTTTTTATAAGTATTTGTATGTTGATAATTAGTTTTCTTCAATCTTTGCATTTCTATTCTCAATTCTCTAAAATTATCTATCCAACAGACCTTATTTATCCAGTTATTTACATTTACTTGCCTATTTTCTGATACTTCTTGGAGGCTTAGCTCCAGCCACTGATGGACATTTGATTAAAATATTCCAATTTCAATTTTGGTCTCAACCATTTGTTAAATTTGCTATCATTTCAGATATGTCTCACGCTATATACACAAACATAATAAGTTACGTTGGAAAAGGTGAAAGCGAAGGACAATAGTATAATATCTATGGAAATATGGAGTTCTTCATTCTTACACGTATCATGTTTGTTTTGATACAAACTGCTAAATTGAAGTTTAATAGGTAAATGTAGATTGAGATGATTTAATTGTTTGACAAGCCCAAAAATTTAATTGTGGGTACTATCATAGGTGAAATCATGACTTTGTTTGGTTACTTCAGTTCCGTTTATGCATATTAAACATATTATTAGGTAATGTATTGGAATCACATTTTAGGCAGGAGTTGTGAGTGCCAGTGAATCTTCATTGAATTTGATTATTAATTTGTTTTTAGCTTATTTACTCAAAAAATACCTAAATATTGGGAAATAAGCATCATTGCACAATTTAGGATTGAAGATTTTATCATGTGTAACAATAAGTATTGGATTAACGATTGCTACAATTTGATTTATTAATTTGTTTATAGCAAAATATTATAATTCATGATAGCTACTCTTACATCAATAGGACTTGCTTCTTTTCCTCTAAGACCTTTTCCTTGAATTGTCTGAGGTATTGTTAGTCCTGCTGTAGATTGGAACGTTCCTTTAGGATGAATTAAGCCAATTATTCTACAGCATCAATTTATACATTTAACTAACTCTGTACTTTATTTTTATTTCTTTGGAGACCCAGTAATTGGGACACAAAACTATTCAATTTGATTTGTAACTTTTCCATTTCATCTCTCCTATTGTTCAATTGATTATCCTATTAAATTAGAAATATTCATACATATCTTTATTGTTCCTATGAACATTCATCTATATTGAGTTGTTGGTTATAATAATTTAATTCTTGCTTATGCAAATTTTACTGTTTTTGTTATAGTAACTATGATCGTTAATTTGATTTTCTTTGTTTTTCATTTAGCTTCTTATCGTTTTCTAATAACAGCTTTTATTCTTTAGTAATTTGTTCCATTTCACTGCAATTTTTGAGGTATTTTTCTCTTTGCTCATACTCTAATTCTGTAATTTGTTTTTGTAGTTTGGAATTCTCACTTTTGAGCTTTTATAAACTAGATTGATCAGCGATTGTTTCTTGATTATCCTCATCAAGCATGATAGTTGGAACGTCCTCATTGTCATGTTGTGAGCCAGTATTGGAACGATGGTCATATTTAGATTTTCTCCTTTTTTTGAATGCATCTTAGTTTATGAAATTCTTCTCTATGACTTAGAGCTTTTTCTGAATGGCAGATGTCTGGGATTAAATTGGAGTGACATTTTCTTTTTTTTACTAGATTATTTTAGCTTGACTTGCCAGTATGGTTTGTAGATGGTCATCCTTGCTTGATTCTAGGGTCCTTTCAAAAAGAATTAGGAGAGTTTCTTCTAAACTCATGTATTAAATTAACGTATATATAATTATTATGAGATTGCCTAGTTAAATTATCTTTAATTCGACGAATAATACAATGAACATTTCAAATTTTGTATAATAATGAGTAATTTAAAGAGTTATTAGTTTAATTAAATTACGGATGAACAATTAGGATGGCACCAACAACAATAATGATGTATTTTAATTTCCATCAGAATTGAAAATAAAAGAAGAGAGTCAAAAAGATGTAAACCAAAAAAGGGGGGAAGAGAGGCTACAATTGTTGTAGCCACACACCCAAAGTTCTTTGCCTTCTGTAGAGCAATTGGAAACTATACCCGGTCCTCAATTAATACAGATCTTGTATACAGTAAAATGATTTGAATAGCTCAGAATTGTCAATTGATGAACAACAGCACCAATTGAGAAAACAGATGTCGATCGAAGATGTAAGCCCTTCTCCGATGAAGAAGCAGAAAGTAAAAGTGGACCAAAATCAGATTGAAATGAAGTAAGTTGAATAGGTCGAAGAAATTCCTCACATCCAAACTAGAAGAAAAGCGAATAAAACCAATTATAATGTCGATGATTCTCCAACCGAAGAAGATGATTTCAAAGCTTGTCATTGTTCTAAAACCCATTGTTTATAATTATATTGTTCGTGCTTTCACAATCGAAGGCCTTGCACAAACGAATGCAAATGTAATGATTGCTTTAATGATGGGAAACACGAGGATGAGGTCATTAAGGCTGTGGAATAAATTAAATTAAAAGAATAACGAGCTTCCCATCATGACTTAGACTCCTTTGACACCAAATAAGTTTGGGGTTGTAAGTGTAAGAAGACTAAGTGTGTGAAAGGCTATTGTGAATGTTTCATTAGAGGAAAAAAGTGCACTTCGCATTGCTAATGCACAGAATGTGAAAACAAACGGTAACCTAAATAACATAAGTAAAAACCTCCAGAGGAAATAACTAAATAAATCAAGAAAAAAAAATATTCATGATTATTTTTTTGAAATCTTCAGTTTACCATGTAATTCATTCAAAATCTTGTGAAAGTCATGATGTTATCTTCTTGTTTAAAATCGAGACTAAGATATCTTACTTCTAGTGGTTAGCATTTCTTTCTTCTCAGCATAATCAAAAAAATCTAAACTCTATCGAGTAAAAGTTCGTTTTGTATCATTAGTAGTTTTAGTTATTTTACTCTAATGAGTCCTTGATTCCGTCTTTAATCGAGCACTCAGAGCTTAAATCGAAAAATCCTCAAACATTTTCGGATTCATATTTGTCTCAGGAGTTAGATAATCTAAGATCTCTTTTTTTTATTGTCTCTACTATTCAATTTGAATTCCTTACTATCTTTTTTATTGATTTTGTTGATTCAACAAATCTTGCTCATGAATTTCTTGTTGATACTTACTCTATTTGATTTTTTCATCATAGTAACGTAATGATGGAGGTAATTTAGGAGATAGTTAAGGCATTTTCATATTGTTGCATAAACTTATTTTCCGTTTATTTAAGAAAGAATCCTTCAGTTTCTATTAATTGCCAATCGGCTCTTTCTTTTATAAAATATTAGATAATTTATAGTTCTTGTTAATATGTTTAATAGAATTCTATTTTAACATGTTTTCGATTTCGTAGGCCTTTCTCTTTTCTTAACTTAATTGTGGTAAAATCTACTAAAGCAATTCAAAGGAGAACAATATGGTGGCTTTTACTTTGTTTTTCTCGTTTAACAAAGACTACCATTAAAAAGGGAGGGGGTTATGAATTGAAAATTCACAAATTTGAATAAAGTCTGTTGTAAATACTTTAACAGTATCGTCTATGCATCCAGATATGAGGAGTTAGGTCTTTTTACGAAACAGTATTTCATATGGATCTATGTAAAGGAAGTTTAATTAAATGATCATGTCATTATGGATTTAATCTGCAGTTTCAAGTTGCTCATCAAATGAAAATATAGAATCCTTAAAGGTATGAGTGATGTCTAATTCAGGATTGTCTTTCAATCCCTTTAGTATACTGAATCTGATTAAGGAATTCCTGAACTTTTGCTTGATTTTGCTGCTCTACTCAAATTTAGATTCTCTCTTTTTGAATTGATCTTTAATCAAACGATTCTGCACAATTTGATAATTATCGATAAAATTTCCTTGCAATTTATTATAGACTACTCTATAAGGGTTATAATTAGGCCTTTGATTAATCTGATCAAGTTTCTTGGCTACATTCTAAACTATTAAGAAGAATTCTTACTTTCTTTTCAAGTAATTATGTAAGATTAAACACTAAGGCTGATCCTCTGTTTGTTGCAATGTATAATTTAAGTTCTTCTTGATGAAATTAGACTAGTAAGCGTGATGCAAAAGATCCATGAGTCATTAATTTATATTTATTATTGAAAAGGCGTTTAACTTCGATTTGTTCATCCCCTTCATCATATAATTCAATTAACTCCAATGATGTTTTCGAAAACAAATTGCTCATGATACTTATACGATCTGGATAGACACTCTTTAGTTTTTAGATTAAAACAGCCTTCACAATATTGAAATGTCCTTCCAAAGTGCATTACAATTTATCGTTCTTCTAAACTAATTAAAATATAAAGATATCAGCTTAATTAGTGCCTATTATTAAGAGAGGCAGAGAATCACAAAAGATCATTGAGGTAACTGTAGCATTGTCTTCTAATTATATTTGAATTGACACACAATAATACTCCAGATTCCAAATTTATATGAAATCTTCGTAACTTACAGCTAATAAGCCTTGTGCAATTGAGAGTTGACACATACTAATGAGGATATTCACTGATAATTGACGTATTGCCCATTTGTCCTTGTAAATGTTATCCTTGCAAACATTCAATTGAGTAAGTGGTAAACATTTCAAAATACCTTAAATAGAAACTACATGTAAGATTTTGTAGGCTTCATCATATTAAATGGATAGGATCTCATCTTAATAAAAGGATTCCCATTTTTCCAAGATTTGACCATGTTTAAGTGAAACCTTATACAAATCACCTTCTACAGTACCAATTATAATCGAGTATCCATGCTCAATGAGACAAGATGCTGAGATCTCATTTTAGAAGTCACTCAAAATGTACTAAATATTTCCATTAATGATATCTTAAATACGAATATCTGCCTTTGTTATTATGATATTTCTTTTGTTCCACTAATCGTAGATCACTTGCAATAATCTGATTTATTTATTCAGATGCAATTGTTTTTCAAAGTTCAATGTCTACAACATATTAGCAACCAAACATAATTTATTGCAATAAAACATCAATTACTTAGTAAGAATTCTAGTTTATAAATTTATTGTTTGAGTCTATTGTTGTGATCGTATATCCCACAAGATAACCACATTTTTATTGTCTATAGAGATCAGCAATGCAGTTTATTCTATGTGTTCAATGCACTAAACAGTAGAAGAATGACCTACCAATTAGCATTTCAAATTATAGTCATTGTATTAGGCATGCAATTCGTAACAGGAGATGTAATTGTTGAATCCTATGGTAAAGATCAATTAGAACTGCCTGCTACAAACAATTTGATAGAGTATTTAATGCGATACTTAAAATTTAAATAAAAACTTTTATTCGAACATGTCCCAACAACTAATGATATTGGGATTTGAGGCTACTAATAGCATTTGTAAATGCATGACTTCTAATAATTGGATGATCCCTCCAGAAAACACTTGATTTTGCACATTTTAATACTTTCCTTATTCCAGATTCCATATTTATAAACTAGTATTTGCTGAGGTTATCCATTAATCTTGGATTTCCAAATATGAAATAAGTTGTAGTTCTAATTAGGTTTCGATTTAATAGTCGTACTAATAGTTGTCTCTTTTCTCCCAGAAGATCAGAGTGTTATTTCGTAATACTACTCCTAATCGTTATTGTCTTGTGGAATAATAACCATAGACCACAAAATTGCCGTCTATCATATTCCTAGGTTGCAGCATTTTCTTAAATTGGAATTCGTGCAACATGCAAACACTCTCGCAAAATTAAAGAATCAAGAACATGTCGTTGTCTCCTTTGATTCCATAAATGATTTGATTGTTCATGTGGATATTTTCAATTTTGAGTTGAGTTTGCAATCTTCTAAGCATGCTAGGATTGAGGCCTAAGATTTCAGGAGGTTAAATTTCGATGTCAGTTAAAACGCGGCGAGTAAGTTGAAATTTATTATTTTGTGAAGGTAGGAATTTAGCATTAAAATATTCACTACAAATTTCTTGACTACTTATCAAATAATCGGTTATATGTTTTAATTTGAGTATTTTTTCGTTTTGTTAAGACAGTATGTCTTGATAGAGTTCTATGAGTTTGGAGATCAGTATCAATCCCTCGATTCCTTGTTCATCAGTCTTGTTGATGAAAAAGATGACGAATTGCTAAATGTCTACTTAGGCGTTGTGATTCTCCTTGAAATGCTCCGACAATTCAAATATGTACTGTTGGACTAATCCCAGAGTATCGAATTCGTAAACTTAATTTGATATCTACGATAAAACTTCATCCATAGTTATTAAATATATTAATAATTATCATTGTTTATGTCTTTCTGATTCGAATATCTCCCTCAGATCCTAGAGTCCAATTTTGCCATCTTTATCCACATCCAGACATTCCAAGAGTATTTCTTGATCCCTCTTATCGATTTTGCCGTAGCCCAGAACACTGAACACCTCGCCCAATCTATTAATATCTAAATTACCCTCTCCCTTTGGATCTAGCAGTGAAAAGGCCTATTCGAGAGGATCGAAATCTTGCAATTCATTCTACTTGAGTAACTCGTAGAGATCTTTGCTCTTGAGTTCTGGTTTGCCTTGAGTCAAGGCTTTGTATTCACTTTTGGGGAAGTTGGGATTGATGGCAGGGATTTTCTTTTTTAATTCAAGTAACGAAATCTTGGTGCCTTTGTTTTTCTCATCCAGTATTTTGAATGCCTTTTCGATTTCCTCTAGTGTGATTTTGACTCCGTCAACTTGTTTGCTTTTTTCATTGAGTTCTATAAGTCCTGCATCTTGGAGTGCTTGGAAATTAATCATTTCCCTCATGGGGGAGACGGATTTCAAGGGAGAGCCTTGACGAGTCTTTTCCAATTCGAGTTGTGCTCTTTGGAAATGAATGAGGGTTTTCTGCAATTCCTTGTAGTCTATGTTGGAGGCTGGATTGAGTTTGGTTGGTTTAAGTGGTTACATAAAAGGGACTTGAAATTTATATTTATAAATAATGAAGCAACATCAGGTGCAATTATCAGGAATGGAATTTCGGCCAATAGATTAGAAGTACTTTTTACATGAGAGGGAGAAGTTGCGACATGATCCTTTTGCAGATAGCTTGGAAGAATATTTCTCGTTGTTCAAGAGGAGGACGATCTGTCATTTCTTGCTGTGTATTTCGAATAAGTAAAAAGGCTTATAGCTGTGTTCTTTATTGGCCTCATGATCCCTTCTATCATATTGCAAGCAGAGTATATTGAAGTTGATGTTGTTGAGGGCGTTGGTGAGTTTGAGATGAAGGATACTTGGGATCCGCCGATCAGTATATACATGTTTTCGAAATCCGATGATCTGCTAATAGACGTGAAATTGTTTTTGGATGGGAAGGCGATAGAAGAATTCACCATTCAAGATCGATTGCTAATTGACACTCGATACATTATTAAGAGCGAAAAATCCTAGAGTTTCAGTAAGATTATTTTTAACATGAGGGCAGCAGTTAGATTGATGGCACAGTTCGATTTCGTTCCTGCATCCTACTTGATAATCATTGTTGCGATGCTCGTTATATCACTACTGTACTCAATCCTAACATATGCTCGCTACAGATAACTCTGAATTTTTATTGTATTTAGTTTCTACTTTTGTTTCAATATAATTCAATCCTTCTTCTTCACCGTCTTCTTTTACCCGAACCCTGTGATCGCAAAGAACCCAAACAACACCAAAGCCTGGATGTGAATCACCCAATTCACACTCTGATGGAACTCGATGGCCTTGTTCCAATCCAGCACCTTCATGCCTGTGGCGAAATGGTCAATCGTCATGCAACTCCAGAACCAGCAAATCGCGTGTCTGACCTTTTCAGGGATGCTAAATTAAATGACTCCTAAGTTTTTACAAATAGAATTTGCTTTGAGCCTTGTAAAAGTATTTGCATATTTGTACGCTGATGGCCCAGAACACAAAGAATAAGTAATAAGTCATATAGAACCCATGCCTAAATTCGATTACAATTGACATTTACCAAACACAACTGATTAAAAATGTAACATAATATGTATACGACCCGAACAAATGGTTTAGTCTATCATAGAAGCAATACCTCAACCAAAGTTACACATTCGAATTCCACATCATGGTTTTCTTCATTATATTCTTTTCAATATCATAATGATAATCAGCCACTGGAAATCTATCGCATTTCTTCGTCTCTGGATTATAAGTAATTCCGAATGCATCCATGGCTGCCTGGGAGTGTTTGAAGGCAGTAAAGTATTGGAATCTCAATACCACTGAAACTGCCTGAGTGACGAGCACTTTTTAAATTAAATTGTAATGAGTCCAGTTTTCAGAATAATACACCTCTGTGTCAAATCTAGGCCTTATGAACAATTCGCCAGCTGTAAACAACATAGCCTTGAACAAGTTGATCAAGGCAGGTTTGATTGAGTAGTGAGTGAAATCTTCTTTACGAATTATCAGATTTACGAAGCTTACATAGGGAAGAGGAGCCAGGTAAAGGTTGGGATACATAAAAATGTAGGATAGGAACATGAGGAAGGAATCGTGCTCTTTGATTTTGGACTTGTCGACTGCGTAGTAGATGTAACGAGCTGTTATCATCATTTGGATGCAATTATAATCCATCTTCCAACTCAAGTAATCGTACTATGTAGAAATCATACGCATATCCTTACCATCAATCTATACACATGACAGTACGACATGATGATGAATCCGACTATAAATATTGGGTAATAAGGATCTTTGAACATTTTGCCAACAAAGTAAATTAAGATGGCCCATGCGAAAATGTATATGAACCATTCCTTAGTGATGATCATAGTAAAAAATAAGCCAAAGAATAAATTGTACAAAACTCTCTGATTTTTACATCTCAATGAATTGAAAACTATTCCCAAGGGAATGCACAGGTACTTATAATATTAAAGGGGCACAATTTACAAAGTAAAGTATCAAAATCAATAAGTCCAACTCCAAATTCACTACGTTGATTCCCCTTAACTTATCCTCTACGGCTTCCACAAAAGTGACGATCATTAATAAACAAATATATATAATCAACAATTGTTTTCTCCCTCCTAATATAAATAATAATCACCACCTTATTCTCATCCCAAAAACGGTCTCATCCATGTTTAATTCACAATCCTTAGCCCCTATCCTTCGACCAATCCATAATAGTCTCAATTACCTAAATTACGGAAGAAATAAATTCCTATTTTCAATTGTAACAGTAACTAACTGGGATAAATTAGAAATATGGAATAACTTATCCTTATTTTCAAGCAGATGACCATGAAAATGGATGTACATCATATAATAAATATATATATTGAGTCCCAAATTCAATTTTAATATCTATTCCTTAAAATTTGTTAATCGTTAATTCCTATCTATATTGTCTATTGGTTCCAAACTGCAAGGTACGTGGATATTGATTATTCTCAATAATTTCAAATATTAACTTACCACTTATGTTTATACTCAATAATTTTTATGTAATAACCTGGAGAAGATATAGATTAATTTATACTTGGCTACAATAATTAAACTAACAACTCTTTGATTTAGCCCAGCACCAATCAAGAATAACTACTAGCGCAGAATGCTCGACTTTTACAACAATTACATGAATAACAAAGGATGCTCAATTTATAGAGTCTCTTCACTCAGAACATGCTTCATAATCCATATCATAATTAGTAAATGACACAGAACAGCAAAAAGATTAAGAGGGCAAAATCTACTTTGCAACATATTTAATCGAATGCCAGTTTGCGAGACCAACAACCTTAAATTTAGGATATTAAAGGAAATGTTAAAAATGCCTATATTAAGAAAATCACATCCCTATTATGTGTTGAAGGAGACAAATTGCTTGACGAGGAATTGCAAGAGGATTTATAAGAGGATAGTTCCTCTGAAGAGCTTTCAAAAGAGAAGAAAGGTGGATTGGCAGGATTGTTAGGCTCTGCAAATGACCTGTTGAATGAGGGGTCTAAAAACAAACGTCTGAGATAGAGTGCCAAGAAATCACGATTGAGAAAGAAGGTATATCTGAAGTTATTAGAGAAAAAAGTATTGTAATGCATTCCTATTTTAAGGTAACCGATTTGGATCAGAAAATACAGGAGTACAAAAAAACAACCAAAAAGTCATTTGAATATCTGACACAGCTCTTGATTTCACATCCGATACTTAATAGCATGATTATTGGAAATTCTAATGCAATCGATCAAATCATGCATTGCAATCAACCAGAATAAGCCCAATTGATTATTGATTCTTATATGGTAGTATTGTGAAGAAACTATAGTTTAGATGAGATATGGGACTTGCGGCATTAAAAGAAAAGATTATATGAAATACGCCATCAAAAATATCCAGAGGAACTTCTTGAAAGGAAATTACGGATTATTGTTAATAAGTACCAATGATGGAGGGAACACTTGTAAGTGAACACATTAATTTAGATGATGAGGAATTCAATAATTATGTTGAGATTGTAAAGAAATATACAAAAATAGAAGACAATAATCTAATATACAAGGTACTCCCAATTATAGATAAATTGTTGAATCATCGCAAAGTATCTTAAAAGTATGTTCTGTTTTAAGTATATAGGTATTTACTCCAATTAAACAAAGAAATGAAGAATTTGAAATTAATTTAATAGGAAGTGGATGAGACAGTGAGTTAATTTACACAATCCTTGACATTTATGCAGATGGTGGAATTTATCAAGGAAGTTGAGCGATTGCGGAATTTTAATAGATCTCAGTTTTGATCATAATTATATAAATAACTATGGAATTATTAAATAATGAGGAACGAGAAATGTTGGCTAAATACAATAGATATTTGACAAATGACAAAATGTAAGAACCATTGAAATACTCAGACATCTTTATGGGTAAACATGATTTAAATGACATACCTCAAAAGACAGAAGAAAAAAAAATTCAAAATTAAAAATTACAAATCAAAACTTCTTCTGCTAGTAAGCGAGATTAATTCAAAAATATTATCAATGAATTGAATAATGTAAATTGTTATTTACATAGATCTAGGTTCAAAGTAAATAATTAGAAAATATTTTCAAAAGTAGTTCGGTTTTCGAAGAAACATAAAAAGAGAAGCAAATTGAAGAATGCGAAGTGCAAGTTGTCAAAGATACTACGCAATTAAAAACTAATAAGAATTCTGACAGACCAGAAAAATAACCAAAATAATCAAAATCATCGAAATCATTGTCGAAGGAGTAAATCAAAAAGAAGCAGGATAATAAACCCAAAAAGAATAGGAATCCATAGAATTCGTAAACGGCTATAGAAATCTAATAGGAATTCAATGAGTATGTTAACTATTCTTAATGTTTTAGGAAATTATTATAATAACTAAATAAATTGATCTAGTTGAAGAAGGTTGATAACAAATTCTTTTTCAGTTTAATCTCCAAACATGTTAATGAATGCCCTTCCTTTGGAAAAAGACTGAAAGAGGAAATTAAGGAGATATTAAATTAATTATTATGATTGAATCAATTATTCTGTGTGAATTCCATGACTTAATCGGCAAATAAGCTATTCTCTAGTATCCTCACGAGTAAAAACATCAATATCTTTTCCATTTAGATAAGCAATAAATATTGAAATATTGGGAGATTTTCTGTTGCCCAAAGAAGAACTTGGAGGTAAATTACTTATGATGTATGTATCATCAATAACCCAAGAGAGTATCAATCATAATACATCATCAATATCCCTATGGTTATGAGAAATGGTTCGGTTTATCGAAGAGCCATATATGTTTTAAGTGTTGCAATCAAGGTGAAAAAAGAATAATTCTCAAAAAATCAAGACGCCTACTTTGAGATCGTAAGGAAATTGGCATATGTGATATCCTAACTTGAAGTCAATAGGAATTACATCTATCGAAATGATGAGAATAAGGAGGAAATACACACCCTAATCAAGCAAATATATTAAGACATTAATATAAGCGCGGAACATGAAAGCTTTGTAGAATTTGATGATTCACAATACATGTTCTTGAGATTACCATAATAACCATAACCTCCGCAAAATATCATTATTAAATATAGTCAAGTGCCATTCCCCATAGTAAATATAAAGTAAGGAGTCTAAACAGCATTTAACCCGATTTTAGAAAAATTGATACCAGAAATTAATGGAATTAATTGTGTAGGAGCTATCTGTCAAAAATTGAAAGAATTTAAGGCTGAATAAATAAAGACTGCGATTAAAGAGATGATCGAGTACAATTTAATTCGCTTAGTGGATATGATAAAAATCACAAACATGTATGTAATTAACGAGAACTTCTTTACTCATGATTTTAAGTAGGAGGACATTCTCTAAATTGTCAATACAACACATGAGGCTTTTTTGTAGAAATTTGGATAGTCATTCGATTTTGATTTGCTTAAACAATATTTGCAGACCCTTTACATTGAGATGAAAAGAGGACTTATTCTTAAAGATTACATTGAAAATAACAAGACCTCCTTAGAATTTGTATCTATATTCATCTATATTTTAGATTTCTTTAACCAAATTGATAAGGTATGGATAGTTGAATAATTTTTTGAATCGAGTTCATGAATATTTTTTTATTTGTGCAAGTCAGATATAGAAAGCATAGAATTTGGAGAACATTTTCTTAGTTGCCCCATCCAATTATATTAAGATGAGTGAACGATTTAATGAGGAAGATAAGAATTCAAAAGAACAATAGGAGCAGCAGATGGAATGCTCATTAGAGTATTCGAAAAGATTTGAGAAGGGGATTGAAGGCTAATTTATAGGGTAGAAACTCAAGGATGATGAGAAACTGAAAGATGCAAATGAAACAATTAAGAATATGATTTTCAATTAGGAAACTTTGGATGAAATTTGTTTAGTTTTTAATTTGGATTTGGAATAATGTCACTAATTAGTTGAGTCAAAGGAGTATGTTATTATACACAAATGATTATTAATAAACAAATATTTCATTATATAGACATCTATTAAAAATATTTATTTAGGTCTTCTTCCTTGATAACAGGAATCTAAGCTTAATCCTCCTCAGATTGTTCTGATTTCTTCTCTTCTTCATCTAACGTTGGTTTAAATACATTGAACCCATTTGCAGAAGTACTCACTATCATTTCATAATAGATTGGATGATATTTCAGTTCTTTGAGATCCTTCTATCCTTGATGCACAAACATTAATTAATCTGGAATGTCATCAACATTGTTATTTTCATTCTCAACAGCAAAATCCCAAATAGATAATTTGTGATCCTCTGATGATACAGCAATACTAGAATCACTGTTGGGTTAAAATTAGATAGAAGTAATGGCTTTATTGTGGAATTAGATTTCAGAAATGGCATCATTTTTGGGATACTTCAAATCCCAAATTTTAAAGCAACCATCATCAGCTCCTGTAGCCACAAGAGTAGCTGATACTTGATTCCATGAGATAACATTCACATCGCAATTATGGGCTTTAACTAAAATCTAAGCTTGCTTATGCTTTCCTTCTCTTGTATCAACTATGCATAGAGATCCATCAGTAGAGCATGAAGCAAACACAAAACTCTCGATTGGAGAGAATTGTAAATCTTCAACACTTCCCTTATGATATTCATAGGCTTTATTTTCCCTAATCCAATCATTGTTGTTTAATTGATATAAATAAATTTTGCCGTCTACTGAACCACTGATTAAATCTCCTAATTTCAAACGGCTCCAATCCAATGCAAATCCTTCATGTTAGTTTTTGAATACTTTGTGGTGTAATTGTGACAAATTAAATTACGATTATTAATTTGTTAAAAGCTTTTTATATAATGGATTCAAATCTAAGATGCTTACATCTCCATTTTCATTCCAATAGGCTGCAATGGCTTATCCATTCATAGTTTTAATTCTATTGACTCCACATTTCAGTCCTGCAACACTACTCAAATGTACTTATCCTTCTTCATCATTACTAAGATTGTCATCTTCACTATCATCTTCTGATAATGAAGCTTCATCATCATCGTATTTAGTTTTGTGCATTTTTGACAATTTTAATAGGTATATTTAATTTTTGGTTGGTTATGCTGCTTGAGTTCCAGCTGCCAAATACACAGTGTATGGATACTTGTTCATCTTATGGTATTCCTTATTTCTGTATTGTTATTGTTCTTCTTCCGTTAACACAAAATCACAAGACAAACAAGGCCATTCGGTTGTGACTCTATGTAACATATTATAAGCCCTATTATCAAAATCTAAATTTTCAGCTTCATCATAGAACCACACTCTCTTTTGATTCTCCTGACTCTCCTATTCCATACCCTTCTTCTTTCTTACGAGTTTTGATTATTATTGTAAGGGTTACTATTATTATTATGTTGATTGTGATGGTTCTTGGGTTTATTCCTCCTTTTACAAGATTTCTTCATCTTCACTATCAATATTGATTTCGCCCTCTTCACTCTCTAACTAAATTACTTTGATAACTTACCATATTCATCATCAAATTCATCTTCATATTGAATATGCTCATCTTCCTCCATTTCGCTTACATCCTCGTAATCAGAATCTATTTCCTGAGTTACATGTGCATTGTCTTCGATTTTACTCTTTTTTTGAATGCATTATTTCAATATTCTTCTTCTTCTTTAGGAACGAGATTGCATTTATAAATATTAATATCACACATTAAATTTTAATCTCTAAATTGCAAACATATTCCCATTGCAATTAATTGATAAATTAAATTTATAAATCTAATTCATTTCCTTCACCATTCTATTGATTGTATGCAACTTCTCTTGCAGTAGTAGGAATGCAATTAATTTAATCCAATAATCCCTAAAATTTTGATCAATCATCATAACTATACCCCTGTTTAGAATTACCGTTTATATTCAATACATAATCAATCGTTTCATAATATATTAATTTTCGACATTAAAATGAATAGATTATTAATTACAGAATTGGGGGATGCAATGAGGCATGAATTAATTAAATAAGAAGAACTAAAACGGAAAAAGACTGTTTTGGTAAGCAAAGATTCATTACCTGAAATAAAATCACCAGGCATAATTAATTCATTGCTCCTGGACGTGGACGATAATCCATTATATCGCAAGAGCCTATCAGATGTGGCACTTTTGAATCTCACTAAAGCTGCGAATATTTCTCTAAACGGATCTCAAAGCAAGGATGTCTTGGAATAACATATAAGGGACGATTTGCAAATTCAAAAGAAGGATGACTATCTTAACAATTACCTGAATAAGCAGGTCGAAAAAATATTGGACGATAAAAGTAATTGCTTATGAGCTATTAAGCGTTTAGACTTAATGACCAAGAGAAGGAGATACTTGTTAGGGGAATTGAGGAGAATTGAGATCAAAGAGAACAACCTCAACATCAAGAATAGAATTTCTACTGATTAGTCATAGTTAAGCACCATTGTCGAGGATACAGATAGAGAGAGCAAATTGATGGCCATCATCAACACAGAAGGCAAGTTGCTATAATTGTAAAGGAGATACGACAAAAAGAAATAAGATGATGAAGCTCTAAAGCAGTAAGTCAAGACTAATTATTCCAAACATAAAGACATAGAAGATATGCACATTGAGGCACTTCCAATCTTAACCTAAGAACAATTGGATCAAGGCATTAAAAATTTGTATCACAATTCCGATTTGTCAGAACGCCGGTTTTAATAGAGATTGCTAGACAAACACAAGGAGATTGCCACCAAGGTTTGGAAGTAATATCATTACCCCAAAAGACACAAGAAGTGGATAGAAATCTAAAAGAAAGTTTTGATGTGATTGTGGAAAACTATAGAACTAATTTAATATATAATTCTAATTTAATTTTAATTAAATCACTATTATAGTATATAAATAATTGATCCATAATGAAAGAAATGAGAATAAATTCAACATGTTCTTTAATTGTAATAACTATATATCTCTACGCATTATGATTAATATCTGATACATATAATAGTCTCTTTCTTCTTATTTCTATTTCTATTTGAAATTTGAAGTATTTAATGTTGTGAATATCGTAAATTCATACTATAAAAATAGTAAGAGATTATTTTTAGTTAAATAAATTAAAATAATTTCTCCCGCTCATTTGCAATTAAAATGGAAGATATATATTCATTTATAAAACATGAGATAGGTTCAGAAAGAATGGTATAGCTAATTTAGATTATAGGTTACAAGAACTCATTTATTATAAAAATTTCCAGATGAAAGACTTCAAGCTATTTAGTATATTCTTTGGTTACAATTTATTTTAGAGCATTTAATAAATATTATGAATAGAATGCCCAACAAGTGGATGCTGTTTTCACAGTATTGCAAGAAGCCGATGATGGAAATGGCTTAATTAGTTCATTATTATCTGCAGATCAAATAAATAAGAATATGAAGATTAAGGATATTTCATTATATGCCTTAGCGGATAAAAACCAGATTGTAGATGAAGACCTCTTTCCACCTTCCTTTGGGTATGCTGCTCATCAATATAATTTAGAGGACAAGCACCTCTTAAAGTGACTGTTCATGAAGTGAATTTATCAAGTTTAGTGCAAGCCATGACAGTAGAGTCCTAAAAAGTAGTTGTAAATAAAAAGGTTGATGGATTGGATCATAAGAGAAAAAATGATTCCTCAGATTTGAACACGTAAGCCAATGTATCAAAACAACTAAAATCCACAGATCCAGCCAAAAATGATTCTTTAAAAATGATGAATGAAAACAATACTGTAGCTTAAGAAACAATTAATAAAGAATCGAAAGCATAATAAGATTCTGTAATGAAGAAGCCTAAGATTGTATTGAAGAGCAAACAATCAGACTAATCTCAAAGTTAAAATTAGGTTAAAGAATAAAATCTATTACCAATCATTGAAGAGTTCGTTATAAAGAATGATCCAATCATTGAAGAACCAGTCAAAGAAGTTTAAACAAAAAACCAAGAAGTCAAACCTTCTGAACCTGTAGTAAATATACCAAATAAAACTTCAAAACCCAAAACTTCATCAGCTGGGGCAGGCTCTATGAAATTAGATAACTTTTTTAAGAAAAAATGATTATTTATAATGTTTTCTATGTTAAGACTTTCACCTCTAGATTTATTTTTGCATTTATTGCTCATTTATTAATTCTGAATCTTAAGCATTTTATACAATCAAATGATAACACTATGTCGTGATTTTGTAAAAGTATAATAAATTCTGATTACATTCTCTTGGTTTCTATTTTCTAAAAATAATAAATATTTTAATTATTATTAAATAAAAACTTCAATAGGGATTTTAGAATTTAATTTGTCTTATTTATATTCACACAAAATTATTGCAATAAATCTATACTCGTTTGTGGCTAGGCCAATATTATGGTAATCTGAGTTAAAGTGAAAAAGATAGAGTTAGAGATGGAAATTTTAAGAATCCGTTAAAAAGTTCAGAATTCATCTTTTTTCAAAATGCAAACAACTAATATGTCTCGGCGTTAGATATTCCATTTTTAATTGGAATTTGAATTATCTAATAAATTGTTATAATTATTATAAGCTATATAAATAGAATGAGCAAACCAAAATTCTTAATCTAATTTGCTCGGAAAGAAGCAAGATAATAAGCTGATAAACTTATAGAAGTGGAAGCCATGAATAATGTTGAGTAAGAGATACAGCTCTTAGAGAACAATGAGTAAATTCAAATACATAAATAGTGTATGGAAATTGAAACCACTCAAGATTATTTAGAAAGTAGCCATTTTCATAACAAAAATGAAACATTTTTCAACGCAATACAGGTTTAAGATTCTGAACAAGGACATTTTCAATTTGATACATGATCTTAGTAGCTCATTTTAATACTATCTGTATAATGGTCTCTTGCAAACCAAATCTACTAAAGTATGATATAACCTAAGTTCGTATTAGTATGGGGAAGTTAAGTATGAGCAGAAACAGAAAAATGAATTCTGGTGGAGAATTTGGACTTTTCTTAAGAGTAATCAAACAGTTCTTTTGCCAGCAGATAAATTTCTATTTGTTTGGGACGTAATCTTGATGTTTGTAACTATTGTCAATATTCTCTACGTTCCCCTCCAGTTGTCATTTGATCTGAATAAGGAATAAATAGGAAATGCATATTTATTATTTAGCACAATACCAAGTTGTGTATTCTTGATGGAGTTAATTCTCAACTTCTTCAAGGGTTATTATGCAAGAGGAATCCTACACACTTCAAAAAAGGATATATTTTGGCATTATGTTAAAGGAGAGTTCTTCCTTGATTTAATAGTTGTGTTACCGTTTATAATTTCTTGGTTCGGATATTAATTTGCAAACTATTTAATGTTAATCAGAATGACTAAAGTCAGAAGGACAATGGTAGTGATAGAAGAGATATCAAATTTCAAAGAAAAAACAGCCGTAATATACTCTCTATTTTGTTTAATCTACTCATTGTTGTTAATCTCTCATTTTTGCGCGTGTTTATTTCATTACTTTGCCATTTTGGAAGTTGATCTTGGTTATTCACATACTTGGTTACATCAACAGGATATTTATGAAGACAACGCATATGTGAAATATTTTACATCTCTTTATTGGGTGACCATTACGTCTATGACAGTTGGATATGGAGACATCATACCAGTTACAACACCAGAGAAAATATTGGTAACTTGTTTTACATTTTTGGTGGTTGGAACGTTTGGTTATGCGTTGGGGATGATTTAAAGCATCTTTTATAAGTTGGCGGAATAATAGAATATTAATAACTCTAAACTTAGGCTTGTGAGCAATCACATCAAGTAAAGAGGGTTGAATACATAATTGCAATTTAGAGTAAGGAAATACATAGAGTACTACTTATAATTTAAGTAGGAGGAGGAATTGGATTTGGATGAATTGATGGGGTAATTGAATCCAAAATTAAAGTAAGAAGTCTAAATAGCGATGTATTATAGTTATTTTAAACAGTCTAAACTATTCGGATAAAACTTGTCAGACGAGACTCTGATGAAACTATGCTTCTGTATACATGAAAAGACTTATGCTCCAGAAGAATTCATAATTAAAAAGGACGATCATTCTGATAAGGTGTATATATTGTTGGCTGGAAAAGTGAAGTCAGTTTTATTAGATAGAACAATAAAAACATATACAAGTGGAAAGTTATTTTGTGAAAGAGAGTTCTTTTTTTAGGATTATATGCAATTCGATATTGTAGCACAAACTTTTGTTTAGGTTGCATATATTACTTAGAATGAATTCTTATCAATCTTGTAGAAAGACAAAAGTCAGTATGAGAAGTACAGACTGATTCTCGATAAAACTCAATTTGGAGATAATTCTACTCAAATAAAATGTGAGGCCTGTTCTAGTCATCATCAATTCAAGCATTGCCCATTATTATTCTTTAGAAAAAACAGGAACAAAATCATATCAGCCTACAACTGCAGCATAGATCACTCAAGAGAATAATTCTTTCGACAAAGTAAAAGAAAGAGGATCAAGTTGTTTCATGTTAGAGAAAAAGCTTTAGAAAAAATGCTGGATCTTTAAAAATCTATACTCTAGGTTGATACCAAATAATTAATAAGGTTGGGATTTCCAAAATTGGAGGAAGACGAAATCGAATAACCTGAGTAGACTGTTGGATTGCATTCTCATTAATAATCTCTCAATTAGCAAGATATCAAAAATTTATTTAGGAATAAGTTATTCCCATAATTGAGCAATAGAAGTCTTCTAATATCAAATAATAATGTAAACAACTCCTTTACTCCTTATAACAATTAAAATGCTAATTTGGAAATCTAGGAGGATCCTCATCCATAAATATCATATATTGATTTAAATATAGACAAGGTGTAAGTATTTGAAAAATATTATCCTCATTTCAACATAACCAAAGTGGCTAAGTTAATCAATAATTATCATATTTACGCCAAAGTCCTAAAGAAGATTAGAGGTCACAAGAACAAATTTGCTCATTACATAGCTCGTTAAATAATGTATAAAGTAATATGATTGTATTTTATCATGATACCATAAATGGCTATAGTAATTAATCTATATAAGATTGATCTAATATAGATTAGTATTATATTTGATATTTTTAGATTATTCCTGTCTACTTAAAGTCCGTTATTTATATATAATAGAATATCAATTTATTTATATTTACATTATAATTCAAATAGTATCTTTTTGTTAATCTATGCATACATGCTTAATTCTCAATTAAGGAAAAGTGATCCTGTCTAGGAATAATATTTCAAAGGTTATAAGATAGAATGTTGATGGTTTAGAGGCAGACAAGAGGAGAAGATAGTTTAAGAACTTATGAGAAGCATATCAATTTACTTATATGAAGGAAGAGGAGTGAACTTGATGAAGGAGAAGAATTCTGTAGAATGGATTCATAACATATGATAGAAATGGTTATCATTATAAAATAAATTCATTTCACAAATCAGAAAAAGCTATTTCTATTATTAATAAAATTTTTAAAGATGAACCAACATGATATTTATAAAGTTAAATCCTATGAGATCAATAAGAGCCTAGAAATAGGTAGGGGACAATTTGGGGTTGTCTATTAATGCACGGATACAAAAAACCCACAACTCAAATTATGTGCAAAGGTTAAAGTTGATACTAACATAGATCATTGAGGAAAGGTTGGATGACCCAAAAACTCAAAGGGAAATTGAGTTAATGAAAATTATAATGATTAATGCTAAGGGAAACAAAAATATTGTCGGAGTAGAATACGTAGAGTATACTAAAGATGGAATTGTGATGATTTTGGAAAAATGTGAAAGTGATCTCTAAACAGTTATGGAGAAGAAGCTGAAGAGCGAGGACAAATATTTCAGACCAAGGGAAGCCCTAAACATCCTTAAACAATTAGTGAATGGTTACAAGATTCTATATTTCAATGATATTATACATAGAGATCTTAAACCTGCTAACATATTGATTTTGAATGGAGTTTACAAGGTACATCATAGTTCAAATTCTTTTAGATAGCCGACTTGGGTTTGGCGAGAGTCTTAGAAGGATGCCAAGAATTGACAAAAGTAGGAACGCCTAAATATGTAGCTCCTTAATTGTATTTTGAGAAATACTTCTCAAATTCTGCTGACATTTTTTCAGTAACCTTTTACATTTATAACATCTAGTTAGGAATCATCACTTATGAATTGATTTATGGTAAATTGCCATATCCAAATATTATAACCCAATTAAATCAAATAAAAAAGGCTTTAAGGAGTTTAGAAAAAAACCCAGTCGTAGTGGATAGAGATTGGCCAGAGGTAAGAATATCGACATTTTTAGATGACTTCCGATTTTGCTAATTTGATTGAATAGATGCTCAAATATCATGAGAAAGATAGAATATCTTGGGAGAAATTATTTAAACATTAGCTTATCTAAGAAGAATCCAACATAGTAGTGAATCAATCAGGGTAAGCAATTACATAATACCCTTAGACTTATCCATAATTCAGACTCCGACGATGAAAAAGAAGAAGAGACTGTTTAAACTTAATTTCCAGAATAAAAGCCAGTTCAAACATAGAACATTGAATAGTAAGTGCCTCAATTTGCTTAAAATTAACCTAAACCAACATTTATAACACCTCTCCCCTAGGCTTAAAAGTAATCATGAAATATAGATTCTAGGCCACAACCAGTCCAATTCACTCCAGGGAAAGTGTTTACTAATCCTTTTCCTACTAATTTTCCTGTTCCACCCAACACTAATTCTTTTATAGCACCTCAAGCAAACTAATAACCCAAACAATTTATGAATCCTTAAGCTTAAAGATTCCCAAGCATGGTCCAAATGCATATATTAGGATAACCACTTATATTTTAATAAGTCAAAGCAACTTCAGATTAGATTTTTTAAACAGGGTTTTTAATGGATTAAACATTAGAGAATTTAGAAAAATATGTGTAATTGATAGTTAATATAATTTTAGGAACATGTAATCATAATTGAGAGCAGAGTTTTTTGGAATCAAATTATACCTTCATTGTTTGGCATAGTGCTTCTATGAACACTCAAGTGCTATGTTAAAATAAAATTCGAAAAACCCAAACAATTAATGTTACTATTCACTTCAAGTGGTTGATTAGGAAATTTAGAAATAAATAAAATATCATTAAGTAATAGCATAGGAATTGGAGAGATGCAATCTAACCTCATACTACCCTGTGACCGATATTAATCCAGATTTTTGTAGTTACCTCCTGAAACTTAATAACATTACATAAAACAAAGCATTGTTTATTTATTCGAGTGAGACTAAGTATTACCCGGATTATTTGTCGTAATCATATTATGATTAACTTTAGATTGTTATATTTTTTGGAAAGAGTCAAAGATTTCAATCAACGATCCTTTGAGGAGATATATATACAAATGTAGGATATATCTAAAAATTAAAAAAGCGAATAAATCATGACGGATTACCTTGGTAAGAGGCTTTTAAGTTGAAATATTAAAAATTATAACATGTTATTTATTAATTAATTAATTTTATGATTCTCCAACCATTATAGTAATAAGTCCAAACAAATAGAGACAATAAGAACTTTCAAGGGCTCAATTCCTATCAGTAAAAGCGCTACCTTGATCATCGAAATACCTAGAAACAAAGAAGGTACAAGCCACCCAAAAAGTTCCCAACCCAATTTCCCATAATTAAAAAAGATGATACCCAGTATGAATTCAGATTGTTCCATCAAGTTTAACATATGAAGAGTGCTCATTTTCAATCAAAATACACTTTGTCTATGGGAAGCATTCCTAATCTACTATTGCACACATATTTTGATTAGATTGTGTTCTATGATGTGGCTAAGTTAAAATCTGACACAACCAGAATATCAGTGGAAGCACTTGGCCTTGATGTTCTTGATAACATTTGTGCCGTAGCTGGAATGAGTGGAGACATATTGATAATTAATTTGCTTAATGGAAGTATAGAAAAACACATTGTCAATCAGAAGAGAGATTTCATCAACCATGTTCACTTCTATCAGAACTATCTGGTTTCCAATGATAATGGAGGATTCATAAGAATATTTGATTATTAAAATGGACTCAAAGAGATCTTCTCATTTCAAGATAAAGCATCAGTCAATCTAACTAGTGTAAATGACAACAAACAAATTGCCTATTGTGGTGATAGACTAGGATTAAATGTATTGGATGTTCAATCAGGTACTATCATACATAGTTTGGAACCCCATAGTGAATTTGGTTTCGCTGTAGCCTACCATCCCAGCAAGAATTATCAACTTGCTTCATCTAGTGAGGATGGATCAGCTGTCATCTACGATTTGCGATCACCCAAAGTCCCAATATAGTAGTTTATTGGAGCAGATAACCCCATCTACAACATTACCTACTCAAAAAATGGATCCCACTTGTTCTTAGCTGAATCTAATTCCTATTTGCACATCTTGAATACGTAAACAATTTTCTTATCATCTAGTTCTCTGTATGATTCCGTCTAAACTATTGAAATACATGGGGAAATCTCAGGAATTACGAATGATACATACGATGAAAACCGATTCTACTTTGGTACAAGTTGCACTTTTGGGGATGGCATATGTGAATTTTCGAAATGAATGGAATATTATATTAAATGATATTTAAATTATTTTAGTTATCTTTTTGGGTCGATCTTAAAAATAAAATTATTCTACTTTTGGAACATTGTTTAATGAACTAATTAGTCTTGTTGTAGAATGGAAATCCAAAGTTAGTGAAAATATAATATAAAAATAGTAAATTTTGTAACTCAATAAATAATTTATCAACTTTAGAGAATTGTTTATCTTTTAAAGTGATTACATTAAAATTACAATCAAAAGTGAAATTAAGTACCATAGAATACATGATTTAAATGTTCGACAAGAAGAAATGAAATCGAATTGGCTAAAGGTTTTCTAACCAATCTAGGACTGAGACCTTTTGTGAAACTAGAGATAGGAATGTTAATCAAACCCATAAATTCCTTCGTTTTGATATGTGCTTCTGAATCTTTACATGATGGTCATTTGATCATGATAGTAATTTGTTTGTAATCGGGCTCTCAGAATTTCGAAAGGATGACTAGCGCAAGTACCCACTAGACCAGCGATCATTCCAGATAGGAAGGTGACTGAAGGGGAAAAGCCTGAATCTGCAGGTAAGAGCATCTCATGCATTTTACGATAAACCACATAATAGATCTAATGTTCATGTTGATTTAATACTCCTGCGAATAGACTGTCTTTAATTGAACAAGTGAGACCTCCTTTGAAGAAACTCATTACACCTTCTTATTTTGCAATTGTACTCGCAGTCTTCCATAAGGATGTGTATTAGTACCCAGGAACTTCAGCCCGAGTTTCAATTAGGAGAATTGGATTAGTAATGAAATTGGAGAGGCTTGAATATTAGATGAGTGATGTACCCTCTGGCAAAAAAGGAAGCAAGAAAGTCTTGGGAAACATTGCGATTTTCACTTGTAACATAGGATAACATTTGAAAATATAGGAAGCCAGCACTCATATTTCTTACTAATGCAGGGCCTTATGTAAAGAGAGAAAATGCTACGCAAACCGCGATAAAATCCATTGAGTCCTTCATTGATTAGTATGTATTCCACTGATCCATATGCACTTGTCAATCTATAGTTTGAGGGATTGGACTTAACAATCATGACCATTTTTATAACCTCCAGAGGTTACACAGCAAGTGTAGATATGAGAGAAGCAGTGGCTCCAAGTAATCCTTAGAAATGGACTCGTTGCTGCTCTACCATCAATATTAAATTTAATAGTGATCATTTGAAATATACCCAATAATGAATATTATGTTTGATGAGCTATTTTTAAATTAATTTCTAGAATGTGTGGGAACACGTGTTATTATATATATGTTGATGCAATTCTTGCGCAGAATCATAAATATTTTTAATGCATACTAAATAGAAGGCCTTTGGGTTGTTGCTACTCTTTATGCTGTCTGGGGTTTAGGTGATGACTCAAGATTTGACCGAAGAATAAAAGAAGTTATTGGAGTAGTCATAAGAAACACACGAGTTTTAAGCAGAAACAGGTAGGCTGATGGATATTCTAATCAATTCTCTTTATACTTAAAAGGAAATCTTTCTCAGGGAGTTAATATCAAATGCAGCTGATGCACTAGATAAAATTAGATTTTTGAGTGTAAAGAATCCAGAAATTCTGGGAGATAAAACCGAATTGGCAATTAGAATTGAAATAAACACAGAAGAGAAGACAGTTTCTGTTACAGATAGCGGTATAGGTATGTCAAAGAATGATTTGATATCAAATTTGGGTACAATTGCAAAATCAGGAACCACTTAATTCATTGAAGCCATCAAGGGAGGTAATGTTAACTTGATTGGTTAATTCGGTGTTGGTTTTTATTCATGTTTCTTGGCAGGTTAAAAGGTCACAGTTGCATCAAAAAATACAGATGATGATTAATACATTTGGGAATCCCAAGCAGCTCATTCATTTGCAGTATCGAAAGATCCAAGAGGAAACACCTTGGGTCGTGGTACTCAAGTCACTATTCATTTGAAATAAGATGCTGTTGAGTTTGCAGAGGAAAGCACAATTAAAGAATTAATCAAAAAATATTCTGAATTCATCAATTTTCCTATTTATTTGAAGGTGACTAGAGAAGTCTCAAAATAAGTAGAGGAAGAACCAGAATAATAATAGGATCAATAAGAGAATACAGATGATGATGAAGTAAAGGTTAAGGATGATGATGATGATGCAGATACAAACAAGAAAGCTACTAAGACAATTAAGGAGAAAGTGTCTGAGTGGGTTTAAATCAATGAAAATAAAGCTATTTGGTTGAGACCAAAGGAAGAGATCTCTGATGATGATTATAAGAAATTCTATAAAGTATTATCAAAGAACTCTGGTGAAGATCCTTTCAATTGGGTGCATTTCAAGGCTGAAGGAGAAGTCGAATTTACATCCCTTATTTATGTGCCTAAGAGAGCACCAAGTGATATGTTTGACAATTATTATGGTAAATAAACTACAAATTTGAAATTGTATGTGAGAAGAGTCTTAATTAGTGAAGAATTCGAAGATATACTCCCAAGATATTTGAGTTTCGTCAAAGGTGTTATTGATTCGGATGAGTTGCCATTGAATGTCAACAGAGAAACACTTTAACAACTTAAGATGTTGAAGGTTATCAGTAGAAAGATTGTAAAGAAGATCTTAGAATTATTCTAAGATGCCGCTTCTTATGATGATGAAGATGAGGAAGATACTGAAGAAGGTGAAGAGGATGACAACATGGCAGAAACAACACCTGAAGAATAACAAAGATTGAAGGATGAAAAGAGAAAGAAGAAGATAGATGAGTATAATGAATTCTGGAAGGAGTATGGAAAGAATATCAAGTTGGGAGTCATTGAAGATTCCTCAAATAGATAGAAATTGGCTGAATTGACTAGGTACATTATTATTCTATAGTCTTAGATGGTACTCAAGCAAGAATGCAACTGAATTGACATCATTCGACGATTACATTGAAAGAGCAAAACCAGGACAAGACTCAATCTATTACTTAGCTGGTGAGAATAAGGAGCAATTACTTGCTTCACCAATTATCTAAGGATTATTGAAGAAGGGATATGAAGTTCTTTTGTTGGAGGATCCAGTTGATGAATTCACATTTTAACATTTGAATGAATACAAATAAAAGAAATTAGTTAATGTTGGAAAAGGTGATTTCAAATAACCAGAAGATAATGATGAACAAAGAAAGAAATAAAAGGCTTTGAAGAAAGTATTCTAACCATTGACTGATTGGTGGAGAAAATTATTATCAGAAACTGTTGATTCAGTTATCATTTCTTAAAGATTGATTGATGATCCAATCATTGTAGTTTCTTCTGAATCAGGATACTCTGCAAATATGGAAAGAATATCAAAGGCTCAAGCTTATTCAAGTAAAGCTGGTTCCCAATAGTTCGGTAAGAAGATCGTAGAAATCAATCCAAATCACTAAGCCATCTAAGAATTGTTATAAAGAGTGAAAGATGATCCAGATTAAGAAACAGAAGAAATGGCTAAGGTATTGTATGAAGCTGCTTTAGTCAATTCAGGTAATAGATTACTCTTATTTTAGGTTACTCAATTCCAAATCCTGAGAAGTTTGCTAGTAGATTCTATAAATTATTTAATTCTGCTTTGGGTATTGATAGAGATGCACCAGTCAAAGAATTTGAAGTAGAAATCGAAGAAGAACCAGAAACCTCATCAGAACCACCTCAAAGTGATGATGGAACTAAATGGGAAAAAGTAAATACAGATGATGCTAAATGGGAAACTGTAAGTAATGATAAAAGAGACGACTTATGATTCATTTATACATATGTATTGTATAATTTATATCTATATCATTTACTTTTGATTAATTCTTTGTAGACAATTGCGAAATCCTTCTTTCCAAAATGTTCATTCAATTTATTATAGATCTATTGAGCATGCTATCCTAATTATGCATCAGTTCCACTCTTCTTGGATGCATCAATAGCAATATCAAGGTCCTTGAGCATCAATTCAACCATGAAACCTCCATCGTAATCCTTGGAACTAGGAACATTAGGCATAACTCCTGGTACTGGATTATAAGTATCCACAGACCAACATTTTGAAGAACTGACTGACATTATGGAACTCAACATGGCTGGATCCATTCCCATGTTCTTTCCCAAGGCCAATGCTTCAGCAACACTTATCATTTAAATAGCCAAAGCCATGTTGCTGCTCACCTTAGCAATCTGCCCTTCTCCAATCTTTCCACAATGGAAAACATTTTTTCCCATTTCTTTGAGAATTGGAGATATTTTTTTATATGATTCCTTGTCAGCTCCGACCATGAATGTCAATGTTCCTAATTTAGCCTCACCAACACTACCAGAAACTGGAGCATCTGAGTAAATATTTTTAGTATCTTAGGCCATTTTAGCCAATTCATAGGAAGTATAGGGTGAGATGGTAGATGAATCAATCAACATCTTCTTTTGCTTCTTGAAGATCTCCTAGGCCACACTTTTGACAATCTTGTCATTTGGCAACATAGTAATGATTGTGTCTGCATTTGCAGTGACATCTGCCACCTGAGACACAGGTTTTATATTGGATGACTCAATTTAGGATTGCCATGCAGGACTGGCATCGTATGCATATACGATTCGAGTCTTGGCCAGGTTATGAGCCATGCCAATCTATTTTGATCATACATTATATTGATACTCCCATATTACCCAAACCTATGAATCCAATAGTGTTACTAAATCCAAATTCTGAAATAAACCTACGCATTATTTATTTAATTATTAACCGTAATAAATAAATATTTGAAATACAAATGAACTCCAACTCTGATTAGTAAGATTTCTTTTATAATTTGCTTAGTCATTTCCTATTCAAGGTTTTATTGATCGGAAATTCCGGTGTGGGCAAATCGTGTATGCTTATGCGCTATTCTGTACTATTTCTCATAATCTCAAGGAAAATTAATTCACAAACAACTTTTACAACACAATAGGAGTAGACTTCAAAACCAAAACTATTGCCTTGGGAGAACACAATGTTAAACTGCAAATTGTATTCAATTATTTCATAATCTTAGTGGGATACTGCAGGTCAAGATCGATTCCGCACAATCACATGTAGTTATTATAGAGGGGCTCAAGGAATCATAATCGTATATGACATCACTGACAGAGAGTCCTTCGAAAATGTGAAAACTTGGATGGCAGAAATCGATAAGTAATTCTTTCATAATCATTCTTAGATATGCATCAGAATCAGTAAATAGATTACTAGTTGGCAATAAAGCAGACATCACTGAACGAAGAGAAGTATCATACGAAGAAGGATTAGAATTATGTACTGTTCCCCTTAATAATAAATTTAGCCAGATTATATTAAATTCCATTTTATGAAACCAGCGCCAAATCGTCTATCAATATCGAAGCTGCCTTCACGCATATCACAAAAAACATCTTGAATCGAGAACTTCATAATACGAGGGCTGTAGTTAGGAAGACATCGAATTTAAGACTCCAAAACAGATAATAACAATAACAACAAGAGAAGAAAAAGTAGGAGGATCTTTGCTGTTGACTTTTATTATATTTTCGACCTATAGATAATTCAGATATATAAAAAAGTATATATTCAATCAGCATCTGGCATATTTTAATCCAGAACTTCCTATTCCATTCTTCTATTAGTGTACCAATTTCAGATGCAAATTTCTAAGTGATTGTTCTGACAAATTTTGAGTATCTGCACTCATTCGTCCTGATGCTTCCTATTTCGAACCAGATTTGTGATATGATTTTATTTACTACTTGAATGTTGTTGTATTTAAAGATCGCTCATTAATCAAATCTCCCAAACCTCCTCCACTCTTTCTAGCACTCATTGGAGTTCCATTTACATACTGTCTCATTCTGTCTATTGTGGAATCTACTTATATTTATAAATTGCTTACTGCTCTGAGAATTACTCTCCAAATTGATCACCACTTTAGGAGTGTCGTATTTACCCAAACCTAATTTACCCATGAAGCTTTGAAGCTCTTCCTTTCTCTTACTGGTCTTACTATGATCCTTGACATCAACTTGGAAGTTCATATTTTAAGTGACCTTAGAAGTTACTGATTAATCAGATCTATAGTTGAACTGATTGCCCAAACTTGGACTTTAGAGCAATTGCTTTTAGGCTGATGGCTTCTTTTAGAAGAAAGAGGTTGTCCTGTTTCCTGAACCATATTCAAAGATTTCCTCTTATGATTTACTAGGTGTTTTGTACTATTGGATTTGGGTCTCAGCCTTCTTGTTTCTTCTGATATCAAGATTAGAGAACAGATCCTCTGACTATTATTATTAAGGTGCTGCCTAATCAACTACCTTTCTTTATTAAACAGTATTGAATAAGGTTGTCAAATCATCCAAGGAAGAAGCACTTCTGAACTTTTCCAAAATGTTTTAATAATTGGAATGTTACTCGCCAACAACTGGCTTCTAAGGTTAATGGGATTATGGCAATTTTAAACCTGGCTCAATTCTCTGGTCTAATACACCCAAAATCATTTGTCTATGTTAGGCAATTTATGCTTTGTGTTCCTATTCACAAGCTATAGGATCTGGTACATGGACATCAAATTGAATTTGATTACTGGTTGTTGAAGCCTTTTTGGATCCCAAAATATTCCAATCCCATTCTTTGGGAGATTTTAGAATTTCAGCATCGCTTCTCCAAATGTCAGATTTCTCTGATTTTTCAATGACAGATGGTTCCTAAGCTAAAGGCTGTTGATCCTCTGCCAATTGTTTGAAGGCATTAAATTTACTTTTGTATTATTCAATAAGGTCTTTGGATGATTGACCAAATGAGGATTTGGGCTCGTGTTTAATTTCATACTTGAGGTCTTTACGAGGTTCAGGTTTAAAATCAGGGAGGGTTTCCTCAAATTTAGGTAATTCGAGAGTATTCTCTTGAGAGGTAATATCAATTTCAGACATGCACAGGCAATTTGTTATTTTTTTATTGTTAATTTTATTCCCTATTTTCTGTTAAAATATAATATATAAAGTATTAAATCACGACCCCGTTGTTCTGATTTTGGACTCTAACTTAGCCAACATCCCCTGCAGTTCTTCGTTATTGTACCTAATATAGAGCGATATTTGCGGAGCACTGCAAGCACAAATGCTTTGGTGACTAATACATCCCTTTTTTAAACATCTAGTAAAATTATAGAATCTATTACTTCCAGCAAAAAATGTAACTTAAAAACATATAATTGGCACAGATTTTGCAAACACTTCTATCATACTTCTCCTACTAATTAGCAAATTCAATGGATTTGACATGATCATACAAACTTAGTATACAATTACGAGTGCTAATTTCTAAATCCATCATTTGTTTGAATTTCTCATACAACTTAGATGTAATTTAAAATATATACTTTCTGCCATGATTATTTTGTGAACCCAATCTCTTCAGCCATCAAGGCTACCTTACACAGCAACCATTCCAAAGGGAAACTCACCTAAAATAGACAATTTCCACCAAAAATACCTTCTTTAAGTAACCATCCATGCGGTATTCTTACATTGCTTTATCGAACTCGTTGAGCCATTAAATTGGAGCCACATTAACAGCTTCACTGCAATTTAGTCCTAATTTTATTTAAATAAAATACCATGAGAAAAACCTGCATGGTAAGTGGCACCCAAAGTTAAGATTAGTTCACCTGGTTGCTGATCAGTTCTTAGAACTGGAATTCCATTCTCAACCAGCTCCACAGGTGAGATTTAACAGGTGATGTCATACAATAAGCGTGGGTTGGACTTTCTTTCATTTTCATATGCTTTGTTGAAGAATTTAAGGAACTTATCACTGTAACTAGGTGGAATAGCATACCTAAGTGATAAATCAACCTAATAGAGTACCATGTCTTTGCAGCTCCTGCATGCATATAGTTCATTGAATTTAAATTAAGATCCTCTTTATGCCAACAGAAGTTAGCATATTTCATGCCCAAATACAACCAAGGCACTGAGATTCCATTGATTTCATTCTTTTCCTGAAGAACTTAAAAAATTGAATTCCTGTTTTTGTTTATCCCATTAAGATTCCCTAACTACCCCTCCTAATAGCCTGTGGCATATTTGGATGCCAAGAGGTCTGCTGCGTATTCGACCTCAATATCCTCGTATTATGTTGGATAATCTATGACTGACCAGAACTCTATCTCGTTCTGTCGAATTTGATTAGAAACTTCTCTCACTCCTTGCAATCTATGAGCACACTCAAACTTATTAGCTAGATTCATATACTCCTACACAGTAAATCCTTTAGTGTTAGAACCAAAAATCTAAGACTAATAAACGAAAATACCTCTCCAGCTCTTTGGGTGTTTAGTGTTTGGATACGAGTTTGAATTCTCTTGCCCTGGAGTTTAGACTCTAATTGAGAGAAAAATTTCTGATTTGGCACCACTAGATCTGGTGGTAGAATCAGTTTTACAATTCCAAATTTTTCATACCCTTTTGCATAGAGTTCATCTATCATTTTGAATGGATCATTGAAAAAAGTTTGATCTATGGGGAGTACGGGAACATCTTTAAGTTGAAAATCTTTTGTGGTGTAGGGGAAACGTTCTAGTAATAACTTTGGATGAGGCTCAGTGAAATCATCACTGTTCTTTGACTTTTTGGTTTATTTGGAATACTTTTTGGTGTGTATCATAAGAAGAGAAGGTAATTTAATTTAATAATTTTAACTCACTCTTTATATGTTCTGCCTTGATCCTAATTTATTTAAAAAGATACATTTGTTTTAAATTCCCAAATATTATTATATAATAAAATTATACCCGTGTCTAGAATCCGATCAATTCTATTAAAAAATACATAAATATATATAATTCATGCAGAGGCTGTTTGCTAATCTTCCTTTTTGATTTCTAAATACGCCTTGTAATTCGATTTCGGTGGAAATGGTCGTTCTCCCAAAACTTCAATTATTTTTTGTAAGTCGAGAGTCTCCTTTTCTAACAAAGTAGAAGCCAATCTAAAAAGCTAATCAAACAAGATACTTATTAACAAATTCCTTTTTCTCAGTGATCAATAACCTAGTTCTTTAAGTCTGCTCCTCAATAAGTTTCCTAATTTCATCGTCAATCTACTTATTAGTGCTATCACTGTAAGGTTTCTAGAACTCTCCCTCCTGAAATCCAACATACCCAATGTTCTCATTCATACCGAACTTAGTAACTATACTGTGAGCAACATCATAAGCCTTCTTTAAATCATCATAGGCTCCAGTAGTGACTTACCCAAAGAAAATCTCTTCAGCCACTCTCCCTCCCAATATACAGCAAATTCTGTCCAACAATTCTTACTTGGTCTCTAGACTGGATTCATTGGGTAAATATTAAGCATATCCTAACGAACCCTTGCTTCTAGGAATGATAGTTAATTTAAGAAGAGGATGTCCTCCCTTTAAGAACCAACTGGCAACAGCATGCCCTGATTCATGAAATGCAACTGTCTTTCTTTCTTCTTCACTTATGATTCTTTTCTTCTCTAAACCAGCCATGACTCTTTCTGATGCCATCTCAAAATCATGAGCGTCAACATAAGTCTTGTTTGCTCTAGCTGCCATTATAGCTGCTTCATTACAAAGATTGGCAATTTCAGCTCCACTGAATCCTGGAGTCAGAGTGGCCAATCTTCTTGCATATTCTTCCATAGTCTTAGAGGGATCCAACTTAATTGGAGCCAAGTGGACCATGAAGATTTATTTTCTACCTTCAATATCTGGCAATGTGATATCAATAGATCTATCGAATCTACCAGGTCTTGTGAGTGCTGGATCCAGTAATTCTTTTCTGTTGGTTGCTGCCAAAACAATTACATTAGTATCAGTTCCAAATCCGTCCATTTCAACTAATAACTAATTCAATGTATTATCTCTTTCATCATTACCACCAATTTTAGCATCTCTCTTTCTACCAACTGCATCGATTTCATCTATAAAAATAATGCTAGGAGACTTTGCTTTTGCTTATTTGAATAGATCTCTGACTCTGCTGGCACCAACTCCTACAAACATCTCTACGAAATCTGATCCACTCACAAAAAAGAATGGAACGCCAGCTTCACCTGCACAAGCCTTTGCTACCATAGTTTTACCCGTTCCTGGAGGTCCTGCCAATAAAGCTCCTCTTGGTAATTTAGCTCCCATTTCTTTATATTTTCTTGGCTTTTTGAGGAAGTCTACAAATTCCTTGATTTCTAATTTAGCTTCATCTAATCCGGCCACATCATTAAATTTGACTTTTACATTTTATTCAAATCCAAATTATTTTACATTTGATTTACCAAAACCAAATACATCATTTCCACCACTTCCACCTCCTTTTCCCATATTTCCCATAGTACCTTTGAGTGATTTAAAGATATAAAAGATGAGCACAGCTGAAACTCCATAATACAACAAATTCAATGCTCTATCAACCATCTTTGCTTTGTCTATTTAGATCTCAAATGAGACTGGAATAAATTATTCAGGGTAAACTCCCTTTTCAGTTTAATATCGTTCTAGATTTTCCAAGAAATGATCCACATTTCCTAGAATTAACTTTTTTGATTCTCCTCTAGTTGTAATGATTGAAGCTTAATTAACTTTGCTATTATCATTATTATACACTTTGATTGCACTTACTTGGTTGGTTTCTAAGTAATTCTTAAGAAACTCAGTATAGGTGATTTCTTCTTCCATATTCAAATAAGTGTAAAGTGCTGCCAAACCACTTACACCCAAAAACATGTAAATATAATTGCGATTCTTCGGATTCTTTAAGTATTCTTGAACTTTGCTAAGATCAATTTCTGGAAGCAATGGTTTTTTCTTCTCTTACTTTTGTTGCTACTATTGTGATTATTCTTCTTCTTCTTAATTTTCCTATTTTTCTTGCTTCTCCTCCTATTTCTCCTACTTCTCCTATTAATCTTGTTTCAACTTCTCTGTCTTCTACTCCTCCTCCTATAATTTGAAGGATTTGGGATCGTAAGTAAATTGGTACTTCTTTTTCTATGGCTTCTCCACTATCACAATTTATGCTCATAAAAGTACCTTTAGGAGTTTCATCATCTTGTTATTACTCCTCCTTGATGATCTTTTCTGCTTCCTCCTGATTGGGTTTCTCCGAAGCCTTCTTCTCCTCATCTGGTTAAATGGATTGTTCTTGTTGGATTCTCGATTTTCTTTGAAATTTTTGGAAGCCTACGTGTCCAAAATAGTAAAAATACCTTTAGGAGGTTCCTTATCTTGAGAAAAGAGCATGCAGGGCTTGGAGTAACGAAATCCACTTCTTCTAAACAAGTTTAAACTTAATCTTAACATCACAAATAAAAATAATTAATGGACTATCGAGACCTAATCTCAGACAAAAAGGATGAAAAACAACTATTGAAAAAGCTTGTCCTCTATCCACTTCTTACAGGATTCGTGTATGGCACAGGTCACTTCCTAGCTTACCTAATTCTCAACCAGAAGTACTTCATTCCCTTGAAGAAAGCTGCAAAGTGAATTGAATTATAAATAATAATATTCATGCACTTTTCCTTTTAATCTTGGATTACCCATACACCATAGAAGGCTACAACTTGAGGACTCAGAAAATTAAGGACTGCGTCTAAAACAGAGGAGAAAAAGAGAGAAATAGAATCCCTTTTAGAATCTAAATAATCAGAAGTTGAAATCAACAAAGCAAATTGAAAATGCTCTTGAAAGTGTATGTTATTGATTGATCTCTCAATAAAATATTACAATTATTTCAAAGAAAACAACAAATAAGTGGAGTAAATAGAAAACTTATGCCATGCAGATAATATAGTGAGAAGAAACTGATTCTAAAGTTTAAGACACTGCTACCAGTTGCAATACCTTATCTCATTGTTGTGATATCAAGTATTCAGATCGAAGTATTTTGAAATTAAAATTACTAAATTTATTCTCAAATTCATCACACTTAGGTATCTACTTTCCATAATATTTAAGCCATTCAGTACTAAGACTACATATTTGCACTCAATATAGTACTAAATTGAGAATCATTAGTATTAATCTTTAAGAGGAATTCTTTTATATTAGAATTGTAATTCTAGATTTCCTTCTTTTAGCCTCAGATTGAAGATGTTTACAGACTCTTTATATATATTTGGATATGAAAAATTCTGATTAACCTACGATTCTGTTTTGATGGAGTTATTTTCCTAAAAAGAAAAACTATTACACAAATTATGTAATTAGAGTGAGTCCATTTTGAATATCTAAAATCAAAGAGGTCTAAAAAAAGAACTGAATTTATTCTAAAATACACAATACATAAAAAGCCTTAATAGATTAATTCAAAACTAATTAAATCTATGAAGATATCTATGAAGATATCCATAAAGAATATTCATAATTTTCTATGTGTTATTAATAATTGAAATTATTTTGATCATAAATATAATTGGTATCATCACTTGATATTAATAGAATAAGGAATTTTCTTTAATTTAATAACTAAGCTTATAGATCTATTAGAGCGATAATACTAAAACCTAGTTTTCCTTTAATATGATAATGTGAATTTTTGAAATACATTTAAAATACACCTAGATTTTAGAGTATTATTTGAAATAATCCTTCTAATTGTTAATGATATCTTATTTTTCTCTTGAGTAGATTAACTTGAAAATACATTTTAAAGACTAGATTGAAATGCAGACCTTTTAACTAAAAGTAGTATTTCACTTGATGCATTTATATCGAAATAATGAAATAGTTATAAATACAATTTTATAAAACATTCTACGATAATTGCAAATCAGAATTGACCAGATTGAGATTAGTTGATTGCTGCAATCTTGGCTTAAGGTATTTTAACTGTAAAAATCTAATGAATAATATTAATGTTAGTTTAATTTAATGATTGTTTTAATGCTTCAATCCAGTAGGGAGTGTATAATTTCAACAATAAGATTTGTGATTAAATAGTGATTGAGAATTGAGTTTTGTGACATTTAGATTTCATAATTAAGTTAAATTTTATAAGAGCGAAACTCGAAACTGAATTAAAAATTATCAGTTAAGATATTGTTTCTTTTGCCTATATCAATTCTGTAGGGTGTAGAATTGTAAAAATGCAATATTGAATTATAAATAATTTATAAATTTTACAAAAATTATTGAAAAAATTCTTGAGTTCCTAGTATTTTATATGCAGAATGATAAAAATAAAGTATAAGTCAAGATAATTAATTAAAAGTTGATTTATTATAATTAATATAAAATGCTACAAAATTTATAAGTAGAAGGCAGAGAAACAAGCCAGGATTATTCATATGAGTGGGTGATGGGTTATCCTGAGTTGGCGAGCATAGAAAAAGGGATTCCCATCGCTGAGTTTAGTGATTAGATTCAAAGTCGAGATCAAGAAATGGAATTCAGAGTAAAGCACAATTAATAATGCTCTTAGATTTTGAGACGTCTAACTGAAACACAATATCACAATGACAACCTATATGATTTTCATCCCGATATTCTAAAGTTAAATCGATATAACAACATCATTCCTTGTATCATAATCAGTTATCATAGTTAAACATTCAATAGTGAAGTTGAGAGGCGATGAAGAAGAGAACCAAAGGGAATCATATATAAATGCTGATTACATCAATGTAGAGTAATGAATAACGATGTTAGTTAATAAATGGAAAAGAGAAAATGATGATAGCCACTTAAGGTCCAGTAACTCAGACGATAGGACATTTTTGGAGGATGGTTTCATAAGAGAGTGCGTCAATGATAGTGATGCTGTGTAATTTGAAGGAAAATGGGAAGGTAATTGAAGTTTAGAATCTATGAAAGGTTTAATGTGAGTAATACTGGCCTAGAAATATTGGAGACAATTTACTTATTGGAAATATTACCATAAATTTCGTTAGTCAAGAGGATTTAGGAAATAACATAATAAAAAGGACTCTAAAATTGCAGGAGTAAAATGGAGAGGAAAAATAAGTGACTCATTTGCAATGGTGTGGTTGGCCAGATCAAGGAGTTCCAAATCACAATGACTTTAATACAATAAAGGAATTGCTCACTCAAATTTTGGACAGAGTCTTGAATGATCAGAAGGTCGTATTCCATTGCAGGTACTCTCATATTCATTTATCTATTAAAGTGCAGGTGTAGGCAGGACAGGAACATTGATATCCCTGGTGAATCTGATGATCATTCTCACGACGTATCAATCTTATGTCGGAAATGACATAGCGAGTACAATTATATTAATAAAGCAAGAAATATCTGAGAATCCAGAGGAGTTTCGCATTTCAATATTTGGAGTGGTCAGAAGATTGAGAGAATAAAGGTGGGGAATGGTGCACACATCAGAACAATATCAATACGTATACAAATTCATTGATGAAGCTATAAAATATATGTTTTCATAACAGTAATGATATAATAATCCATATAATCATTGAACAGCTCTGAACATACTACCACTTACTTTATGTACTTGCTCATACTTTTTGTCAAGTTCTTGATTTTACGGAACAGCAAACTATTATACAATGTGACTAACAGGATTCTCATTGAGATATGAATAGTTGGTGGCAGTAGTGAAATTGGCATGCTTATACAGATGGTTCTGTTTCTGGATGTCAGCTATTTGCACAGTCGATTGTGATTGATATAAAGGAATCTTCAATTTACTACTCTGCATCATGATATCACCATAGGATTATCTTTTGGATTCGAAAGGGTAGGCTCGATTGTTGAGATGATTGGTGCTTATGGTTGTCAGTGTATTGTTCGGCATAAGAGGTTAGAAGTAGATATCTTAAGGAGTTAATTAAAGATTGGTTATAGTTTTAAAGCTTTTACTTTTAGCAATCAGTGTCATAATCTAGGAGACTGATGATGAAACCTTCTGAGCACTTATACCAGTCAGACACTGTAATTGTTATGACCATATGTTCAGTAATCCTGCTTTCTTTCTTAAATAGGCTACGCAAGAGAGTGCTAAGATCGTTTGATCTGTTCCGAAATACAGATGATCATCTAATAATTACTTTGTTTCTGATACCTCTTATGATTTGCAATGCTACGTCTGCGTATTTGTTTTCAACTTCTTTCACGTAAAGTAAGATTTGATTTTCTTGGAGATCTCTTAGTTTTACATGCTATTAATGTGAACTATCTTTGTTTTCCTTTTGTTGTTGCTATTATCCCAAACTGTCATCATCATCTATGACTCCGAAGGAGAGAATAGCTTCTATTCGATCAAGTAAAGTGACTCTTTGCAATTTCCACTCCATGGTCTGAATCAAGGACCTCTCTGCAAATTTGTATTCTCTGGTTGAATATTGACTGATTTCTGGATGATTCGTCATTGAAGCATATCTTTTCAGTTTACTAATGAAGGGCACTCGTTCATCAAGTTCTTAAGCCTTGGCTGCTAACATCAAAGCAGTTGCTACGAATAAGTAGGTTTAATTTTCATTGATTGTAACCTTGCTCAAATATTCATCTATGTAATTAATTGCTAAAAAGGACGTATTTAATGTTAGATTTAATCTTTCGGAAGCCTGCAATATGAATTCGATGATCTGTTAGCGTTGCTTAATAGGTCCTTTTGGGAAACCTTCAGATAAGATATTCTATAACACTTTGATGGGATTGAAAAAGGCACTGAATTTCATTTTTAGAGTTTTGTATACTCTAGTATTTGGCTATCATAAATAATGAATTGTGATTACATTATTTAAAAATATTCCACATTCTTTGCAGATGACTTTATCAGAATAATAGTTTCGATTTTAATGACAACATCCGAATACCTCTTAATATTGATTACTGTAATGATGTTCAAATGGTTCCAATTGACTCATATATACGTTAAATTTTATTAAATATTTAATAATAAAATAATATCAAATTAATCGGATTTCTTCTCAGGACTAAAGTTTTCCAATTATTGGCTGCAATTTCCAGTATTTCTATTCATTTCAATATAAACTCTACTTCGTATTTATACTTCTGATAATCACGCAACCTTATTTGTTTTCTCTGTAAATACTTTGGATCTTTATAATATGATTCTTCAATTTCTTTATTGCGAGGCCTCTCAAAATTACTGTCGTACAATTCATTTTATCTTTGATTGTATAACTTCTACTGTCTCAACACCTCTTGAATGTGCTTGCAATTAGATTCACAACATCATACTTTTTGAGTCCACTCTCTTTTTTTCAATTCAATCTAATAGTTTTCATGCAATTTGCCTAGTTTGGATTCAATTACAGCCAAAGTGGCTTCTTTACTGCTCTAATCGATAGTTTCCTCAAACTTCGTTATTCTTTTGTTGTTCTTATCAAACTCATTGTATAATTCTTGTAATCTATTTGAGATAGTCTGAATCGGAGTTTCCGCTCTTAAAATTTTACTCGTTAATTTCTCCATCAATTTCTGATCATACGGCTTCTAGATTTGAGCCTTTAAATGACTACTATTTAAGTGGGGGTCTTTTTGTCTCATTTAAACACTTTACTTCTTACCTCCCTTGATAAAACGATGAATTCCCTATCCTAAGAGCACCACTCGTCAACTCTTTAGACTTGTCCATCCTGAGTGTCTTGTTGCTCCCTTTCTTGGGGATGGGAGAAGCACTCCTGGTATCCTCCCGAATTTCAGTTCTGAACCTCATGCCTTCCTCGGAGACAACCACCAAATTGGGTCTGCTCAACAACTCCTTTAATGTCAATGTATATGGAGGTAATATTTATTATTATTACATTTGAAATAAAATTAATTTTTTATATCATCCATCCTAATATCTAATTAAAGTTGTCCTTCTTTGCTTCACTCTCTCCTTGAAGATTCGCTTGTATTTCCGAATCACCTTCTCAGGGTTCTACTCCTAAAAGAAGCATTCGTAATTGGCCATGTGATCAATACTGAATTAGCTGTCCACATCGCTATTCTCATTAGCATCATCCTCAATCTTGGGAGGCTAATTGTTACTTTAACTATTTGTGATGTAATTCCTAAAGTAATAATGGAGAATATGACCATACCTTAATTCGTCGATTATTAAGGACACCTCCTTGTTTCTGGGTTGAGCTATCTGCAGAAATTTCATCTTCCGCAACAACTCCTATTTCTTGGATTCCTGATTAGTCAGTCTCTCAGGAGATGGCATCTTCTCAATTTGTTTATCAGTAATCTCATTCCCTTGACACAATTTGCTCTTCCTTCTCAGTATTTGAACAGTATTGGGAGTGACATTACTGTTTTATCCCTTGGCAACCTTCTTAATCTGCTCTTGAATTGGAGTTAAACTAGACATTGACGAAGTCCTCACTCTCTTCGGTTATGGCAATTTGACAAAACTCTAAAAGTTTTTCTTCTTTTTCACTTTCTTCTATTCTTCCTCTGAGTTCTTTATATTCGCTTAAGATTTCAGCAAACCATCCGACAACTCCACACTCTAATTGTCTCTAGTCTCATCAATCTTCATCTCATAATTATCATCAGCCAACCATTTTCCTCTCTATCTCATTTGTGCCTTCTCCTTCTCTTATTCAACTATCTTTTTGATGTTTTCAATTTCCTCCTCGTAATCCTCTACGTCTGAACTGTATTCATCATCCTCATCATTGGAATCCAAATTGAACGTTGTGATCTAAAAGTACTTCTTAATAGCCAAAGCATTCACTTAAACATCCCGAATATGAGACAGAGCCTTGAATTGCTATTTGACTATTCTCCGTCTGAAACTGGATTCTCTGTTATTTTGGATATTGTAGGTCGATTGAATCACTTGATCTTTTACTGGAAGGTAGAGAGTCCGTTTGCAATTGATGGCCAGATGACTCCTACTTTCACAAATATAGCATCGCAACTTCAAACTCTCATAATCATTATTGAACAGTATGTTGTGTCTTATTTCATAGAATCTTTGTCTATCAGTTTCGTATTTGTCCAATAATTTAAGGAATGAAATTCTGGAGAGTTTGTAAATCACTGAATACGTGAGACATCGAGCAGATGCTGTCCTCCTGTGTCCAGTGATGAATCCGATTATTCCAAAGATACCTTACTTCATGATATGTAATTTGATTCTTTTGTCACTGTCCAAAAAGATTTCAACCTATCCTTTATCTAAAAAATACAAAGGGAAGTCATTCGTCTCCTCACTTTCAAGGAATATGTTTTCTTCTTAGGAATAATATTGTTACTAAATTTCTTAAGCCAATTCCATAAGCAAATCTTATGAGAAACAGGTGAAGAAATTATTCTGTCTGAGCATTTTACCTAAGGTTTGATATATCAATTCTTCTCGTAAGGCAGGGGCCAATTTAAGGATCATGGCCTACTCTAATTCATGATCTCGAGCCTTCTCAGTCTGCCACAAATGGAACAGATAGGCTTCGATGCGTGCCTTCAATTTTCTATCCACATTGTGTTCAACCATAAATCTTTAGATGGCATTCACATACTTTCTATAATGAAATAAATTGGTATATACTGAAATTTCTCCTTGCTCTCGTTCTGCGAGTAGATCATTTCCCATATAGCATTGACTGAATAGGCGAAGACAATACAAGAGATGAATTAAGTGATGACTGTCACCAAAACCTCCCAGAAATTCATTGGAACTACATCTCCATATCCTACTGATATCATTGTTGTTACAGCCCAATAAAACGAGTACAGATGTAGTTCCGAGATTGGCATTTCCTCATATCCGCCATTCATAGTAACCACATCACAATGATTCAGCCATGACACATTCCCTAATTGCTTGTTGAGCTGTCGTCTCCCAACAAAAATAAATAAGCACGCAAATAAATGACATAACCATATGATTGTTAACATTACAGTGAGTAGGCGATACCTGGCTAGTTTGGAGGGTTCAAGTTGTAGGTATTCTTTTATCATGTTACTTGTCTTGTTCACTTCGTACACTTTTAAAATAAAGAAAAACTGTTCAAATCCCAATTGTTTCTCGTCAAATAGTCGACATCTATATTCTACCAAACATAGTAAGGGAATTAAGTCTAAAAAGAAATAGCTCTTGAAGTATTTGAGGGCAATCTGCTTCCTGCTTATTATTAGCTGTCCTTGCTTGTAATAGGCTGTATTGAAGGTTGCTATGATGTCGACGATAAAAATAGAGATTCCTACGTAAAGGGACACTTCCTCGTATTTTTTGTAGTGAAAGGCGTACTTTTCGTCGATAAGTGGTTGGTAGGCAAGCATAAAAGGGATTTGGAAGAAGAAGCCAAGCACCAAAATGCTGTTTAGAACCTGCCAATATATGTAGAACTGGGAATCGGGTTCAAGCACTTTCACCTTATGAATATATGAGGACATCCCTGTAAGGAATCCAGTCTTCTTGGTTTCATAGGCATAATCCTTAAATATCTCCTTTTGTCGTAGGTCTATGATTTAAGCCATTGTAACCTGATTTGTGGATTTCTTACTTTTGAAGCATCTCTCGAAAATGTTGAGCTCCTTGTTCTTCTTTTCGAGTGTCCTACGATAGAAGATTGTTTCATTGGCAACAAATGGAATCACCTTCACTTTGCTGCTCTCCTCCAAGAGTGATGTAGAACCCCATTCAAAAGCACTATCATTGACGATTTATTCCATATTCATTTCTGTGGCTGAACGGTCCTCCAAGAATATAGTTTTAGTCTCCTCCTCTTGTATTAGAGGTTATTGAAGGGAATCTTTTGAGCTCATTATTAAATTTTATAAAAATTAACAATGGGTCCTACTCAAGGAAAGGAAGTAAATCAAATAGAATCTACAATTAGTTGTCTCCCTAAATGCGAGATCGAGTGCTTAAGTTATTCGCAAGATTTGATGTTGATGGTTCCAAATCAATTGAAAAATCAGAAACAATTAAATATTGGTATGTTAGCCAATTTCAAATCTGAATAGGAAGAGCAACTTTGCCAAATTGAACACTGAAGAATTATTTAAATCCGTTGATACTGATAACAGTGGAACTATATCTGAGGAAGAATGGCTTAATTTTTGGACATCAGTGCTAAGAAGTGGTCACACAGAAGAGGATATTGCTGACGAAGTAAGTATGATTCGGCTGAATAATTTAGTTGGAAAGCATAGAGTCAGGGTCCTCATGGGTTAAATTCGAGAATTTGGATAAAAAAAAAGGGTGAAGTAAATATATTATATAATTATATATATATTATATAATAATATATTGAGAATAAATTTAAATTAGTTAATGATGTGTCCAATTCATTTAAGGACAGCATGGATGATAGTAGTTTGGAGGAGTAGATTATTCTTTTGAACGAAAAGGGTTGGAGATAGATTGAAAACTAGATTTATTATTATTATTATTAAAACTCATTTCAAATGCTGAACCTTTTTGTTTTGCATAATTCTGATTCATGATGCGTATGTAAAGTATATAGATGAAATTGTTTATGTGAATGTATAATTATAGAATCACGCTGCCTTATTAAACACAATCGATTCTCTATACTTTTCAACGTGATCGAGTAATTCATCCAAATCTGCTCCTCCTACTTCCATGTCCTGTGCTATGTTTTTGAGATGCACCTTAAATTTATCGAACTGCTAATTTGTTATGTTCAATCCTTTATGAACTTCAATCAAATCTCTAATGTTTAGATTAAAGTATCATACCTGCCTGTGTATTGAGTGTTTTTATCACCCATCATTTAAGAAAAGAATCTCTTCTATTGATATCTTACACGACTCATGTCAGCTTTGAGAAACTTATCTCGTAATAATTTATCGAAGAGGACTTTATAATAGAATTGATCAATGAGTTCAGAAACCTATTGATCCCCTCCGAATCTCTCAAATAAGCATTTCTTATTGTCCATTTTTATTTATTAAAATCTTTTATTTATTTATATTTATTTTGCAATCAGAATCTCAAAAAAAGACTAAATTAAGTTGGTTTTGGGAGTTATCCACTTTTTAATTCAGTCCCTATTGAATTACAGTTTTCCCCATTAAATTATACTTAATATTAATTAAATTATATTTTAATATAAAAATTAAGTAATGTCTTTAGGAGTACCACTCAAAATTATGCATGAAGCAGTCCATCATATCGTCACAGTCGAATTAAAAACTGGTGAAATGTTTACAGGATACATGGCAGAAGCAGAAGTAATCCATTCCACTAAATTCTAGGACACAATGAATGTAAGATTGGATGAAGTCTAAATGGTGACAAGAGATGGTAGACCCATGTCCCTTGAATAAGTATATTTGAGAGGAAGTCAAATCAGATTTGTTGTCATCCCAGATGTATTTAAATACGCTCCAATGTTCAAAAAAATTAGAGCAAATGCCAAAAGCAAAAATATGCAGTAAATCAGAGAGAAGGCTAGATAAGTTAGAGGTAATTCTTGCATCTATCAATCCAATAGAGGAATTAGTGCCACGCATTAAATAGGGTTTAGAATAACAAAAAAAGTGATACATATAAGCAAAATCATCTATGGATATATATATATATATATTTATATAATAGATTATTGTTACCTTAATCATTTATATAAAAACCAACTTGTTTCTAATTCAAATGTATCTCAATCTTTTTTATTACTTGTCATAGTCTATGTATGAGGTTAAATTTTATCTGGAACTTTTAATTTAAAGATGATCGTTCCATATTTTATTATTATTATATCTCACTATCTGCCGGTTAAGAACTATTATCTAACTTTGATATAGTGAAAATTTGTGTTAATTTAGTGAAAAATTCTTTATTTGATTCAATTATAATTTGCTTTAGCTTCATCAACAGATGAATAAGCTAAATTCATTATTAATTGGGTATTTTATTGTTCCCTACTCTAAATATGGCTATATAAGAACTAAACATATAGAAAGCTGAAACGCAGATATAAATGAATTCTTATTAATTATATTTTGAATGTAAATGACCATTCAATATTTATTAGTGCATACTATAGATCTTGTCATTAATTAGGGTGTTGCGATCTTACAATTAATGATAATTTTAAAGAAATATTTATAATAGTTGATACATAAAAAGATATACATTTAAAAATAGTCTTAAACTTTAACGGAATTGATGTACCTAATGGTAGATAATTTATTTATATATATTATTAGGTGTAACATCTCTATTGTTCAAATATAAATCATTGAATAGTATTATGAATCTATTTTAGCTGAATCCTATTTGGTAAAGCATAATAATAATTATTGTTTATTCTTAATTCCGAATTGTTTTTGTCTAAATAAGAAAGCTTGGAAATGAATATACTTATAGATTTGAAATTAATTCATCAGATTTATTTATTTTTTGAATCCTTTTAACAATTTAGCGATTGATTTATGTTCATATTTAATAAATGAGTAATAAACAAAAAGACTATTGGACGAGTTTTATTTCAGGTAGCGATTCTTAATATTTCAAAAAGGTGGTTGTGCTGGAGTTTGTGCTAAAACTGTCATCTCTCCGTTCGAAAGAATCAAATTGCTATATTTGGTATTGATTTGATATCATATCTATCATAGACCAGATCGACTCAATTCACTTATAAAGCAGCTATCCAAGATGCAATATACGTGTATCAACATCATGGCTTGATCAATTTCTGGAGAGGCAACCAGGCCAACGTATTAAGAATATTTCCGCAATCAGCCATAGTAATTGGTTTTAACAAATATTAGAATTTCTCAACCTTCGATTACTTGAGAAGAAGATTTGCTCCGGATAGAGAGGATAAGACAATATTGAGGAAAATTAAATTATTTTTATGCGGATTAACTTCAGGCATTGTCGCACAAAGTATAGCCTACCCATTTGATTTCTTACGAACAAGATTGGCTATGCAAAAAGATGCTTTTCTTTACAAAAACATATACGATGCAGCTTTGAAGATTTACAAAATTGAAGGATTCTTGTCCTTCTATTCTGGATTGCCTATTGGAATTATAGGTGTAGGTATCTATCACGGGAGTGGTTTCTTCTCATTCACATTGATGAAAGAATTTCTGCTTGAATCATATCCATGGATAGCCAAACACAAAAGCACAGATTTCGCCATAGGTGCAAGCGGAGCCATTATTGCTCAAGTTCTGGCCTATCCCTTTGATATTGTCAAGAAGAGAATGTAAGGCTAGAACGTGTTGTTCTAACAGGGAGAGATTTAAACAATGACGTACTTTTTATTTTATAATAATTTAAGATCCACATGGATGCAGATAAAAACAATCTATAGAGTCGAGGGAATCATCAAAGGGTTTTACAAAGGAGTATCACTCAACTTCATCAAAGCTCCGCTGTCATCAGGCACAGCATGGACAGTCAAAAACTCTTTCAACAGGCTACTTAATAAAAATTATGATTTCTGACACAAATAATTTTATAAAAAATACTTATATTTATTATAAAATATTTATAATATATTAAAAATCAAGTCTAGTATCAATCTGCAAATTATTTCTAAAGTGCCCAATAATTAGATTCAAAATAGATATACTTAAATATCATAGATTAAATACAGAATAAGGTTATAAATGAACTAACCTCAAATTACTTAATATGTCCGTGTGGCGTAATGGTAGCGCGACAGCCTCCTAAGCTGTAGGTTGCAGGTTCGACTCCTGCCTCGGATGATTTTTTTTTAATTAAAATTTATATTTAAAATAAAACTTATAACAAATTAATCTTTTCATTTTTTCATACATACCAGAATAATTTATCATCTCCCTTTACTTAATATGATAATACATCGAAGATAATTAAAAAAGAAATTAGAAAGACATTTAGATGGTTAGAAGGAAAACTTAAAATTTTCTATTTAAAAATATACCTAATAATGAAATCTGTTCAAGACAGAATTTAGAAGGATTTCAAAACATGAATAAGTCTATATTCAGTTAAAGTTTTTAACTTTACAATTAAAACTTCTCACTCCTATATCAAAAATTGTATAAGAGGAAGATTTGTCATTTGAATTCAACGCTCTTTTTTTTAACTTATTTATATCTTCGGAATATTCAGAAATTAATCAGTTCTTAAAGATGCATATTAACTAGTTGAGAATAATTATCTATAATTTAGATATAGAAAGAATTATTAATTCAAATCAAACCTAAATTAAGGGAAGGTGTAACCAATGAAGATTATTACAATAATAATGGAGTAAAATAAAGAGTTCTTAAAGGAGTATCAATTAATTGATTTAATATTCTAATTGATACCTCCCTGCTTTATTGATGGTAATATTATACTAAGGAAACCAAAATGATTAAGAAAGTATATAGTAGGATTAATTGTCATTAGAATTATAAACTAAAAAATACAGAATATTTTCAGATAGAAGAAGATATAAACAAAGAGGAGTTGACTAAACTGAATATAATCTATTATATTATTAATTATTATACATTCTAATTTGAGAATGACGCTCATAGGTAAATTCCAGGTTGAAATAGTGAGAGATATGAAGACTAAATTTACTGAGATTATGATTTTGATAAAATAAGGTTCAATTTAAATTGCAACTGTTTAAGCATAAATTATTTGTAATTTTATGAATTGGAATAGGTGCATCGTTATTTGTGCACATTAAAGTTGTTGAAATACTACGAAAATTCTTCTTTAATTTTCCCAAAAATAGTTCAAATAAATATATCGATTTATTAATGAAGGGACTTTACAGATTTAAATTTCATGTTTGCTATATTTGATTCTTATCAATGTTATGGTGTAATGTGCTTTGTCAATATATTATTATTATATTGGAGGATGCTTTGAAATATGTTCAAAATTTTTGATAATTATTGTCAATTTTATATTCACTTTAAAAAGTTTACTTTTTTTTTGATCTTTTCCTTTCCATTTACTTCAGCTTGTGGAGATTCATATATAAATTCTAGTTGGTCGCTTTTAGAAGTCAAAATTCCTTGTAGATTAATGGGCTAATAATTTATCCTTTCATCAGACAAGTCTTTTGGTTCTAAAAATACAATTTAATGTTATGATCTTGGAGACAAAGGCTTAGTGGATGTAAGTGTGAGGCCATTCTGATATTGATACAATGAACTGTGCTATTAGATTAATTCACTGAAGATATCATCATTGTCAACAGATTCCTATAATACTTTAGATTGTTGTGTTTGAATCTCTTAGTGATCGAATTAGAGTTCTGGTTTTTGGCATTAGCACAAATTACCCATAATTTTATAATATCTTATTGCTTTTCAATATTTAAATATACAAATAATTCGTGTTAAAGGTTTAATTTAGTATTATAATGAGCATGTGAAATGATTCATTACCGATTATACTAATTTAAAATATTATGAGCAATAAGCAAAATGAATGTTTAATAAATTGAGGAATCTAATATCCTTATAGGTAATTTACTTGAGAAGTGAAACAATAATAAAATAATTTAAGCAAATATATAAAATGTAAGAATTCAAATCATCAATATTTAGAATTTATATTTGGCTATTTGTTTGGCTTGTAACTTTGTAAATGACTGAAATCATAAATAGAATTATTGTCCTTCTTATTTTATTCCTACAATTAACTCGACTACAAATTTCTAGTCTATCGATTCATAGGTTAGGTGGGAACATATTCACCAAAGTCCAGAGTCTTAGCGCTTTAAGTGGATAATTTGGATGGCATTGGTTTGTTTTCTGTCGTTATGAAATCCAGAATGTCATCCAAATCATTGCTATCATCATCTTTTATTTATTATTAAAATTGTTGTTTTTGCTTGAACTGAGTAAGAGGCTCGTCCTTCTAACTGTAGGATTTGTTCTTGTGATCAGACTCAAAGAATTTTAACTCATCTTTTGATTTGACTTATTCTTCAAAAATCAATGATGGCGCTATTTTCTCTATGTTATAAAAAAATGGATGAGTCAACATCTACGCTGCAGTAATTCTCTTATTGGGATCCCATCTAATCATTTGGGTCAACAGATTGATGGCCTCTGTGCTTGCATTAGGTATCAATTGTTATAACTGTAATGGCTAAAACTAAGCAAGAGCCAAACCCATTTGAGATACTAATCTACATCCTTCTGGCCATTCAGTTTAAGTAAATGTTCTAATTGAATTAAGAAGTGTACCCAAGAGTCGAGAGAATCTTGTTAAATTATTCCAATTCTGAATTTCCTTGAAGGAGAGGTCTGTTTAGAAATAGTTCAGCCATTATACAACCTAATGCGAAAATATCAACAGGACTATTATAATTGACTTACTTCAAAAGAATTTCTGGAGCCTAAATTTTAATTGAAATTATACTCGATACCACCTTGTGGCTATGTAATCGGTGTAGGGAGGTCTGGACCTTATCTCTCTTGCGCATCCAAGGTCAATAATTTTAACTACTCCGTTGTTGGTGACTAACATATTCTCGGGTTTGAGATCACGATGAAAATATCCATGTTTATGCATGTAACTAAGTCCATTGGCGACTTGATAAATAATTGATTTTATTTGATCCTCTGATATTGTTTTCCCCTAAAATAGATAAATCTGTTGTACCATTTCTTTTTATTGAGTGTACATTTAGTAAATACTTTTTTCGACAAATTCAAACACTAAACATAAAGTATCATTATCAAGGAAAACTACTTATTAATTATTTATACTTTCTTTAAGCTTAACAATATTGGGGTGATTTTGGAGTTTCAATAAAGCCTTAACTTCCCTCAAATTTGTACATTCATCAAAATTGTGATACTTTTATTTCATCTTCTTGATTGCAACTAAATCATGAGTTTAGGTGTCCTCAGCCTTTATTACAACCCCAAATGTCCCATCACCTGTCTTTTTCAATTCCCTGAATTTTTTCATATTTATTTTTAGGAAATTTATTTTATATATTAAAACTTATTTATCAAAAAATAGTAAACTTTAAGGTTTATATAATCCTATAATGTTGAATATCTAATATGATTACTTATCAATTTTAAAATGTTATGACCAATTTAATTTATCAAAGATGGAATTTTTTTATAAATAAGTTATTCAAAAGATGTAATAGTATATATTCATCACTTTTTTATCTTGTTATCTTTCTTCATTAAGGGCTTCTTTTGTGATAAAATTTACTAAGATATTTGTTGTTAATTAGGAAGTCTGATCTCTAAAGTTAATTTACTAGTCTAGTCTGCTTTCTTTTAAAGTTGAATTTTAGAAGTTTTGGTTCTATTGAATGCATCTATAAGCTAATTTTCTTTATCTTCAAGATTATTGTTGAATTTAAGAGATATGTTTGGCTTTTTAGGTTCAATTTGAATTGAATATGAAAAATACCCAAGTTTCTTTTGAATCTGTCTTTTTCTACAATGTTCACAGATGTATATTGTTTTCTAATTAATTGTTGAACTTATCATATGGCTTATTTGATTTTGATCCATTAACGTAACTATTAATTTTAATTTAGTTAATTTAAATATCAATGATCAAAATTCTGTTCATTATAAGGTAATCTTTATTAAAATTAAAATAGTGGATTCAATTACTTGCAATCTTAATGATTAATGATAAAATCGATTGATGGCAAATACAAATAGATGTCTCAATACATTTACTATCAAATAAGAAATGTTTTCAATATTTTATTGGAATTCTAGTGAATTTTATAGGCTAAAGTGATAAATCGATATCTATCATTCTAATAAGTTTATAATAAATAGAGATATCCTTGAAGCTAGATCTGGGACAGCATTTGATTTCTTTTACACTCAAGCAAAAGGATTAAATGATAATAATTTCACTCCTCTTATCGAATATGGATCATTAAAGGAAAACTTCTAAATCAAAACATTAAAAACATTGAATATTATTTTTTATCTATCTGTTAATAAATTATAATATTTAATACAAAAAATCAAAAAATTATCAATATTTTGAGCCTGGTGCTGTTGTTGTAGTTAAATTACTTTGGAATAGTTTTTGAGAGGTAAATCTTTATCTTGTTAAACCTTCTGTATGGGTTCTTTGATTAGAATAATTAGTAAAACAATTTTAAGTTTATGGTTTTGTAGGTTGGCTATCAACTAAGATTTGGTTTATATTTATACATTGTAATTTCAATAAAATCTCTGCCTATTTTTATAATTAAGCCTTCAGATTACCTATTGTGTAATCTTTCTCTGAGCACAATTGACATTTTTTCTGTTTTGGATAGTCATTTTAATACAAATTAATTTCCTATATTTCTGATACCCTACTTTTTATGTCTGTTATTAAATTTGACATCACAAATGCTTCATTTGACAAAGTGTAATGCTAGGTATTGTTCTTTAGATTAAACCAGATCTTCTATTGCTCATTTAATTAACCCCAGACATCGTTAAACTACATTTTAAGGGAATTGTATTAATTTTCTTAAGTTTACAGATTCAATATTAATTGATTGGAAAAGTTAGTTAATTTTTATATTTCTGCCATTAACTACTCTATCTTATAGAACAATTGTTAAATTATAACCTATTCTAAAAGTATTAATTAATATTATTACAGTTCTATCCATAAAGATAATTGTTCATTTTTATTTCTAAACAAAATAATTTTATTTAAAGAATTAATTTTTATATTTCTCAACACAAAATAGGTTCTGCTTCTAATGAAAATTGAATCTAAATTTATAAACCAAGTAACTAATAAGCTATGTCTATCTTCCCAAAACATTTCAACCAATTAAATAAAGTATTTTCTCTTTCAATTACGAAAAAACGGATAGTCAAATTAGTAAAAGGAGAGATATATATTTGTAAAAAAATAAAAGTCTTAATCCTGTAACAGTACAATTTCTGTCAATACTCAGATGTGGATGTGAATTAATATCATTTAAAATCGTCTAAAATGATGAATTAATTCAACTGAAAATTATGAATAATTTGTATCAATTAATAAAAATTAACATAAATTACTTAAGAAGTTAATTAAACTTGAAATTTAAGGTTTTTTATTATGCAATTCATAACTNAATAAATAGAGATATCCTTGAAGCTAGATCTGGGACAGCATTTGATTTCTTTTACACTCAAGCAAAAGGATTAAATGATAATAATTTCACTCCTCTTATCGAATATGGATCATTAAAGGAAAACTTCTAAATCAAAACATTAAAAACATTGAATATTATTTTTTATCTATCTGTTAATAAATTATAATATTTAATACAAAAAATCAAAAAATTATCAATATTTTGAGCCTGGTGCTGTTGTTGTAGTTAAATTACTTTGGAATAGTTTTTGAGAGGTAAATCTTTATCTTGTTAAACCTTCTGTATGGGTTCTTTGATTAGAATAATTAGTAAAACAATTTTAAGTTTATGGTTTTGTAGGTTGGCTATCAACTAAGATTTGGTTTATATTTATACATTGTAATTTCAATAAAATCTCTGCCTATTTTTATAATTAAGCCTTCAGATTACCTATTGTGTAATCTTTCTCTGAGCACAATTGACATTTTTTCTGTTTTGGATAGTCATTTTAATACAAATTAATTTCCTATATTTCTGATACCCTACTTTTTATGTCTGTTATTAAATTTGACATCACAAATGCTTCATTTGACAAAGTGTAATGCTAGGTATTGTTCTTTAGATTAAACCAGATCTTCTATTGCTCATTTAATTAACCCCAGACATCGTTAAACTACATTTTAAGGGAATTGTATTAATTTTCTTAAGTTTACAGATTCAATATTAATTGATTGGAAAAGTTAGTTAATTTTTATATTTCTGCCATTAACTACTCTATCTTATAGAACAATTGTTAAATTATAACCTATTCTAAAAGTATTAATTAATATTATTACAGTTCTATCCATAAAGATAATTGTTCATTTTTATTTCTAAACAAAATAATTTTATTTAAAGAATTAATTTTTATATTTCTCAACACAAAATAGGTTCTGCTTCTAATGAAAATTGAATCTAAATTTATAAACCAAGTAACTAATAAGCTATGTCTATCTTCCCAAAACATTTCAACCAATTAAATAAAGTATTTTCTCTTTCAATTACGAAAAAACGGATAGTCAAATTAGTAAAAGGAGAGATATATATTTGTAAAAAAATAAAAGTCTTAATCCTGTAACAGTACAATTTCTGTCAATACTCAGATGTGGATGTGAATTAATATCATTTAAAATCGTCTAAAATGATGAATTAATTCAACTGAAAATTATGAATAATTTGTATCAATTAATAAAAATTAACATAAATTACTTAAGAAGTTAATTAAACTTGAAATTTAAGGTTTTTTATTATGCAATTCATAACTTCATAACCACAATCATTAGTACTCTTATTTTTTTTTATGACTCATTAGTTCCTTTTTTAGATAATTTTAAAGAGTTTTATAAAAAATCAATTATTGATTGTTATCATTCGTTTATCGAAGCATTATTAATATTAATTGATGAACTCCTTTAGTCTAGAAAAGAATAGATTTCATTAAAAAGCTTGTTAAAAAAAGATAAAAGGACTGAGTGAAAACTTGACCACGTCATTGAAAAAGTAGTAAATTGAGACTTTCATTGAACAGAAGGCTCAGACTCTATGCTTGGATGTCAACCAGTCATATACAAAAGCTTCAGATCAGGAGAGTTTTAATTTAAACAAAATACCAAAATCCTTAAGAGCCAATTTAATTGGTTAGTTAAACAATAAATATAAAAGAAGTTCTCCTCCATGAATATATGAATATATTCTATGATTGTATTAATTAATTATTATCATTCATTCTTGTAAATAAAAATAGAAAGTAGAAATGGAAGTTTACATATTTTTTAAGCCCTTAAAATATAAAATGAAAGTCATATCAAAAATGTAAAAATCAAAATTCCATAAGACAATTAACAATAATACTATTTGTAATAGAGGCTTCAAATTATAAAATTCGAAATGTCATTAATAAAAAGGTAATAATTTATAATAATCTTAATACTGATGAAGATTTAATAAGATTTAAAAGGAGAAAATTTTATTAATATTTATATAAGTTTTTTATGGATGCCTTCAATCTCTTGAACAATAGGTTTATGCAATCAGCTATGGAGAGAAAATCCTTGAGATCAATAAACCTAAGTCAGAAAAACCTTGATACCTAATCCAAATCGAGTGAATATGACCTTTGGGATAAAAATGATGGTTTAGACTCACCTATGACACCTAAAATTGAAATCCCAAATCAATTTTACCCTAAACTAATAAATACCATAAGACTTTCTAATCAAAGACTCTCATGTAAGTAGTTGAAATGATTTTCTTTATTTCAAGTATTATATTATTACTTAAAAATCAAAAATATATTTAATAAGTTCAAATATTCTCCCTCTTAAAAAAGATAAAAATATGGGCATATTAAAAAAACAGAAGTTAAGAATTAGAGTATTTTTAATTATATTGATTTGGAACTAATACGTTATTATAAAATTATATAAACATGTATTTTCAATTAATTTATTTTAATTTTTCTTCTTCTATTTAAATATAGTCTGTACAATCCTAGCAGATCTATGATACTATTGGTTTATGTTCAAGACATCTCGGACATTGACTGTCAGTAACTTCATAAAATTTGACATGAAAGTTAATCTTCTAATGATAAAATTGTTCCTTCACAAAAAATGAAGACATGCAAACATGATTTGGTCTCTTTTTATTCAAGAAATCTGTCTCGATAGTAGTTTTGCCACAAGAAAAAAATAATGCTAATTATTCAGGATCTATATCAATTAATTTTTATTCATAAGTGTTAGGTTCGATTATGAAAACTATTTCCAATTTTTTTGATATGCTTTTCTGTTTTATACGTTCTTAAACTTCATCAATCTAAGTATTAATTTCTTTTTGTAATTTGTGTAATAAACTTAAAGTCACAATATTCTATTATGCTTCCTAAAAATGACTCACTGGAATCTTTGGCCATGAAGTAGGTAATTTAGTGTGTATATCTCTAGCATTGAAACATAATATTGGTTAAATAACATTTAATGTTATATCGTATATTTTGTAGTAGATGTACAAACTGTTTTGATATTCGCTATGAAATGCTATAATTTTATTTCTGGTGCTAGCAACATATAAAGAAACGTAATTTTGCATGAAATCAATATACAACTAATACGCCAATCCAAAATTAAAATCTTCATAAGCTTTGGTGATGTTGGCAACAAATAGGATTAATTGTTGATAAATATATGAATCACACTAAATATTAATAAGGTTATAAGTACAAATTCTAAATCCTTAAAGTCAACAGGTGTAACAGATGCATTTTCTAAACAGCCAATAATCTACCAATAGATTTTTCTTATGTAATTTATTTATTCCTTCTTTTTGTCTAACATAAATTATGAAAACTCATCATGTTCATTGATAGATGTGACAAGTGCTCTTAAAACATCAGCGCCACTCTAAAAATAATACAATATTTTACTCCATATTATTTTTATTCATTTGCTTTGATTTGTCCGTCAATAATATTTTCCAAAGTAAAACAATTGGTCTTGCTTATTTTATCTTTGTTGTATTATAAAACTGTATGAGTTTGAATTTTTCTGTTGAATTTCTTTTGCAATAAAATCATCATCATTTAACTACTAAATAGAAAGCCTTCATTTTAATCAATTCCCTCATAGATTAAATCGCATTACTGAGGTATACTAAAGTTCCTGTTTAAGACACATGTGTGTTTTTCCAAATGTTAAGCATAAGGTTTATATGTATCTGGTAATAAATCAACAATGTTCCAATTCCAGTAGATGTCGCTACCATTTTTTTCGACTAAGTCAGCAAAATGCTTGACAACTTCTGCATTTAATAAGAATCCATTTTTTAATTTTTCAAATTTCTTAGGTACTGTGGCTCTGAATAATGGAATTGGAATGCCCCACACATTATGTTCAGTTATACACCATTAACCACACAAAGCTTCCATTAATTCTGTGTATGGTGTATATATTTCATCTTTATTATTTTATTTTGTTTCCTCCTCATTCAAATTGTACTTTTCTTTATAATCACTTATAAGTTGCTCATCAAAATTCAGAAACCATGCTGGAACACTTCTTAAAAGAAGTTGCTCTCCTGTAACTTTATGATGATAGAACACTTCTTAGGCAGAACTTACTACATCAAGAATTCTATTTCGTTCTCTAAGTTCCTTGAGTATTTATTAAGATGCTTCATTATTAAGAATATCAAATTCTTCATCTTCATAAACTAATTGACCATTTTCATTCACCATTCCTGTTCTATCAAGCTTATATCTTTTTGCGATTGGTATGTCATCCATTTAATGAGCAGGACAAATTATATTGTTTTCTTCACCTTCAATCATTCTTAAATCAATAAATTCATTTAAGCCATTATCAACAGTCAAATTTAAAAAATCAGATGTTACTATTGTTCCTACAAATTGATACATTGAAAATTCTTCTTTATGAGTATTAAAAAATTACTTGCTCATTATAAGAGCTTCCTTGTCTTTCATCACCAACCATTCTTGTTCCACTAATTTTATAGCCTTTGCACTAGGAATTTTCCAAGGAGAGGGCAATTCTAATACCAAATAAAAAGAGCATTTCAATTTCTTAAAACTTGGACTTAATCTTGTAAATTTAAATTTAACTGCATGTGCTGGAACATCCCTTTAAGTAATAATAACGGAATCAAGAGGCACTTCTGAAAATCTAGATTTAGACCATATTACAATTTTCTATTCCCTAAAAATCTAATCTATTATAATATAAGATCTGTATTATACTTTAATCGAGGAAATGAGCCAATTAATATAATACTTACTTTTAGTATCTGGGATCAATTGTTAGGCTTATCTCTTAATCCAAAATACCCCATCTTTAGATTTATTCCAAATAAGATTTCAATTGTTCTTCCGCATATTTTGAACATATCTGTCTTATTGCAATTTCATTATACTCCATTTAAGTTGTTCCTTTTTAAATTAATTGTTAGAATGCAGCGTGTTCAATTTATGGTCCAAACAATTCAAATGACATAGAAGGTGTTATTTTGTAACCTCTAAGAAGTTTATACCTTTTAAGTATATCCTTGTGCACTTTATTATAAAAATGTCCGAAATGCAATTTCCCATGAACACTTAAAGGACTTTCATGCAAAGTAAATGCCTAATTTCTTTTATGGATTTTTACTTTGGAATCAACGTTTTACTCAAATTTAATGACTTAACTAAGCAATTCGATTTCTCTAGACGTTGGATGAAACCTTGGATTGAATTTGGTTTTTGGAATCATCAAAAGTTTGGATGTCATAATTAAAATTTAATAAATAAATTAATTTTACTCACATCCTCAAAACACTCTTGTTTAAAACAAAATCTATAAATATATGAAAAGAATAAATAACATAATCAAGTTGATTGCTAAATACGACGAATTTTAGATGGCTAATATTAAATGCTATTAAAGTGGAGCAACTTATCGTAGAGACTACCTTTAATGAATTCCTTCTCTACCCTGTCTAATTTGTCATCCTCTTTGGTAGATTAGTGCAATTAGGAATTTGATTAGTAATAACTAAATATATTATAATGCGCTATATACCTTTATGTAATATCTATTGAATTTTCTATAATAGTTGACAGAGATTTTCCTCTTTAGACCTAAAGATATTGATTTCTTTAATTCCTGGTTCCCATTTTTATGAACCAATGATGATTAAGTGCTTAAGCAGCTGACAATCTTTTAATGGGTTCTTTGTTCAGTAATCCTTTTAGTAAATCCATGCCAGATATAGAAATTTTTTTACATATTTTTTTCCTATTTTAATCATATTATTATATTACTCTTATTTAAAGTCTACTTCACATTTTTCATTTGATCGAAGTATTTCTTCCTAATCTTTACCTTCGAATGGCAATTTTCCATACACAAAAAGATAAAATATTATTCCCAATGAAAATAAGTCCACCTTGTTTGTGTAATTTTTGGACCTAAAGATTTCTGGTGCTACGAATCCAGGAGTGCCACACTTCTTATACTAGGTTGAATCCGTTGTTTCAGAATAACAGAAATTGCCTAAAACCACAAATGGCAAACGCTTCTTTTCTGGTATAAACAAGTTTTCCATTTTTATATCTCGATGGAAAACCCCTTTCGAATGCATATGCTATATTGCTTATAAAACTCCATATAAAATGTCTGCAACCAATTTCTCGTCCAATCCTTGAGATGATTATTCAGCCATCTAATATATTTGGGATTCCTTGATGTATGTTCTTAAATCAATACCCAAGTAGTATTCGTATAATATATAAACACTTTATTCGTCTTCGAATACTTCAACAATATAACATATTTATGTATGACTCAATTTTCGTAAATTACTTAATTCCCTATATAAATTTTGCTTTTATCCTGCAGTTATAACATTCTTATCTATCACCTTTACGACGTGATACTCTGCATCTTGCACTCTTACACAAGAAAACAAGCACTAACCAAACACAGGGTCACTTTGCTTTATTTTACCTAAAACCTTATATTTTCTGGCAAATTTATCCATTATGCAGAATCTTCTTAAAAACTGAAACCATTTTTTGAAGATATCTGAATTCTCACACAATAAATGACTTAGTTATTACCCAAATTGCAGTCTAATACCATATCTATAATTAGGCATTGTGGGATCAAAATGAGTGAACTTCTTTAAAAAACATGCTTATAATTAACAATAGGAAGTATAATCATCAGATCCTACTCCTTTTCTATATAGTTTCTCAGGATGTAGATTGAGTTATACAGATTCCCATTGACTATCTACTTTTAAAAGTAACCTGCCTGAATATTTGATTCTACTTTACCTTAAAATTAAATATTCCCATCAATAGAATTTGATGATACCCACATTGAAGATTACTTCAAAGCCTCCATAAATATAGAAGTAAACGGGATTGTTTTTAAAAAAGTGTTTTTATGGGTTTATTGACGCATTTAATATAACAAGTTAAATAAAAAAATAAAAAATACTTGACTAATTTGATCTACACTTTTAAAATTACCTTTAAGCAATGAAAACACTTGCATTCATTTAAAGATTCCATTCCAATCTTGTTTTGTAATCCTACCTATTATTAGAGATCAGGATTTGTTAGTTGTATATTATTATTAAAAATAAAATAAAGTAAAAAATGAATTCCTTTGATTTTAATTGATAATCTAAAATCCATTATAAATACATTCTTAAACTTGGATAAATTTATGCATTAGATTTAATTATAATCATACTATTCGATGCTTTATTCTTTTCATTTAAATTCATTAGTAAAAAACAATTTCAACAATTACTTTAAATCTATATAAAGTTAAATAGATTTCTTTGTAATTGTTATTGATATTAAATTGCATCAGAAGTAAGATATTAATATATTGAAGATAAATAATCTTAAAAGTAACTTTCTATAAACTAAAAAATACAAAAGGACAAATTGTTTAAACTAGTCTCTAAGTTAAAAAGGCAATTATTTTCAAAAAATAATTCAGGTCTTTACTTAGCTATTGTAAGCTTAAATCTATTAATAGATAAATTTAGAATGCAAGAGGTAGACTAAGGCTAGCCATTTTTTATAGGAAGTAATTTGTAGTTAGTGGCAGATATATATATATTACAATATTTCGCAAAGTGGAAGTGCTATTTATAAAGGAATTAAAATGATTATAAAAATAATTAAAAAACGGGTTTTTTTAGTCTTCTGCTTGGATGTGATAATAATTCATTAATAATTTTAATATGGCTAGAATCATTCCTGTATTGACACTTATCTTGGCAGTGGCAACTGCTAGAGTAGCAAAGAGTGAAAGTCCAAAGGAAGTGTTGGCATAAATCAACAAAGATTCATTTGGTAATTCTGTATTATCTGTCCTCCAACTCTAATTGGCAACAGGAGGACCAGTTGGAGAAATCTAAATCCTTTTAAACAACATTGCTTCATAACTCAATGGAGATTAAAAGAAAGCTGACAAAGTTCACGAAAGTGACACAGTTGCCTTCGAGAAGGTATAGTTAAATATTACAATGTTAGATCATTGCTGACTTAGAATAAGAAATCGCTTATCACTAAACTTAAATCGTTGCTCTTTCAAACTTGAGAGACTCAACAACTGAAGCATTAGGAGAAGCTGAAGCTGAAGTTAGAGTTGTCACATCTGATATTGCCAATAACGAAAAGAGCTTCGCCGACGAATCAGCCACAAGACAATCATAACACGATACTTGGGTTAGAAAGGATGCAGAACACGTTGACTAAATGGATGCCATTGATGAAGCCTCAAAGATCGTTTAACACTTATAAGCAGGTGTTGCATTTGCTCAACTCAAGAGCAGATTCGAGAAAGTCTAAGCTAAATTAATGGAAAGCAAACACGCTCTCTTCAAAGTATTAAATAACTATATGAATAGCCACTCATCAATGCTTTGACATAATTAGCCTCAAAGGTTGATAACAAGAGCATCATCAAAATCTTAGAACTCTTGGCTTAAATCAGATAATAATTGGTTGCCAGCAGAGCATCACTCCTTGCAACAGAAGAGAAACAAGCTGCCAACTGGGAAGTCCAAAGCGGTCACTTATAAGAAGAACACAAGAGATTAGTTGAGAGAAAGGCATTCTTAGAAAACTCAATTGTTCAATTCAAAGTCACCATCTAAGAGGCTGTTGAAGACTTGGAAGATTAAACTGTACAATCATGAATTAAATGTAGTTATTCCTTGAGGATGCTGAAGACTCATTGGCTATCTAAGAAAGATGGGCTGCCGAATAAGAATCATAATATGAAGCTTAAACCTTCGAAAGAGAATAATAATTGGAAGTCGTTGAAAGATTATAAGAAGTTCTTACTCAAAAGGTGAGTGCTGCCTCAGAATTCCTTTAAGTTAGAGAAGAGGTCTTTTGATTAATGAATTATCAGCAATATTAATATCAATACAATTTCTACATTTTAATTGTAAAATAATCTGTTAAACAATATTTAATTTAAATTAATGGAAAACATCTAAGTTGTAGTTAGAATTAGGCCGTCTAATGTTCAAGAGAAAGACAACAATGACCTTGAAATTTGGTCTGTTTAGAATCAAGACACAATAACAATTTCCAATGATAGATTTAATGATTTAGTTAGAATGCGTAAATTTGTACCCGGACAAAGAGTAGAGTTTACTTTCAGTAATATAATCAATTGAAAAATAATAGATTAATGTTTCGATCCCAAACACACCACAAAATTTATTTACTAATAATAGATCCAAAGAATTACATTATCATCATTGTAAGGTATAAATGGAACAGTGTTTATGTATGGTCAAACAGGAAGTGGTAAGACTTACACAATGATGGGGTATGATTAAGAAGAAGGAATATTAAAGTAAGGACTCAAGGACCTTTTTGGAGAAATTTAGAGACAATAAGATAAATAATTTTTCTTAAGATGCAGCTATGTTGAAATCTATACTGATTAAGTTTATGATCTGCTGTCCACGCAAGAAAGATTGAGTGAAACTTTATTAATAAATGAGGATTTCAATAGAGAATTTGTTATAAAGGGAGCGATTGAAGAAGTCGTGACTACAATAGATGAAATTATGGACATTCTTCAGTTTGGAGAGAGTAATAGACATTATGCGTCAACTGTCATGAATCATTGCAGTAGTAGATCTCATACAATTTTCAGACTGTATGTTAGATGTGTTCCTAATACAATAGGACCAAATTCAGTGATAACTGAGTCTATCCTTAATTTTGTTGATTTGGCAGGTTCTGAAAAAATTAATATTCATGATTCAATGCTTAAAAAAAGAGGGACATCTGCAGGTGGAAGTGGCACTCAATATAAAGATCGACAGAATGAATCCAAACACATCAATAAAAGTTTGTTTTTTTTAACTTAAGTAATTTCTTTAAGGGCATAAGGAAGAAAGTAAGTACTTTACAATATTTAGTGATCAACATATTCCTTATAGAAACTCTCCTTTAACAAAGATTTTAAGGTCATCCTTAGGAGGTAATTCAAGAACTGCCATAATCCTTTGTGTTAATCCTTGTTATAGTTAGTTTGAATAAACATTGTCTACTTTAAGATTCGGGACAAACGCGAAGAAAATAGAAAATAATGTCTCAAAAAATATTGTAGGATTTGATAATGACGAGAGTTTGAATAGGGTAATAAAAGACTATGAAACAAAAATCGAGGAATTGCAAAGGGCTAGAGTTGATGATAAGTAGCAATAAGAAATGATGCTAAAGATCATTGAAAAACTAGAAGAGCAAAGAAAAATATTTAAATCCTAGTTTAATACTTCCGATCATATTTAAGCTATGATAAACAAGGATGTACCATATTAATGGACTCACTTACATTATCACGGTGTTGGAGTGTTATGGGTACCCGAAAAAGGAAGTAGGGATGTTGAAGTTAAATAGGATATTATTGATTCTTTTGGAATAATTAAGAAATATTAAAATTTAGAAGAAGAATTCATTATTTTAAAATCGGAAAAATAAACAGTTGAAAATTAAGTTAATGAACTTAAATAAAAGTAGCAAGAAGCTGTCATTTAAACTAAAAAACGATATGCAAATTAAAAAGCAAAAACAAGAAAATATAAGTAATTGAGCAAAGATTTATAGGATGAAAGAAATAAATTATAAAAGATTGCTTTATGCTATCACAATATGATTGATGTAGATGAGATGATGTTGTTAAACAATGAAACCTTAGATTAAATGTTAGAGAATGTTTCTATTATGATGCAAAATATATATAAAGTCAAACTAAGAAAAGAAATGAAACTTAAAGGGGAGAATATGGAAACCTTAAAATTAAAAACATCTAAACCCATTAAATATCCCAAATATTTATTCGACACTTCAGCTATTAATGTTTAATTTTGGGAGGCTAATGAAAATAAAAAGACTGAAGAGACTAGTAAAAGTGAAATTGAATCCTTCTAAAGTTACTTTTAATCTTAATTGAATCAAAGTAGTCCTACTTATGCTGATATGCAAAGTAGTATATAATAGTTTAAGGAACCATTTAAGCATATTTGTTCTCATGAAAAAAATACACTCAATAAATTAGGAAAAGAGAACTTTGAGCCATCATTCAAAAAGAATCAAAGCATGGAAATAGCTGATGAATTAAATTTCCGTAGTTATTTTAGATGAAATGATTAATATTATAAAATTATGTTTTCCTTATTGTTTTTAATCACCACGTCTTATGCTACAGATAAAAATTGTCTGTGGCACGATTCCCTTGGATATACTTATGATATTTCAAAACTACACAACATAAATAACTATCAAGTACCTGATACTGATACAAGTAACTTTTAGAGCGAATAAATAAGGCATGGGAATGTTTAATATGGTTTACGAATTTAATTTTTGCACAGGAGCTGTGAGATGTTAAGGAAGAGATGTTGCTGCATTTGAAGCGCTTGAAGTAATGGGAAAAGTGACTGAAAATTGTGATGTATAATTATGAATTAATAGCAAGGTTTTGGGATTAAAAGAAACTTAGGAATTTGGCTATGTGAATCCAGTTTATCCTGAATTAGGCATTTCTGTTACTTACAAACAAGGTTGTTTTGAAATTAATTATAAGGCGATATGTGTTTTGATGTTAAAGATGATGGTGGATTACAAAAAATAATTGCAGACAATGAACAAATGTAAATGAGTCCAAGATCTGTTACTTTTGAAATCACATGCGGGAAAGATGAACCTAACTTTCGAGTTATAGATTCTAGTAAATGCAATATTAGATTGGGTATTTAACACTCAGCTGGTTGTAGATCAGGATCCTCTCCTAGTAATTATTATAATTATCAAAGGTGGGGGAAGTCAAACAATGCTTTTATATATTATTTTAGGAGCTGGACTTTATTTTGGCGGCGGAATAGCATACAATAAAAAATAATATTAGCTTAGTGGAGTAGATGCACTACCGCATTCACATTTTTGGAAAGATTTTCCACATTTGGTCAAGGATGGGATCAATTTCACTGTTATTAAAGTTTTTGGCATAATAAAAAAGTTTAGAGGGTTATCAAGCGAAGGAGGATATGCTGTCATTTGATGTAAATTTAGTAATATAAAATTTTATTGATATTTAGTAAGAAAATTGTGAATTTTTTTTTTGTAAGAAATTTATTTTTAATAAATAACATAGAAAAAGAACAAATATATAATTACCTATTCTTATTTTGATCATTTTTTACATAAAATGTCCATTTTTTCAAAATGTAATATGAGATTTAAATTCACCTTTTTTGTTTAATTTAATCATGAAATTTACTTGCTTTCAAAAAGAAACCTGTTAATCCATTATAAAATTTGATTCTCTATTACGATAAAATATTAATTTGCAGAATTTATTTATTTTTCTTATTTATTTTATGATATATATAATAGGTTTATTAGTTGTTGGAATAATTTGGGGAATTACAAATCCTTTTATGGAATCCGGAGTTGGTAATAAATAGTAAGACCTATTCGGATTTAAATCTTTTATTCAAACAATACTTAATTATAAGTTTATTATTCCTTTTGGAATAAATCAAAGTGCATCTATATTTTATTACTATCTTTTGGGTCATACTCCATTAAGTCTAGGACCAGTTATAGTGAATTGTGTTAACTCAGCAACAACTGTAATCACAGAATCTCGTTTAAAGAAATAGAAATTGAAGTAAAAGACTTGGATTGGGTTAATTTTAATTTTTATTGGAACCTATTTGGTTTGCTCAAGCAAGTGAAAATGATTATAAACATAAAATACACACATAGAGTTTATGGAATTTATATTTGTTTGCCTTAATGTTTTTCTAATTCCTTTCATATTATTAGTAATTAGAATGATCTTCAATATCAAATATTTTCTCTTTATTTGATATATTAATTTATTTACATTACAAATTTCAGATAAATTATAGTCTCTATAAATTATAATAAAATGTTAAATCTGAAATTCCGATTTTCAAAAGGCAACGCTTTAAATTGAATGTGGATAATCAAAGACCTTACTTAATGAAAAAATATTATTTTTTTCTCATCTAAAATTAAGAATAATAAGAAACTAATTACTCTTTATTATGTCAAATTATAATAAAAGAGAATTAGTATTGTTCATTCACAAAATAAAATTTGATAAGTTGACATTTACTCTAGAAATTTATTTATTTTTTTATTTTAGTGTTGGACTAAATCTTAAATAATTCGTCTCAGAATCTTTCCTACTTGGTCTTGATGAGAGTACTTGTTTTTTTCTGTCTTGGCTCCTGAAATTGTCAGACTTCTTAGAAGAGTTAGGATGGATGGCACTGCTCTTACAAAAGGTTACGCCAACAAACTAAAAGAGAAAACTTTAGGAACTTACTTTTTATGAACCTGGTACACAGTTGCCATCTCTTGTGAGATCGGATATTAGACATTATAGTTCAACTTTTATTTCCCCTGAAAGTAAAGATTATAAGAAAGCGGCTAAAAATTTTGATTTATGAGTTAGGAAGTTAGAAACGAGGTCAAACCTGGTCAATAAATATTCATGTGTGGAGATTTTAACAAACCACGAGTTCAAATTACAGGATTTTAATATTGGGTTCATTAATATGCAAATACCTTCAGAAAAGCGATTACATTAGAAATCTCTTCCTAAGTNTACCTATTCTTATTTTGATCATTTTTTACATAAAATGTCCATTTTTTCAAAATGTAATATGAGATTTAAATTCACCTTTTTTGTTTAATTTAATCATGAAATTTACTTGCTTTCAAAAAGAAACCTGTTAATCCATTATAAAATTTGATTCTCTATTACGATAAAATATTAATTTGCAGAATTTATTTATTTTTCTTATTTATTTTATGATATATATAATAGGTTTATTAGTTGTTGGAATAATTTGGGGAATTACAAATCCTTTTATGGAATCCGGAGTTGGTAATAAATAGTAAGACCTATTCGGATTTAAATCTTTTATTCAAACAATACTTAATTATAAGTTTATTATTCCTTTTGGAATAAATCAAAGTGCATCTATATTTTATTACTATCTTTTGGGTCATACTCCATTAAGTCTAGGACCAGTTATAGTGAATTGTGTTAACTCAGCAACAACTGTAATCACAGAATCTCGTTTAAAGAAATAGAAATTGAAGTAAAAGACTTGGATTGGGTTAATTTTAATTTTTATTGGAACCTATTTGGTTTGCTCAAGCAAGTGAAAATGATTATAAACATAAAATACACACATAGAGTTTATGGAATTTATATTTGTTTGCCTTAATGTTTTTCTAATTCCTTTCATATTATTAGTAATTAGAATGATCTTCAATATCAAATATTTTCTCTTTATTTGATATATTAATTTATTTACATTACAAATTTCAGATAAATTATAGTCTCTATAAATTATAATAAAATGTTAAATCTGAAATTCCGATTTTCAAAAGGCAACGCTTTAAATTGAATGTGGATAATCAAAGACCTTACTTAATGAAAAAATATTATTTTTTTCTCATCTAAAATTAAGAATAATAAGAAACTAATTACTCTTTATTATGTCAAATTATAATAAAAGAGAATTAGTATTGTTCATTCACAAAATAAAATTTGATAAGTTGACATTTACTCTAGAAATTTATTTATTTTTTTATTTTAGTGTTGGACTAAATCTTAAATAATTCGTCTCAGAATCTTTCCTACTTGGTCTTGATGAGAGTACTTGTTTTTTTCTGTCTTGGCTCCTGAAATTGTCAGACTTCTTAGAAGAGTTAGGATGGATGGCACTGCTCTTACAAAAGGTTACGCCAACAAACTAAAAGAGAAAACTTTAGGAACTTACTTTTTATGAACCTGGTACACAGTTGCCATCTCTTGTGAGATCGGATATTAGACATTATAGTTCAACTTTTATTTCCCCTGAAAGTAAAGATTATAAGAAAGCGGCTAAAAATTTTGATTTATGAGTTAGGAAGTTAGAAACGAGGTCAAACCTGGTCAATAAATATTCATGTGTGGAGATTTTAACAAACCACGAGTTCAAATTACAGGATTTTAATATTGGGTTCATTAATATGCAAATACCTTCAGAAAAGCGATTACATTAGAAATCTCTTCCTAAGTACAGCCTCGAACTAATAACTATTCAATAAGTTGTCAGATCCTGCTACCATAAGCTCAGATGTAAAATTTAAATATCTCATCAGCAGGTATTAAGTTGTTTACTACAATAAGAAAAATTTCATTAATTTAAAAAAAATAAATTGCTCAAAAACGCACATCTTTTCACTCAATGATATTGCAACATGCAAAATAATTAAAATATCAAGAAATTATCTGATATTCTCTACCAAAGAAAATGGAATTCAAAGCCTCGTTGCAGTAAAAATTTTATGAAATTTTCAAAGATTTCACTATAAGAGACAAAAGCAAATATACATTTAAGAATTAAAGCATATGACGATTCTTAATCCACAGAAGAAAGAAGGAAGTCTATATTGCTGCTATGTTGATGAAACGACAAAGTTCATTAAATCCCAAATACCATCATAAACTGCCTCAAATAATTAAGCAAAATCTTTGGAAGAGGCGAATTCAATTCTAAGAAAACTCATTAATTAAAAGCAATAGATCTATAACTGTGTATGGCAAATAAGGCAATTACAATGGATGGGATATTAGATGACTTCATCAAATAGAAAAAGCAATTTAGTTTAATTAATGATAACTGAAATCAGAGCACCCTTGTTACATGCATTGACTTACACGAAGCCAAACTAATTCCTTTGAACTAAAATTTCCCCTTAAATCCTAAATTAATCTTAAATCAAGGTGATTCTGAATCATGTGTATAAATTTTTGGAACTCAGATTCATTTAGAAACCGAATAATTGCAGCCTCCAGCATTTCAGCCATTTCCAAAGTGGCTTTGGAAATGAGGAAAAGCCTACAAGCGAACAGCAACAAATTATCTATGATGTTAAATGACATTAAGAAAGAAAAAATTAAATTTCATTTCATCGAATTTTCCAGTGGTAAAACAATTAAAAGAGAACGACTAGAGAAGATTCTAAACAGAAAAGAGTCTAAGAAGGTAAAGAAATTGAATTTTCGGAAAATTGCAACCGAAATATGAACTATCAAGACCCCACTAAGAAGAAATAGATATGCTGGTTTCAAAATTGAATAGTGCAGGGTTCTCCCATCCCATTTGAACCTTTTAACATATACTTGGACAGATTCATTGAAGAATTTAAAGAAGAATCAGAATCTGAATTTCAAAAGTCTTGAGATATGCAGAAAATTTAGTTTTCACAGTCAAGCATCGAAGAATCGATGCTTTCTTAGTGGGATTAGAACCAATAACTTAGGAATGATTCCATCAAATTAAACAAAAAGAAATCAGCAGTATCCCTAATCAGAAATCACACTAACCTGAAAAAAATTTTGTAAAACTTAGATACCCATTGAAGAGAAGATATGTATATTAGGAAATAAACATCAAAGACAAAGGACAACTACAGAAACTGAAGAGAAGAGTCAAAGGTTAGCAATCAAACTATGTTTGATAACAAGTAAAATGCATATTAAGCAGAAAATCATAATCTGAAATATTTAAAAGACTTATTGATCAGGAATTGTTGGGCAACTGGGAAAACCAACCATTCAAAAAGTACACAGATTTGTGAAAAACATTGGACCATTGTAACTATTAAACATGTATATATGAAGTTACCGTATGAAAGTTTAAGGCTTTACTTATTAGNTATTGTTCATTCACAAAATAAAATTTGATAAGTTGACATTTACTCTAGAAATTTATTTATTTTTTTATTTTAGTGTTGGACTAAATCTTAAATAATTCGTCTCAGAATCTTTCCTACTTGGTCTTGATGAGAGTACTTGTTTTTTTCTGTCTTGGCTCCTGAAATTGTCAGACTTCTTAGAAGAGTTAGGATGGATGGCACTGCTCTTACAAAAGGTTACGCCAACAAACTAAAAGAGAAAACTTTAGGAACTTACTTTTTATGAACCTGGTACACAGTTGCCATCTCTTGTGAGATCGGATATTAGACATTATAGTTCAACTTTTATTTCCCCTGAAAGTAAAGATTATAAGAAAGCGGCTAAAAATTTTGATTTATGAGTTAGGAAGTTAGAAACGAGGTCAAACCTGGTCAATAAATATTCATGTGTGGAGATTTTAACAAACCACGAGTTCAAATTACAGGATTTTAATATTGGGTTCATTAATATGCAAATACCTTCAGAAAAGCGATTACATTAGAAATCTCTTCCTAAGTACAGCCTCGAACTAATAACTATTCAATAAGTTGTCAGATCCTGCTACCATAAGCTCAGATGTAAAATTTAAATATCTCATCAGCAGGTATTAAGTTGTTTACTACAATAAGAAAAATTTCATTAATTTAAAAAAAATAAATTGCTCAAAAACGCACATCTTTTCACTCAATGATATTGCAACATGCAAAATAATTAAAATATCAAGAAATTATCTGATATTCTCTACCAAAGAAAATGGAATTCAAAGCCTCGTTGCAGTAAAAATTTTATGAAATTTTCAAAGATTTCACTATAAGAGACAAAAGCAAATATACATTTAAGAATTAAAGCATATGACGATTCTTAATCCACAGAAGAAAGAAGGAAGTCTATATTGCTGCTATGTTGATGAAACGACAAAGTTCATTAAATCCCAAATACCATCATAAACTGCCTCAAATAATTAAGCAAAATCTTTGGAAGAGGCGAATTCAATTCTAAGAAAACTCATTAATTAAAAGCAATAGATCTATAACTGTGTATGGCAAATAAGGCAATTACAATGGATGGGATATTAGATGACTTCATCAAATAGAAAAAGCAATTTAGTTTAATTAATGATAACTGAAATCAGAGCACCCTTGTTACATGCATTGACTTACACGAAGCCAAACTAATTCCTTTGAACTAAAATTTCCCCTTAAATCCTAAATTAATCTTAAATCAAGGTGATTCTGAATCATGTGTATAAATTTTTGGAACTCAGATTCATTTAGAAACCGAATAATTGCAGCCTCCAGCATTTCAGCCATTTCCAAAGTGGCTTTGGAAATGAGGAAAAGCCTACAAGCGAACAGCAACAAATTATCTATGATGTTAAATGACATTAAGAAAGAAAAAATTAAATTTCATTTCATCGAATTTTCCAGTGGTAAAACAATTAAAAGAGAACGACTAGAGAAGATTCTAAACAGAAAAGAGTCTAAGAAGGTAAAGAAATTGAATTTTCGGAAAATTGCAACCGAAATATGAACTATCAAGACCCCACTAAGAAGAAATAGATATGCTGGTTTCAAAATTGAATAGTGCAGGGTTCTCCCATCCCATTTGAACCTTTTAACATATACTTGGACAGATTCATTGAAGAATTTAAAGAAGAATCAGAATCTGAATTTCAAAAGTCTTGAGATATGCAGAAAATTTAGTTTTCACAGTCAAGCATCGAAGAATCGATGCTTTCTTAGTGGGATTAGAACCAATAACTTAGGAATGATTCCATCAAATTAAACAAAAAGAAATCAGCAGTATCCCTAATCAGAAATCACACTAACCTGAAAAAAATTTTGTAAAACTTAGATACCCATTGAAGAGAAGATATGTATATTAGGAAATAAACATCAAAGACAAAGGACAACTACAGAAACTGAAGAGAAGAGTCAAAGGTTAGCAATCAAACTATGTTTGATAACAAGTAAAATGCATATTAAGCAGAAAATCATAATCTGAAATATTTAAAAGACTTATTGATCAGGAATTGTTGGGCAACTGGGAAAACCAACCATTCAAAAAGTACACAGATTTGTGAAAAACATTGGACCATTGTAACTATTAAACATGTATATATGAAGTTACCGTATGAAAGTTTAAGGCTTTACTTATTAGAAATATAAAGGAGAGTAGATGAGGTGGTTTAAAGACTACCATGGCTTAAAATTGATGAAGGATAATAAATAAATAAATAAATAAATAAGTTATAAATAAAATTGAAATTAAACAACATTTAAAATAGAATTAGAATGACCTTATATTTATTCACTCGCCTTCGATTGAATTATTAATGAAATCAAGGAACAGAAAAATAAATAGTTGATGAGTCATGAATATCAAATAGCATTATTTGCCATTTTTTGTAGATTGTAATGTTAGTACATGCTAATTGTTGTTGATGCTAAATAACATGTCAGTTAGCAATTTATGTTTTAAAAAATTTATCAAATATTTTAAAATTAAGTTATTATTTATATTGGCAATACTTTTGTAGTTCTAAACAAACTATTTCTCTAATAAAAAGTATATTTCAACTTGAGGCTATAAAATTCTAATCTAATCGATTACAAAATCAAATAAAATTAAATTATTATGTGCTATATCCTTTTTCTTGACTTTAAAATAAATTATTTTTTTTGCATTTTTAGTTGACTATTAGGTTTTATATAAGGAAAAAAATTATTTATATAGAGAATTGTGGTGAAGAGGTTTTAATTAACAAGTTTAAACCATATAATTTTAGAAGGTTAATAAAAACTTAAATTTATTATTAATTGTTTGTTTATCTAAAAAAAATCTAGTGCAGAGTAATAATTATATTAAAAATATTTTTATCAAATTCTAAAGTAAGTTTTTAACTAATTGTGGGTAGTTGGTAGGAATCTTGTAAATATCTTAATAGAATGTTGAGATTTAACCTTATCGACTCTTAAATTCTACAATCGATTTACATATGAAAAAAACATAAATTGTAAATATTACATTAAAAATATAGATTGTAAATGTGGCTAAGCTTATATTATAAAAAAAATTTTAATAGAAATTTAATAGTTTCTTATATATTAAATAAAAAATTATGGTGTTATTAATGTTATTTGAATAAATCATTCCAATTTTTTATTAGAATCATCTTATTTAATCTTATTTATGTCTTCTTTTAGTTTTTAAGACCAGTAATCTTAAGTTTATGGTAGCTATTCATCTACTAAAGCACTGTCAATATGGTTTTATTGTACAAATTCAGTACCATTGATTTAATGTTCAATGTTTTTTTTGATAGTGGTAACATCATTAGAAATCTTTTACATCCATTCTTCATTTGATCTTGCTCTTCCATCAGCAACAACATTCTCTTCAACAAAAGCAATATGGTCAGCATCCAATTAGNATTATCTATGATGTTAAATGACATTAAGAAAGAAAAAATTAAATTTCATTTCATCGAATTTTCCAGTGGTAAAACAATTAAAAGAGAACGACTAGAGAAGATTCTAAACAGAAAAGAGTCTAAGAAGGTAAAGAAATTGAATTTTCGGAAAATTGCAACCGAAATATGAACTATCAAGACCCCACTAAGAAGAAATAGATATGCTGGTTTCAAAATTGAATAGTGCAGGGTTCTCCCATCCCATTTGAACCTTTTAACATATACTTGGACAGATTCATTGAAGAATTTAAAGAAGAATCAGAATCTGAATTTCAAAAGTCTTGAGATATGCAGAAAATTTAGTTTTCACAGTCAAGCATCGAAGAATCGATGCTTTCTTAGTGGGATTAGAACCAATAACTTAGGAATGATTCCATCAAATTAAACAAAAAGAAATCAGCAGTATCCCTAATCAGAAATCACACTAACCTGAAAAAAATTTTGTAAAACTTAGATACCCATTGAAGAGAAGATATGTATATTAGGAAATAAACATCAAAGACAAAGGACAACTACAGAAACTGAAGAGAAGAGTCAAAGGTTAGCAATCAAACTATGTTTGATAACAAGTAAAATGCATATTAAGCAGAAAATCATAATCTGAAATATTTAAAAGACTTATTGATCAGGAATTGTTGGGCAACTGGGAAAACCAACCATTCAAAAAGTACACAGATTTGTGAAAAACATTGGACCATTGTAACTATTAAACATGTATATATGAAGTTACCGTATGAAAGTTTAAGGCTTTACTTATTAGAAATATAAAGGAGAGTAGATGAGGTGGTTTAAAGACTACCATGGCTTAAAATTGATGAAGGATAATAAATAAATAAATAAATAAATAAGTTATAAATAAAATTGAAATTAAACAACATTTAAAATAGAATTAGAATGACCTTATATTTATTCACTCGCCTTCGATTGAATTATTAATGAAATCAAGGAACAGAAAAATAAATAGTTGATGAGTCATGAATATCAAATAGCATTATTTGCCATTTTTTGTAGATTGTAATGTTAGTACATGCTAATTGTTGTTGATGCTAAATAACATGTCAGTTAGCAATTTATGTTTTAAAAAATTTATCAAATATTTTAAAATTAAGTTATTATTTATATTGGCAATACTTTTGTAGTTCTAAACAAACTATTTCTCTAATAAAAAGTATATTTCAACTTGAGGCTATAAAATTCTAATCTAATCGATTACAAAATCAAATAAAATTAAATTATTATGTGCTATATCCTTTTTCTTGACTTTAAAATAAATTATTTTTTTTGCATTTTTAGTTGACTATTAGGTTTTATATAAGGAAAAAAATTATTTATATAGAGAATTGTGGTGAAGAGGTTTTAATTAACAAGTTTAAACCATATAATTTTAGAAGGTTAATAAAAACTTAAATTTATTATTAATTGTTTGTTTATCTAAAAAAAATCTAGTGCAGAGTAATAATTATATTAAAAATATTTTTATCAAATTCTAAAGTAAGTTTTTAACTAATTGTGGGTAGTTGGTAGGAATCTTGTAAATATCTTAATAGAATGTTGAGATTTAACCTTATCGACTCTTAAATTCTACAATCGATTTACATATGAAAAAAACATAAATTGTAAATATTACATTAAAAATATAGATTGTAAATGTGGCTAAGCTTATATTATAAAAAAAATTTTAATAGAAATTTAATAGTTTCTTATATATTAAATAAAAAATTATGGTGTTATTAATGTTATTTGAATAAATCATTCCAATTTTTTATTAGAATCATCTTATTTAATCTTATTTATGTCTTCTTTTAGTTTTTAAGACCAGTAATCTTAAGTTTATGGTAGCTATTCATCTACTAAAGCACTGTCAATATGGTTTTATTGTACAAATTCAGTACCATTGATTTAATGTTCAATGTTTTTTTTGATAGTGGTAACATCATTAGAAATCTTTTACATCCATTCTTCATTTGATCTTGCTCTTCCATCAGCAACAACGTTCTCTTCAACAAAAGCAATATGGTCAGCATCCAATTAGGATTTGATATTCATTTTAATTGTTGAAACATCATTAGCAATCTTCTACATCCATTCGTCGTTTGATCTTGCTCTTCCATCAGCAATAACATTTTCTTCAACAAAAGCAATGTGATCAGCATCCAATTAGGATTTGATGTTTTGTTTAATTGTTGAAACATCATTAGCAATCTTCTACATCCATTCGTCGTTTGATCTAGCTCTTCCATCAGCGACAACATTCTCTTCAACAAAAGCAATGTGATCAGCATCCAATTAGGATTTGATATTCATTTTAATAGTAGCAACATCATTAGCAATCTTTTACATCCATTCGTCGTTTGATCTAGCTCTTCCATCAGCAACAACATTTTCTTCAACAAAAGCAATGTGATCAGCATCCAATTAGGATTTGATGTTTTGTTTAATTGTTGAAACATCATTAGCAATCTTCTACATCCATTCGTCGTTTGATCTAGCTCTTCCATCAGCGACAACATTCTCTTCAACAAAAGCAATGTGATCAGCATCCAATTAGGATTTGATATTCATTTTAATAGTAGCAACATCATTAGCAATCTTTTACATCCATTCGTCGTTTGATCTAGCTCTTCCATCAGCAACAACATTTTCTTCAACAAAAGCAATGTGATCAGCATCCAATTAGGATTTGATGTTTTGTTTAATTGTTGAAACATCATTAGCAATCTTCTACATCCATTCGTCGTTTGATCTAGCTCTTCCATCAGCGACAACATTCTCTTCAACAAAAGCAATGTGATCAGCATCCAATTAGGATTTGATATTCATTTTAATAGTAGCAACATCATTAGCAATCTTTTACATCCATTCGTCGTTTGATCTAGCTCTTCCATCAGCAACAACATTTTCTTCAACAAAAGCAATGTGATCAGCATCCAATTAGGATTTGATGTTTTGTTTAATTGTTGAAACATCATTAGCAATCTTCTACATCCATTCGTCGTTTGATCTAGCTCTTCCATCAGCGACAACATTCTCTTCAACAAAAGCAATGTGATCAGCATCCAATTAGGATTTGATATTCATTTTAATAGTAGCAACATCATTAGCAATCTTTTACATCCATTCGTCGTTTGATCTAGCTCTTCCATCAGCAACAACATTTTCTTCAACAAAAGCAATGTGATCAGCATCCAATTAGGATTTGATGTTTTGTTTAATTGTTGAAACATCATTAGCAATCTTCTACATCCATTCGTCGTTTGATCTAGCTCTTCCATCAGCGACAACATTCTCTTCAACAAAAGCAATGTGATCAGCATCCAATTAGGATTTGATATTCATTTTAATAGTAGCAACATCATTAGCAATCTTTTACATCCATTCGTCGTTTGATCTAGCTCTTCCATCAGCAACAACATTTTCTTCAACAAAAGCAATGTGATCAGCATCCAATTAGGATTTGATGTTTTGTTTAATTGTTGAAACATCATTAGCAATCTTCTACATCCATTCGTCGTTTGATCTAGCTCTTCCATCAGCGACAACATTCTCTTCAACAAAAGCAATGTGATCAGCATCCAATTAGGATTTGATATTCATTTTAATAGTAGCAACATCATTAGCAATCTTTTACATCCATTCGTCGTTTGATCTAGCTCTTCCATCAGCAACAACATTTTCTTCAACAAAAGCAATGTGATCAGCATCCAATTAGGATTTGATGTTTTGTTTAATTGTTGAAACATCATTAGCAATCTTCTACATCCATTCTTCGTTTGATCTTGCTCTTCCATCAGCAATAACATTCTCTTCAACAAAAGCAATGTGATCAGCATCCATTTACGATTTGATATTCATTTTAATAGTAGCAACATCATTGGCTATCTTCTACATCCATTCTTCGTTTGATCTTCCTCTTCCATCAGCTATTACATTTTCTTCTAATAATGTTTAGCTTTTTTTTTTATCTTCTTAATTATGAATAATAATTTACTTTATTTTTCAACATTTATATGTTTTTTATTTTTCTTTTCATTTCCTTTTATTTATGTTTCTTCAATCAATTTAACTCCTTCTCTTTCAACCTCTTTAATTGTTTCTTGATTTATCTTCTCTTTACTTTATTTTTTAGAGCTTACTTTTTATAATAAACTGTCTTTTTCATATTACTCTACTTAATTCTCTTCATTGTTTTCTAAGTCCACTATTAAGTCCTTTTATTATTCATTTGATTTCTTTATGTTATGTTTATTTTCTGCTAAAATTGATTACAACCCTTCCTAGTTTTTGATATTATTGTGGTGCCTTCTAATATTTGAACCCTATAACGATGTGATTAAAAATAAGACAACAATAGCTTTAAGCATTTTTTTTATCGTTTTTGATTATTTTTGAAAATCACGATCACACAATTCTTTTTATACTACATTTCGATGAACTAACAGATTAATTAATCGACTAGAATTAAAAAATTTTTAAATTTTTAAATCAATTACACCTTCCTTTGTTAGAATATCTCAGGTCAACTTTGATGTATAATGGTAATCTAGCATGATAACTTTTTCGGAATAATTTGTTTCTTATCATTAAATGCTTCTATGTTTGCAATATATTGAACTTATCATTTTACATCCATCAAGTAGCTTTTCGTTTTTGCCTTCAAATTTTATTATCAAGAAAGGGATATCAATTTCTTATGTGATATGTTCTAGTTTTCTTTTCAAAATAACATTCATAACAAAATTTCATGAATTATTATCTAAGCTTCAAATAAGTTCCTGAGATCATTTTACTTTAATTATTTGAATAGTTGAGATGCTTTTCTCTAACTATTACATATACATAAAGATGTTGCAATTGAATGAAGGATATTTTCTACTCTGAATTTTACAATGGAAGATTTGTTAATTTTAATACTGAGGATCTATCAAATGAATGCAGAGATGGTTTACAAAAAGCGTTTTAAGACAATATTATAGCATTAAAACCATTACAGAGTAGACTTCTAATTTTCAAGATTATTAATTGTTGAGAAAAATAATATTTAGAAAAATATCAATTAAAAAATAGGCTTGTGTTAGGACTGCTAAAAAATGATCATTGATTACTTCCAAAAGGATATCTAGATGAAAATCAAGAATTAACAAATTATTACTATTTAATTAAAATTAAAATATAATTAAATTTATAGAATAAATCCATAATTTTAATAAGAAAGAGAATGGAAGGTACAAGTAAGTAATTGATATCAATTTTTCAATTTTCTTACAGAGGAGTTTAGTTTTTTTGATGTAGAAGGACTATTTACTAGTTTCAAAATATTGCTTTTGATGAAAATAATTAATTCAGAAAGAGAATAAATTTGGTTCCGTAATTTATTAAATACAACATTGTGACCTTAAGAGAATGAACAAAACTTCAATTCATTTAGATTGGTTCAATTGACTATTTTCCTTACAAATATTATCAGAATTATTAGTATGAGAGTTTAAGTTTATTAAATTAAAAAAGCGGTAAATTTTTATTAATAAAATTTTAAATTCTGATTCCATCCAATTTTTACTATATCACCTATTATTATTAATAACAATAGAAAATTCTTGTAAAAACTTTTAAATCTAATGTTTGAAGGAATTCAAATAAATTTAAATACAACTTATACTTAAAATATTGTATTTATCTGTCATGAATATCTAACTAAAAATTACTGCTTAAAAATATATTTAAAACTTAACAAAAATTCTAAAGTACATCATTCAAAAAGCATTTTATGTTTTTAGACTAAATATCAAAAGAAGTTCAAACTTCTTATGATTTTATTCTTTATTTTGGATAACAGGCTCAATAGTTGACTTGTAATTAGTACTTTAGGTTTAATTCTTACGTTTTCAATACCTTAAGCTAATCAAATAAGAGATGAAATATGAGATTAACATTAAGACAAATATTAAAAATAATGTTATAATAAGCAAAAACAAACTATTTTTGTAAAATTCGCAAGTCCAGAGCTCCAGTTATTTATAATTATTAAAAAAAACTCAAAGTATGATAATTATAAAATACAATTATTTTCTCTTTATCAAGAAAATAATTGGTAAATAAAAAGATTTAAACTAAAAATAATCATTCCAATTCTTGCATCATATCCTAACGAATTTATACTTCCATATTTTATTTATTCTTATCTTATAGTTTGAATATTTTTTCAATAACAGTGATTTCAGTTGATGTTGTATCAAGACCTAATGGGATTGATTTAATTGATACCACAAAAAGCTGCAATATCATTGACTACTAGCCCTGATGCAATAATGTCACTTCCTCTATTAACAGTTCCAGCACATAATGGAATTTGGAGTAAATTTGCTAATTCATCTAATTCTTCAACTGTAGTTAATGGGTGAACAAGTCCTCCTTAATTATTAAAGCAACAATAGGTGCCAACTAAGACTTATTATGCCACAGTAGTTCTGAATACTTCAACTCCAAGAGTATCAGCAATAATTTCTTCAGTCTCCTTATCCAAATCAGAATGAATTAAAGCAACATAGTCATTGCAAGCAACGCAGTTTCCTAATGCTGATAATTTCTCTTCTACTCTTTTAACCTATATGTTGATTTAAATTTTTACTTTAACTTCATCGGGTAATGAGTTTCTAATCTATTTCAATTCTTAATCAGTGCAAGTATTTGGAACGAGAAGTCCATTTTTGTTTCCTAAATATTATTTGATTCAAAAACTACCTGCTGTTAATCTTCCTATAATTCTTGTACCTCCAATTGAACAATGAATTACTGGCATGCTCAATCCAAGTTCAGATTCAAACACAGAATAAAAGTTTTCACTTCCTCCTAGAGCAACTAAGCAATAGGCATTAGTAAGTTTGGAAAAAACACCAATATCATTGGAGTTTTCAAATTAGCATCTATTGGCCATAATGAGCTTAATAAATATTCTTTATTAAAAATAACTAAAGTGAATAAAAAGTGAACTGAATTTCACAGTGTGTATTATAAAAATTTTAGTTGGTCATATAATAAATTATTAATGAATTCAATTATTACCATTTTAACTACTTTACTTATTAAATCTTTAGCTTAAGTCATTATAGTTTATGATTAGAAGAACGACACAATTTAATAAACAGCTAATACTATTACTTTCAATATTACTGCAACTTTTCCAACATCCTCAGATATATAAGTGGATGTCTAATTACCTAGTTAAATAATTGGTCAAGAAAATATTGTATGTGGTGTAACAGGTTTGACCAATGGAGCTTGTAATTTAGTTTACAGTAAATTTATAATCACTTTTAAATCTGCAACACCTACTTTCTAAATTATTTTTATAAATGTAAATAATCCAATAACTACTTATACTGATCAAGTTCAATTAAATGCTTCAGTCATTGCCACAAAATCAGTGATCTTCACAAAGCTTGTCCAACTGAAATTTCAGTTCAAAAATGTACCTCTATCCATAAGTTAACCACTCACTACCTACATTGCAGCTCCTTTAACAATAAATATAGATGGGACTTCTATTACATTCCCAACATAGTCTTAAATAATAATAACTACAAACGGAGTAATTGATAATGTAGCTAAATTGACTGGCATAGTGTTTGAATCAATAAAAATTTAAGATAACACAATAGTCATCAACAATGCTTAATTACCATCTAATGCAAAAACTACTTTTAGTATTTCCAAATTTATTATTAAATCTAATGAACCAATAAATTATAAAGTAGAAATATTAGACTCTAACAATGGATATATTACGATGTTTTAAACTTCTCAAACAGTTTAAACAATCAATAACAACTATGATTACACAATGTCAGCAGAAAATTAAGTAGTTGGAATGCCAACTGCAATTAAAATCATATTATGCAATCTAGATGAATAGAGTAAGTTTATATTAACCTCATCAACTGCTAAGCTTAACTATGTTACTTCGTATGAGTCTAATTGTCATAACACATTGATTTAATAATTTACTAATCCATTTTCGTTGAATTCCATTAGCTTTGATTTGTAGGTTACTCTAAATAATTTTGATAGCCTCAAACGATCTATTTCATACACTCCAATTAAGGATTAAATAACAATGACTATGACTTAGAACACAACTATAATGTTAAATTATGCACTAGTTATATTATCTTTGTAATTGAATTAACAATACAGCAACTTTTTTATAGAGTTGACAAACTCATACACAACAAATAGTTGTAAAATATAGGATGCAGATTGTTCTTAAATAAATAACATTTACAAATCTAATCTTTTGGACTAAAAGCTAACTAAAGTGATAATAAAACTGGAGGTATTATTGCCTGGTTGCGATTCTTATTATTTTTAGACTAAACTCATCTATTAAAATTAAGAATTGGCAACATCTAATTAAATAGCTCCATAATTAGTTAAATATAAATTAACATCAACATTAAGTACATCTTCATTTAATATTGGGGAGGAATCAGTTTTTACCATAAATGGGTTGGATTCAACATAAATTACAACATATTATGTCTCAACGACTTTAGCTGATTTAAAATGTTAAGACTGTATTTAAAATTAAAATTAGTTATAATACGGTTAGGTGAACAGCATTCAATTTTCAGCTAATAATTTAAAGAATGTAAAGCCTTATACTATAACAATAATGGCATACAAAGACTAATGTTTAATTGCAGAATAAGTTTTTAGATAGTCAGCAATCGCACAAACATTATAATTATCAGTAATTACTGATAATAATTATTAATAAGCCCAAGGTAATTGGCAAATAACGATTGCTCCTGATTTACAGGATAAGGGTATAATGAAAATCCCATTTAATCTGCCAAATAATTAGGAAAATAAGATCAATGCCACCTCTATGTATATCAATTAGACATAATATACTTTAAATATGATTAATTAGTACTTCGATAAAGAAGAGAATTATTGGGAAGTAGGATATTATAGAGAAGGATATCTATACGCATATGGCAATTTGACCTTGCCTTAGTTGAATATTATGGAGTTTAAGAATTTGAAGATAACAAAACAAAATACATAAATTAATGAAACAGATAACATAACTATAACTTTCGATACTTATTTCGATATTCCTGTCAATGGATAACTACAATTAGATGTAACTGATGTATAATTGAGCAATCTTAAATTAAATGGAGTAGAAATCAATAATTAAGTTGTAATTCCTAAAGGAAATTAAGTATTAAATTTTTAAATATCGTTTTTGAATCCAATTAGTAACTATTCAAAACCTTTTGATCTTACTTCGTTTAATGAATTAGGAAAGATATTATAAAAATCTAAAATTCAATATGCTTTTAATTATGGATGCAGTATTGAATAATGTGGAGTTTGTAATCTAGCTGAGTGTGTTTCTTGTAAATCCACATTTACATTAATTAATAATACTTGTTAGTTAATCTGTAAAGAAAATCAGATTATTGTAAATAATACATGTGTAAATAAATAAAGTAATAATAATACCAACAATGTAAATGATACTAATCAGTAAAACAATAATAATACCACAGCAGACATAAAAATTCAGAGTAATGAAGACTCTTTTGTTTTTACTCCTCCAATAATTAGCCCAATGGTAGTTCTTATATACTTATTTGCTTTATCTCGGAAATGTTGGAGTAGTGAATCAGAAACCTTTATAATATTTTATTCTTTAGCATCTGTAATGGAACACATAATCCATATATTTCTATTCATTTATTTCTTTGTTACTTTAGATTTGATATATGGATTTTGTATGATATCCGTAATTGTGTTGCATTTTTCATCGTAGATTTACATAGTCTTCATGAATTTGTTTAAGATAGATCCAGAGTATATTGGGATTCGCTAATAAAGCAATTGGTTGAAGATACTCCATATCGTTTCACTTACTTTTTGTGGAAGGTTACTATTGTTATTAATAAGCAAATTTGACCAATCTTATGTTTGGTCTACTCCTTGGACATTTAAAATATCTGTGCTTCAAAGGTTGTCTAATTATTTGAAATTTTAAATAATAGCTTAGATTGGTGTATTAACTTTAGTAATATTGGTTATACTACAAAAATTATTCCTACTCTACATTGAAATTCTTAGTTTTCAAATTATATAAACTGCAGTTACACTATATGCTTTCAACCATTTGAGAAATCAAAAAAATTAAGAAATTAGATACACATACGTATGATTAAATATAGTTTATATATTACAATTATTATTTGATGATCCGAATATATTATGTGATAACGAAATAAAATCTTACTTCTTTTGTTATCTTATTGATAATTATTAAAATGCTGAACTAATCTAATCCCTCCCNGGATATTATAGAGAAGGATATCTATACGCATATGGCAATTTGACCTTGCCTTAGTTGAATATTATGGAGTTTAAGAATTTGAAGATAACAAAACAAAATACATAAATTAATGAAACAGATAACATAACTATAACTTTCGATACTTATTTCGATATTCCTGTCAATGGATAACTACAATTAGATGTAACTGATGTATAATTGAGCAATCTTAAATTAAATGGAGTAGAAATCAATAATTAAGTTGTAATTCCTAAAGGAAATTAAGTATTAAATTTTTAAATATCGTTTTTGAATCCAATTAGTAACTATTCAAAACCTTTTGATCTTACTTCGTTTAATGAATTAGGAAAGATATTATAAAAATCTAAAATTCAATATGCTTTTAATTATGGATGCAGTATTGAATAATGTGGAGTTTGTAATCTAGCTGAGTGTGTTTCTTGTAAATCCACATTTACATTAATTAATAATACTTGTTAGTTAATCTGTAAAGAAAATCAGATTATTGTAAATAATACATGTGTAAATAAATAAAGTAATAATAATACCAACAATGTAAATGATACTAATCAGTAAAACAATAATAATACCACAGCAGACATAAAAATTCAGAGTAATGAAGACTCTTTTGTTTTTACTCCTCCAATAATTAGCCCAATGGTAGTTCTTATATACTTATTTGCTTTATCTCGGAAATGTTGGAGTAGTGAATCAGAAACCTTTATAATATTTTATTCTTTAGCATCTGTAATGGAACACATAATCCATATATTTCTATTCATTTATTTCTTTGTTACTTTAGATTTGATATATGGATTTTGTATGATATCCGTAATTGTGTTGCATTTTTCATCGTAGATTTACATAGTCTTCATGAATTTGTTTAAGATAGATCCAGAGTATATTGGGATTCGCTAATAAAGCAATTGGTTGAAGATACTCCATATCGTTTCACTTACTTTTTGTGGAAGGTTACTATTGTTATTAATAAGCAAATTTGACCAATCTTATGTTTGGTCTACTCCTTGGACATTTAAAATATCTGTGCTTCAAAGGTTGTCTAATTATTTGAAATTTTAAATAATAGCTTAGATTGGTGTATTAACTTTAGTAATATTGGTTATACTACAAAAATTATTCCTACTCTACATTGAAATTCTTAGTTTTCAAATTATATAAACTGCAGTTACACTATATGCTTTCAACCATTTGAGAAATCAAAAAAATTAAGAAATTAGATACACATACGTATGATTAAATATAGTTTATATATTACAATTATTATTTGATGATCCGAATATATTATGTGATAACGAAATAAAATCTTACTTCTTTTGTTATCTTATTGATAATTATTAAAATGCTGAACTAATCTAATCCCTCCCCAAAAAAAAGAATGTTATGGACAGAAAATGTATGTTATGTGAATACAGTAGGAAGACAAACTCTTATAGTAGTTAGTCAATAAATTCCAAAATGAAAGACTTGGCTGGAAAAAAATTTCTCAATCTCTCAGAAAACAAGGCTATGACAGAAATACCAAGGCTTGTCGAGAGAGATTTTTCAACCACCTTGATAATACATTCAATAAATCCGAACTTACTACCCAGGAACTGGATAAGCTATTTGAACTCATTAAAATTCATGGGAACAAATGGGTAAATGTTATTGATATTTAGACTTGTATTGCTGAGAAGCTCAATCATAGAACAGACTAAGATATTAAGAATAAATTTTATGCCCATGTTAAAAAAGTTTTTAGGCGATTATTAAAAGCCACTTTTTAAACAACCGAAAGTATATATTTCGGTTTTATTGTAGGCTCAATAATGACAGCCAAATTACAACCATTATTGATCTCAAGTATACTTTGTTATGAAAATGACCTGGATTAAAAACAAATTCCTATTCAAACTGATATGAAAGATCTTTTTCAGAATCTCATAAGAAAAAATAAAACAATTTCGTAAGGAGAGTAGATAGATGAGGAAACAAAAGAACAGGTTAAGCAAATTACTACATATTTGGATAATGAAAAGTAATAAAAATTATAATTGTAGTTAATTATACCTCTAAAATAAAATCACCAGAAAAGAAAATAAACAAATAATAAAAGCCAAACATAAGATCGAAAAAACTTAACTTGCCCATAATTAATTTTAATAATAACAAATTTTAAAGAGGATCTAATAGAAGCAACCCATATTTGTGTGTTCATATAAAAAGTTAGAATTCCCTATCATAGATTTTGAAACAAATTTAGAGAATGATAACTAATTTCAATTTGATAAAATATTCGAGAATGGAACTCTATTCTAACAATATTAATTTATTTCTAGTGTGCCCTTCTATTGGCATTAGCCCCCTAATAAATTAGAATTAAGCCACGTAAACATTATTTTAACAAATTATAGTAATCTGAATTATCGTATATGGCCATTCCGTCAAATTCTTAAAATTATTCAACTATTTGGAATATTTGAGAGTTTATATACATATTGTTATCGACTATTACAAACTTTTTGTCTAAAAATTTATATTTTTTCATTAATCATAAATTTGAAACTCTGGATAAATAAATTTATAGTTTCTCCTCCATGGTTTAAATTTGCAAATAATCTAATTATTCTTTATCATGAGATGTAGATAGAAAGGACCGTTCAAAAGTGTTTAAGTTATAATAACTTGTAGGAGTTACACAGTATATAAATTTAATAATTAAAATTGATTTTTATAAATAAATATTGCCAAGCATATGGGGAATCTCTTACCATATTGATTCTAATTTAATATATTATTAAAAAGCAATATATTAAGCTACAGAGATTTTATTTCGGTTAAGAGAAAAATAGAAATGATAGGAAATTCAAAACAACCAAATATTAAGTTGAGCAATTGGTTTTTAACATTTTAAGGTAATTGTGACTTAAAAATAACTTAATAATTATAATTACAACTTAATGATTGAATAACCACTAATTATTTTTTTACTTTATTTATAAATTTTCTCTACAAAATTAAAATAAATTAATATAAAAAGGATGAAAATTAAATTTTAATAATATGAACAACTATTCTCTAACAATATTGTTCATTTAACTAATCTTAATCGATATTTATAATTATTTCATAAAAGATTATAAAAATATATAGAGAATAATCAATAAGTTGTTGACTTATTGTTAAATATTACTAGGATATTGATATTCTGAAATTTTAATTATATATATAAAAAAATAGAATAAAAAAGAAAATTGTATTTATAATTCTTAAATAAAGAAAACAAAATCATATTTTTCCTTTCTTCATTTTTTTGATTTATCTCTAGAACCACTATGATTAGATTATTTTTTATCATATTTCTATGTTTTATAATCTTTTTTGCTCTTTAATTTGTCCTCTTAGAATTTTTATTTGCAATTACTTCTCCATTTCTACTATTTTTTTTCTCTTTTAGAACTAGAATATTTTTTTTCTATATATTATTTGTTTCTGGGCATTTGCTTGTTTTTTGATTATGAAATACCAGACTTATGACTAAAATTGCTAGAACTTCTCGAACTATTGGAGCTACTAGAACTATTAGAACTACTTGAACTACTTGAACTGCTGGAGCTGCTTCTAGAATATTTTCGTTTTTTGAATTTATTCTTATTATTTTTGTTAAATAGTGTATTTGAAAGAAGATTATAACATAATTATTTTACAATTGGATGAGTATATTTATTATCACCTTTGATTCCTGGTATCTATCCATTATTAATTTTATCAAATAAAACTTATGTGGTCTGAAGTATCTAAACAATATTGTTTAGATTATTAGTATTCTTAGCATAATCTTCTTATTTAGTTGTCTCTTTATCTTCTTGTTTATTTGTGTCTTTATCCTCTTATTTAGATGTTTCTTTATCTTCTTATTTAGATATTTCTTTGACTTCTTGTTTAGGCTAGCAAAAGTCAGAAGTCTTGATCTGGTCATTCTGAATTTGTTCATCCTTTTTAACAGTTTCTTCTTAATCTCTAAATATTTCATCAATATCCCATTCATCAGCTGTACTTGATTATTATTTAACTTCAACTTGCATTTGACCTATAGGAAATGTTTGACAGATGGCTTTAGCAATGCTATGTTGAATTTTGAATCCCTCATACAATTCAAGAGATGGAAAGTCATATATTGTTTTGATGGATGACTATCTTCTTAGCCATTGAATTTTAAAGGTCTTAAGTTTGGGGAATTATTAATCATATACGACAAGTTGATTGATCATTTTAGCACAACCAACAAATTCATCATTATTAATAAAAATCAAAATAACATTTGCAGGGATATTGCATTCTTGTGCTAATTTAATGTACGTAATTTCTTTGACAGTCCAAACTGAGAATCTTTTGGCATGAGCTAAATTGTTTTTATTTGATTTCATAAGGTAGAAGACAGAATTGAATGTAATGAATTCATTACAGGGAGGCTCTGGTACATGTGTTTGAAAGGATTCTGTGTATTTATAATGACATTGGGAATTGATATTGAAGAAACATTTGGATTTCTGACAAAATATATTCTCACAAGTAGAGCAGATGAATTTTTAACAACAAGGAGTTGAAATTTCAAAATCTCTTGAGAAACAGGAAAGACATATATTTCTTCTTTTTGGAACTCGAACTAATATTATCATTTGCTTGTTTCTAATTTCATCACTAATATTCAAAATCTTTTCTTCATAAAACATTTGGATATCGTCTTTTTTGGAGGTGAACATTTATTCAATTTTCACTCTTAGGTCTCTTACTTAGATTTTGATTCCTTATATCGGTATAGTTTAGATTTCTGAGCTGTTTTCCCATTTAAAAGTTATAGAATTCATTTAAATTAATTATTAGGTAATTATTCAATTTTTTTTGAATTAAATAAATGAAAAAAAATGTATGTAATATTTTGTACAACACCTTTGAAATATAATCAATTATAAAAAAAATTGAAAGAACGTTTTTCTGTCATACCTACTGATGGACTCTTGACAGAGTTGAAACTCTTTTCGCTTGGAATGAAACTAGGATGAACTGTCAATTAGTGAGGATTCTTTTTCTAAGATAAACCTCTACTAGATTCAAAACTATAGGATGATTGTCTTTCTTTAGATAATGTAGGTTATCTTTCTTTGGAATGAGTGGTGGTGTGTCTGTCATTTTTGGTAAGAATTCTATCAACTTTAAAAAACTAAGGTTCTCTTTGTTTTGCTTAAGCATTTGTAGTAGTGAAATAACTAGGTTTTGGAATGATAGCCTAAATTAGGAATATGAATACTTTAGTATTATTTTATTTGGAATTGTTTTTAAGATGAGAGAAATCGAAATAAAACTGTTGCTTAATCTAACTAGTAGGAGTGATGTAAGACATATTTTTGGTGATTGTATTGAGATCTTCTATTAAATCATCAGGTAATTTATGTTTCTTTTTGAGTTCTTCTGTTTCCAAATTTTATTGATACTTTTTAAACCAAGGATAATTCAGCAATTCTAGAACAGTTGGTCTTTCATCTGGATCTATGGTCAACATGCCATATATTAATGCAATAGCTTCTTTGGATATATCATGAATGATGGTAAATTCACCTTATTGTATTCTACTATACAATTCTTAATCAGTGTCTCCTTTAAATGGAAATACTCCTTAGAGCATAGTGAATAGCACCACTCCTAATGCCCAAACATCTGATTTGTCTCCTCTGTATTCTTATCTTGTGACTATTTCTGGTGCCATATAACTTGGAGTGCCACAAAACATTTTGACTTTCTTATCAATGGGAAAAGATGTTGAAAATCCAAAATCTATCAGTTTAGGAGTAAGTCCTTCCAATAAGATATTCTCTAATTTGATGTCTCGATGCGCAATGTTCTTGGAATGACAATATTGAATTGCATCTAGAATTTATTTGAATATTCCTTTGGCAATTTCCTCTTCCAATCTTCGTTCCTAAGATTAGAATTAAAGTGTACCGGTTACTTTCTAACCAAATGGTGTAATGAACTACCGCTAACGTATTCCAATATTATATTCACATGATTATTTGATTCCACTGTGTCTAGGATCTTAACTATATTCGGATGATCTAACTTCTCTAATATTTCAATTTCCCTTCTCACTCCTTTCCTTCTCTGCAAATCTTTAATCTTAGTTTTTTCATATATTTTTATAGCCACTTTTGTGTCACTCTCTATTTGGATTGCAACTCTCACTGTAGCATACGCACCTTGACCTATTCGACTACCCACCTTATATTATGCCTTGAACTATTCAGTTTTATTTGTATCATCGTCTGGCTGATTGATTAAGAACTTCACTCGATCACAAATGTTCTGTTGCTTGAAATCAAATTTGAAGTATTCAACATTGTCTCGTTTCTCTACTTTACAAAATTTCGATTGTAGAATTTAACTAATTGCATCTAAATTCTTCAGTTGTTGATTCTTTAGGTTCATCAGTAATTCCTATTGCAAGGGTGGTCTGGACTTGAGGGCATATTGATTCCCAATGTATTTCTCATTCTCCTTTTGATTTAAACTATTAGTTGCAGCTCTATGCTTCATTGCAATTTAAAATAATTAACAGTCTCATTATAATTAAATATTGTATAAAACATTCTTTCATTTTATGGCATTATTATAGGAATGATAAATCACTCTTATTAATATGCTTACTCACTTCTAGTCAACAAGCAATCAATAAGACATCTTCAATATTCATGAATATGTCATAAATATATACATAATATTTAATTAAATAATATCAAAAGATCAATTAAACATGACATACATCTTCAATATCTAATATCTAAAATTTGTAGAATTTTAGAATAAAGTTGTCAATAGTATACACTTCATCAAATAATTAAATATTATGATATAAAATCTAACACCACACATTTTTATTTAATATTTAGACTTAACAAAAGATCAGAATGTACACTGGGAAAGTTGGTAATCAGAAATAAGGAAAGTTTCAGCTTAAAATTTGTCTACATCTTATCAAACAGTCTAATTCTGTCAAAAATTCAATTTTAAATTATGCATTTTATATAGTCTAAGAATAAAGGGGCCTAAAATAATAGTTATAATAACTATTATTTTAGTTACTTTTTGTATTGATGGTATATTAGTAAATTTATTCATTCATTCAACAAATTTACATAGATTAATATTATCCAAAATATTTATTTTTGTTGCTCATTTGTGTAATTCTGTCGACTCTAATCATATTTAGATATTAGTGAAAATTCAATGTTTTTATTAATTGATTTTGAAACTTCCAAGCTACTTAACATAATTCACAATATAATAAACTGAATATTAATTAATCTAATGAACATTTTAGGGATTTAGAATAATAGATTCCATCGACAGGCCATTGAGAATCGTACGAAAAATGAATGCCATGAGTACTACCTTTTGAACAATGAAAAAAAGAAACAGAAGAATGAATATTATGAAAAATGGCTGAAGTAAAGAGAGATGCAGTCCAATGCATCTACAGAAACATATTTGGATATCATTACACCCAATCTTCCTTAAGCTAAGATTCCTAATACCTTTTAAGTTAAGTTGATGAATGACATTTTTAAAGAAAATAAACAAAAAATGCATTATTGATTATTAATATACCTTATATATAAATCATTTAATAAATATATTTAAAAATACCTATTGGGCCTTTCTCAATTTATAATTCAAAATTGGTGTTATTTAAACTGTAAAAAGATATCATCTATTGTAATTGAAGTATCCAGGATTTTCATCATCCTTGTGATATTAACATCAATATTCTACAAAATAATAAATTAAAAATGAATCAAATTAAAATATTTGAAACCAGAAAACGAAAGAGTCAATCCGAATCTGAAATAAAAAGCATTTGCCTCATAACCTTTGAATATTAGTCAATCTAAATATATCCAAATAAAAGATCAAAATCCCAAGAATAATTAATAGACTATTCTAGTACACTTCACATTTTATTAAATCTAGGCGATGAAGATAGTGTTAGTGATTAGGAAAGCTAATTGGAATGCCAAATCAATTCAACAACCCTTATGAATTATCGATAGGTGCCCTCTCTCATATCTGTTTACACATCTGAAAGCAATATAAGTGCTGAAGAAGAATTCGAAATTTGGGATGACAATTAAGATTTAAGAGTCTTAAAAATTGTCTTGGAAGACTCATAGCCATCAATAATATAATTTTTATAATTGTACAAAGCAAGATTCGGGTATTTATAATAGATAGCTTTAGTGGATTTCCAGGACAGTAATAATGCATACAAAATGAGGAAGTCATTAAGACTGCTGTAAATTACGCCTCTAGTAGTAAATAGTTATTTAAGAAATATTTTCCATCAAAAAGGATAGTTTTTGAAGATGATATTGATTATTCTGAACCTTATAAAATAGAAGAGGATCATCATTTTTAAACTTTCAATGACTTTTTTAAACATAAGAAAACCAAAATCTTAATGGATTTTTGAATTTGATTATTATATACTCATTTATATCATACTTTATGAATTAAACTTTAATCCTCATCATTCCTTCTATAGATAATTTTTTTTTCAACAGTGATAATAACTGGCAAAAATACATTATTATTATTTATCTAAGATGATAATTTAGGTTTGCTAATTTTTTCACTATTATTCTTCGAAAAAAAGTTTGCCTATTTATTTAGCATTTTCTTAGGTTAAATACTCTTATTTTCCTTTTAGAAATTATATAACTTTATTATTCCTTCAAATTTTTGAATGCCTTCTTTTTCAAACTTAATACTTATGGCTTGAAATTTCAGCCATAGTTCCTGTTGGATCTAGAGTCAATACAGTATATTACTGTTTTTGTAAATTAAGGTTCATGAAACGCAATCAATTAATACTCTTTTTATATTTTGAGTATCTTTCTTCAAAAGGCAGTATCATCTACTATTTGTATTAATGCCTTTATTTTGATTGGTTGGCTAAAATAAAAGTGTAATTTCACTCCTGAATTTTCAATTAAAATTCAAGTTTTAGGAAAGAATCAGAAGCAGTGCATATCATATGTAAATCGAGATTATATCTATTCTCTTTGAACTTAGAAGTTCTAAATTTAACTTTATCTCTCCTAAAAAAACTAGTCAATCCTCATTTTCTTCAACGTACCCTAGATTTAGTATTTTCACAGATGGACTCTACTTCAAATAGACGACTTTTGTATGTGTAGACACTTCTTCCATAATTTTTTCTATTATTTATTGAAACTGAAAGTACTTATTATAAACATTTATCCAATAGGAATTATTCATTTTTATAATAATAATCATTATTTTGGCAATACATATGTATGTCCTGTCATAAAAATTTAGTTTCCACTACTAGGATCTATCTATACCTATTCCAATTATTAATACAAAGGTCTTGGATCATTTTGTAAATCTACAATAATATTTAAATAGATTACTTCTTCTCAAATCTACATCTGGAGTCTAGAGTCCACTGATAGATCTACCAGGAAGACGAGTCTCTGAATCTCCAAATTGATATGATTAATTATCGAATTATTGTTCTTATCTCTATTGAGCTTCAGGTTCTTCCTCCTCTTCCTATTCTACTTCAGCCTCATCTTCCACTTCTTCTATCTTTCCCCATAATGATTTATCCACAGGAGCATCAGCCTGCAATCCAGTTTTTTAGGATAATTCATTTAGATCCTCTTCATCATAATATTTGAATGTTGCGTATAGTCCTGGTTAGTCTGCCTTTTTGCATGAGTCCTCTATCACTTATTTAACTGAAGTATGATATGAGGAAGGTTCAGCAAAGATACTAGCCATTCCTATAAACCTCATATGAGGATAACTTGGTGGTGGTCCATATCTTTACATATTAGGTAACCAAGGAGGTGCTTAGAAATCAGTACAGCCTAATGCACTTCTCAATTCAGCACTCATCTTTCCAGGACAAAAGTTCTTTGCTCTCATTTCCTCTTCTTTACCTTCAAAATAGATTTCACCATGTTTTGTCATTTAAGGTTTTGTTTAGTACTTGAAGAAGGCATCATGTAATATTTAATAATCGATATCTAATTTGCCTTGTTTTGGATTCATTCTTTCTCTCAATTTCTATCTCACCATCTTACCTCCATCTCTGTCTACAAATGGATCTCTTAACTTAGCAATTCCTGTCTTCTCTATATAATCTGGTAATTGAAATGGTTCTTTCAATATTCCTCTTTTGTTTTACAAATATTTTCTCTTTTATGACCAATGTCTAGGAACAGTCACTGAATTACGTACACTCTTCAATTAAATTAGAAACATCGGATCTGGAGATGTGATATCCCAAAATTCAACTAGATCTGGTCTCTTTACTTTCTACTTCAATTCAGCTACTTTCAACCATCTTAATTATTTTCTTTATTTCTTTGATAATTTGGCTTCTTTCTTTTTTCCCTATTATAAATAATTTTAAATTGTTTAATTTGGTTCATTAATTTATTATTGAATTTATTATTATTATTATTATTACTGCTATTCTGCTGCTTATTATTCTTCCTATTCTTTCTCCTTCTCCTTTTCATTCTCATACACCTTTTCGTATGTCTTCATCATCAATCTTTCAGTATGTTGATTGAAATTATCAAAAACCTGTTTAAAATTGTCATAATGTTTTCCCGTAATTAGAGCATCTATCTACACTATTCAATCTGATATATACTTCTATCTCTTGAAAGGTCTCCTCGTCATAAACAACCTGCTCTTCATCGGCTTTGACTACCTCCTCTATAATTTCTTACTTTTCTTTAGTGCATTTCTTTTTGCTCTTATTGTTCTTTCTCCTCTCAGCTCTCTTGAATTTCTCATACTCTTCCTTTGACATCTTGCTCTTGGTTACTTCTGCCTTCATTAATAAATTAATTAATATATTAACAATAGTAATAATGAATGATAAAATATAATAAAATAATAAATAATAATTCCTATCAACAATTATACACATATAATTTATTAGTCGATCCTCCAAATAGTATTTTATTATCTATCCATGTACAAGCCATAGCTTTACCTTCTCCATTCAATTAATACAATGGTACCTCTCCTCTTAGATCCCATAAGTAAGTATTTCCATCCATAGAACTCTAAAATTGATTTTATGCAATTTATTACCACTATGATTTAACCATTAGCATTAACAGCAATGCTAGTTAACTAAGACAATGAACTCTTATATATTTTAATCAATTATTCGCCCAAACTATCCCACAATTTAATATATCCATCTTCATGAACTGATACGATTTATTAATTATTTTCTAAATAACACAAACCAATGATTGCTGAATCTTTAGCAAACAATTATTTGTTTATTGATTCTGTTCTCTTATTGAATAGACAAATAGAGTGATCATATGATCCAGTCAGAATAGTGCTATTTCTAATCCATTGACAACAAGTTATCTGTTATTGATGCACTTTAAAGTTCTAGACCATTTCAATCACCTACTTTTACACTGCACTAAGATCAAAGAAAATGAGTTCTCCATTGGCAGTACCAACACAAAATTCATTTGTATTCTTCTTATTGATACAACTACATTCTCCATATGATGGCAAAGAACCTTATGCGATGAACTCCAAATTGTCTGTAATCCTTTAAACTCTAACAGTGCAATCCCAATGGGTTGAAATTATTATATTTTCAAAAATAGTAAAACTCTTTGCCAATTTAGTTTTGTATGTTTTCAGAATTTTACCTTTTTCAGAACAAACCACAATGTCTCCATTAGACAAACATGTAAGGATATGATTATTTAATCTACCTATTGCTATGATCCAATCGTTCATATTTATAGTTTACTTAAGTTTAGGTTCTGGGACAGCAAATAGATATTCTATTTACAATGTTTTTTCAGTTGCAATTTCATTTGATGTTATGAATTCATGTAAGGTAGATCTCAAACTGATTCCATTTATAAAGAAATCGAATAATTAATTGTATTCTTAATCAGGGTTCTCAGCTGACAGTAATTATTAGATTAGAGAACTAAGATCCCCTTAATTCATATCTCCTTGAACAGCTATTTCATTGTTGCTAATCTGATATTCTTATGGCAAGCTTGTGACAAATTTCACTATATATTCACTATTGTTCATTAATAAAAATTTAATGCTTTTTTTTATATTAATTTCATTGGTATAATCTATTGATGTGAGACCGAATGTCAATCTAACCATCGGCTTAGATTTTATGGACAACTCCCATCTGTCATTCTTTTAGCAATTCCAATCATATTTCTTAGATTTCAAACAAAAAGGATGTAATCCACTCCTTAATATCAAATAGTAAATCTAATAATAGCACAACACCTATTGCCATGTTACAGTTGCTATACTAGACATCAGTACAAATAGCCTGAACAAAATTGCTTTGGAGGAGGTTAGTATTGTTGTATGAAATATAAATATTGCAAGAGTTTTCTGAATCAGTCTCAGGTCAAACTATATTGACAGAAATGCTCAGATAGTAATGTATATTAGAAGAATAGCCTCAATTCTATTTCAATTACACAATCTATTTCTCTCAATAATGCATGCAATTACCAAGTGAAATGAAGTCATGTTCTGAAAACTACTTTACAAATAACAATATTTCTACTCAATCCATTGACAATTGCATTCAAAATAGCTTTGAAGGACCATCTGAACAATTTCAATCTCTTAAAACTAATAGAATCTTAGATCAATACAAATAATTACAATACAATAAAACCAAATTCGCATTAAATTTAGATGATTAAGACTTGACCAATACTCCATTTAAGTAAATTATGAATTAACTTTGCAAAAAGTTTGAATATGCCTCTATTCCAGCTTGTGGAGTCATCAAAGCAGATTCAATTCAAAAAACCAATCTGTTGGAATAAATATTTTTGATTCTTTTTGCCATCATAATCATTTTGATTATTGTTTAAGGGTCTTTATAATTGCTTTAGAATATACAATTCAAAACATTCTTTACTCCTAAAAGTAGAATTACAATCCCGAAATTAGAGAAAGATCATATCATTTAGGAAGATGATGTTTGATAATTTTTTCAAGTTTAATAAGATATCATATTATATTTGTATTATCATTTTCAATCCACAAGATAAAAATGAATATTCTAAACTCTTATGATGATATTATTGATTTTTGGTACTTAAATATTGTGAATATTCAATTTCTTTGAACCTTTTGCTTAATTTTTGTGATTATTTACTTTTTATAAATTAAATGATAAACTGCCAATAAAATCAACGATAAAATTTTTACAATTTTGTATTTGGATTTAATAAGGAACAAAGATCTACTTCAATGAAAGTGGAAAGAATTAAATAGACAACAGAAATCAACGAAATAAAACAAGAGTTTTATAAAGGATTGTAATTAGGAAAGACAAGTGAAAATGCATTGAGAATTATTCATTTGAAATTAGAAAAACAAAGATTTAGAAGAAAATCATTTGAAACAAAGACAGAGGTAGAGGATGAACACCTTCCTTAAGTGCAATAAGCTTCGAAACCTCCTCTACCTCGAAAGACCATTATTGCTAATAAAGAAAATATAATTCAATTGCCAAATATCATTTCAAAGTAAAAAGAGGTTGCAAAATAGACTTAACAAAAAAAGAGGAGACTGTCTTAAAGAATAAAAATGAAAAAAAGTGAACCAACACTTGAATTTAGCCCTTGGGAGAATAATGAAAATTAAGAATTCGATTTTTTTTGAAAATGTATGTGATTATAATTAAAATTTCATGCAATAATAATATTCTAATAGTACAATATAGGATTTCAATATACTTGAGAAATTGGGAGAAGGCTCATTCTCTTCTGTGTACAAGGTATGATGAGAATTGATACCTTTAGGTCTAAAGAAAATCGGATGGTCAATATTATGCAATGAAGAAAGTGAATATTTCACAATAGAGTTTGAAAGAGAGAGAAAATGCTTTGAATGAGATCAGAATATTAGCCTCACTAGATTCTCCCTATATAGTAGAATTTAAGGATGCTTTTATTGATTAAGATGGAAGAATTCTCTATGTTATTATGGAGTTTGCATCTGGTGGAGACCTAAATCAAATTTTAAAGCAAGGAAAATTGTAGGGAGGAGTGTAAGAGAGTGAAATTTGGAATATATTAACACAGATCACACTGGGAGTGAAAATATTGCATGACAATGGCATTTTACATAGAGACCTAAAATCAGCCAATGTATTTGTGTCCAAGACTCCTTAAGAAAATATTTATAAGATAGGAGATTTAAATATCAGTAAGGTAACTCATGGGGCAAATGCAAAGACCTAGACAGGAACTCCATGTATAGATATCAATGTTTATATTAGATTATGCTGCACCTGAAATCTGGAAGGGTGAATAATACTCATGGCCATGTGATATTTGGTCTATTGGTTGTATTATCTATGAATTAGCTACATTTCAACCTCCTTTCAGAGCAGGAGATCTTTTATCATTAAATAAGAAGATTTAAGCAGGTTATTACGATCCTATCCCATCCAAATATAGTTAAGATCTATCGGAGGTTTTAAAGACTCTTTTACAAGTTGATCCAAAGACTAGACCCAATTGTGATTAAATTCTTAAGAATTCAAAGGTCATTAAGAATAGTGGATCTTTATTAGTGGAAGTGGAGTAGAATGGTGTAAAGAAAGCCAAATTATTATAAACTATCAAACTCCCCTTTAACTTAAAGTAATTGAAAGATAATTTACCAAAGCCCAAATATGAAAATAAGATGAAGAGATCAAACTCATAATAGGGGCTTAAAATTGAGACCGATCACCCAATATCTCAATAACCTCTAATTAACATGGAAATATAATAATAATAATAATAATAATTAAGAAAAAAATTGATCAGTGTCCCATCCTAAGGCGCTCCATTAAAAAGCAAACCTCCTTTAGCCAAACCTTAAACAGCCTAAGCATAAAAAATTGAATACCATCCTTAGACACCATAATATTAAGGATAGAAAATATACCATCAGGATCAAAAACAGCAGTAATTATATCTTGTTTATTAAAGAAATAATGCATAATAATATTGTAAGCCAACTTTTTTGAAGCAAAATTACGGAATTCGAGACAATTCCCCAAGGAATCAAAACAATCATTATTTACAACAAAGAGTAGGACAATAGCCTCAAAATTATGCGGGAAAGTAAGTACAACAAAAAAGACAGTATAGTGCAGGAATTTATGGAAGATAATAATAAATATATAAATGAATGTAAGTAGTTATATAAATCATAATAATTTAATTTTCGAGAGTTTTAATTCGTTAACTTTAATAATTTATGTAGTTAATTGTTTGACTTTCTAGAATTATCTTATTCTTCTCACCAATTTTTCAGATTTGGTATTCAAGATCTTACTTTGAAGGTCTGCACTTCTTTTGTACAAATTATCAATGTTGATTTCTAACATGGAATTAAATGATGAATCTTCATCTAAACTTTTATCTCTAGAATGTGAAAGTTACTCATTGAAATTAGCCAAATAATGTCTATTTAAATTCTTTTAAGATCTAGTACTTTGAGAAAGGACATTCAAATGATTTGATGGTTTTAAGATTGGATCATCATTATTTGGTTTCATAAACATATAAGCATATAATTTGACATCTTTACTGAGTGGATCTGTTAGATTATATTGATCTGGTTCAAAAGAATGAAATCTTTTGTTTCCTTTTTTCAAATCTCTGATTAGATTCCTCCTAGCCTTCAGTTACAAGTTCCTCTCCTAATATTAATCATGTTCTAGAAACTCTGTCAACTTAGCATTCATCTTTTCTCTCTCTTTCTTCATAGTCTCATGCAACGTTGACTATTATGGTTGAGTCTTCACTCTCATTTAATTATTATTAGCTTGTTAATTACATGTGTTTACTCTAACTCTTAGAGATCCTGTTGGATTTTTTGAGTATTTAATTTAATCATATTCTCTTATTCCATCTGCTTTTTCAGATAATAAATTTTTAGATTTGATTTTATTCACATTCTTTTCACATGTATCAAATAAATGTTTAAACATCTAAACATCTCTTAGAGAATCATTTTTATTCTTTGATTTCATTTTTTATTAAATTAATTATTTAATTTTATTATATCTTTCTTAAACTTTGATCTTACGTTATAAGAGATCATCAGCATATGAATTTTGTTACATCATAAACATTCTGATTGATGATCTTTATTTCAACTAAGTTCGAAATCGATTTAAGTTTTGAAATAGTTTAAATTGATCTATTTTATGAGTCTGACCAATAACATGATTACACTCGTTAACTAAGTTCAAAGCAGTTTTTTATCCTTCCAAATAATCCCTAAAGCAATGTTTCAATTATTCATTGAAGAGAAACGGATTTGGCTACTCCAAAGGGCATTCATTTTCTAAAGGATCCTTGGCAAATCTAACTTTCGATTTCCTTGGACTGCCTTATCTTCTGACACTCGATATCAAATCCTATTGGGTTATATTCTCAATTGATGGCGTGCTATCTTATGTCACCTTAATTTGATAATTATTTTTTTTCATTAAATATAAATTTATTTAAATAAGTGTCATAATCTTATATCTCATTTCAGTTTCTATTATTATTATCTCCCTAAATTAGCATCCTAAAACTTACTAACGTAGATAACAACAACTTATTAGATCATCCAACTTAGCTCACAGTTAGTTTCTATTCGAGTGTGATGAATAGAACTTATTTATTAAAGATACAATTTATTTAATTATAAGTTCACAGCCATAATTCTTTATTTTATTAAGTTCTGCAAATCAATTCAACTGATTAATAAATTGTTGATTCTTACCAAAACATTGAATGCTGTTCCTAATGCCCATAGAAATAAGACTCAATAATAAAATACTTAAATTGATGATATCCAAGCTGATCATTTTAATATTTAGTAATTTTAAATTGGAAAAATTAGAGCGATCGTAGTTTAGTATAAGAATAATCACTAATTTTTGTTTTTTCAATTTATTACGAAGTAACAGTAAGCAAGTCTTCATTTTATGAAGTTTTTGATGGAAACAAATAAAATTGTGTAATGAAGAGAGTATGTATCATAACACAAAGGAAGTATTACTATATCATAGATGTGATTATCTATGAATAGTAGCCTTTGAGGGGTTTGACATTTGAGGCATTTCCAGTTTTTGTATTACGATATATATATTTATATAAAATAATGTAATTGAGTATTTATCTAATAATTATTTTTTGGATTAACAGAGATACGATAGCAAATACAAATTCTTATCATAAATTTAGTCATGCCATTTGATTAAAATTGTATTATTAAAATATAATTATAATCTCACCGTTTTATACTAAATATATTAATTTATCAAATGGTATCCTTGCAGGAATCAAATTCAAATGAACCATCCAAATCTTCATATACTTTTAAAACTTTGGTTGAGTTATCAGAAAATTCAACTTGTAACTAATTAGAATATCATCAATAATACATTCCACAACATGCCTTATACTAATTACTTGGCAACTTTTAAAACTTTTTTAAGCTTGACAGTTTTGCCTAATTTGCACTATTAGGAGGAGTTTTTCTTGGCAACCTCTACGACTTAAGTGTAAGTAGGGTTATTTGAATACTCTGAAGCACTTTTCCAATCAAGAATAGGCTCTTTTTTTGCCTTCTTACTTGCTAATACTTGTTATCTAAGAATAGGAGCTGATAATGTGATATTGAGTATCACTATAACTATAAGCAACTTTATCATTGATATTTTAATAATATAAATATTATGCTGATTATAATTTCCATTAGCCTGAATTTTTATGTATTCTTCTTATGAACTGTTCGAGTGATTTGTGATTTCAAAATACTGATATTAGATGTGTAAATGTGAATTTAAATAATGAAGTACAAAAGCAAATATTTAAGAACTTGTCTTTAATTATAATATATGTTAATCTTTGCCCAAAATTCTTTTATAAAATGTAAAATTCTACAATTTGATGATGAATGCTGAATTTAATTGGTAATAATTTGATATTGATGATTTGAATAAATAATTTTAATAGAAATAAAATGTAAAATAATAATAATATTGATTTGCAAGGTGACGACTAGCAAATTGATATTTAATAAGAAGATTACTTCGAAGGACACTTACTTAATCGTATGCTTAAATTATTATTTAAGTTTAACAAAATTAATAGTATATTTAAATACTAGAGCTTAATGAGGATGAAGATCCAGGATTTTTGTTTTTGTTGAAAGAAACGAATGTCCCTGAATTAGAACATGCTATACTGCAAGATACATAAATGTTCTTCGAAAGAGAAGCAAGGCTCTATAATTATATTGCCAAATTATTGTACTTGACAGAGATAGACACATAAGGTAGACTACTCAAAAATATTTATTATTAGATGCTCCTAAGTTAACTAAGCTATTGACATTGTTTATTGAGATTCATGAGATTGGATAATATTCTGAATATGCTCAAATGTTATAATAATAACATTCTATTGGATTTCTTATTGATAGTGATCTATAAATGATTGATTTATTGTAGAATATAGTTTTAAGGCAAGAAACCAATAATTCAAAAAAAGATTTATTCTTTGTAATCGGAAGATATTTGCCAAAATTTTTAATATTTTCAATTAATCCTCCCAAACCATTTGTGACTAAAAACTAAATTAAATCTTTACAAAACTAGATTGTTAGTAAAATCAATAATTAACTATTTGAAACTAATATTGTAACACCTTAAAAGTTATGTTTGTTAGCCTTTTCTTATCTTTCTGATCCTGAGTTAAATTATTAATTGTACTATGAAACAATTTGTATCCTGAAATAAACACTTGAAAGGTATGTCATATGCATAAATTATTTAGTCTTTTGGAAAGCAATAACACAGAAAAAAGTATATATAGCGAAATCAGATATCTAATAGAATTTTTCTTGTTATTCACACCCAATTAAAATCTCTTGAAATGCTTCTTCAAGATCAATTTTCATACTTCCCTCTATAATAGTATCAAAATATGTTCATCTGCTTAGGGAATCGATAAAGAAACCAGTTGGTTCAAAGACTCTTTTATTATAAGGTATATGGTAAGTTTAATTATAAAAATTCTGAGTTCTGATAAGGTTGATGACGAATTCACTGATATGTTATATGATGATTTCTTAGAATGTTTGAAACAAAAATAATTGGATCTGATAACCAAAGTGATCATACCTATTTTGAATAGTCAACAGGTTCAATTAGTACCTGTGTGTTTCCACCCAGAATTAAGTGTGGCTGAAAGCAAAGCACAATTTAAAACTTTTTCAGAAAACAATACTAAGATGATGGCGTAGAAGTTAATTGAGTAGGATGATGAGTCATTTGAGAAGAACGATTATATGAAATAGAATTACTATTATTCTTAATTGAGGATGTAGCCAATACATTTTATTCCCAAAACAGTGACAGGGAAATAATTGAGTTAATTATTAAAGGAAAACATAACCATTCAAAATTTGAGAGAAGGTTCAATTAATGATATAAAGGTGATTAAACCAGTTACTTAGGAACTTTCGTTTAATAGTAATTATAAAAAGCCATTACTGGTTTCCTTTGGATAAACGATGGGAGGTTTTGTAAGGGTAGTTGATAAACTTAAAGTGAATGTAGGTGAAGCTAGAGTAGAGAAAAAGTTTCGGATTTATTAAATGAATTGTCAATTTTTTGTTAGATTGAGGAATTTCAAGAGGAAATTGTTTAGAGTGAGGAATTCTTATAATATCTAATATCATTAATTGATAAGAATAAACAAAAATAAATAGAAACTATATATGGAAGGCTCAATTCATTGATTTATTCAAAGTTAGTTCAGTTCTTCGAGGAGAAACCATATCTAAATGTAGTAGCAATATTGAAATTTCGAATCTTGAAGCAGATAGTGATTAAGGCAGAATATTAATTGTATTTAATGAAGTAGAAATAATAAGTAGATATTAAAAGATTCTAATATAATTTGGGATTGATTGTTAAGAAATAGAAGATGAATTAACATGTTTGGTATAGAAATATTAAATAATTCTAATAATAAAAGTAGGAAGATCCAAATATTGATAAATTAGAGAAGAATTAAAATGATGAAGATTCACATTTGGAAATTCTTGTAAAATGTCTACTTCAATTATTAGATCATTAGTCAATTAGCATAACAATACTTGAGTCTATACAATCATCAAATATTATAAACTTCATTATTAAATATCTTGAAATCAATTTAGCATAATTGAAAAGTTCAAAAACATTTCATCAAATAATAAAGTTAATCTATTGCTTAGCATAAAATGAAATGACATTGAAGCTATTCATAACAAAATAGAAAGAATGTTTATTTAGATAAATGGAGTTAGTTAATTAGCAACTACTAATAGGTATTTAAACTGACAATGATGAATTAAATGAAAACAAAGAATTTATGTCATTGTATGAATATGTGGAAGGTAGTTTATATGCTGCAAAATTCATTACAATAAAATATTTACCTTAAAATTATTAATATAATGAAAATCCTAATATTATTAAGCATTAAATGTATAGACCCTTTATGAAAAGATTGGCAGTTGAAAAGTGTAAAATAGCGACTGATGCAAAATACATGTTTAGCATGAAAGATTATTATCAAGAAACTAATAATCCATCATAAGCTAAAATGTAAAAGCTTATGGAGGAGATATCAACAATTGGAGAGATTCTACCCATTGAAGCAACCAATTCCATATTCATAAGATATGATTAGGAGAGAATGGATTGTATGAGAACCATCATTTTTGGTGCCAGTGGTACACCATATGCACATGGAGCATTCTTGTATGATCTATATTTTGAAGAAGATTATCCACATAAACCTCCAAAGATTAGATTGGCTACTACTGGATATGGTACAGTTCAGTTTAATCCCAAATTATATAATTGTGGACAAGTTTGTTTAGATTTAGATAGTATATGGGGTAATAGTTGGAAGGCTAATGACTCCAAAATATTCTAACTATTAGTTTCAGTTCAATCTCTAGTGATGAGTGAAAATGTTATGTTTAATGAACCAGGATTGGAATCTTAGATGGCAACTCCTATTGGTGAATAAGCTAATAGAGGATATTGTAATTTCATTAAGATTTAAAATATTAGATATGCTATGATAGAATAATTAACAAATCCCCCAAGAGGATTTGAAGATGTAATTAAGAAGAGTTTCTATTTGCGTAAGGAATTGATAATGAAGGAGATTGAATTATGGATAGAATAGGCCGATTTGCCAGCAACTTATAATCAACAATAGAATTATTTTCCATACAACTTTCAACCTCAATTATATAAATAAAGTTTGATAAAAATATATGAGGAACTGAAAGTGGAATTAGAGAAATTGAAGTTTGATATTGTAAAAGATTTCCAAGTTTATCTAAGGGAGAAAGAAATCAGTTTTAATGTAGATACTCTTTAATAATAATAAAAACAAATACCTCGTAAAGTGATGCTCATGCCTTAAGGTTTGAATATCAATGAGATTGATGTCAGTTATAATGATAATCTAATAAAGAAAATTCGATTCAAATGATAAAAATCTTCAGAATTTTATGAGTAGATACATAGGAGCTATGGATTTGGATGCAGTCAAGAAACAAAGTGAATCTACTATTTTCATTCACACTTTGAATGGTTTAGGCATTGAAATAGCAAAGAATATAGTTATATCAGGTGTAAAAAGATTGATCCTATTTGATCCAGAACTAGTTTAGATGAGTGACTTGGGTAGCAACTTTTATTTAACAGAAAAAGATTTGGAAATGAGAAGAGATTTGGGTGTTCTTAATAAATTGAAACATTTAAATCCATACGTTTAAATTGATGTTCTCTAAAATAGTTTGGATGAATTGAATTTAAATGAAATTTAAGTATTTGTCACTTAGGATCCAGCTATTGCAAGGACAGTATCAAATAAAAAGAAACTTGCAGTTGTCTTGGCATAAACAAGAAACATTTTTGTCAGAATTGTAACTGATTTTGGAAATGAATATGTAGTGGAAGACAAGGATGGTGAGTAATTATCAGTAGTCAACATTGAGAATATATCTAATAATGTTGTGACTTTGTTTTAGAATCAAAATCATAATCTAACAGAAAATGACTTAGTAATTATTAAAGAGGTCAAATAAGAATAAGGCATTGGATAGAGTTACAATTAGGTATTCTAAATAAAGAATGTGAAAAGATAATCATTTGAATTAGTAACCAATATAGAATTTACTAATTATATTAGTCATGGTATAGCTTATCAATAGAAATATCCAATTAAGTTGTAATTTGATAGAATTTAAAATGTGATTAGTTCTTTAAATCATTATTGTTATAATATTGGAACTTTTGAAGGAATTGATATGATAACAAGAGATATCATTCATTTCTGTTTGAATACTATTGCAAATGATTTATTAACTCATAATTGGGACATTGAAAAAATCAAAATGTTTATCACCTAAATGAGATTATCAGATCTAAGCTAAATACTCTATTTCAAATACAAAGAAGATGTGTTTACTAAATATCAAGAATAGTTGTTATCTTTATTAACATTATTGTCAATCAATACATAATTGCAACCATTATGCGCATTAGTAGGTGCAATGGCAGCCTAAGAAGCTTTGAAAGCCATAAATAAAAAACATACTCCAATCCATTAAGTCTATGTTTAATCATTTGAAGATGTACTTCCATTTAAATTGACAGAATTGAATTTTGTTTAAGTGAGTCAATCTAATGATCTTGAAATTAATTTGAATAAATACTAATAATTCATGTTGAAATTCGGATTCAATTAGAATTAAAATACAAGATATAACAATTTGGCTAACACAATTGGAAATATCAACTAAATATTTAATGCTGATGTGTTTGTGGTTGGAGCTGGAGCCATCGGATGTGAATTACTTAAGAATTATGCAATGTTAGGTGTTAGTAAACATGGGAAAATATATGTCACTGATCCAGACATCATTGAAAACTCAAATCTAAGTCGTTAATTCCTTTTTAGAGAAAAGCACATTAGGTAACCTAAAAGTTTAACTGCAGCTGCCGTTGTCAAATAGATGAATCCAGATATCAACATAGTGGCAAGAATAGATAAAGTATGCCCAGAAACTCAAGATATCTATCATAATAACTTTTACAAACAAATGAAATGTTTGACTAATGCATTGGATAACGTATAGGCTAGATTATTTATGGATTCTAAATGTATTGAAAATGAAGTGCCATTAATTGATAGTGGTACTTTGGGATCAAAAGGACATGTACAATCTATTATCCCATATGCTACTGAAAGTTATGCAAGCAAATAAGATCCTGAATAAAACAATGATATACCATATTGCACTTTGAAAATGTTTCCAGAATCTAATATCCATTGTTTAGAATGGGCCCGTGATAAGTTTGAATAGTACTTCTTTAGAAAACCATAAGCTTTGGTGTAATTTATAGATGATCGATTTCAATAATAATAAACTGTAGAAATGGTCATCAAAGTACTAAAAAAATATCCTACTACTTTTAAAGACTGTGTAATAATGGGAAGATTAAAATTTCAGAAACTATTCAATTAGGATATTATATCTTTGATGAATGCTTATCCCTTTAGTTCTCAAACTACAGGAGGTCAACATTTTTGGGCTCCTCCTAAGAGATTTCCTCAACCAATTGAATTTGGTGAAGAATTTACATTTAAATTTGTTGAAGATTTTGCTATATTAACAGCATAAATCTACAATATTGCAATTCCAAATTAATATCATTTGAATCTCATACTACAGAATGTTCAGATTCCAAAGATGGGCATAGAAAAGAATAAGATTCAATAGATAGTCGAGAGATAAGTTAAAAACAATGACTCGTAATAATAGATGGAAATTGAAGACAAAAATTATGACCAACTTATTTAAGAGGCTATAACATTATTATGTGAGGTTTAACCAAAAAAACCATAGCCTAAACAATTTGAAAAGGATGATGACTATAATCATCATGTATCCTTCATTACAACTGCCACTAATGCTAGAGCAATAAATTATGGTATCCAATAAGTCGATTGGATGTGGACCAAATTAAAAGCAGGAAGAGTAAGATAATATTTATAATCTTTTTTTCTAGATTATTCCAGCCATGGCAACCACAACCTCGTGTATTGCAGCCCTACAGACTTTGGAATTGATTAAAATACTATAGAAGTCTACTTAACATCGAAATACATACTTAAATGTTGCCATTCCATTTATGATGTAGAGTCAACCAGGAAAAGCATAATAAGTAATTAAATTATTTATTATTATTAGTATGAATTGAAAAGCGGATTAAGTATTTCAATCTGGAATAAATTGAATCTCAGGATTAAGAAATTGACTGAACCATTGTAATACATAGTGTATCAAATTGAAAAGATGATAGGAGAAGAGATAATTAGTCTCTAATAAGGGGCAAAAGAGTTCTATATGAAAAAAATGATACCTGAAGATGAGATTAAAAGATATGATTACATCAATTCTCCAATTAACAAATGCATATAGGTATATTTTAATAATAATTTAGTTTATTGATGATTCATCAAAAATAAATGGGTAAATAGGCAACAACAAATCGTTTGTAGTGCTAATCACTCTAGTGTGATTGTCAGATACTATGATTAATTGAGTTGTGATATATTCACTATTTTAATACATTTTTTGTATCTTCTAAATTGTAATGATGGTTAAACCAATTTTAGGAATTAGAGAAATTAAAGTAGAAGATAGAAATTTGCAATAATTATTTGGAGTAGTCTATAAAATATATAAATAAAATCAAATATAAAATCAATATAAATCTTATAATTAATATATATGTTTAGAAACAGGAAATACTTCTGTCAGTCCATTACATTTTATCAATAAGAACAACTGCTAAACAAAGTGTTGAAGGACTGCGAAGACTGCTTCAAACAATTGGATCAACATGGAAAATCTATAAAGAGAGATACAAAAGACATGTTCATTAAATTTACACAAGCAAAAGTATTGATTCATTTGAATCATTAGTTATAAGACCAAAAGAAATTATTAGAGACTGACTCTGTTGGTGTATTTCAAATGCTATTGGATATAATCGAAAATGTAGCACATGATAAACCTTTGATGACATATATATTGACCACCATTGATGCAATAATATCTGGTATAATTGTGTAATGAAATCGTAGAGAATCAGAGACTGTTCAAATAATTCATGCGAGCATTGACACCACAAGTTGTACCTAAATTGAAATAATTCTTGTTTCTTGACGGATATGACAAAGTGGTTTATGAAGCAGCAGCTAAGATAGTCACCATGATCATAGCTGAAGAAGGAGGAAATGATGCAAAAGAGTGGGTCATATTGTTTATTGGAGGAATAGGTATATTATATTATAAATCTAGGAAATAAACTAAAGATTTCAGATTAAATGATTATGCCAATATGTGTGCATTTTCTCAAACACGATTCATTAGCAATATAATTTATTAAGAGTGGTGGAGTAAAGATGTAACTATAATCATATATCTAAATATATAGAGTATCTAATCAATTGATCAAGTATCCAACAGACTTGCATATAGCTTATTACACAATTTTAGCGTTATGGTTATTGAGTTTCACTAGTGAATCAATTCCATTATTCAATGATCCATAACTTGGTTTGATCAGAATGATTATAGAATCAGTGTAAAAGATTTCAAGAGAAAAAATCTTAAGAGTTTCCTTTGCTTGTTTCAAGAATTTGGTTGATGTATCAGCTTAATGCATTGAATTGATGGTTGACAATGGATTAATCAAAGTGGTTGATTTATTGTTGAAAGGAAATCTCAAAGATTAAGATTTAATAGATGATATCAAATATGTTGGAGAGATATTGGAGAAGAATATGAAGATTTTAACGTATTATGATAGATTAAGAATATTAGTTCATTTGAAAAATACGTGAAGGAATTAAATGCTCAAAATTTGACTTGGAGTCCAGTACATACAGAGAAATTCTGGAAGGAGAATGTCAAGAAGTTCGAAGAGAATGATTTCTTACTTATTAGGTAATTGATGTGTGAGTAGAGTATAGGAAATTAGCAGAAATCTTAAAATCAAATAATAATTAAAATATTGCTGTGGCTTGTTATGATTTGGGAGAATTTTGTAGATTCCATCCATTTGGTAAAGTGTAATATAATTAAATATAAATTCATTAGTGTTTTAGAATAATTAAATGCAAAATAAGAAATTATGAAATAAGCAAGGAATGATGATTAGATGATTAGAGAGAATGCATTGTTGTCATTACAAAAAATCATGTTGCATAATTGGTAAGTTTGAGAGAACATTAATATATATATATATATTAAACAGTATATTCAAATATTAATTAATTTATAAATGTCTGAATAGTAATCAGGTTAAGTAATCAATTATTTGTGATTCTGTAGGATTAATTGGATGTAACAGCAATGATGGATGAGTTGTATGACAAATTAATTTTATTGAATTATGAACAAAGTTATTTAAAATAGAAGTAAGTCAAATTCTATATCTATTATTAGAGGTGGTAAACCTTTGAATAGAGCATATTTTGTAAATCAAACTAATTCTAGTGAATAATTCAATTAATTCAAAACGTAACTTTTGAATTGTATTTGAATAGATTAGTCAAATGGCTATTTCAATAAAGCGATGTACAGACCAGTGATTTTAACAAACTTGATGATCCTGTGACTTTATCTCAGAATATAAGTAATTTCTTTATACTTATGTAATAGTAAATGAATTGAAAAATATTGGGATCGAAGTTGACTTTCCTCCCCTTAAATTGAAATAAGGATTTGGAGAATATGTTGTTTACGTGTTGCTGTAATTAGCAACCAAAGCATTACAAAAAAAGAAATTCCAATACAAGAAAGCCAAAATTGAATAATAATCTTAAACGTAACCTACCATCCTAATCCATTAGAAGACAAGATGATGAACCAGTCTAAGAAACAGGAAGTGTGTCATCAGATTCAGATCCAGAGGTAGCATCAGAAGAAGAGCCTGAAGATGTATTTACTGAATAGGGGTTCCAAAAAGAGTAATATATTATTCAAATCTGAAAGCGAAGATAAAATGGTTATAGAATCCAATGTAAATCCAAAGGAATGGGCTAAGGAAGTTGAAAGAGCAGCTTAGAAGATTAAGATAGTTATCAAACCAGATGCTGGAGAATGGAGATAACATTTTGATGCCACCAAATAATACTCAAATTAAATTAAAACTATTCTCCCAGAAGCAAGAATCAAATTAGAGAGAATGAGTGACGAATTGGGAGAAATCTTAGATAGAATCACAAAAAGAGAATATAATATCAATGAGAATATGAGTGAAATGGTAAGCAATCTACTTAATTCTAGTGTGCTGAATTCAAAAAGAAAAATGAAGAATATAAAAAAATTGAACTCTAATATCAAAATTACACAAATGCCAAAAAAGAAATGACTGATTAATATAAACAAATATAAGAGAAATTTGAAACTGTTCAAAACAAATTGAATGAACATGGTAGTGTCTCCACCAATTAATCTCCAGTCATCAGTATCAAAGCTGGTCTCACTAAATTGAGAGTATTTCTATCATACTTACTATTTAATAGTTGGAAATCAAATAGATGGATCTAAGGATTGGAGTTCTATCTCACACAATCCTTCAAAGAACATTTCATGATGCCAAAGCTATTTAAGAAAGAGACTATCATGAACATGGACTCATTTTAAATGAGTCAGATGAATTAACAGATTGAAATATATATATTAATACACCAGTCATCTTATTAATAATTATATAAAATACCTAGTTGCACAAAGAAATGCAATATGATCTAGTTGCAACTTTTATTTAACAATTTTTACTTAATCTTTTATTTTGGCAAAAGTACACTCGAAGTTGCATAAGGTCCATTTGGAACTTCCATTCGATATATTCTCTTTTTAGAATCATTCATGTAAAAATGTAATATTTATCTTCTTTTTATTATTATTATAAAATTAAAGTTATTACATAAATAAACTTAGTATGAGAAAAGTTATCATTCGATTAAATCAAACCTGATACTACTTAGGAGATAACCAAAGAAGATGATTATTGAAGGAGGAAAAGAAATAACCAAAGCCCATTCAACTCCATAAAATAAACAAAGACTCTATAAAGCAGAAAGGCTATGGCTGAGTCTCCAGATAAGAAATTTCCAAGGACCTTCTTCACCCTCTTAAAGCCAAGGACAAAAAAATTTCAAACTAAAAGTGCAATAAAAAACTTAAACCATAACATGTTGAAGATAATGATGAAGGCTGGAAAGTAGTCTATAATAAAATCCAAGAAAAATGTTTAATAATAATAAGAACAAGCTAGATTATAAGCTATAAAAAGTTGATGCTGCTTAAAAAGCTAGAATTTCTGTTGCCTATTGCAATAAATACAGTAAATATCAATTTATAATTTTTAATTTAACAACAATTGTAATTTTTTTTTAATTACTCCTTTTATTGAAGGAATATTAGAGAAATCTAATTTCATATAGAATCATTTGGAACTTATTATCATTTCTTCTTCAATTTTTCTTATTATTACACCAAATCATAGCTTTTATTTTGTAATAACTTTTTTTAGGATTTATTTAGTAAATGTTACTTGAACTCAAAACTTCTTTGTGAATTTTGATCCTAACCCTCAACATGACAACTCTTTTTTTGCTTAAGAAATTAAATCAATTATGATCTTGTTGATCTGTTAGGAAATTGAAGTTTATTATTATTAGGTGATTATCCCTTAGATTAATTTAATGACAATTATTATTGAAAACTTGAATTATCATGTCTATTTTATTTAATATCAGACATTTCAGTTTTGATTTAATTTGATTTTTTTTTGCTTTGTTTTCTTAAGTATTATGATTCACTTGAATATTGCTTTTTGATGAATTCTGTTTATTAATAATTCTTTGGCTTATACTATGAAGTATTAATCTGATAAATTTTATTCATCAAATCCTTAAAAATCTTTGTGTTCGCAATATTATTAAGTGAATTCAAAAGGTGTTTCGGTGAATCCTTGTGTTCTTTTTACTTTTATTGAATTCGAGGGAACACATATTGTTTATTTGTTTCACTCTTTACAAACCTTTCCTCTATTGTTTATAATGATTTTAATTTAGAATTTTATAAGATCAATATCTCTTGAACCGGTTTTTAATAATTATTGATCATTTCTAGAAGTATCCTACTTTTAGATCCCTTTTTATCATTATTTTGCATAAATATAATAATGAATTTCAAATAATTTTTGTAATACGCTATTCAATTCTTTAATATATAAGCAGATCTATCCAAAATACAAATAGTTTTGCGAATATAGAATATAAAAAATAAGAATTCACTTTTAAGTTGTTAATTTGATATATGATTAAGTTAGGTTTCAATATATAATATAGGGTTATAATAATATTGTTATTCGCTTCAATTTAATTTTAAAATAAGGAGATACAAAATTAATCACTTTGACTATTTTATTTGACTAAAGAAAATGGATCTAGAATAATCAATTCACTTATTGATTACTTATATAACCAAGCTATTTGATTATTTTAGATTTAAACAAATATATTATCAAAGTGGTTATTATCAATTAAAACTATTTCTTTATTATTATTGTGTAGTTAAAAACAAAATTAATACAAAATCATTTCTTACGAGAAGTTTCAGACTGCATAGTTCCTTGCTTTCGGATCTGAGGACTAGGTTTTTATGGAGGTTATTGGGATTAAGCCTTTTTATTGGAGGGTGAAAAAGATTGTGTCAATTGCAATTCATTTGATGGTTTAATTAAACATCTTGGATGGTGTACCCAAAGTTAGTATAGTTATTCAAAGAAATCCTCATTTGATACTATTTCTTCTTATTTCTTATTTATCATTGATCTTTAATGAATGATTATCAATTACCAGATCTAATATGAATGACAACTAAATACCAAAAATACATCGATATTGTAGAATGGTTCAACAGTGTCTAGTCGATAACTAAATTTATTGATATTGTTCAAATAAAACTTAGAAAAGGAATTCCACTTCAGTCTCTCCTATTATTAGAGGAATACAATAGTTAGGTATGTGAATTGTATCAGTTTGATGTTGGATTGAGAGGATGATTCTACATATTCATATAATTATTGAGGCAAGATGGTTGAATAACTACAGTTATAGAACATAATTAGAATACTTTGCTAAATTAATTTCTAATTCAAAATCGATTGAACTTGATTATTTGAGAAATAAACTGGATCTTTATTAATTTTAATTAGGGGATGTTTACTACAAAAAGGTTAGTTCTATAATTTTGATATATTTGAGTGTTTCTTCAATGACTTTGTGAGATAGAGGATAGGATGCATTAATCCCCAGTATTTATTGGCACACATTGATATAAAAGTCAATATTGTTATTTTGATTTAATTTATTCAACAATTCAATTCTACTGTTGACAAACTGCTATTCATCAGCATGTATCCATAACGAGAAGAGTTCAGGCCCTGATTGTGAGGAATAAAAGTTGAGATTTTGGAATAGAAACTACAGGAAATCACCTGCTAATTATTTCTTGTTCAGTTGATCAACATGATAAAACTCTATTTCAATTTAGGATATTAATGGATTGACCATCAATTCAATGCAAGGTTTTTAATCTTTAAAATGAATGTTCAATTGCTCATATTTTTATTGTACAAATGATTTTGGCATTATGGGTTTGATTGTCAATAACTTAGCCAATTACTTAATAGAAGTTGATGCTTATTAATGAGATTCATATATTTCCTTATTGAATCTCATGAAGTTTAGGTCCATTTCATGTAATTTTTGATTGATATTTTAGAGATCCCCCTTGGCATGTTCAATATTGCTAAGTTCGTTCATTTGATCTTCTAAATTGTTATATTGTTGACACATCTTGTTGTTCTCTTCTCTTAATACCATATTCTTCTTTTATTCAATAACAAGTTTTAATTAATATGCTCGTAATTGCATTTGATACTTTTCTTCCAATTATTTATATTCACTTTTCATTTATTCCAATCTATCCTTATAACCTTCTATCTATTCGTCAACTAGTGATTGAAAACGATCTTATTGCCATTGAGTATTCAAATCTAAGATTATCACTATGGCTTTCCAAATTTATTCAATAAATATTGCAATAGCTTTGTCATCAATGGTCTTTAATATGCTCGATACAATTTCATTAAGTATTTCAATGCATTTAATTAAAACATCAAATCTAAAATGATGTTTAGGATGTTATTTATTAAGATCTGAGTTATCCAATTATTATTTTTTATCGAAGAGATCCTGAATGATAGTTTGATCTAAGTTTATTAGAGTCTCATACATACGAAACAACAATTTAGGATCTTTAATCTAAAATGAATATTATTAAGGAAGTTCTTAAACTTAGATAAAATTATACTATAAATATTTCCTTACCTCTCCAGACACAAGTTTTAAAGTGGAAACAACATTCTAATGATTGTTGATTAAGTAACCTTCTTCTAAGTATTTCTCAATTATCTTTAATGGAACATTAGACTTCTCTGGTATAACCGGTATAACAGATTCTAAGATGAATCCTAAGGGACTTTGATTGAAAGTTTTGTAGTTCGATTTAGATCTGGACTGTGAACTGGTTATTCTGCTTACTGAAGGTTTTATGGAGGATGAAATAACCCTTCTGTGAGCAGATACACTGTGTATATTATGTTTATGCATTTTAGATCAAGTAATTTAATTAATAAATAAATCCATTAAAAAAATGTTATAAGTTCTGTTATAAATTCCTTAAATAAAACCCATTTCAATTCACCATCAATTGATTCCATTCCATTTCAGTAAGTAATATTATCATCTGCTAATCATAGTAGGAGTAGAATAAAAATAAAAAAATAATAATAATAATAAAATTATTTTATAAATTCGGAGTAGTTTATATGAAATCAAACATTCAGTCATATGGATTTCAAATTAGTATTATCCACTTTTAAAATGAAAAATTATACGAGTACAAACCGAACAACAAAAATATAGCACAGGAATTTTTGATGTGTGACTTATTCATATAATCCCCTTATTTGCGACAACATACGAAAATGATGAATAAGGAGAAATACCTATTCAAATTTGAGACGGATAAATTACTTTCCTCTCTTGAAACATAGGATGAACAATTATTGGTAAAGATAGCACGTATTTTAAATCATTAATAACCATAGGGTAGTTATTAGAAGCAGTTTAGACGTTACATATACACAACATCCCAGGGAGATGTTTCAATATTAATAATATTTTGTGGAATGAAACCTAACAAAAAATCACTCTAATGGAATTTGGCTTATCTTCTCCACTAATAATATACCCCCCTGAATTGCTCAATAAAAAATACCGATGTTATGGAATTGAAATTGATTCATTCTTGATTGGGTGTACACTTTACCAATTGTATTTTCGAAAACCTTTAGAACTACAAGAATAACTATTAGATATGAATTTTCGTGATTTAAATATGGAATTATCTAAAATTCAATCGCCACTCATTAGAGAACTCTTGATTGGACTACTTCAATTTAACTTATCCAAAAGAATTTAATTTAAAGATCTGGCCAGACTCCTTAAGAGCAATCAGGTTATATAAGAATTTTATTCTTAAATTAAAATATTCAAACCAAAATAGAATATAATTGATTAGAAGATTTTCTTCAGAGAATCAAGATAAGACGCGAGTAGTCCCACTTACATTATTACTGATACTGCCTTATTAGAGTCTTTGATTATGCTACCTGATTAGTCTTAAAGCACTTTACAATCAACGTAAGAGCCCTTAAAACAAGTAAAGAAATTTTCAATTGTTGAAGACACTTTGATGTAGTACCAATTCAAATTAGAGGTAAGTAAATTTTAATGTTTTGATGAAGTTATTAGTATTCTGAAGGATTATAATCAAGACATAGCACCTGAACTAGGTTTAACAATATTGGCACTAAATTTTGGAAAAATTTTTTTTCACTTACTTTTAATTAGAGAACTAGAAATTGAAAATTCTACTTACTTCTCTAAAGATGATCTAGAAATGAAGTTATGGAAATCATATAAAACTTTTAATTCCTAAGTAATAAACAATGAAATTGGAAAATTAAAAAACAATGCAAATATGTTGAAAATTTCATTTAATAGAGAATAATAAATAAAATGCGTATAATTACAGATTACTAAGAATGAAATAGAAAATTAAGATTTTCTGTAATCATAGTTATTTAAACTTTAATACTTCAATAATTCTTTGAGTAATTAGGAACAATCAAATAAATTTCTTGATGCATATCGAGTTTAATGTCTAATTCAATTGCAAATAATAAATGATAATCTTGATTTTACGATGAATATCCAAACCGCTCAAAAACTAAGGTAGGGTTTGATTTTATGTACATTTGCAGATATCCTCTTTAAACCAAAACTTGAATGTCATAAATATGTTTTGGAAACCTTGAAAATCTAAGAGATTTCTCATTATCAGCAATTTATTGAATACATTAAACTAGATACCTCCTCATTCAACGAATGGTTCTAATAGGTGATTAATTACTTGATGAATCACGAATTAGGTAGATAATATATCAACTATTTGAATTAATTAATATGATTAATAAATAATTATAATTTTTGAGACCTCTTGCTTCTATTGATTGGAACTATATTAAAATTATCATATCTCAATTTAAATAATGAATATTAATCAAATTGGGGAATCATCCAGAATAAAGTCTTCTGCTTTTGATATAAGAGAAGTATCCATTTAAGGTCAAAAATATTTTGCCTATTACAAGAAGAATACGATGAATCAAGAATTAGATAAATATCTGGCTCTTGATTTGGGCTTAATCCATAATTGCAAGTTTCTCAGAAAATACAAAATGAGTGCAGACGGACATAATTACAAAGCCTTTGAATATGTGGGTGAATACTAAATATTAAGAGATCTCATTAAACCCAAAGAAGAAACAATATTGAAAATTGTTTCTGATTTAGTATCTGCTTTAATGATTTTACATTCTAATTCACTCCTTGGTAGATGTTTCAATATTGATAATATTATTTTGATTAATGGAACAACCCCAATATTAATGGAATTTGGATACTATCCCAAAATGGATTACAAAGCGCCTGAATAAGTAATTAACACTCAATTGAATGAGAAGATAGACGCATTCTTGTTAGGTAGAGTGATCTATTATCTAACTGTTGGTAAGGAGTTGCCAACTTACACTCTTACTAATTTCAGGAATATGGAAGATATAATTAATCTTGCCATTGCAGAAACAAACTACTCTTAAAATTTAAAATTATTTATATAGGGACTACTTTAGAAAAATAGAAATTCAAGAATAGATTATATTAAATTGGCTCAAAAGTTTGAAACTTCAAACAGTTCAAAATTGTTGAACTTTTATTAAAATGAATTTTAGAAATGCAGTATAAAAATCAATGAGCAATTATAAACAAGATAAGAATATGATGTTGAGATTTAAGACAGCTATTCATTTGATATTATCAAAATTCGAAATATAGGACCTTATGTTCCATCAAATTAATAGCCTAATATTTCAGTAACTAATATACATCCACCAGATTCCCCATCCTTTTCAAGCGATGAAGACAATCTCTCTCCTCCTATTATAAAGTCATAGTACCCAATAAATTATAGTTTTGAGGTGGATTCAGAAGAAATTAATAGAGAGTTATAAAATATTCTACCTTTTTATATTGATTCTTTTGATAAATAATCAATCTGGAATAATATATTTTTTTCTTTATATCGTTTTGGTTTGGTGAAAAAATTGAATGAGATGATCCAAAATTTTAAAAAATTAAGTGATGATTTAACATTATGGAAGACCAGCTTTGCTTTAAGTAAAATACATATAGTTCTACAACAAGAATTTGTTAATAACTTAAATTAGGACAAGAATATATTTAGCATAAGCTAAGACGATTGGGTTGAGTTTATTACCAAGAATAAAGACTATAAAAAAATGAAACACAAATTACAACATGAGTTGTAATAGGAACAGAAACTCTTCATTGGTTTGACATTCTCTTAATTATACAAAGGATATTCGATATTTAGATAAAACCCACCATAAAATGATCATTTTTTAAACAATGTAATTATAATACTAAAATAAATAGAATTTGAAATACGACACCTTTGAAGAATATAAATTAGCATATAGAGGGATTTTAAGTGAGTCTGTAGCATTTTTTGAAAGATGTTAGGGAAAAGAATGTTCTATAATTAAATTATTTCTTCTGTTATGCCTGAAAATAAACAATATATGTGACGTAGACACAATTTAAGAAAATTTTTAATATGTAGCACAGGTCTTAAAAATATCATAAGTTAGTTCTATTAAAGAAATAGAATATTTTTTCAAAAATAAAAGTGAACCTCATTTTGATGAATTTTATAACATAATAAAAAGTAAATTCTTTGCTCAAAATCAATAATGAATTATTAAATAATCTATTTGTCATTTAATTTCATTAATATTTATTCTTATGTTTCATTTATTTAGGTTGAGCTACTTATTTAATATTAATAGAACATTTCTTTCTTGTTATTTATATTTAATAGCCATATCTTTATAACTATTTCTTTAAAGTATTGAAAATTGTAAGTATTACAAGTATATCTGTTCGATGAGTTCTGAGATAATAATTTATATAATAAAAATAACTTAATTATAAAATTCATTGAGTACATTATAAATTTTGATTTTTGGGCGATGTCACAATGTTTGAATCTCCTTATAATCCTAACTAAAATGTATGACATTTTGAAGGTAGAGGTGGTTCCTATGCATGTAGAGATTATTTATCCGATATTTTATCTTAATTTTCAGATTCTTTATCTGGTTCAATTTCCATCTCCTATTTAATCACCATATCCTTTTCATTTATTTAATCTTCTTTGGCAACTATTTATTCAACATTATTAGGCAATTCTAATAAGTGACTATTTTGAGGACAGTGATTCTGATTTTCATTATTAATATTATCATCATCATCAGAACTTTCATTTAACTAAGGTTCTGAATCTTCTACTATCACTTGATTATATATCTATTTGTCTTTCAAGTCATCCAAATCTTTTGGTTTTGACAATGACTGAATCTATTGTTTTTTATCTTAATCATTTCCAGGAGTAGTAGGTTTAGAGGTAAATAAACTAGGAATTTATGTAAATTATTGCTAGGTCTATTAGTTGTTTTTCTTATCATCTTCTTATTTATTAGAGAAATAGTTAGGATTGGATTTCTTTGTATCTCCAGTCTTTAAGGATAATTGTGATTTTAAATCGAAACGCTTTGATGTTGATAACAATTATCCATAACCTGTGCCGCTCTCATTTTGTATCTATTTATTTTGTACATTCTGTGTTTTGATCATCTTATCCTTAGATTCTTTTTTGGCTTTGATATATTCATAGGTAGATATATTATTCCATCTAGTTTTAATGATATTTGATTACTTGAAGTATAAGTGCATAGATAATAAATATGCCAACACAATAAATACCGGAGGGTCTACTGCTATACAAATATACACTAAAATCTCGAAATCAGTATGCAGAACAAGCAATTTTACATCTTAACCAATTCTAAATATCTTGAGTGCAACTAATGACAATACTAAGACAAAGAAGTAGGAATAATTCTTGTCTCCAATACAATTATTCAACCAAATACAATGATGATCAAATGTTGATACACATCTAATTACTACTATTAAATACTTATTACAACTCCAACAGTGTTTAGTTTTCTCTTGAACATGTGCTGAGCATACCAAACAATATGATTTAATGCCAGTCTTAAATTCTTTTCTTAGAATAGCAATATTTAATAATACCCTTGTAGTTTTGATAGTTGTTCCTCCTTGACTACAGAGTCAATAGGATCTATTAATGTGGCTCTGAGACAAGAATAAATAATGCAAGTAACTACTGCTGTGAGAAGTATTAATTGGAGTTCCTGAATGAAAACATCAATACCTTCATTCCAGTTTCTTCAAAATAAAAGGCAAAAAAGTATGCCACAATTATATCATATAGAGTGTATATCCAACTTAGTGATTGGTAAGCGTTGACTCCATTAATCAATCCATTTCTGCGGACTGGCCTGAGACGCCCTTGCTTTATATCAACGTCCATTATTAATATTTAAAATATGCATATGAATCATAATTTATTGAGCAAGTAAATCTTAAGTGTAATCTCATCTAATTAAACCCCTCTACATCAGCCTCTTGCATTACAATAATAATCTTTGAAAGCTACATAACTAATAGTACTCTTATAATCAGACTTAATTTAAATTAATAATTCGCTTATTATAGTGATAAATAATTTTTTGATAGAATAATTGAAGCTGATTAAATTATCATACAAAAAACATTGAAAGTCTATTGCTTTATATTTATATTATGATAAAGGACTCATTAAACCAAATATGTTGCCATGCTTCCAGTTGCACCTGTGCAGAATCCTTATGAAACATATTTTAAAAGTCCTTGAGGAAGATGAGCTACCAGTCCAGTTGATTAAAACATTCCTTGAATAGTTTTATTATGTCCAACTGGTAAGTTCGCAACAGGTTTCCAATTATTTGACATATTTGATACAGGAGTAGCTATTGTTCCAGTTTCTGGCATATTATGAACTAGATAGCTTCCACTATTATTGACAACAACAATTCCCCAATGTCCAAAAACATCGAAAGATGATGATTCTTTCGGTCTTGTATAGATAATAGCTGATTGAATTGTATCAAGGAGGTATGGCATATGTTTAAAAAATTATTATCATAAAAAAGTATGACGAAAGATTTTAATACACGAATTAAGGAATACTCAATTAATTATTCAGTTAAATTTTTTGTCAACAAGATACTTTTAATATTTATTACTAGATTCGATATTCTTCTACATAATCCTCTAAAAGATGAAGACTTCATCTTCATAATATTGCAATGTCAACCTTTATTACTAAAAGTCTCACTTACTTGTGTAACTCAAGACATGGACAAAAAATTATTTAGACAACTCCTGTAGCTTAACTAATAACCCTATTTCATGAGTAGTAAACTCTAGATATGATTATTATAAAAATAAGTTAATCATTTTTTGCATATGCAATCAAATATATATCGAATAATAATATAGAAAACGAAAAGGTGCATCCTTAATGACTTTATATTGACAATTAAAAATAATCCATCTAATTTAATGACTACTTTATTACCAAATGTATCCTCATTAATTTATAATCCTTTCTATAAACCGGAATATGGCCTAAATGAGCGAATTCTTTGATAGATAACATATCAGCATTGCAATTTAAATTATAGATATTAAAATAATGTATAAAATATATTTATAGAATTGATAATGAAAATAGCATAGTTATCTTCATAAGGCTATATTTATTTGTTATTTGATACTATGTAGCAATTTCTTAACTTTAGAATTATGATTAGCCATGGTTTTATTTATTTAGATATTTCTTATTAATTATATTATTTTGTGTAGATGATAATAATTATATAAAGTAAAAGTGTAATAATATTAATTATTAATATGGATCACATGGAGTAATTGTGTTAGTCTGAATAATAGAAACCTCAATACCAATAACTTGTATTGCCAATTTACTAATAATAACTGTTCGTTTCTCACGGACCCAAATTGGGAAGGAGTGTACAACTTAAATGCAAGGGTTTCGATTAAGTTGATTCTCATTAATCTGGCGATCCAAATTATCATCAAATTTCATAGAATCAGTAATCCTTTAATGGCAAAACAGTTCATTCCTAAATGCAGTCCATGGTATCTCAAGAAATAAAAACTGAAGGTTTAAAAGTTTTGGTAACTGAGGAAGCAAGATAAAAAAAAGTAATCTTAAGAGGAGATTCTGGGGTATCCTGGTAATCAGAAGTTAGGCTCGAGATTAAACCTGAAGAATAATCAAAAGAATCAAAAGATTTATAAGAATGCCAAATCTGCTATGTTGATAAACCAAAAGAATTATTTATAGCCCCACTGAATTGCAAACATGAATTCTGCAGTGATTGTCTCTCTTAACATTTAACTTAAAACATTTTGAAGGGCAACGTTCTAAGTATCACTTGTCCACAATCTTTGTGTACTGTTGCATTTAATGATGAACAAATTAAAGCTCTAGTTTAGGAGAAGATATATGAGAAATATAAGAGATTCTATAACAGACAAGTAATTAGTTAGAACAAAAATGTGAGATGGTGTCCAAAGCCAGTAATATATATATTTTTATAATAGGATTGTGAAAATTATGTAATAGGAAATGGAAATGATTTACTTACTTGCATTTGTGGATAACCAATATGTTTTCAATGCGGGAATCAATATCATAAAGGCATGAATTGCATTTAAGCAATGGATGCTCAATATTTGTAAGCCAGAAAAGATAATCTAATATTTGATTGTCCCAGTTGCAAAGCTCCTATCCAAAAAAAAGGAGGGTGTAATCATATGACCTGTTACAAATGCAAATATTAATTCTGTTGGCTCTGCAGAGGCAAGTATTCCTCGTATCACTATGTAATTTTCAACGTTTTTGGATGTGTCTGTATTTAATCATTTCAATCATAGTCCCTGGTGGGTAGGGATCCAATCTCTAACCATTCAAAAATCCTATGTTGTTAAGAGTTATGATGATCATTCCAAAAATCTTACTTACTATTGTCCTCGTTTCAGTATTATTAGCTCTTTTGCCATTCTTCCTCTTATATTTAATAGTTGCAGCTCCTTATGAACTTTCCAGAAGACTATGTGGATTTAGATTAAGAAGATATAGACTATGGGGTAAAATAGGTTTTGGAATACTTTACTTTTTTTTGGGAGTTTTATTATCCCCTTTAACAGTTGCCATAGCCATACTGGTCAGCCCGTGTTTTTTGATATTTTATTTGTTGGATAATATCTGATTTATTATACTAATTTTATATATTTTTTATTAGCATCTTCCTATATAATTATTAATCATTAAATTTCCTTAAGATGAATAAATATTTCGTTAACTCTTATACATTCCATCTGACATTTCTCGCATTTTGTTTTATCTTCATCTTATTTTTCTCTGCATTTTGGACATATTTTCACTCCTTGACCTTTTTTCTCAAAAAAAATGTAATTTGTTTAGCAATTCAAACATTTCTCATTTTCTAAGGATTCTCTGGGGGTCATACAGGCCAAACAATGTTTCAAATAGTCTATATTTAAAATTTTAGGATTGATAACCTTAATTCATAATTGGATCAAAAAGTTTGAAATCAATTAACAGTTGTAATTCATCCATTGATCCAATATATACTTTATGAATGAATATAAAAGGCAAAGGGTCTTAATTTAATCTTTATTGTTTCACCCATTATTAACACATTGGATTATCACACAAATTAAATCCAAAAGATTTTAACTTCTTGTTCTTTATAAAAGTGAGTAACCTAAATTATATCCAAGTATATAACCTTTAAGTAGATGTTGTTGCTTTCATATTGAAGCTGATGCTCGAATAATAGAAATGAAATTTCTCCCTTAGAGAAGGAACAACTTGTCTGGCAGCCTTAATATGCTTTCTTAACCTCCAAAACTTTTAAATCATCATCGCATTAATTTCTTATTCCTATTTATTATTGAATTATACTATTTCTTGATCTTAATCCATTGATATAATAATATAAAAAAACAATAATATTTAATATCAATTCATGATTTTTGTAGTGCCTTAAACATATTACTAATATCAACAGAGTAAGTAGTATTACTAGATTTTGGAATAAACGGATGATTCATTAATTTTATAACATTCCATCTCTTATGGGGTTCTTATCTATTATAATTTTACTTTTCAATTACTAAAAACAATGAGATAGAAATTCTTTTATCTAAGAGCTTAAGTTTGGTGGAAAGGCTGGAGGCTATCCTTTCATGATCTCCATAATAATTTGGTATTAATTCTTTGTCTCATCTGACCAAGGAGGTTTGCCAGTGAGCATCTCAATAATTGTGCATCCCAAAGACCAGATGTCTGCAAATCTCCCATGCCCCTTTCCACTAATTACTTCAGGTGCCATCCAATTAGGAGTTCCTGTAAATGTCTTGCATTCCTCTTTGGCAAATGATAACCTTTTGCTTGAGCCAAAATCAGCCAATTTACAAACTCCAGCTCCATCTACAAGAATGTTCGCTCCTTTAATATCTCTATGAATAATTCCATTTTTATGTAAATACTCAATTCCAGAGAGTATTTATTTAGTGTAGATTTGGACTAGATTCTCCGGGAATTTGCCATACCTTTCCAATAATGATTTAATTGATCCTCCGGACACATGTTCAAGAAACAAATTAATATGACTTTAAGTTTGTTCCATTCCTAAATACTTTACAATATTTGGATGATCTAATTTTGATAGTACTCTTATTTCCTATTCAAATTAATCAATTTTCTAACTACTTCAAGATTCAATATATACAGCTTAAATTTGTTTTGGGTTGAATCCTTTAATTGACAATTATTTCACAGCTATAAATTATCCCTATTCGACATCCTTGGCTAATTCAACAGAACCAAATGAACCAGAACCTAAATACTAATTTAGTGACTGCCATCTTTGATAATCATTTTAATTTTACTTAATACATTTATTTCCTATTTTTTAAACTTTAAATTCTTTATTTTCTAATTCTTTCAGCTCACCATCATCAAAATATTTATCATTATTATCCTTTACTTCTGTATGATTTTCATCTATTAAGTATGGATTGGGCACATCAGCCAATGTGCTAGGTGGACTTTTTTTATTTGTACAAACTACCGATCCCATATTTAATATAAATTTTTATATATAATCAATTGAAATTCTCATTTTTTATGAGACACTTTATTAAATTAAGATTAATCAATATCAATTTTGTGTTTTTTTAATGTACTATCTATCCATTCAATTAACTTTCCGATAGATTCATCTTAATCCTTTGGATCAATATCCATCCATAATTCAATTCTTATTCTATTTCCTTATTTGGCATTAATTTTATCTAAAACTCTCAATCCATTAATCTAAAAAAATAGATTTAGTTTACATGTCTTAATTCCTCTGTAGCTTATCCTATAATTTGCAAGAGAATATCCAAATATATCTAATCATACATTGCATAATATTGTGTTGAAATGTCAAATTGAATCTCTCCACCATTTTTATTATTTTCATCCTCCCACCAAGGTTTGATGTCATTTTTAAAAAATTATATTGCTTCAATTTAAGCATCTACATTTTCGTCATTAAATTATTTAAATCTATCTTATTAGACTCTAATACATCTTGCATTTTTAAGGTTCACTTAAAATATCTGATAATTTTGAATATATAGTCTTTTTCGTCAGAAATCCTAACTCCTCAACTGTCGAAAAAGAACAGATATCCACAATAGTTCTCTTATAATCTATGTTTTGACTGGCATTGTATTTCTCTGATATTGTCCATTTGCTACTCAATTTATGAAATTTATCACCCATTAATATAATTTATATATATCAATTTATTACAAGACAATTAATAATAGTTTTCGGATCCAAAATACTTCAACTAATAATATAAACAGATTCCTTGTGCACCCTTGCTTAATCCATCAACCATAAGTCCTTGAATTCTTCTAATTATAAATAAGGTATATTAATTTATTTTTAAATCAAATATCTATCGTAATTGCCTAAATATCCTGAGTAATTACTAAGGTATATCAGTGATATTCTATATGCAATTGATATTTAAATGAAACATATTTGTTTAATTTCACCTTTTTTCAACAAAATAATCATTATTTCAATTTTATCATGAGTGCCAAGTACAAGTAGATAAATCATCTATAAACTCTATCTCTACTATTGAGAATCTCTAAAATATTTAAAATTCTATTAATTTCAACCATTTGGATAATGGCTCAACATAAAATTCAATACTTAAATTCATAAATAATCATAAACTACTTTCATATTGATTAAATATTAGGGTTTCCATTTCATCATAAATAACGTTTTTGCGTTTTCGGCAAATTCAAGCTTTTAAAGAATTAAGTTAATTCCTGAATTCAGACATACAATTCTTAATTGGCCCTTGAAATTACTCATTTTACTATCAAAATATCTTTAACTGCATTATAACTTAATAAGGATGAATTAATATGTTTTAGATGGACTAAATACTTTGTTCTATTTTAACTATGGCATGCAGTTTAAAACTTAATTTCATTATTTAAGGGTTAGCCATATAATGATTTCTGTTAAATGACTCTTTTAATTCAGATGTTTCATTTGCAAATAACTGCACTAAACTCTACCCATTATAATTAAATATTATATGAAAATTTTTAATAATTCTATCAACATCTATATATAATACTTTAGAGATGAAGTCATAGCATTGTTTCAAAAACAAAAAATTCAATATAAGGTAATTTCTTGTATTAATTTACTTATATAAACCTAATATTAAAAAAAAAAAATAATACATTTTTTGTATTGACATTAAATTAATATAATATAATTGAATAAAATAAGGTTACAAAAAAAATATTAATATAAATATTATTGATCGCAATTACTTTTTATTCCGAAATAGAGTTATAAGCAATGGTGAACAACTTTGAAGAAAATTTTTCTTATTATTTAGATAGACCCAAAATTTAAATTAGCAACTTGTACTGAAATTTAAATGATAATTAGTTCAACTAGATTAATTCTTAATTAGAAAATTAACTTTCTAATATAATCAAGAGAGATTATGAATAATACTTAAAGAAGAGATTATAGAGAAAAGATTTAGTTTCTTGGTCTATCGGATCCTTTTTTTTAATAGTCTTACAGAAGTTTATTCAAAGATAATTTGATGATCCATAACCAACTTAGGTGATTATTGTAAAGAATTAATCTAGAGATGCACTTAGAAAGAAATTATAAGATTAGCTAAAAGTAATTCTTGATCTCTAATTTTTATAAGTATAGTTATACAAATATCAGAATTCCAGGTTTGGTTCTATTAAGAAAGATGAATTATTTTTTATATATTTTTTTTCACGCAATGAGCTAATCATTGAATATTTTTAGATTACTTACTTAAACAAATGGTAAATCTTCTAAGTTTGATATTTGATTTTGCTAATATATAATATGCTGAACAATCCAATATTTGAAAATAAAAAGAGAATCCCATGGTCAGATCGAGTATGAGTATTTTCTATATAAGGAGGATTCCCTTTTGTAATCTTATGTTGAAATGTATGCAAATAAAGAATAAGGTTGGAAATAAATCTCTGAATTGCTTCTGCAATAAGGCTATGAAAGGAATCCTAAGGATTGCAGAGAAAGATATTCAAATTATCTTGACTTGAAATTCAATAAAACCAAATTAAAAAACCAAGAGATTGATGAGCTTTTTGAACTCATTATGAAGTATGGGAATAAATGGGTATTAATTCATTATTAACAGACTTAAATTGCTGAAAGGCTTAATAATAGAACTGATTAGGATGTCAAGAATTAATTTTATGCCATTGTTAAGAAAGTATTTAGAAGATTATTGAAAGCAACTTTACCGAAAGATCAAAAGAATAAATGTTTAATCATTAGTAATATTAGGTTCAAAAATAACAGCTTCTTTACGTCCTGCCCTTATTTCCAATATATTTTCTTATAATTAAGACATTTCTCCTAAATATTTCATAATATCCAAAAAAATTAAAGACCTTTTCAAAAATTTAATTCTTGAAAATAGATCAATTAAGCTGGGTGACGAATTAAATGAAACTGAAAAAAAAAGAGTATATAAAGTATTAGATTATTTGGAGAAATAGAAGTAATTTTGTTGTCTAATTTTAAGTTAATAATATCTATAATAAACAAACTAAAGAAAAATAAGTTAAAGAAAAGTCATTAAATAAAAAAATAAGAATAGGCTTAAGTCCCACCGCAATCAGAATCATCAAACAAAAATAATATAACGAATCTTAAGTAATCAATAAATTTTTGATTATAATCTCTAAGCCTTTTTTCCTAATTAAAATGCTATAAAGGAACAGGAGTTTATATTGAAACTAGATGAAGATAATGGGCAACCTTAAAAAATCATCTCCAGACCCCCATTTTATCTATGTTATTGCAATAAATTGTATTCAAATAATTTAAATTTTTCATCAAATTATTCTCCATTATATGAACAATTTTAAGACACAAGTAACTTAAATATATGATGGAATGTTTGAAATATTATATGATAAAATATTAAAGTTAATATATTAATTGAGATTTGTTGATTAATTTCTTCATTAATTCATTTTTGGTTATAAATATTTATTGAAATATATCAACTTAATTTATACTTTATAATACTCTTTTTATTCACAATAAGATTACTTAATTTATGTTTATAAAATATTCTTATTATTGAGATATATATACTTAATTTATGTTTTATAANTAAAGTATTAGATTATTTGGAGAAATAGAAGTAATTTTGTTGTCTAATTTTAAGTTAATAATATCTATAATAAACAAACTAAAGAAAAATAAGTTAAAGAAAAGTCATTAAATAAAAAAATAAGAATAGGCTTAAGTCCCACCGCAATCAGAATCATCAAACAAAAATAATATAACGAATCTTAAGTAATCAATAAATTTTTGATTATAATCTCTAAGCCTTTTTTCCTAATTAAAATGCTATAAAGGAACAGGAGTTTATATTGAAACTAGATGAAGATAATGGGCAACCTTAAAAAATCATCTCCAGACCCCCATTTTATCTATGTTATTGCAATAAATTGTATTCAAATAATTTAAATTTTTCATCAAATTATTCTCCATTATATGAACAATTTTAAGACACAAGTAACTTAAATATATGATGGAATGTTTGAAATATTATATGATAAAATATTAAAGTTAATATATTAATTGAGATTTGTTGATTAATTTCTTCATTAATTCATTTTTGGTTATAAATATTTATTGAAATATATCAACTTAATTTATACTTTATAATACTCTTTTTATTCTTAATATTTAAATATGATTACTTAATTATGTTATAAAATATTATTATTATTTCAATACAATTACTTAAATATGTTGATAAAATATTCTTATTATTTATATACGATTACTTAATTTATGTTATAAAATATTCTTATTATTTCAATACAATTACTTAATTTTTGTTTTTATTATGAATATTTTTATTATTTAATTATTATTGCTCAATTTGTGTTTATCTAAAATTCTTCATATTTAATTATGATTGCTAAATTATGTTTATACATTATTCTTATTATTTAATAATGATTACCTATTTTATGTTTTTTTAATATTTTCTTATTTGAATATAATTACTTCTTTTATGTTTATAAAATATTCATATATATATCTATATATATCATTTCTAAATATGTGTTTTTCTAATATTCTTATTATTTACATTTGATTATTTATTTTATTAGGTTAAATTTAAAATTTATTTTTTTTAAACACTATATTAATGTTTATAATGCTAAATTTGTTTTCTGCTAATAATTATTTTTTTGTGTTTTTCATTTTTTTTTTTATATTAATTCAATATTCTCTTTTTCAAAATGGCTTATTGAAAATGAACATCATAAATATTATATATTTCATGATAAATGAATACATTTTACCACTTAAATGTTCAAGTAAATATATTTTTATTGATATTTTTATTATTCTTAACATATTTAATTTATTTAAACTATACTTGTCGTTTGGTTACCACCGATCCTAAAATTTTACACTAATACTCCACTTTTTTATTAGATATCCAATTTCTATAATATTCATTACTATTAAATTTATTTTCATTTTTTCTGGGTAATAGACTTGAGAATATCTGCTCTATTTAATGTCAATTAAATTTTTTATACCAAATTATAATTACTCTGCAAAGATTCCAATAATTTCTTTGCTAATTACATATAATTTAGAGTTAAAGTCCAAAATTAAAATAATTGAACAGTAAATATCTATTTAAATGAAAGCAATAATTATGGCAGAGCTAGAGAATTGAAATGTTATTATTTTATTAAAATATACTGCAATTTCTTAAGCTGCCTTGTGTTTGAAAAGACGCGTAACATTTTTTACTCTAATAATTTAAGATCTATGGTTTACATAATACTAGACTACTACCCCTACAACATGATATACACATTTGATTTTTCTTTATTGATTTTGATACCATTCCTTAATGAAAATTTATACAAAATGATTCGAATGGAAGCATTTATATTTTTCTGTAGTATTATGCACTACTTGAATTTCTAAATAAAGAAATTAAACAACCTTTTGTTTAGACGCTGAGAACAAATGTGGTATATTGTGCTTTGCTTTAATTCTAAGAAAAAGTTATGAATTTGGATTCAATTTATTCATATTTTTTCTAAAAAAGAATTTTTTACCTTAGATTTGATAATTCAAAAGTGGAAATTTTGTTTAAATCAAATAAAATCATAAGAGCAGAGAATAATACATAAAATGGAAATAAATTACAAAGTGAATATATAATAATATTTGTAAATTTTCCAAATTCATTAATTTCTGATATTCAATAAGTTATTGTCTTTATAAATAATTGTATAAATAATAGAATTTAAATTTAATTTAAATACTATTCATAAAATATTTACATAATGATTGCTGGAGCGGAAGGTGAGGAGAAAAAAATATGTTCTTTTGATTAAAAATCTTAATTTAAATAATTAATTGGTGATTAGTTTGCAGATTAAGTTGAAAGAGCAACAAAAATATGCTTATCTAAAGAATAAATAGATAATGAAATGGTAATCTATAAAGTGCCAAGGTTTTCTGAAATTAATAAAAATCACTACAATAATCGATCAAATGGAGATTCATCTCAAATTACCGCACTTATTTTACACTACACAGTCACAAACTTTTATAACACTCTAGATTTATTTACTAGAGATACAGAAGTCAACCCTGTCAGTTCAACATATATTATAACTTAATATGAGTCATAAAATCAAATTCCGAGTGGAAAAGTAATTTAAGTAGTACCTGAAGAGAAGAAGGCATGGCATGCAGGGATCAGCCGATGGCAAAATATGGTGAATTTAAATGATAATTCTATTGGGATAGAGCTTGTAAGTGAAGGAGTTAATTAATAAGGTTAATTCGTTCCTTTTGATAATGAGCAAATTATTGTATTAGCTTAGCTCTGTAAATTAATAATACAAAAATTCAAAATATCTCCAGTCTGTGTTCTTGGACATTCAGATATAGCACCAAATAGGAAAATGGATCCAGGTATTCTGTTTCCTTGGGGTATTCTTTACACAAATTATGGTATTGGAGCATGGTTAACAGAATAAGAAAAGACTATTCATGGGATTATGAAATTTAATCCTGAAGAAGCTTTACCATAGAAAGTTAGCATATCTTTTTTATCTCGACATTTCAAAAAGTTTGGATATTATATTCAGGAAATAAATGTTGAGACCAAAGAATTTTGGGATGTTTTGAAGGCTTTTAAGGCTCATTTCTCTTATAATTAGATTCCTGAAAAGTATAATAGTATACCTGATATGAATGATATGATATGGATATGGGGATTAACAGCCAAATACAAGGAATACTTAAGTTGACTATATAAATTTTTGTCTTTTTGTATTATCAAATGCCATGCAAATATTATTTTTAAGTGGAAAATCTAATATTACTTAATAATTTCAATCTTTTTTTATTAAAAATTTATTAATGTACTTCTCTAAAATCTAGATATATTAATATTAGAAATTAACAACTTTCCTATAAAGTTCGTATATGAAGCTACCTAATTTTGAGGACATATTTGCTTGAATTATAAGCTTATAATTTCCAACCTTAATAATCATATTTTGGAGAAATAACAATTAGTTAATTTGATGAAAATAATTAATTCAACCATGTTTCAATAATATATTAATTCTATGATATAATAATATTTTATTATTATTTTGTAACTTAATGATTAGAGATTTAACCATATGTATTACAGATGCGAATACTATATTTTGTCAAGTAACTCAAATACAATTAAAACTTTTTCTATTTTATTGAAAAATATTTGGAACTGATTTCTTACATAATTCTCTCACTAATCTACCAAAACTCAAGTTTTTTATCTTGATTCAGATTTTTAGCTATATTTACCATATTCTTTTGTGGATTTCTTATTTATTAAGTTGGTTTTGAAATTTATTATTATTTTTCATATATAAACTCTTCCTTATTAGTGCATTTTGCTCAACTCTATTTTTTTTGTGCTCCTTTTCATTAAATTAGGTGTGAAATGAGGAAAATATACCAAAAATAGGCAGCCTTTAATTTTTTCTTATCAAAAATAAGAAAAATTTAATGTTAGTTATTCTAATTTAAATTCCTAGTGTTTGAGTTACATCTAGGTTAGTGATTAATAAAGAGATTATTTTTCATTTTTTTGCCTCTTTTTAAATCATAGGTTATTTTAGCAATCTTACTAGTATTATTATAGAATAAAATAACTAATTTAAATATATAATTTAATTTTGTGAAATTTTATCTCGATGAAGGATATAGCATTCATGTATTTATGTTTATATAATTGAATGATTAGTTAAATTCAAGACTGCGATTTATTTTTTATCATTAATTTAACAGGAAGATAGAATATTTGAAAGAAATACCTTTAAATAGATATAATTATTTAAGTATTATTAAATTTATACTGGATGCTTTGTTGGGAGTTGCTTGCAGAGCTATCAAAATAACTTAAATTGAATAATATAAATAAGTTTGAAAGGTTGGCAATTAGATACTAAAAATAATAAGAAATAGGATGAAAACGAAGGATCTGAACCAAAAAGAGATCTTTAAAAATAATGATAGCATACTTTTATTGAGATAATAGTACAACATACATATTTGAATCAACATACCAAAAGTAAATAATATCATAACAGATTTATGTTACATTTGCAACCAAATAATTTTAATATTGATTTAAATACTTAATTGAATTAATACTTATCCATCTTGATGCTTTTAATTTAATATTTATCCATTTAACAAACATTATGTATAAATTAAAAATAAAAAAAATTTATATTCTGTTCATTATAATTGCCTTTCAATTAACTGTTTATAAACACCATTTTTTTCTATTAATTCCTGATGCTTTCCTTATTCAACTATATATCCATTTTAAACTACAATAATTTTATTTGAATTAATAACAGTGGATAACCTATGAGCAATTATTATAATGGTCTTTTAACCTGATGAAACAAGACCATCAATAGCCTTTTAAACTTAAAATTCAGATTCAGAATCCAAAGCACTGGTTGCTTCGTCAAATATCAATATTTTAGGGTTCTTTATTAAAGCCCTTGCAATTGCAATTCGCTATTTTTAACCTCCTGATAATTTGACTCCTCTTTCTCCTACTATAGTTTCCAATCCATCCGGAAATATTGATAAATCTGTTACAAAATCATAAGCATTAGCTAATTTCATTGCATTATCAATATCTTCTTAGGTGAAAGTATCTACACCATATGTAATATTATCTTTCAATGTTCCAGAAAACAAGGTTGGTTCCTGAGCAACAAATCCTATTTGTTTATGTAGCTACTGAAGATTATACTCCTTTATGTCTATGTTATCAAATAGGATTGATCCTTGTATTGAGTCATAAAATCTTTATAACAACTAAACAATCGTGGACTTTCCACTACCACTCTATCCAACAAATGCAACAACTTCCCCTTAATTAATCTCCAAATTAATCCTTTTTAAACTCATCACGCTTGATTTAGTTGGATAGCAAAATGTTACATCTGAAATATTAATTTACCCAGTTATATTTGAAGCATCAACAGAACCATTACGTATCTTAACTGGATGATCAATTATATCAAAAATCTTTTCAGAAACTGCTGCAGCAGAAATCATTTCATTCATTGTGCCACTCAATGCCAAGAGAGAAACTAATTTATAATATTAATATTATACTTGTCATTGTTAATGTATATAATACAAAAGAACTTAAGTCTCCTAAAGTAGATTCCCCATCAATTACTAGGGTTCCACCATAATACAAAATGGCTAATATAACTGCATATGCTAAAACGATTCCAATAGCCATAAACTAACTTCCTAATAGTGCCATTTTATTGCCAAAAGTAAAAACAATTTAATTGGCCTTTTGATATGAATTACTCTCTCTTTCCTCTGTTGAAAAAGACCTTACAATTCTCATATTACTCAAGACTTCTGAAGCAATTTGAGTAGCTTAAGCAATTGATTATTAATATTCCTTTCTCAATTGCTTGTATTTTTTAACAAAAACGATTGCCATAATCGTAGAAGGAGGAATTACACAAAATAAAACAAGTGTTAATCTCCAACTAATAAAACAGAGTAGAATCAAACTACCTAAAACTTAAATAGCATTTTTTAAAAGTGTTGAAATAGAATCATTGGTACCTTTATTAATCACAGATATATCAGAAGAAAGTCTTGATATTAATTCTCCAGATCTATTAGAATCAAAAAACTCTATGTCTTTTAACATTAAACTTTAAAATAATTCATTCCTCAGATGAAATGTTATCTTTTCTCCTAGAATACTAAAAGCATATGTTCTTAAAAAAGTAAAAAAAGCAGTTACAACTGTTAACACTATGAATTATAAAGTTAAGAAGTTTAGATTTTCTTTAGAATTAGATTTGGTTATTGAATCAATCATTTTCCTTGAATTAACCATATAAAAAATACCCTGCTAAGTAAGGTAATGCTACCATTGAAACTGAAGTAATTAGTAATCCTAAATTTCCAAAAACCAATAGCAATTTATATTACAGTGAATATTGGATCAATCTAAAGATGCTAGATCTTTTGTGATTTCCGTTGATTACGTTTTCAGTATTGATTGTGGGTATGTTTATTTTCTCTTCTTAGAATTCTTAATATTAAATTTCCAAATTCATAAAACTTAAAATTTATTGGTGCTTTAATAATTAATCTATATTATATTACTAATTTTTGGAATTCAGAAATTCCAAAAGTAGTAGCTGTGTATCAATAGAAAAATAGCTCAATATTCATAAAGAATACAATCAATAATTTGATATTTGCAGTGAGTTAAAATAAGTTTCTTGCTTCTTTGTTTTATAAATTCATAAAATCTGTTAATTCTACATAAATTCATACTAGGATATGATTACTAATTTATAAAACAGACTTCTTATTGACTAATATTTTATTGATTATACTTAAAATTATACCAAAAATTTAAATGAAAATATTATATTGTATGTATTTTATAAATATCATTTTGCGTTTATCAATTTTTCTTAATGAATTTATTTTTGATCATTTTTTTACCTAATTTACCTCAATTTAAGAAGTGTACAATTTCTTTGATAATCCTATGTTCCCTAAAAGAACAATAGCAATCTGAAATACTTATTGCAAATGTCTTTTTCAAAAAAAAATGTAACTCTAGATATTTAATATTTCTATATGGAGGGAAAGAAAAGGATTTTCTGTTATGGAAAAATTGAGATTTCTGATATATTATGTGTTGCTATATTATTAGAAATAATTTTTAAATATTTTGTATTTAATTGATATTGGTGTTTGTATATAATAAAAATTAGAAGAAAAAATACAAAGAACGATTGCTTTTCGATAATGATACTGATATGATTAACAGAGTTACAAATAATACATTGAAAAATATATTTTAAGTTAATTATAACTGCCATATCAAAATCGGAATCTATAAATTTGGATATAGAAAATAATGAATTTTCACCAAAATAAATTTATTACGTATTATATTATGGTGAAATAAACAATTTCATAATTTTTTCTCTTACATCCTTAAATAATATGATAAGTAAATAAAAAATTAACAAATTTTTAACATAATTATTCTGTTTTAATGCAAATATTGTATGATAAAATATTGAATTTTTATTTCAGAATTATCCACCTTACTTTGATCATGTATTTCTTAATTATGCGACTTAAAATTTTGTACTGCATTTGTTTTATTTTTGATTGGTTTTTTTCATGTTTCGTAAATATATAATTATGAAAATTAAGCATAATAATTACATTAATTAAATTGAAAACTAATTCTTTTCATTTATTACAAGTATCTAAAAAGATGCTTTTTCAGCTGATATAAGGTTATTTGCATGCAATTCAAAATTATAATTAATTTCTGAGCTATTTGATTATTCTATTTCAAATCCAATTGTTCCTACGTGGATTGAGGGATTATTGAAAAAAATGAAATGTGTAATATTAATACGTTTTACAATTATAGGTTCCGTTGATTTATGAAAATAATCATAAAAGATCCTTTCTTATCTAAGATCATAGTATTAATATTTGTTAGTATTAATTTCTTTTAAAACCAATAACTCATCGTCTAAATATTCTATTTTGTATTCATAAAATTTGTCATCTACAGAACCCCAGTTTCTAATTGATTTTTATAATTTGAATTAAATTTGATTTTCTTATTTATCTAATATTAATAAAAACAAATAAGTAAAACCTTAACTTATCATGAAAAAGTTAATCTTAGTTTAACCTCCAACTTAAGTGCATGATACTANTATTTTATAAATATCATTTTGCGTTTATCAATTTTTCTTAATGAATTTATTTTTGATCATTTTTTTACCTAATTTACCTCAATTTAAGAAGTGTACAATTTCTTTGATAATCCTATGTTCCCTAAAAGAACAATAGCAATCTGAAATACTTATTGCAAATGTCTTTTTCAAAAAAAAATGTAACTCTAGATATTTAATATTTCTATATGGAGGGAAAGAAAAGGATTTTCTGTTATGGAAAAATTGAGATTTCTGATATATTATGTGTTGCTATATTATTAGAAATAATTTTTAAATATTTTGTATTTAATTGATATTGGTGTTTGTATATAATAAAAATTAGAAGAAAAAATACAAAGAACGATTGCTTTTCGATAATGATACTGATATGATTAACAGAGTTACAAATAATACATTGAAAAATATATTTTAAGTTAATTATAACTGCCATATCAAAATCGGAATCTATAAATTTGGATATAGAAAATAATGAATTTTCACCAAAATAAATTTATTACGTATTATATTATGGTGAAATAAACAATTTCATAATTTTTTCTCTTACATCCTTAAATAATATGATAAGTAAATAAAAAATTAACAAATTTTTAACATAATTATTCTGTTTTAATGCAAATATTGTATGATAAAATATTGAATTTTTATTTCAGAATTATCCACCTTACTTTGATCATGTATTTCTTAATTATGCGACTTAAAATTTTGTACTGCATTTGTTTTATTTTTGATTGGTTTTTTTCATGTTTCGTAAATATATAATTATGAAAATTAAGCATAATAATTACATTAATTAAATTGAAAACTAATTCTTTTCATTTATTACAAGTATCTAAAAAGATGCTTTTTCAGCTGATATAAGGTTATTTGCATGCAATTCAAAATTATAATTAATTTCTGAGCTATTTGATTATTCTATTTCAAATCCAATTGTTCCTACGTGGATTGAGGGATTATTGAAAAAAATGAAATGTGTAATATTAATACGTTTTACAATTATAGGTTCCGTTGATTTATGAAAATAATCATAAAAGATCCTTTCTTATCTAAGATCATAGTATTAATATTTGTTAGTATTAATTTCTTTTAAAACCAATAACTCATCGTCTAAATATTCTATTTTGTATTCATAAAATTTGTCATCTACAGAACCCCAGTTTCTAATTGATTTTTATAATTTGAATTAAATTTGATTTTCTTATTTATCTAATATTAATAAAAACAAATAAGTAAAACCTTAACTTATCATGAAAAAGTTAATCTTAGTTTAACCTCCAACTTAAGTGCATGATACTAATTTTAATTATTAGAATTATAATTGTCCGATCTTAGTCATTTCTATCTATAGTCCTTCAGAAATTGATAAGGAATACAATATGGTTTAATAAGATAAGTTAATTTAGTAAATAATTAATTCTACCTCAATTGAATTAACACTCTTCTATTTTAAAATCAAATATTTATCTTTTAATCCTTCAATATACTTGAAATCCAAGATGATGCCAGGTATTAATACTATAATGAAATCTAAATCTTCAAAATAAATGAATATATGATCAGTTGAAGTTTATACCATTATTAAATTTCCTGTTCTCATCACATTCACTGCATTAATTGATTTTATATTTAAATTTTAATTAAGATTAGATATCACAGTACAATATTCATCAATCAATCCAGAACATTAAATTAATTGAATCTAAAGGTTCGTTTCTAACTGTATAAACCAAAGATAATGTGTCTATTTTACGATTGTTACATAATTAATCAAGACATTTGGACCTCTGTTAATAATTTCATAAACTTAATTTTCCATTATAATAGCTTTAAACATTTGAATTTCATCTTAACTTACAATATTGTATTATTTAATGCAAAAATTGGAAGTGTTTAGACCGCAAAATTATAAGCTACTTCTAATTTAAAAGGGTCCATTCAAACCTATCTATGGATTGCTTACAAGTATCAAACTATCGATTGGACCATTGAAAATATCATAAATATTTAATTTTATAATTTGATTCTTTTGAATTTCTAATTTGAACAAATTCTAAAGAGGAAATAGCTTATAACAATAATTGTAAATCAAAATATTTAATTTTACACTTTATTTTTCTTATTTTCTTAGTTATAAGTCTGTTTAATAGAGCGATACTAACCTATTCTACAATTTGACGTTGGACTCTACTTCAACTAAAAATTCATTCATAAGCAAAGATCTCCATTCCTTATTTTCAGAATACAATAGAAACTCTTACAAAAATGTAAAAAAGGGCTAATCAGTTGCTATAATTTCTTCTAATTGTAAGGAGACAATATTAAATGAAAAAATAGCTATGTATAACTTCTAATCTTACTTCATTAAAACAGCTAAATGATGTTAAAGGCTTGTACTTAATTTATGTAAAAAAAATCTATACATAAATGGATAAGAAAACTAATAATCAGTAAAAGTATAATTTGAAATTTAATGTATATCATGACCAACAAAATAACTAAGGGTAAGTGATCCTGTGATATTTTGTATTGCGATTATTAATTAGTCTTTATTTGAGTGTGCTTAGACTTTAATATAAATTATTTATCCAGCTTGAAATCTATAACAATTTATCTATCCTTCATCTTCAACAACCAGAACATTAGGATATTAAATAAACTTTTAATTTACCTACTCTTAATAATACAGAATAGGTTCTTGAGAAAAAAGACTCTTTTGAAGATATTTTCTTATTAAAAATTCTTAAGTATTTTAATATATCAATGGAAGCAAATTTGAATCGTTCAAGTAGACAAATACACATTAAGCAATTTGTTCAACTCTTATAATCGCTTAATCAAACTATATTATATTTTGGTAATGTGGATAGCTGTTTAATGAAATTATTTTTAACAAATTATTATTTTTATTTCTTTTCTATACTACATAATAGTCAGAATCAGATTCAAGTACATCAAATTCAAGTTTGTTAATTGAAACTAATATTTTTTTTTACTTGCAATTATAAATATAAAACTAAGTTTCATTTTGAAAACTTATGTAATTAGGTAGTCTTATAGATCTCATTTCAATCTTGCCTTTAATATTTAATAGATCAGGTACTGATAAACAGATGTCCAAAAGTTTGTCATTAGTTTTTATACTTACATTTATGCTGCCATCACTATTAGATAATGCGAATTAACTATTTTTACATTAAATCCAAGGTTCTAATTTCTAAATAGTTTACTAAAAGTAGCTTTAACATTTGTTTTCTAATGTTATAAACTAGTCTAATTTTGATTTTTCTTCTTATATATCATTTTTATCAACTATTCTAAAACAAGTTACCTAACTATTATAACTTAACAAAAACTAGGCCTAAATCAAAAAGAGATACCTTTTTTTTGGTTTAATAAAACTACTAAATTATTAATATCTGTAAAATTATAGAGCATTTTTGGATTGATCAAATTAACAAAATAAGTTAGCAGATTCAAAAAAATGTAATTGGGTGTTTCTTATTAGATATGTCTAATTAATATTAGCATTCAATAGAACTATTAATTCAGTCTAGTTTTAGAGAAAAAGAAAATCAGAATGAAAATAGATTTTATGATTTAAATATTTTTGGTTTATAGCAATATCCCCATTAATTGTGGAATCAGTTACATTTTAATTCATATCATCTGATGAATTAAACAAAGTTATAATTTAGCATTTTGTTTAGATTAATGCTTTGTGTATTCCTTTTACTTTTTGAATTGCTTAATAATTTATAACGATTAAATCTTTCTTCACATGCACTTAAAGATAAGAGTCATTTTCTATCAAATAAAGAATAAAGTTTAATTAATTTTTGGCACAAAAAGCTACATCATCTATATAAGAGTACCTATATTTTTAAGTACCATTCTCCTTCATTGAAGAAACTGCTAAAGTGATAATTTCATAATATTGAAAAATTAATACTTTCCAATTAGAACATTGATAAAATGCAATTATGTATTTATTGTTGTTCCATTTCTTATATTTAAATTTGCACCTATTTTATATTTAGTCTTGAAAATCAAACTCCTAAATTAATGTAGTATTCCTATTTGATAGATTCAAATTATATTATTTTAAAGTAAAACGACTTAAACAAAATATATTTAAACTTCCATCTTCATTTATATCCATATCACCACAGAGTTCTGTCCCTACAATTTTAGTATAAAATCTAAGCTTCTCATTAACATTAACTGAATCCTCTTAATAAACTAAATCAACGCTTGTACAAACGATAAGATATTCAAATTTACGAATTAAGGAGCATATCAGCCTTTCTTGTATTTTATTCTTGTAATCCAAGGCATCAATAATTTTTATGATCAATGGATCTTCTTACTAAGGGATTATGAATGAAGGTGTTATAATTTAATTGTCAACATGTTAAAGTTTTGAATAATCTTCATCATCTCCATCCAAAAAGTAACAGCCAGAGTTGTATGCATAGCAATTGAAAAACGGTTGAGATTATAATTCTTGACATGACATTTAAACAGAATTTAACTTAAACACAAGGTAGCCAAACAAAATAAATAAGCTTCTCATTTTAAATAATTTATTATCTTAATTGCCATTTTATTTTGCATATTTATGTTTAGAAATAATTCCTCTATATTGAATAGCTTTGTAGAAGCTTAAATTAAGAGTCTTCCTGTGATTATAAAAAGAATATCACTTGATCTAGCTATATAGTTTAACTACACCTAATTAATTAACATAATAAAATTGCTTCTTCAAATATTTTACAAGCTTGGTATAATTAATAGGAGTTAAAAAGGTCTATTATTAAAATTATGGAGACTTTGTTAAAGTTGATTCTTTTAAGATATTGTAACTCATTTTAATACTTATTATATGAATAATTGTGTTAAGATCTAGTGTTCAGTTGAAGATAGAATTTAAACCAAAAAAGGTTGAGATATTTTAAATTACAAAATATTACTGAAGAATTCTTTCAAAGTCAAAGCACTATTTTAGATTTGTTTCTAATATATTTTTTAAGTTAATATATAAACATATCATTCAATTTATTATTTATATATTAATTTTCTAAACTCTATGGTGCCAGACTTGCAATCCCATGTAACCAAAAATTCTCCATTATTGCTTATTGTTCCAAAAATGTTTCCAAAATTACCTGATTAATCAAAGTTTAATTCTACTTCTAATTTGCAGTCCCAACCTTAAGAATGAAAGTTGAATTTTATTAAATTAACCCAATATCCATTTTTAGAGACTAAGAGTTATTTAGAAGCAACATAGACTTAAGGGAAAAAATACTAGCAGGCCTACCCACTTCTAGAAACTGCAAGTTCTCTTGATTTTATGAAAAGTCCAGTGGCAGGATCCAATGTGTATAGAAATAAATGAGTTCCATCAAAAGGCTGGAATGCAAAAATATCTGTTGTAATAAAAGATATGCGAAATCCATTTTCTTGAATCTTCTGTTTAACATACCAAAATTAATCAGCAGACTTATCCATTATTAAAATTTACTTATCTCTACCACAGGAAATCAATTACTTATTCCCTTGATTTAGAGATAATCCATTTACTTAATCTAGGTGTTCGCTGATTGTTTATGTACAACTCCAACAGGAATTTTATGAATGTGTCCAAAATTTAATATTCTTGTCAGATGATCCACTGATAAGAAGGTTTTCTGAATTTTAAATCACAACCAAACAAGTAATTAAACGAGTATGTTCTTTCAGTGTTGCTATATGTTTGGAACTAGATAACAAATTCAAGGAATGAATTAAAATAGATGAACCATATGACCCGCTAATTAATTGTGATCTATCGTTAAAGAAATTGAGTGTAGAGACCACATTCTTATGCAGTTTTATCTAAAGTAAATATTTAAATNCAGAATTTAACTTAAACACAAGGTAGCCAAACAAAATAAATAAGCTTCTCATTTTAAATAATTTATTATCTTAATTGCCATTTTATTTTGCATATTTATGTTTAGAAATAATTCCTCTATATTGAATAGCTTTGTAGAAGCTTAAATTAAGAGTCTTCCTGTGATTATAAAAAGAATATCACTTGATCTAGCTATATAGTTTAACTACACCTAATTAATTAACATAATAAAATTGCTTCTTCAAATATTTTACAAGCTTGGTATAATTAATAGGAGTTAAAAAGGTCTATTATTAAAATTATGGAGACTTTGTTAAAGTTGATTCTTTTAAGATATTGTAACTCATTTTAATACTTATTATATGAATAATTGTGTTAAGATCTAGTGTTCAGTTGAAGATAGAATTTAAACCAAAAAAGGTTGAGATATTTTAAATTACAAAATATTACTGAAGAATTCTTTCAAAGTCAAAGCACTATTTTAGATTTGTTTCTAATATATTTTTTAAGTTAATATATAAACATATCATTCAATTTATTATTTATATATTAATTTTCTAAACTCTATGGTGCCAGACTTGCAATCCCATGTAACCAAAAATTCTCCATTATTGCTTATTGTTCCAAAAATGTTTCCAAAATTACCTGATTAATCAAAGTTTAATTCTACTTCTAATTTGCAGTCCCAACCTTAAGAATGAAAGTTGAATTTTATTAAATTAACCCAATATCCATTTTTAGAGACTAAGAGTTATTTAGAAGCAACATAGACTTAAGGGAAAAAATACTAGCAGGCCTACCCACTTCTAGAAACTGCAAGTTCTCTTGATTTTATGAAAAGTCCAGTGGCAGGATCCAATGTGTATAGAAATAAATGAGTTCCATCAAAAGGCTGGAATGCAAAAATATCTGTTGTAATAAAAGATATGCGAAATCCATTTTCTTGAATCTTCTGTTTAACATACCAAAATTAATCAGCAGACTTATCCATTATTAAAATTTACTTATCTCTACCACAGGAAATCAATTACTTATTCCCTTGATTTAGAGATAATCCATTTACTTAATCTAGGTGTTCGCTGATTGTTTATGTACAACTCCAACAGGAATTTTATGAATGTGTCCAAAATTTAATATTCTTGTCAGATGATCCACTGATAAGAAGGTTTTCTGAATTTTAAATCACAACCAAACAAGTAATTAAACGAGTATGTTCTTTCAGTGTTGCTATATGTTTGGAACTAGATAACAAATTCAAGGAATGAATTAAAATAGATGAACCATATGACCCGCTAATTAATTGTGATCTATCGTTAAAGAAATTGAGTGTAGAGACCACATTCTTATGCAGTTTTATCTAAAGTAAATATTTAAATTTGTCATTTTTTTAATATATTACTTTGCTATAATATTTTGATCCAAAGGCTATAAGCGTGTTATTATAGTTTATAGCTTGAGCAAAACAATGAAAAGGATATTCCTAAATTATTGAATAGACCAAATTATGGCTAAAACACTTTTAGGAGGTATTTTACTCAACTTATGAATTGTCCATGGTTTGGATCATAAAATGGAAAATTTATTAATAATTAGGGTCCAGATGGGACAATTTATCAATCCTCTAAATTAATTATTTACTATAACTTTTTGATCAAAAATCGATTCCATATTTTACTAAAATATATAAAATTTTAATTTTATGAATAATAAATAGTATAGAATATAAATAAATGTTAAAATATAATAATGCATTAGTATTTACTAAGTTGGTTAAATATATTTTGAAATTTTAAAGTTAAACCTTATTTTCAATACGAATAATTTTTCCAGTATCATTCAAATTGATTCTTAATGTAAATCAAATTTCAATGTCATCACATTATTCGTTGGATAAGTTTACTCATTAAAATTTGGAAAATTTTTTATATATTGATATTTTGAAGTTTTCAACCTTCTTTACAATGATACTACCTATTCTGCTTTTTTATTTGTAAAAGCAACTAGATTTCTCAATACCATATAATTGAAGTGAAGCATTGATGAAAGAATTGTTACAAAATTCAAATTTTATATTCGGTTTCTTAACTAATGATTTTTAAATTTCTTTCTGTTATATCACTTGCAAGAATATAACTTCTTTACAAATACTATTTATATTAATTCTAATATTACATGTTATGTTATTGTTTGAATGCATCGTAGTAATTAAACATAGATTGATATGGTTATATCCTTCTCAGTTTGAAAATCAAACAAATAAATTCCTCGAATTTCTAATTGCCTTAATCAGAACACACTCCAAAGTCAACATTGTTCAAAATAGCAATTTCTAAGGTTTTTATGACAATAACATATAATTAATAATATAAAGTGTTTCTTTAATGCTACTACTTGCAATTATAATCTAGTTATTTTAAAATACGTTATTGTAACAAAAATTCTTTATAAATTAATATTTATTTAATATCTCAAATCGTCAACATAATAAGACTTTGAGTAGATTGTAATAAAAATGATAATATATTATTGGAAAAACAAAAAGTGACAGAGTCTAGATGATTTAAAATTAAATGTTAATAAGAACTTGTATTAATTAATCATATCAATTATTAATTTTAGAATTTAAGGTTTGTTTAATCACAATTTCATTTTGTAATTAGCTCTATATATCGACAATATATTTATGAATTATTGTGGCTTCTTTTGCTTCTTTTAATACTTTCATTTTTGACAAACAGAAGAGTAACCTTTATACATAAATATTAATAATGTACTGCAAATATTCTAAATAGTAACTACATTTATTAGTGTATGGAAATAGGAATTAGATTGCTAATAGACTGCTTAATTATGTAAAATAGCCTGTGTAATCAGCCAATGTTTCTTTAATTGGGAAATCTTTCGATAAACCATAATTGTTTGTTTGATCTACAAGTAACTGTTTTGTTGTTTCAAGTTATGTTATAGCTCTTTCAACATCTGCTAAAGCATAATTGTTGTTAGATGAAGGTTAGGATTTAAGTTTCATTGCTTTGCTATGCTAATAAAAGCAAGATGAAAGGTAGAATAACTGTTACTTTATTTTGATCACATCTGCATGTATTTATCTTTATTGATTCCTAAATAGAAATAAGAATATACAAATGCTTATCCAGAGAATCCAAAACATAATTCATAAAGACTGCAATTTAAAAAAGTTGATCTGATATATCCAGGGTTTACTAAAATCCGGGAAGAGAGGGAGGTTATGTGAGTTTTTGATCCTATTTTTATGGATTAGCACTTTATATAAACAATGGAGCCTTGATTTAGAATTAAGGGGTTTGACTCATTTGAGGCATTGTAGGAATTTTAGCTATTTGAGGGACAGGAAGAACTAAAGAGGTTGGTTAGTCCTTTAATAAAGGATGAGAAAATAATCCATTCCAACTGATTCTTTTATTTTCATTATACTTTAACATATTTTCTATCAAATTTGCAATTTCTTCAGTCATCTATAGAATAAAATTGTATTTACTCCAGCTGCAGATCGATTAACTTTTATTGGGTTTGATTCTAATTATTTCAACTTCGTTATCAATTACTGTAAATTGTTTACTTAGTATGGCAGGCCTCCAAATATAAGTTCATAGCAAACTATTCCAAGCTTGTAATATTTTTTCAATTTACAGAGTAGATGTCTGCAGAATTTGTAAAATTGGAACCTTCTTCAAATAATTGAGGTGAAGCATATTTCGGAGTACCAGATTTAGTGAGCTCATCATTTGTTTGATAAACTCTGGCTAATCCAAAATCAGCAATCTCGTTTAATAACTATTAATACTTTATATACACCATCCAAATATAGAATATTTTAAGGCTTAATATCTCTGTGGATAACATTATTATCATATAGTAGTTTATAGCCTTTGATAATTTATTTTAATATATTAATAGCTTCTTCAGGAGTGTAATATTTATCATTTTACCTTCTTTCCTTGAACTACATTTGCAAATCACATTCACATCTTTCTAAAATTAATACAATTCTTGATTTATTCACATCTACATGATAGACTCCTACAATGTGTTTATTATTCTTTCCCTGTTCCATAATCATCTACATAAGTTCCATTTCTCTACCAGTCTTCGGGTCTTATATTTTATCTTCAATAATCTCTAATTTAAATATTAATTACCTTTGCGCATAATTGTAAATTTGGGTTGCATGTATCTTTGCATGCATAAACCTTCCCATATTAACCTTCGCCTATGAGTTTATTCTTATAGATTTCATATTAGGAGACAACTAAGATGTTTGTCATAAGTCTGATAGAATAATAAATTAAAATTATTTCCCCTTCTATATTATTTTTCAATGGACTAATCAAATTCTATTATTCATCATTTCAAAAATATTAAATACATCTTAATAATTTTCATCGAATAACTAACAAGTTCTCTTGGTTTCAGTCTAATAAAAAACCCAATTAAATAAGAAAAAGAGATAATATAAAATAATGTCAAACCACAAATTTGTATGGTCTCAATTGGATTATTAATAATAAAATCTATTAAACGAGGAAATAAAAAAACTCCGCTAAATCAGAAAATTTTAATCATAAAAATATAATTCTTTGAATTCAAAAATGTTGTTGATTCTTAATGATGAATGGATAAATATATTGAGTATTGTAAAATTAAAAAAATAGTATTCCCGTTTATCTATTACAAAAATTAGAATAATATATAAGTAAAAATACAAAGAAATTAAAAGACATCAAAAACTCATATGATTTAAAAAATAACAACCGTATTTTTTTATATTTTGAAGTTAACTTTCATATTATGTGTAATAATAATATCATTCTCTTTAATAAATGAGTTAACCTGATATTTCAATTTAATGATATGATCTTTTTTTTTTTAAATTAACAGTGCCTCCTAAATTAATATCATTCATTTTACATATCTTGACTATCATTTTAAGACATTACTACTAATTATTTCTAATTTAGATTATTTTGAATATTGTAGAATAATGTCGATTTTAGAAGTTTAACTAATTTAAGAGGATTATGTGTTCCATAATAATGAACTTAAAATTGATAGATAATTAACTTAATTTTGAATTTGTATAATAATAATTTGAAAGAAGTTAAAGTAAAGTGAAAAAAGTATAAATATTATCAATTAATTACCCAAATTTTGTAAAATCTTTGACAAATCTATTATGAATTACAAAACTGTGCAATAAATGGAACACAGGATTGGGTTTCAAATTTTTATACGTCTGGCTATTTTTTATAAATGATTATTCTTCCAAAACTTATAAGTGGTTCTAATAGCACTTGCTAAACTATGATATTGCTGCAAAGATTATTGCAGCTTTGCAAATACCTGATTGCAAGTTTATTCTAAAATATGATAAATACATACTCCATAAAGTAGAAACATTTATGATAAGATTAGGCGTCATCAAAAACATGATAAGGAGAAACTAGGTAATAAAAGCAGTTACCCTTTAGAATCGATATATTTGATTTGATTATCTTATAAAAAAACTCATTATAAGAATGGTAAGGGTTGACAATACTGAATAAATAAATTAATAGAATTTAATTATTAAGCATTAATGTTCAAGGATTGTTAAGGCTAATAATAAATTTAATTTGGAGGGCAATTCTAAAATTCGATAACTAATCTAAATCCTTTTGTCTTATAAACAAATAGTGAAATAGTTTAATGAAGTTACTAATATTATAATTTAAAATTACCTTGTATTTTTCTTTAAAAACTTTAAATTATTTAATACAGCAAACCATTTTTGTGGAAAATACTTGTGGATTTAAATTACTTTAAGTAGTCTCAGTCCTCCCTTACTCTTCTTTTGTAATCTTAATATTTAAAAATGTATAAATTGCCATAAATATATATGATTAAGAACTTTTACAAAATTATATAGCTATGAAAGTCTTAGTTTTATTTTAAACTTTTTATTTTACTGTAAAAATACAGTCTTATGCTCAATTTTTAACTATTCTTACTTGTAAGTTATATTAAATTCATGAAGTGTCCTTTCCTATTGGATGAACTTGTTTTAAGGATCGTTGCCACAGTTTGTTTCGCCAACACAACGAATTAATGAGAACCAAAATTTTTTGACCACAATATTTGCATTTTTTTTTCATTTTTTTTAATCTATTGAGCAAATTGATTTCCTTAGTAACTTTGAAAGTTGAGAATATCTACAATATCTTTATATATTTAAAACAATCATTCTTAAGTTTAAAATTAGTTTGAAAAGCCTAAGTTAAATCATTTGCAATTAAATAATCTATTCTTTTTAATACATTTCTCTCAAATTCTTTCATCGTTACCTCTAACAGAAGTTATGCAAATTAAACTAATGCATAACAACAATTAATAATTTCTTTGAAATATTGTCCCATTTAAAGTTTTTGAATACAAAAAATTTTCTGTAATAACCTTAAAAATAAAATTCCTACCTCCAAATTTGATCAAACTCATACGTTTCATAATACACCATTTCAAGATTTTTGAAGATTTCAGTATTTGTTAAATTCACACTTTCTCCCTTCGATTTATCAATAATTTGATCAATTTATTGGCAAAGGCTCTCAGCAGTGTTAATACCTATAAATATCACTGAGCTGATTTAATATTCTACAAGTTTCAATTTATAAATTTTATAATTTCTGTTTCATATTCTTTATCATAATAACCCCAATATGTAACAATTACTGTGATCATGTGTCTATAATTNCCCAAATTTTGTAAAATCTTTGACAAATCTATTATGAATTACAAAACTGTGCAATAAATGGAACACAGGATTGGGTTTCAAATTTTTATACGTCTGGCTATTTTTTATAAATGATTATTCTTCCAAAACTTATAAGTGGTTCTAATAGCACTTGCTAAACTATGATATTGCTGCAAAGATTATTGCAGCTTTGCAAATACCTGATTGCAAGTTTATTCTAAAATATGATAAATACATACTCCATAAAGTAGAAACATTTATGATAAGATTAGGCGTCATCAAAAACATGATAAGGAGAAACTAGGTAATAAAAGCAGTTACCCTTTAGAATCGATATATTTGATTTGATTATCTTATAAAAAAACTCATTATAAGAATGGTAAGGGTTGACAATACTGAATAAATAAATTAATAGAATTTAATTATTAAGCATTAATGTTCAAGGATTGTTAAGGCTAATAATAAATTTAATTTGGAGGGCAATTCTAAAATTCGATAACTAATCTAAATCCTTTTGTCTTATAAACAAATAGTGAAATAGTTTAATGAAGTTACTAATATTATAATTTAAAATTACCTTGTATTTTTCTTTAAAAACTTTAAATTATTTAATACAGCAAACCATTTTTGTGGAAAATACTTGTGGATTTAAATTACTTTAAGTAGTCTCAGTCCTCCCTTACTCTTCTTTTGTAATCTTAATATTTAAAAATGTATAAATTGCCATAAATATATATGATTAAGAACTTTTACAAAATTATATAGCTATGAAAGTCTTAGTTTTATTTTAAACTTTTTATTTTACTGTAAAAATACAGTCTTATGCTCAATTTTTAACTATTCTTACTTGTAAGTTATATTAAATTCATGAAGTGTCCTTTCCTATTGGATGAACTTGTTTTAAGGATCGTTGCCACAGTTTGTTTCGCCAACACAACGAATTAATGAGAACCAAAATTTTTTGACCACAATATTTGCATTTTTTTTTCATTTTTTTTAATCTATTGAGCAAATTGATTTCCTTAGTAACTTTGAAAGTTGAGAATATCTACAATATCTTTATATATTTAAAACAATCATTCTTAAGTTTAAAATTAGTTTGAAAAGCCTAAGTTAAATCATTTGCAATTAAATAATCTATTCTTTTTAATACATTTCTCTCAAATTCTTTCATCGTTACCTCTAACAGAAGTTATGCAAATTAAACTAATGCATAACAACAATTAATAATTTCTTTGAAATATTGTCCCATTTAAAGTTTTTGAATACAAAAAATTTTCTGTAATAACCTTAAAAATAAAATTCCTACCTCCAAATTTGATCAAACTCATACGTTTCATAATACACCATTTCAAGATTTTTGAAGATTTCAGTATTTGTTAAATTCACACTTTCTCCCTTCGATTTATCAATAATTTGATCAATTTATTGGCAAAGGCTCTCAGCAGTGTTAATACCTATAAATATCACTGAGCTGATTTAATATTCTACAAGTTTCAATTTATAAATTTTATAATTTCTGTTTCATATTCTTTATCATAATAACCCCAATATGTAACAATTACTGTGATCATGTGTCTATAATTCATAAATAGTGCTATAATATCGAAAACAACTTCTATAATTGCGGTTGTTCTAGGAAATCTAGTAAGAATTGCAAATCTGTTAATGGGCCCTTCTGATAGAGAGCAAAGAACACCAGTAATGTGATCTAGTTTATTTTTAATTTGGTTCTAACCCAAGGAGTATCAATTACTAAAAATCCTGAATCATAAATAGAGTTTTTTGTCTGCGCCTACAGATCCTAATAATACAATTGATATCTTTAATTAATATCACCCTAAGTCTATTCTAAGTTTATAAAATTTAATTTTTTCTCATATTTATCACCCTCATAGAATTGAATGAGCTTAAGAGATTAATTAATTATTTAATTAATTATAAAAAAAATAATACATACATCATAATATTATATTCAATACGGTTAAAATTACTTATGGGGTTGAAAATTTTAATGCAATGTCTATATTTGAATAAGAATCTTTATTAGATTAAACCTTTATTCAACCGAAATTCTAAGATTTGGAATGGGAATTTTGCAATTGTTAATTTAATAAGATATTATACCAACTTTAAGTATGATTTAGAGATGAAATAGTTTTTGTAACCCAAGTACTTCATAGCATCCGTTAGTTTACTCTTAATTTTGAAAGTTGAGTAGTTTGTTATTCATTGACTTTTATAATAAAAAACCTATTTAAATAAAATTTCTTGTAAATTTAATGTATAATAAATAAAATAAAGCTAAATCTTCAGAACTCATTAAACCCTTATATTGCACTTGATTCATTCATAGTTGTCTTGGATTAAAATTTTGTTCAGGATGCAGTTATTTAACTTCAAATTATGAATTAGTTTGTTAAAGTTTACTGATGAATTATTTGTGGAGTTTTTTTAATTTTTAATCATACCTAAGATGAAAGTCCTATTAATTTTTGGTGTTGAAATATTTCGATTATATAACACTGATGCTAACTAAATTAATATTTAAAACTATACTGTTTTAAATAATGATATCTGTCATCAAATTTAATTTCGAAACTTAAGTTTTTGTTAATAATATATTATCTAATTATTTCAAATTAGATGTAATTAAAAAAAGGACTATTAATTATCTCTCAATATAAATTCCGATCAAGTAGAATTAATCTAAAATCCTATGAGATTAATTTAAACCTAAGTAAATTTAAGAGTAAAGTTATAAATTATTATAATTTTCTAATCTCCTCAAATCTAACTCTGCATATAAGGTCAAATAAATGAGAGGCAATAATGATGAATTTCCAGTATATAAGGATAGATAACAATAGCTGAAGAATAAAACTTTGATAATATTGCTAGATATTTTATAAAGTATCTGTGAAATTGATATCAAAGCGATCCATTAACAAAGCTGTATTTACATGTCTCAAATACGAGTAATAAATTCATATAAAATCAAAATAATTGTTGGTTTTGCATTTATATTTATTACTCTTATTAATCTTTACCTTTTTTGACTTCTGATGTAAAGCTTTAAAATCTTTTTAGATATTATAAAGCTTAAATCTATAATTAAAATTATGTTCAAAATTTTGTATTTAATGAACTACATTTGAAGAAAGAGAATTTACAAAAAAATATATTAAATATTAAAGTAATCAATCATTAATCTCAAGAAATATATAAACTTATATTCAAAGTTACATTTAGAAACAACCTAAACTTTAATAGCCTTAATTGCTAGAAATAAATTATGGTCATTTTATGATATAAATAATACTTAAATTGATGGTTAATTTTTTTTATTGGGCTAACATTTAAAGATAATGATATTTTAGGCTTTATAATAATATCCGATTGCTTTTAAATCATACATCAATCTAAAGAAATTTAATGATTCCTATATTTTAAAAATTTTGAGTTTTACCTTTGAATTAAACATATAAATTTAATGTTATTTTGGTATGGTTCATGACCCCGTTTATTTACTATTCAAAAACATTAATAAATTATTTGAAATGAAAATCGTCAAAATTTTACTACTTTTTTGTCTAGTCTTTTCAGTGTTCACATAAATTACTTAAGAAGCTCCAAAGGCAAGCATTAGTAAGATTTTATAATCCATTTTTATTAGCTAGTTCTGCCAACTCTGATTCAACATAAGGTCCCCCTACTGGTCAATAAGTTTAATAAAATACAACAGGTATCTAATTAAGTTTATGGTTTTTAGGTGGTTAACCACCAGGAAATACATAATAAGGTGGTCTACCCTAGAATGGAAAGCCAGGAGGTCCACAAAAAGGTGGAAAGGCGAAAAAATGTTCACAAACACAGCCACAAGTGGGTCCAAACTAAGGATAGATGGGATAAGGCTAAGGTTAAATGGCGATAAACTAAGGATAAATGGGACAAGGATAAAGTTAAATGGGTTCAAACTAGGGATAGATGGAACAAGGATAAATGGGATAAGATTAAGCACAAATGGATCCAAATTAGGGATAGATGGGGTAAGGACAAGGTTAAATGAATCCTCCAGGCCAAATGGGATAAGGATAAATGAGTCCAAATCAAGGATAAATGGGACAAGGATAAACATAAGGTTAAATGGGACAAGGATAAATGGGATAAGGATAAGGATAAGGGCAAATGGGTCCAAATTAAGGGTAAATGGGACAAGGATAAGGATAGATGAATCCAAATCAAGGGTAGATGGGACAAGGATAAGGTCAAATGGATCCAAACCAAGGAAAAATGGGACAAGGATAAGGACAAATGGGTCCAAATTAAGGATAAGGTCAGATGGGTCAAAACTAAGGATAAATGGGACAAGGACAAATTGGTCCAAATCAAGGACAAATGGGATATGCACAAGGACAAGGATAAGGTTAGATGGGTCCTAACCAAGGATAAGGATAAATGGGTCCAAACCAAGGGTAAATGGGATAAGGATAAGGTCAAATGGGTCCAAATCAAGGGTAAATGGGATAAGGATAAGGTCAAATGGGTCCAAATCAAGGGTAAATGGGATAAGGATAAGGTCAAATGGGTCCAAATCAAGGGTAAATGGGATAAGGATAAGGTCAAATGGGTCCAAATCAAGGGTAAATGGGATAAGGATAAGGTCAAATGGGTCCAAATCAAGGGTAAATGGGATAAGGATAAGGTCAAATGGGTCCAAATCAAGGGTAAATGGGATAAGGATAAGGTCAAATGGGTCCAAATCAAGGGTAAATGGGATAAGGATAAGGTCAAATGGGTCCAAATCAAGGGTAAATGGGATAAGGATAAGGTCAAATGGGTCCAAATCAAGGGTAAATGGGATAAGGATAAGGTCAAATGGGTCCAAATCAAGGGTAAATGGGATAAGGATAAGGTCAAATGGGTCCAAATCAAGGGTAAATGGGATAAGGATAAGGTCAAATGGGTCCAAATCAAGGGTAAATGGGATAAGGATAAGGTCAAATGGGTCCAAATCAAGGGTAAATGGGATAAGGATAAGGTCAAATGGGTCCAAATCAAGGGTAAATGGGATAAGGATAAGGTCAAATGGGTCCAAATCAAGGGTAAATGGGATAAGGATAAGGTCAAATGGGTCCAAATCAAGGGTAAATGGGATAAGGATAAGGTCAAATGGGTCCAAATCAAGGGTAAATGGGATAAGGATAAGGTCAAATGGGTCCAAATCAAGGGTAAATGGGATAAGGATAAGGTCAAATGGGTCCAAATCAAGGGTAAATGGGATAAGGATAAGGTCAAATGGGTCCAAATCAAGGGTAAATGGGATAAGGATAAGGTCAAATGGGTCCAAATCAAGGGCAAATGGGATAAGGATAAGGTCAAATGGGTCCAAACCAAGGGTAAATGGGTTAAAATTAGGGATAAATGGGATAAGGTCAAGGGTAAAAACCATAAGGACCGCCTTAATCAAAAGGATAATGGACTCAAGACACATAAAAATAGGAAGAATGCGTAGAGATTACTTGTGCAGATAATGAAATAGTTTTCAAAGATAGATGTGTAGCTTAGACTTGTGAAAACTTGGATAAAGTTTAAGCTAAATAGGAAGGTGGAAGGAAGAAACTTCCTTTGAAATTTGATGGAAAAGCTGATTTTAATGACAATAAAGATGTTGTAGTGTAATTAGTATTCCCTGATAACAAAGACAAACCTATTGTAAAACAGGATGGAAATGCCAATGCGTGTATTGAGAGATCAATATACAGATATAGGCCTAGTTTTCTGAGTGAAACATTAGATGATTCACAAATTACAAGCAGCTATGATGATAATAAATAATTAAGAATTTGGGAACTCACCATCTTAAATGCCGACATTGATAGCAAATTATTCAAAGATTAACAAACTGACAAAATTGTTTATACAGGCTACTATTCAGTCAAACTAACAATCTAAGAGAAGAAAATAGCTTAATTCTTTTTCACTTTTTTTGTAGCAGTTGATTTGAATGGTAATGTCATAACAGCCTAAGCATAATCTGATGCTTAAGATGATACCCCTGCTTGTGCATCTGAAGATAATTGTGTATCAAGAGCAGAAACTGAAGTAGGATTCTGTAGTGACTAAACCTGCTCTACTCTTGTTAATCAACCTTAAGTTTATGCTGGCTAGAACTTCTATGTAGTTCAGAGAGTCAAATAGACTGGATTTGAATAATGGAAAGTCGGAGATGCTGATATTACCATTACTGGAGATGGAGTCAATAAAAAATTGAAGCCAACTACATAGGAATAGTAGCCCGGATAAACTATTTACATACTGAATGTTAATATTCTTGCTAATAATGTTGAATTCTCAGTAAATAGTAAACTCGAAGATCCAAATGCAGCTCGTAGATTTAGGTTTTTACAAGCATCCACAACTACTGATGGTACTGAAGTTTCTTCTGGCAAAGCTGTTGGTTCAACAACTTTAGAATGCATTAAGAAAGATGCAAATTCTTCATGCCCAAGCGCTGAAGAAGCGATAGCCTACAATTAACCAGATTGCGGAACTATTGGATAAATGGATTGCAAAAGCAGTTATGGAAATATATGGTCATTTGTAATTTTCACCATAATTATGCTCCTGTAATGACAAATATTTTCATTTTAAAGATAATATAAATTTAATCATTATTTCTTTCAATTTTGATTTTTAGCTTTGTATATTATATCTTCAAAGACTCTAAATGTTTATAAAATCAATTATTTTGAAATTGATTTAGACTAAATATTCTTTTATTTTTAAGATCCTAAAGGAAATACACGATAAATTTGGGTTGTATAGATTGATATTTTTTTTTTCAACACTTACATTTAAATTATAAATCTCTGAACTGAAATAAATATAATATATTTTGTTTCTTAATTTATCAACTTAAAAGAGAATGAAAGCTGATTTACTGTTATTAAAATAGAAACATAGTTTTGTTGTCTACTTTTTCAAAAGGAATTCTCCTTACAGAAATATACTTATTATCTATAGTATTTTAATCTTTCAATCTCTATCTTCCTTTTCCAAAATTCAAGTATTGTAATTTCTCTAAAAATATTTAAATATCCTATCCCTCCATTATTTAAAAAAGTATAACCATCTCAATCAATTTTTAAAGTCAAATAAAGTAACAGTTCCAGGATAATAGGAGCCTATAAGAAGTTTTGAAAACTCAACATCACCTCATAGAGGATTGCAAGTAAGTTTCTCTGCTACCGAAAATTGATGAGACTTTAATAGGAAGAGGACTTATGGGTATTCCCATTATAAAAGCTCTATTCATTGAAATAAAGAAGTTTCAACGGAAGACCTATATACAAGATATATTTATAATGTTGGAATGATAAGAACCAAAGAGTCTATGTACTGAAAGAATGTATTTGATGTCTTCTAGAAAAAATTAGGAATTAGATACATTTACGATAAAAAATGGTCAACACCTGATATTTGAAGTCCTTTACTAATAAGGATGAAAAAGTTTTTTTCAAAAGGTAAGAATTTATTGATGAACAGAATTTATCAAAGGCAATCAGAATTTAAAGAAAGGTTATTTTGAGGAATCATTCCTATGTCGTAAATCATTCATTAAATAAATATCTCTAGTTTGAACTCTACCACTTATAACGGACACATTTTTGGTCAATATGATATTTATCATTTTCTTATCGATGAGATGGGAAATTTGCACACATCCACAGGACAGGTATTATTAAGAATGGATATAATTATTATAATAATATTTGTCTAATTACTATTAATAATATGAATAATGGATTAATATAGTAGAAAGAGCAAGATTCAAAGGCATCCTTATTATAACAACAATTGTAATGATGAAAATATTACAATAATAGAGAGACTGTAAAGAGTATTGCAATATAAGAAAAGGAAAGCTAAGTAAATATCTTAACTTGGATACCTTAAGATACTAATCAGGATTAGCAGATCGAAGTTATATGATAGGAATGATTTATCAAATATGGAATGGCTGTTTAAAGAATTAGGCATGAATCTGCTCTGGTTGTAAAAATTAACTTTGATTATTTTTAAAGCACTTATGTATCGTTAGAATTTTAGCTTTTAAATTAGAAGATAAGGTAATAATGTTTATCTTGAAAATTTCAAGACTTTAATTGATCCAAAGTGATGAAAATGCTCACAGCATATCTAAGGAGGTTCCTATTATAATTCTTAAAAATTATTCATGTTCCTCTTTGTTTGAACCCCTCTCTCAATTTAGAAATCTTCAAGCACATGTCTCAACTAAGTTTGAACCCTATTAATCATAGTGTGAGCCATGCTGACATATAATCTAAAATAATAATGGAGTTCCAACATCTCCAAGTGAACTTTTATTATAATCAAGTAAAAATCATAAATCCCTGATAAAGTCATAATTTCTGGTGGACAGGAATGTCTTCCTGCACATAAGACAGTAGTGTTATAAAGGACTGACTAGTAGATGAGCTAGAGTACTCAAGATTCGATAAAGGGATGGAAAGTGAAATTTAAAGATGGAGGCACTAACTTCCTTTCTGAATCAAGCTACTCACACGATTATGTTGAATATATATTCAGGTTTATTAAACGCATGATAATTAAAAGTTATAATTCTTTACATTATCTTAATTACATCATAAATATATTTGGATAATTCTCTGAATACTATATTTTGCTATTGCTTTAACAATATTACAATATTTTTGTTTTTTCAATTTATAATCGGCTAAAACTTATTTTTCAACATTATAAAGGTTAATCTTTTATGAAATTACAAAAGGGTTTTTATATAAAAGCAAAAAATAGAGACTAAAAGTATGTAGTATATAAAATAAAATCTATTGGGATGTAGAAAATAAATAATTATTAAAGGTATAAGTTAATTCAAAATAATAGAAGCTTTATGTAAAAGTTAGTATATTGGATTGATAATTTAATACTATTTAAGATTTATGGTATAAATTTTTGTGGAATTTTTTTGATTAAATTGTAATTAATTCAATATATCAAAGGCTAAATGGAGATATAATGATAAACTCGGTATCTATAAGGTATACTCTAAATTCAGAATAAGATGTCTAAACCTAACTTAAAAAAAACGAAAATGCTTTGTTTCTTATAATGAATAAAATTTTGGAAATTGTTTTTAATAGTTTCCATTTTCTTAATAAAAGTAGAAATTAAAGGTACTATTCATAATTATATATATAATCCAACTTTTATATTCAATTTTAATCTGTATGTTATGAAAATTCTAAATTTTCTTCCAAAATTAAACCTCCTCTTTATCTAAATAATTTCTTTAAGTCTATGCCTAAATGATTTCGCAATTCTCCTTTAAATATTTTAGCTCCTTATGCTTAAAATAAAGGTTATTGGGATATTAGAAGAATAGTAATAATTTGGTTAACTAAATATTTAAAATCAATACTACCTTCTACAGTTTATGGAGGATTTTGAAGGGATGCATGAAATTTTTCTTTTATATCACTATTGCTATTATTCAAGGGATAAATTTATTGTCCAATCTAAATATCCCATAAACGAATAGAATTATCCATACTACCTGATGCCAATATAGTACCTAGAGGAGAAAAGCAGACTGAAGTAACAGCTCCATAATGGCCAACTAGTTTAAATTTTTGTATTCCCGTCTTAACATCCCATAGAAGAATACAGTTATTTGAACAGCCAGATGCTAATATAGCACCATCAGGAGAGAAGCACACTGATTAGACAGCACCATGACTATGTAATTTATAAGTGTATTGTCCTGTTTCAGTATCCCATAAATGGATGAATTTATCTCTACTCCCTGATGCTATCAGGGTACCATCAGGAGAAAAGCACACCTAAAGCACCCATCCACTATTTCCAGATAATTTTGATTTTTGTTCTCCTGTCTTAACATTCCACAAACGAATAGATTCGTCTGTACTACATGACACTAATGTAGAACCATTTGGTGAAAAGCAGATTGAAAAGACCCCACCATCATGATTAGTTAATTTAGATTTTAGTTGTCCTGTTTTAATATCCCACAAACGGATGGACTCATCTCCACCACCTGATGCTAAAAGTGTACCATCAGGTGAAAAGCATACAGAATATACACCATCAAAATGCCCATCGAATTAATATTTGAGTTACCCATTCTTAACATTCCATAAACGCAAAGACCTATCTCCACTGCTCGAGGCTAATGAAGAACCATCAGGAGAAAAGCAAACTTGACTGACATATTTACTATGTCCATGTAATTTAAGATTTAGTTTCCCTGTCTTAACATCCCATAAACAAATAGAGTTATCTCCACTGCCAGATGCTAATTAAGTACAATCAGGAGAGAAGCATACTGAATTCACCCCACTAGCATGACCATCTAAATTATATGTTTGTTGTCCTGTAATATCCCATAAACGCATAGACATGTCTTTACTCCCAGATACTAATGTAGTACCATCAGGAGAGAAGTTTACTGAGCAGACCAAACTTCTATGACCTAATAATTTAAATTTTAATTGCCCTAATATAGCATCCCATATAAAGATCGATCCATCTTCATTACCTGAAGCTAATTTGGTACCATCAGGAGAAAAACATATTGAAAAGACCTGAATACTACTCTTTTACAATTTCAATTTTTGTTATCCTACCAAAGAATCCCATAGACGTATAGACTTATCTTCACTACTTGATGCTAATGTAATACCATTCGGAGAAAAGCATAATGACTGAACAGGCTCAGTATGACCATCTAATGTAGATTTTTATATTCCTGTCATAACATCCCATAAGCGGATTGATTTATCCCAACTACTAGATGCTATTGTATTGCCATCAGGAGAAAAACATACTGATGCGACTTTTCCATTCTGATCAATTAAGAGAGTTTTATGTTGTCCAGTCTTAACATCCCATAAACGGATTGACCAATCATCACTGCTAGATGCTAATGTTGAACCATCAGGAGAGAAGCATACAGATAGGACTCCGCCACTATGGCCAATTAATTTAGATTTTTTTTTTCTTGTTTTAACATCCCATAACCTAATAGACTTATCTGCACTCCCAGATGCTAATGTGCTGCCATCAGAAGAGAGATTTATAGAATAAATCTAACTACTGTGGCCTATTAATTTGGATTTTGGTTGCCCTGTCTTAAAATCCCATAAACTGATAGACCCATCATCATTACCCGAAACTAATGTAGTAAAATCAGGAGAGAAACATACTGAAGTGATTGCTCCACCAATTCCATTTAAGTAATGTAACTCTTGTATTCTTATATTTTTCCATTTACAATTCAATAATTAAGTTCCACTCAAGTTTATTCCACTTATATCTACATTTTCTAATTCAGAACCACTCAAATTACATTTAACAAAATTAGCTCCTATTAAAGATGTATTATGAATTTTGATATTTTAAAAACATTGTTTCGTTAAATCGACCTTCATTTCGACTAATAAATTAAGAGAATTTGATCCACATTGTATGAACTTATTATCCATAGATGTAAGGTAAATAAGAAATTTAAAAAAATCGATTATCTTAATTTCTTTTGAAACTATATTTATGATTTTTTTTCTAGTTTCTGAATATGTTTCAGTTGAATAATTATTTTTATTAAAATCATGTTAGTGGAATTATTTGAGAACATTAGTAACTTTCTTAATGTTATTTTAAACAGCACTTAACTTATTTTGCTTTTAAAAAAGTTAAAAATTTTCATCTTATAAGAAGTAATATTCCTTATGAGTTTGATCTTCCACTTTAGAAAGAAATTCTATGCTATCGGAAATTTTTTCTTTTTAAAATATGTCAATTATCAAACTGAGTATTTACATATCAATATCTTTTAACGAAGTAAAAAGCTCATACAAATTATCTTTTTCTTGAATTGGTTGAATCCTTGATAATATTTACTCTTACTTAATTAATGGCGAAATCTCTTTGATTTTTTCCATTGACTGTACTTTAAAAGCCCTAATTTCTTATTCCCACCAATTCTTTGCCTGTTCTAACTTTAGAAGATAAGAATTCTCCTAAGAAATCCAATCATTTATTGAATTTGCTTTAAAAATTTGCACTAATATCTCTAAGTCAGTATATGTTGCTTCTTCCAAATTAATATTATTGTTAATGATATTTAAGTATGATGCCCTTTCCATTTCAATTACATCTTATATCTATTGGATTGATTCTGATAATTCTTCCCAAATTTTCTTCAGCATACTTTGAATTTGAGAGAGTGCAGATTTTAAATTCATCTTCTGTTTGATTAAATCTGAAATAGCTTTAAGATTTTATTCTTTTAATATCTTGATAATCATTTCTTAAAAATTTTAAATAGTTACAGTATATTCAACATCTACTCCATGATCATCTAGGCATTGCACACACAGCTTCCTTAAAAATAAACACTTGTGTGGAGCTTTACAAATATATGAAATTGGATTGTTTAAGTGATAGGGGCAATTCATTTTTTTTATCAACGATATTTAATTTCAATAATTTTTTATTATTAAAACAGATTAGGCAAAGTATCTTTAATATTTTCGCAGAAAGGAAGACAATTAATTGGCTCATGATAAATCTGATGATAATTTCCTTATGCTGATTCGTTTATAAAAAGATCTTATATTTCCACTCTTTATGTTGTTTTGCTAAATATTATTATATTTACTAGTATGCAAGAAAATAATTTCATTATTTTCTCTTAATTATATAATATAGAGGTTAATTTTTCAGGTTACAAATATTGCCATTGTTCTCTCACATCGACTTTCATCTTATAAATCACAAGTACACCTAATAACTAAGTTTTATTATTACCAATAGTTGATATTCAATTTTGAATTTAGAATTTGATTTCAGTTAAGATATAAGACAAAAATGATTTGCTGTTAGTAGATTAGAAATTCAAAAGGAGAAAATTTATTTTAAAATATCATAAGCATATGAGTTACATTTGGAAACAGAATTAAGTTCAATGATGTAGAAATTGAATCTATGAAGTTGGAATTAATAATTAAAGAAATAAAATTTTATAACGGTAAGCAATTCGGTTCAAATAATTTACTGATATATATATCATAATTGAAATATATAGTCAACATTAAAAATTTAATTATTACCAAATTTTGAAATATTTTGTTTATGAATTTAAATTTTGTTTGTTTTTACCCTTATTTATATTTTTAAAGCACAATATAAAAAATTATCATGGTTTAAAATGATTCATCAAACTAATTAGTTAGAATGTTGATATTTAGAAAAAGTATTTAAACCATGTTAAGTTTTGTGTTCCATTTACAAACACTTCGAAAATTTTCATTTATGAAAGATACTGCCATTATATTAATGATTAAGGCTGTTCGATCTAATTCATTCAGCATCAATTCAAGAGGTGTATAGAGTTATATTAATTGCCTGATACAAAAGTACACGAGAAGGAGAA